CTCGGTTTGGTTGGAGCAACCCATAAGGTTTATGTCGTTCATACTTGGCTTTCTTGCATAAATGGCAAGCTCTAACCCAAGTAAAGACCTTTTGTCGCATCCTGGGAAAGTAATAGTTTCGTCGTAATCTTTCCAAGACTTCTTCTGCTTTAGCATGTCCCTGCAGGGGTGGTTCATGATACTTAAGTGTCCATTCTTTCTCAAGATTCGGAGGTAATATAATTTTCCCTTCATGCATATAGATTTGTAGCTTGTCATCGTAGTCCATATGTTGTTTAATGAAATCCCTTCTGGACTGTTCAACTCGGATTCTCTGAATCTCAGGTATGTTGATTTTGATCAAAGATGCCACTTGGTGTATCATCGAGTCTCCTTCTTGTCGCAAAAGAGCATGTCTGACCTCCATTCCTTTGTCATAGTCAGTTCTTCTGCTTAATGCATCTGCGTTAGCATTAAGTTTCCCACTCCGGTGTTTGATCTCGAAGTTGAATGACGATAATTCATATGACCATCTTAACTGTCGTCCATTCAATACTTTGGTAGTGGTGAAGTTTCGGAGATTCTGGTGATCTGACAAGACTAAGAATGTATCCTTGGTGCCTTCTAAATAATGTCGCCAGTGTTTGAGCGCGTCAACGATTGCTAGCAATTCCTGATCTGATATGGAGTACCTAGTTTCCGCATCTGTAAACTTTCTTGAGTGATAGGCTACTGGTCGCCATAGCCCATCTTCGTCCTATTGACTTAGGACCGCTCCGAGAGCATATTTGGAAGCATCTGTCTCAACTCTTATCGGCTTTTTCTCGTCAAACAATTGTAGTACCGGTGTAGTCGTGACCAATTTCTTAAGCTCGTCAAAGGCCTTTTGAGCGTCCTCGGTCCACTGAAACTCCTGGGAAGTGACGCCAGCGTTTTCCCTTTTCTTGGTGAGTTCAGTAAGGGGTACTGCAATCCTTGAATATCCAGGGATAAACTGTCGATAATAATTCGTAAATCCTAAGAATGCTTGAACTTGCTTAACCGTTCGCGGTTCAGGCCATTCCTTAACTCTTTCGACCTTTTCTGGATTTACTTCTAATCCCTTTTCTGATATAATCAGTCTAATAAACTTGATTCTTTATTTATGGAACTCGCATTTGGATGGTTTAAGCCGTAAGTTATGTTTCTTTAGCGCTTTCAAGACCTTTCGGACGTGTTCGACGTGTTCTTCAAGCATCCAGGAGTATACTAATATGTCGTCCATATAGACCTCAACATACTTGTCCAAGTGTTCCCGCAACATATGGTTCATGTATGCTTGCATGGTAGCTGGGGCATTCGTGAGCCCAAATGGCATTACCCTGTACTGATAGTGCCCTCGATGAGTGCCAAACGCTGTCTTATACTTATCACCCTGCTTAATCCGAATTCGATGGAATGCTTCCGGTATATCAAACTTCGTGAACCATCAAGCTCCTTGGAGTCGGTCTCGTAACTCCTGGATTAATGGCAGCGTCATGCCATTTTTCACCGTGATACTGTTCAGGTGTCTGTAATCCACACAAAGTCATAGTCCGCTATCAGGTTTAGGTATATAGAATACCGGATATCTCGCGGGAGACTTGGACTCTTCGATAAACCCTCGTTTTAGGTTTTCATCCAAGTACTTATCTAGTGCTTCTCTTTGATCTGCCCTGAGCGGGTAGATACCAAATCTTTTTAGTTGGGATCCCTCTTTTAGCACTATTTCGTGATCGAACGGCTGGTGCGGTGGCAAGGCTTCTTCTGGAGTCTCCTTCTCAAAAAGTTCTGCAAATTCCCTATACTCCGAAGGAATTTGGAACGCTGTTTTCTGCTCCCCTTAGAGCTGACAAACAGCTACCGCCTCTATATCTTATATACTCTACCGCATGAGCTTTCTCGTCTACCCTCCAGTGCACTTCCTGGCCTGGGCAGGACATCGATCCTTAACTAGAGACACAGTTAAGGTTGACCAGTCGATGTGCGGTCTTTCGTCCTGGAGCCATGACAATCCGAGGATGATATCCGAATCCCCAATGTTAGTGACGTCAAACGTCCTTCTAACCTTTTTGCCTAACATTGTCATGTCGACGGTTGTCTCATACTCAACCATGCCTTGGTCCGAAGCAATCGGAGTTCCGTCAGCAGTGATAAGTGGATATGGGTCCTTCTTCTTGCGTAAGGGTAAACCCCATTCCTGTGCGTACCGACTGCTCAAGAAGTCCGCTGTAGCTCCTGAGTCAATCATGGCCATGGTAGCGTTGCCTGCGATCTCAACTTCTACCATCAGCTTGCCTTCCCCTAACTTACTGAGGCTTCGAGGTTCCTTCCAAAAGTCAACTATTACGCCCCTTAATAGTCGACCTCCTCGTTTCCCGAGAAGTAAGGGTGCTCGCTTTCACCGTCATCAAGCGTTTCTTCGCCTGACTCCCATTCCTCGGAACTTCCATCCGGGTTGGACATTACTTTTGTTATTTGCAGGTTCAGTTGATATAACTTCTGCAGATCTTCAGAATCTGGGTCCGCGTTTATCTGAAATCCAATGCGGTACAGGTTCTTAGGCAAAACCTATATAATAGCCCTTCTTGTCGAATCATCAGTCATATAGATGAGTTTTATGATACATTTATAGATATTTTCCATCAACTCATTTTCTTCAGGATCGAGATTTCCAATTGCACTTTGGATTCCATATGGTGATGGTCCAACATTAATTAACATATTTTCTTCGTTAAGGGTTCCCCATTGCATCAATGGTATTCAGTGCCTTGGACATTGGCATCCCCAAGCCGTGCAGAGATTGATTGGAAGGTGCTTATGATGCACGTGACAATCGTTGCTCTTAATACCCTTAATCTGGAGTATTCGTTATACTTGCGTGAACGAAACCTTAGGTGGTCCATAAGGATATTCCCATGATGGTTCTCCTGGGTCCCTATTTTCACTGTGCTCCCAAAATCCACAATCCTGGACTTGGTAATGGCTAATTGGTAACGCCCAATGGAACTTATGAGCCATGTTTGTTCGAACATCTGGGTGTCGTTCCAAAATTCCCTGAATTGCCGTTTCATCCCATGGTCCCGTGTTTTGATTCGGTCCCCAACGGTAAGTACTATGAGAGCCTTTCCTGAGCATAGCAATCTTCTATGCTTGCGCGCCAGTTCTCAAAGCCTTGATTAATTGTTTCTTAGGCTTCGAACAATTTCGAGCAAAATGTCCTGGTTGGCCACACTTAAAACAATTTCCCGAATTTTTCTTAAAATTCTTGGGCTTTCTTGGGGCTTGATCACCTTTCTGGAGCTTATCAATCTCTATAGGCTGCGGTCCATAGTAATCTGTAGAACGTCGTGGTCTCCCGTGATTGGGTTGGTATCTGGGCGTCTTTCCTTGCCTGTCAAGTTTATTTTCAAATAAGATGGAATCGACCCTAATTGTAGATTCAATGAGCTTAGTAAGGGTAGATATTTCTTTCTCCTTAAGCTGTAGCTGAGCTTTGACTTCTGGTTTGAGTCCTGCAAAAAACTTTATTCGAAGTGCGTCGTCATTCCATTTTAAAATTGCCGCCCATTTCTCAAATTCGACCGCATAGGAACTTGCATCTAACTTTTAGTGTAGTTCCAATAACTTCTTTTCAGCTAGATAAGCTTCATTAACTCGCTGAAAGTACTGATCTATTTCTCCTATAAATACTGAATAACTCTGGAAGATCCTTTTGACATTGTATGGAACGTCTCCTTTCTTCAAGATGTATTGATCAACCCGTCTCTGGATCCAAGTGTATGCGCTTCCCCTTAAGTAGGATACAGCATATATGACTTTCTTTTCCTCAGAGTCGAGCTTATCCTGGTTCCAATAAATATAAATCCTAAGCTGAGACCTAAAAGCTTCATATTTGGATCGTTCCCCCTTAAAGGGTTCAGGTGGATTCACTTTCGGTCGAGCCATGTCGTCGTCAAAGAGGTTCTCGCTTCCAGAATCAGAATTTGAATCGGATGGATCTGAGTCGTCAAACAATTGAGCGTCTGGTAGGACTTCCGGATCTCTTGGTGGTGGCGGAGGTGGCGGAGGTACTGCTGCTCTGTGTGTCGATGGCCCAGCAGCACTGGTACTTGAAGTAACCTCAACCTTCTTCTTTGGTGGACCAGACTGTTGTTGACTTCCGCTACTTCTCTTAGAGACAGTAGACATAAGATATTGTTCCTTGCCCTATCCAATGGTTCGGTGATTCAACTTTTGTTAGGAATACTTTCCTAATACCGACTAGCTTCACTAATGTAAGCCACTTCGGAAGGGTTTAGCTTCCTAGAGCAGAGGAACAATGTATAACAAGAGCTTATTGTGGAAGGAATACAATAAGATAGTTATGTTTATGACTTAGAATAGTCTGAGCTTCAAGAGTATGAGAATGTATTCAAACTAACTACTAGGTAAACTAGACAGTTGAATCACAAAGAGGTGTAATGCCAGTAGGGACAGGATGTTTATATAGACCTTTGTTCCAGTGTCCTTGTTGCCTGATTCTCAGCGATCATTCTGATCATGAATGATCAGACTGATCACTAACTGCATTCCTGATTCGTTCAATCCTTCTGAGCGAATCACAACCTTTCGCTTATGCAGACTGATCACCTCGATCATGAATGATCAACATGATCGCTCTCCCTTCACGTGATCACCATGTTACCTCGTAACATAAGGAGGGCTAAACCCAAGTCTACGCTCACTATAATTTAACTATCTAGTTTACCTAGTAGTTAGTTTAAATATATTCTTATACTATTGAAGCTTAGACTACTCTAAGTTATAAATATAACTATCTTATTGCAGTCCTTCCTCAATAAGCCCTAGTTATACATTATTCCCCTGCTCTAGGAAGCTCAACCCTTCCGAAGTGGCTTACATTAGTGAAGCTAGTCGGTATCGGGAAAGTGTTCCTAACATAACGGTTCAGGAAAAGATTCCTGATAAGAAGACAGCAATTATATGGACAACCCACGCAATCAAAATGGATTCTCATCTACATCCTTAAGCAGGTCAGGATCCACACGTTTGAGATACTCATAAAGGGACCAAGCTGCAAGAGTTTTGGCATCACGAGCTCCCACTTCCACTAACTTTTCGTATGGTTCCAAGGTAACCTTGATGCTTTCTAATACTGCCCTGTCACCAGCTTCTCTCAAGTTTTCCTTCAAACTTTCAATTTCCAAACGTGGCCTTACTCGTTCCCAAAGATATATGTTGATGAATTCATCACAGCCTCCTGGACTTGGATATATAGCGTTTTGAATTTTCTCTTTCTTAGTGGAGTCCATTCTTGTAGCTCTTTCCGTCATGTCGATTAGATCTGTTGGTCTCAGCCTTATCCCAACCTCCTGTTCTATTTCTTGTGCCGCTGCTCCTTTGAAGTCTCCCGCCTTGTCAATCATACCAGCGGGAATTTCCTTGAAGGATAGGCTCCCAGCAGGGATTCGTGCTTGTTCCGTCATGATAACGTAACGTTCATCCGGCGAGTCTGAAGGTCTCACGATCATCAATATAGCGACACTGCCGCCTCGGAGAAAGGCAATACCAGGCAGTCTCTTGCCTTCATCGTTGGAGATATCAGCATTTAGCTTGACAAACAATAGATCACCCTTTGATTTGTCTCCTCTTGGTTTCCTATCTATGGATTGAATTTCAATGCTTCGTAGATAGACTCTCTTGTCTGCAAACGCGTGCGTTGGAATTTGTTGTCGTTCGAAAGAGCTCTTTAGGGTCTTGATCCAGTTGCTGAAGGCCGGAAAGTCGAGTAGCTCCTCTTTCGTTAGGTCTTCTTTGATGACGTCGTGCGCGAATCGAATTTTCGGGGCATCACCAGTATGAATGGGATATTTCAACCAGTCGTCAATTTCAAATTCCATACCTGAACCCGGGGTAATGATATTTTTGTTCGAGTATATGGAAACTTGACTAATGGAATTGCTCGTCTTTCCCGAACTGAAATCTCCAGAAATCAATCGTGATGCTGCGAGAAATGAGATAGCCTTTCTTACTACCCCACTTCAGCTTGAATGATTTGACCAGCAGATGCTAGGAAACGTATACAAAGCGTAAGCTAGCGATGCTAGGGTAACATTCAGACAAGGAACATCAGAGCCTTCTAACCAGTTAGGATCGCTTCTGACTTACCCTGGCAGCTGAAACAGCATGGTGTGCTGAGATCCTGCGTCTTTAAATGATTTCCGTCTTACTCAGATGGAGAAAGTTCGCTTAATGAGAGACAACCCCGCTCTCTGCTACATCCTTATAACCACGTCCCTATATTGTTATATCCCACGTATACTTCTGTATCATTTCCCGAGGCAGATCAGGCTGCGTAAGGAGATGACCACGGTTATGCGGCGGAATTTCAAATATTTGACCTTCGCAGCAAATGATAAGAGATGATTTGCCCAACATGCTTTGGCATGCTTCGCGGTCAGACTGGACAGCAACTCATAGGTTCCTTTGATCTGCGCTTTGATCACCATGATAGCGAAGGCAGCCTTAAGGCATCTGCAGATATGGGCTGCTCGATCTGCCGACGAATTTGGGAGGATTTAATATACTCTGAAACCCGTAGGGTAAGAAAAGTAGGCTAGGGTCATACGCGTGCTCATACTAAGCCTTTCCAGGACAGTCTGATGGTCACTCGTCAGAGAAAAGGGAGGTTTCTTAGTGCATTTCTATCAGAGTTGGTCAAGGACAACGAGCTTTTCTATCTCTTGAACTTCAAAATCAGTAGTGGTCCTCGGATATCGACTCTGGTGCTTGAGCAAACACGCAAGTATCTCACACTGATCGCCGAGAGCACATGCTGATCAGCCATCTAGCTCAGTGTTACACTCGTCAAGACTATCGATACACACCTACAAGTGATCGCTTAGACTCTGACGAGGTTCTTCAGTTGACGAAGTATTGGATCAACAACTGCATCACTAAGCATCGCAAATGCTCTACGTCATCTCTGGTCAGAGGATTTGGATATCACCACAGGACGCAGTCACGAGAGTCGACGAGTAGTTTAATGGTTGGACCTGAGTTTTATCCTACGCGGCTAATTGAGCTGAACCCAAAAGGGTCGATTAAGCCCTTGGAAAAGGCACCGACGAACCCGAATATCCGCAAGCCTGCATTCAGAGGCATGAGTTCAGTCGAGTGGACGGAACTTGTGGAAGAAAATCAAGTTCGACTCGTAGAAACGGCCACGAAAAAGATGCAAGGTAACTATGTTACTTTAAGCCATTGTTGGGGAAAAGCGGCCAAGTTTTTCTCTCTGAACACGTCGAATATTGATCTTTTCAAATCTGGATTGGACATCAGAGAGCTCCCAAGAACATTTCGACAGGCTATCAGCTTTGCGCGCCGTCTTGGTGATGACGTCAATTATATTTGGATTGACTCTCTCTGCATCAAGCAGGACGATGCTGCAGATTGGGAACGCGAATCCGTCCAAATGTATAAGGTTTATCGTAATTCATACTGCAATATCTCGGCGACGGCGGCTGCGGATGGTAGCCAAGGACTGTACTCATATCGCGAACCTCGTAACCTATGGGAATCAGAGGTCAATGTCAACACTGAGACAAACAGGCTGGGTTTGAATAAGAAAGGCGATAAACATGCACATGGCCATTTCGGCTCGCTCGTGAGAAGGTGCAGGGTTGTAGACCCTGGGTTTTGGGATCTGAAAGTGGATAACGCTCCCGTCAATACTCGTGCCTGGGTTCTACAAGAACGGCTCCTAGCTCCTCGGGTAGTACACTTTTGCGAGGATCAAGTTGCATGGGAATGTGCCGAGCTCGACGCGTCAGAGGCATCGGCCGATGGGATCTCCCGATTGGGTCACAAGAATGGCTTGGTCCAGGACCGAGTTCGACTGAAGGCTTTCACTGCCTTGACCTCGCAAATGGAGACTGAGGCACATGCCAACTGGAAAAGCATCGTTGAAAGATATTCCAAAACTAGCCTGACAAAGCCATCGGACAAATTAATTGCTCTCGCTGGGATTGCAGAGCTCTTTCATGAACAGATCGCAGAGCAGAGGCAAACACAGGTCAAATATGTCGCGGGCATCTGGGAGACCTTCTTGGCAAGCCAGCTTTTATGGCGTGTTGAGACGGTATACAAGAACGAAAAATTTCAGTACCCATCCCGAAGACCACAACGTGATATCCCGAGCTTCTCCTGGGCTGCAATCGATGCGCCGCAAGGAATCAAATGCGGCGATATCGTGCCATCTAAGGACTTGCTGATCTCCATCGGTCGTATCAGTATCAAGCCAAAGCAAAAGAGCGAGTTTGGCCAAGTCGAACCAAACGCATCGCTCAAGCTCAGATGCCAAATAGTTAAAGTGCAGCTTGATGTTTCTACTCGTTTATATGGAGATGAGACATACACTTGGAGCCTAGCGGAGGGAGGCCCGAGGCTGGCAACTCGTACTAAAAAGATGCATCCAATAGTATATTTGGACAGCCCTCAAGACGATATTGAAAGCATTCGTTTGCAGCAAGGGATCATATACTTGGTACCAGCTTACAAAGATCCCGCGGGTTATCTTAGATGTTTGCTGTTACAACAAGCTAAAGAGAAGGACCACTATCGCCGAGTGGGCTTGTCAATCATCCCACCCTACGTGAGCAAGTACAGCTCCAGTTTCTTGAATAGCAAGGGAGAAATTGAAATTTGGGGTGATATTTACGAAAAACAGGAGATCGTACTTCTCTAGTCAGAAGAATGGATAAGTAGTATAATATCCCCTGATGAGCGGCGCCCACTCAATGCACATGTGCAAAGTACGAAGTCTTGGTTAGTGCCACCACATGCTGTCAGTTTTGAACATGGGAGAATAATGCTATGAACGAAGTAAAAAGTTCTCAGAACTAAATACTCATCGAATCTAAAACCGCTCCTTCTGCTCTAAGCAGAAGTGTTCTGCTATGCAATCATCTCTGCAGTTTGACGGCCATATCTAGCCCGAAAAAAGGGTTTTAAGGGATCACACCCGTGGATGACTAAGTTTAGAATTCATTCCACGTCAGAAAGGATGTTGAAATCCCCAATAGTCATATGGAAAGTCCAATGTACTTTTGAACCAGTCGTCTTCATGCGCGACCTGCTCCATTGGATATAGCGAGCCACTTTGACCAGACAGCAACCCAGAGTTGCTGACAGGATCATTGTATCCCTCAGGCTTGTTTTGGACCTTATGTTCCTCGTTAGGGTCATTACCATTCAATTTTTGCGGAGAATGACGACTGGAGTTTGGGTCTACGAAGTCTTGGTCACTGACTTCAAGAGACCTATTGATGATGTTATTCTCAGCACCTTCTGTGATCGATGTTAACTGGAATTCCTTCAAAGCCTTCGATAGGGATTCGTTGATTATACTGAGGAGTTGGGGTTCGTTCATCTTATCCCGATTGAGAGTAATAGCCGGATCTATAAGCTCATGGTTCTTTCCGCTCAGGATGGGTAGTCGTTTGCAAAGCTGTTTTTTAACCAATGAATTATAGTATAGAATTGATTTTATCTGTTTATCGTGATCTATAGCTAGACTTTAGTAATGTATGGCTCGACTTACGGTACAACTTACAATGAGGAGGAATTTCGTCGTCTTTGTCATCTGGAAAGAGCACGCGGTAAATTTCTTTCCATCCTTCAGCGTTATTCGCGTTTCGTTTCCGGTTACGTAAAATACGCTCCTTATCTATACCAAAACCAGTATAATGCGGGCCATCTTTGCGTTCACATGGATTGTCTTGGCGGAGATGGTTATCTAGATCGTGGGTCGTGGAGAACTGATCAAGGCATCGAGGACAGTGAATAGGTAATCTATGTTGACGATACAGGTGCTCTCTTGGCCCTAATTAGTCTTTTTTAAAACCCAAAACCTGGGGTGGTTGCTTGGTATGCTGACGTACTTAAGACGGTGTATAGTTAAGAATACTGTTGATGAGCATGTCTGCAACTTAGCATGCTTTTCTGGGTTACGCTTGAAGAATGGACAAGCAAACCCTCTCGATTCGCCCTCCACTGGCAACTTTTGCTTCTTTCTTCCTTTATCATTGTCTTCATCTTCGCTGTTTTCTCCTGAGTCTCCGCCCTCCACTTCTTCTTCGAAGCCGCCCGAAGCTGACGTTTCGTGGGCAACGCTGCGACTGGCTTGACCTTTTTTCAGAGCCCCTTGATGTTTGCGCTTTCTATGGTTGTCACCGCTTGGTCCTTCTGTAGCTTCCTCACTACTGCTAAGACCACCTAAATGATCCCTTGACTGTGCCGTCCTAAGGAGTATCCATGACTTTGACAGCGAAGCAAATGTATCTTGGTGGGGAATTGTGCTGTTGTTTGTAGTTTCACCATCTGATACAGCCAAACATGAAGATTGCTCATCGGAGCAATCGGAACCAGATGGGGAGTCTTGAATATTGCCCGTACTGCGAGAGAAGCCTTTCAGGCTATCTAGAAATCGATCACAGGCTTCTCTTGCAACCTTGGCGTGATCTTCCGATGACTTAACCAGAGTATCGGACTTTTCGAATCTGGTCCGAATAGGCATCTTCAGTGTAAAATCACGCGACTTTTTTCCTGGAGCCGTAGTATTCTTCAAGACGTGATGGGAGGGAACATCCTGACAAGCAATCTCGCTAGGCCTTCTGGATATAATTGTCTTTACCCGATCCTCGAAACTGAGCTGCTCTGATCGAACTTTTGCAATGGCTTGCTCGCGCGTACGGTCAGTTTTTGACTCTTCCACTACCTCCATGCATCTCAAAACATATAGATAATGATGATACAAAGCTTTGAGATCACTTTGTAACTTTTTCCATTCTAACCGCAATGTCTCATCAGAGGTTGGGGGAACTTCTCCATCTTGTTGTCTTCTCGAGCTCCAAACATTGTTTGGAATTTCTGTCATCAGACAAGATAGCCGTTCACTGGCTTGAAGCTTCCCAAGAACAATAGAACATGATAACTTGGCCAAGAAGAATCCCTCCTGATCTGCGGGCTCATGCGATGCATGAGCATCAACCAAATTGTTAAGACGTACCGCCGCGCGATATATACGAGCATGATCGTCATTCGTTGAATGCTCGAATGACAACTGTTCGTATGTTAATTGGCATTGATCGCATTCTATTTGAATCGCGATCGCACGTTCCACGAATTTATCAGTGAAGCTTAAGAAGGCAGAGACAAGATTGCGTGCTTGCTGAACATGGTCTGGAATCTGAGGAAAATCGGTACTATGTCTCTGTTGCATTTGAAGTTTGTGCAGCTGCATCAAATAGAGATAGATCTCATCGTTGAATTCATTCGGGTTAACCGGTGGGAGCTCCGTTTCGTTTCGTCTGCTATCCAAATGCGTGAAACCAAGTGTAACGTTCATTTTGTGCTTAGGTGCTCTGGTTAGTCAACGGGTACTCTGAAAAATTGTTGCAAAGTAGTTGAGTTAGGTCGACGGGGAGTCGCATTGCTTAAGTATAAGTGTCTCGTTCAAGCCATAATTTTGCGCAACTGCGCAAATACAAATTGTCAGGGCGTACGTCTGCTAAATCCTCACACGCGCATTGGCGCCTTGCGAAGAATATGCGAGTGAGGATCACAAGATATTTCGAACCCCGGCTAGTGACCAATCAGCAACCCCTTCTCGCATACTTTCGTCTCGATATTTCTCCTTCAGAAGCTCCCATCAGATGGTACTTGAAGCGTTGGACAACTTCACGGAGTCTTTGAGGATCTTCAATTCGCCTTGGGTCAACTACTCAATCCAGTCTATAGAGAACAGTCACCTGGAGCCGTGGAAGATTTGTTAAGCTATAGACTATTATGGCTGTGTGGCTATCTACAGCGTTATCACATTGTGATGAAAGAGTACAGGTGAGCCCGCGGACGAGGCTTCGAGTAATTGGATCTATGGGAGTTGCCCTTGACAGCAGTATAAAAATCGAGCTTCTCAATTTTCTATAGAATAGACAGAATGAGTCAAAACATAAGGTAATCCAAAAATGTTCCTCGCTATGCATGAATGCCACAAAGTCCTTGCTTTATAAAAAGGATGGAAAGGGTGAAGTTGGGCTGAAATTTATGGCGCTGGAATCGAAAGCTTCTCCTTCCCTTGTGCATACTGACCGATCATCTTTTGCCTGTCCTTGTACTCTTTGACAATAATGCTGCAGTTGACTTCCTTGCACAGCTGTTTCCGTCTTGTGCTTGGTAGTTTCTCAGCAAATTCGAGACCACTAGCCCGTTCAACCGCTTCGAGAGGCACTTCAAAATCGCTCAAAGGCTTGTCGTTTGGAATAGGGGCATTGGGAAGCACGAACGCCGCTAGTGCAACATTGCCACCAACTCGCCCATCCTCCCCAAATATGACTTTGTAGAAGTGGGTTGGTACCGCAACATTAGGCGGATTACCGATGACTTCGTATGAAACACGCCACTTCCCATCTGAAGGATCACGCTTGGGTAGATAGAGTGGACCAGTGACTATACGCACTGATGGATAGGAGACGGTAAGTCGTCGACAAAAGTCCTCAAAATGTGCCCAATAGTCTCTGTTGAACCCATCGCCGACTTGCGGGCACATGTTGCTTAATGCAAAAGTAGCATCCATTGCCTCCTGGCTCCACTTCGCGTCCGCAGCTGGTACCTGATGCCCCCGATCGTAGCCACTACGAAAATAATCCTTGAGTTTCGCCCGAAATTTTTCAGGGATCGATGTATCTTCAGTAAACACCGAGTTTTTCCTATCACCATTCGAAGCAGCAAGTGATTCTCTGGTAATATGTTCTGCTACCCACGATGGGTTCCTCGTGCGACGATCGAAACTTGATGTGAGGGAAGAGGCGGGCCGAAGGTCAGCAACAGGACCAGGAAACCCATATTGAAAAAGGCCGTTCGGATCGACGGGAGTTTGTAGGTTGGCAAGCGGTCGTTGCCCATGGCCTAGTGCGGGCATCGGCGCAGGGGGAGATGTACCAGATGGTGATGACACTGTCGTCGAAGAGGTTATTGATGGTGGCGTCGATACTTTTCGCTTTTCCCCATATATTCCTGCAGTTACGATGGCTCCAGTCGCAGCGCCGATAGCAGCCGCTATTCCTAGCGAGATCTTCGACATCTTCGAGGACATGTGACGGTTAAGAGATGCTTTAACGCAAAGATAGAGCGCTTGACGTGAAAGTGCAAAGGCAGATGCAGCAAAATAAATTTACAAGGTGCGACGAAGACACCGCTCGGAAGCCAACAAGGCCCAAGCCCTTTTTGTAGAAAGGAGGTGATCTTCTGACTCTCTCTCACCCAAGCGCCGATGCGTGATGCGCTTTTACCGTGACATTGCAAACAAAAAAAAGGAACAAAGGTTGGGATTGGGTACTGTGCACGCGCTTTCTCAGGTGCACGTGGCTTAAGCTGGAGATGAGTCCACCTTATGCCACGGGAAACTTATCACAAAAGCATGTCTTCGCACTCATGTTGAGCTTGACCAATTAGGTTAATGCTATCCTACCCGGATATAAATTGCGTTTTTGTTTGCTCCTGGCTTTACATAGCGCAACTCTTAGTCCTCATCCCAGTTTGGATTCGGGCCAGGAGGTTTCGGGCCTCCTGCCTGTCTAGCAACAATGATCTGATCCACACTTAGAACCGTTCTTGCCGCCTCTGCTGCCAGCCTTATAGCCCATGTCTTGATGACGAGGAGGTCCAAAATACCCTCTTCTTCCGCATCCATCACTCCAGTACCATCTTCATTTTCAATGTCTACACCTTTGCACCACCAATACTTGTCACCTTTGCCACGATCCTTTTGTGCAGAATGTGCTGTATACAGCTTGGACAATACTGCGGTGGCATCGAGACCAGCTGATTCGGCGAGAGTTCGTGGTATGACCTCAAATGATTCGCCAAATTTGCGTATTGCGTATTGAGAAAGGCCCGGAGTCTTGTCAGCAAATGCTGTCACTCGTTCAATAAGCTGCATTTCTGTTGCACCTGCGCCCGGAACGAGCCGTGGGTCTTTTGTAATTGCTTTGACCACGTTAACAGCATCGTCGATCGCTCGCTCTACGTCGTCGAGATGATTCTGTGTTGCGCCACGAAGCACGAGAGTTGCGGTCCTCGTAGCTTCATTTTCTTGCCTGAAAACAGTGACGCGATCTCCGCCGATCTCGATTGTTTCTACAACGTCGACTGAGCCCATCTCATCAGGCATAGGCGCACCTAGTCGAGCCAACGGTGTTGCGCCAACAACACGACATAACCTCCTCAGCTCAAACTTCGATAGGACTTTGATTACAAGAATGCCCATGCGGTTGAGGTAGTGCAAGACTAGCTCGCCAACTGTTGACCCAGCGACAACAACTCTGAGGCCGGAGTCATACAGTTCTTTAATGATACCCTCCATCTGCTTCTCCTCACCTTTTGTAAATTCAAGCATTTCCTTTGCGTTTTTTAGTAGCACCGTGCCTTTGGTTTCTGTTTGTGAAATGTCCAAAGGACAAGTAAAAACGCCGACTTTGGCCTTGGTAGCCTTTTTGATAATTCCGTCCGGTTCTCGTCCAAAGACCATGCCCTTGATCACTTTAGACTGCTCTATTGAGCCGCCTAAAATCTTCACCACCCGAATATTGTCCACGTTGAAGTTGGCAGGGTTCTTCGGCAACACTGCAAGCACAGCTTCCGCCACTAGGTCCGCAAGCGCATCCTCACTGCCGCTTTGCTTGGCCGAGATGACGGTTCGTAAAGCCTTGCTTAGCTCTTCTTGACTCCGCATATCTTCCACTTTGTCGATCTCCAACTCTTCCAGTGCCTTAATTGCGAAGTCCTGAGCTTTCTCGTAACCAACCACGATATCGCTAGTCTTCAAGCCCATTCTAAGTAGTTCTTCGGCTTTCTTCAATAACTCTCCAGCGAATATGATCACCATATTTGTCGCATCGCCCATCTCAGCCTCCTGTTGTTGTGAGGCCATTACCATGAGCTTAGCAGCGGGGTGAACGACTTCAAGTTCCTTGAGGATGGTGGCGGCATCGTTCGTAAGGATCATTTTCTGTAGGTGGTTGATAACAATTTTATTCCTACCATAAGGGCCCAAAGAAGTCTGTACTGTTGCAGCTATTGTACGACACGCGTCGATATTACGCAGAACAGCTGCATCTTCGGCATCGTATCTGCGCTTGGTTAACTGCTGCTTCGTTTAGAGCAATTCTTCATGAAGACTCCTACGTTTGGTAGCCAGGCTTGAACAAGCCGGCATTTGGCGCCTGCGGTACCGATAACGACATAATAGTAGTTCAGCTTGGGCAAAGGCTGGGTAGTCCTTGATATTCATTTGCGGTGGGCTTTTCGAAAAAGTTCCAGGAGCGCGGACGCGAAGCGTAAAATGGACTCTGTTGAAATGAGTCCACCGTATAAACCTATCAGGACTTGTCTTGAGCCAGACTGAAGTTTGGCTACACTCGATTGTCTTTCGTCAAATATCTCTACATCCTATTGGTTATTGATATGCCGCGACTTGAGGAGCTTGAGCATGATTCTTTGCAGAATGAGCATGGTTGGACGGGCAGCTATCATGAGGTTCAAGGTCGGGCAAAGAGCTTGTGGGAAGCTTTCTCAAACTTCGCGTTGAGGGACAATGTGCTTGAAGTAGCTGTTGGTCTAATGTAGGTCACGAAGGAAAACTGCTGTCCATATCTTTGAGCTGAACCGATTTTGCACAGTTTTGCATCTGCGTTTACTGCCGTTGCGAACTCACTTGTTACTGACATCATCCTTCCTATCATTTCACTCCTCCCGTTTATATCTCGGAACCTTGACGAGCGTTTTACGATTTTGCGACAAGGTCATCACGCCAATCAAGTATATAACACAGTTCAGCAAGCTTTAGATGATGGAGCTGTGGTCTGGGCTTGGGGTAATTTTGTGGACAAGGTCTTGCGATTCCTGGTGCTTGCGGTCGCATTGTTCCTGATAGCGAAGACTTATAGTTGGGCGGCTTCTGACAACATTATCAAGAGGCAAGTTAAGTGCAAGTATTGCAGGAAATATATTTCTGAAAAGGCGCAACGCTGTGTTAACTGTACATCATGGCAGGATGGAAGAGAGGAATCACGAGGTCATTGAGCGTCACAGCCTCCTCAATCCTATTGGGGACGAGGATTTCGCTTGAAGCTCTATATCTGTCACTGACAGATTGAACTTTTGTACTTTCCTTTATCTTTGAGATACCCTGTGATGCTAGGGCTACAATACTAGCAATGTGATTTTTTTTCGAATTGCTGACCTCGACAATTTCTACTTGTCAATTTCTTTGCGATGATTATGCTTGACGAATTCGTGTACGCATGACATCTTACAATTCGTTCTTGATGCTAAGCTCAAGCGGAAAATAATCCTCCTATATTCCTCGCGAAGAATACGTCATGCCAATCAAAACAGCAATGAGCATTTTCAAGCCGGACCAAACCCCTGTCCGTTCCTTTTTCAGCTGCAAAGCTTTGGTACTTTTCGGCCTTCAAATGATGAAACAAATATGATAATCAAGAATGCGCTTATATCCCCTCCATACCAGATCCCTTAGGTGCCTTGGAAGCAGGAGATGCTAACTAGTGAGCCAACTTGATTCTGATTGACTGTGGCAAAACATTTAGGGAGCCTGAAGAACTATTTTTTGGAACTTTGGAACTCAAGATATGAAAGGTGAGGCAATGGCAGGACAGATTGGACGTTGTAACTTCACTCAAGCACAAGATGATTTATTAGGTACAATAAGGTTGGGCTTGCTTTTGGGAGGGTTTTCTTATTCTTTTCTTTTCTTCTCTCTCTCTCTCTCTCGCTCTTTCTTCCTTTCTTTTTTTAAAGAAAGAAAAAGTTTGGTATCCGCAAAAATGCTTGAATCGAAGTTGATTTGGCATCGCGAGTCGAGGCCAGCCATCGGAGTACCTCAGTCGATACTCTCGGTACCCATGCGAGCAGACTTGAATACAGCCAAAAGCAAAAGCAAAAGCAAAAGCAGTACATCTGATCGTGAATCTCTGTTAAGTTAGGCGGTAAGTTCCATACCATCACGAGGCTACATAGCCAGACAGACGGCGTCACGATGGAGGCAAAGAGGCTGGAGCTCGTCGATAAGCACACAAAGGGTATTGCTCAAGACGCTAATTCTGTCAAAAATCATGTGCACTTACGTATGCTGAAAAAGGTTTAAATGTGCGTGCCAAGCATCTTTTGTCGGCTCAGATAGCTCTGGAGAGATGCAGTTGGTCGAAATTTATGCAGCGAAATAGCGACGACGTAGTCATGGAGGCTCCGCAGCAAAATTGGAGAACTCAACGGCAATTCCAGTGGTGGCTGCCTGCGCTTGATCATACGCGGAGTGCATCGTGAAGCTGAGAGAAGAGGCAGTGCAGCGCTTCGTCGCCCCCATCAGGCGGGACTGTTGCGTACGCCGACAGCTAGGCCGCGTGATTGGACAAGAGGCTGCGTTGTCTTAGACGTATTGTTCTGCGTGATAGATCCTCCGCCATCACGTGAGAAACGAAACGAGTGTGCTTAAAGATCCATGATCGAAATATTGCTTCGAAACGATTACGCGAGCGACGAGTCGCTTGCTCACGTTGCCGTCAAGTGCGGTTCGCCATGAACCAAGGACGTACCTGTACAGTGGTAGCTCAGCGTAGCGGCACGAAAACGCTGCAAATTGAGTGCAGCCCTTGCGTGCAGGCCATACACCATTCTGTGAACGCGCACCGTTCTCAACCAGCAATGTCGAACAGGTCCAGATGTCTGTTCAGATTGGTACACGGTCGGGGCGAGACTTTGTGCAGTGGCGTGCGGCAAGCCTCGGTCTGGAGATGGCCGGTCGCCAAGTGCCACCAGCCACCACCTCGATGCATCTTTTGTGCCATTTTTCCCAGGCTATGCCACATCAGGGCGTCCCCTGGCTCTCAGTGCGCGCACCCGGTGCGCACTAGGTGGCGGAGGGCCCAACCTTCGCAGACTTTCGCGTCGTGCAAAGCCGATGGGGGAGGCGATCGCCCGGACTTGGGAGCGACGCTTCCAGGTCATGCCCGTCACCCGATGGCGAAGTCCAGCCTGCTCGAGACAGATGGCAGGAAAGGCCGAAAGAGCGCATGATATATTGAAATGACGCCTCCGTGCAAGACCTCTCTGTCCACAGCACCTACCACATCTTCACGAAACTTCATACATCGCGTTTCTTCTCCTCCGTATCCGACGAGATTGTTGGATCAGCGAGGGGCAAAAGTACCAGCCCACACGTCTGCACGTCGATGACTAGGCCGAAACCCAGCGGCCGGCAATCACTTCTCCTGGTACGGCACAACTCGGTGCACTCCTTTCTTCGTCCCTTCCGCTAGCCCTGCAGAGCCTTGCAGGCAAAAAGGGCACCGGAACGCAGCACTTGGGAGTCACCAAGCACGACTGCTCCCTCCACGCGCAGCACATTCTTATCGGTCCTCTCGAACGTTTGGACGACATCCACTCGAGTGTCCAGCGTTTCAGCCGGCCTAGCACTTCTCGTTGGCCACAGACGGGCCAACTCTTGAAACCCTGAAACGGGTGGACAGGCAGAGACAGGTCGCTAGGGCCTCGTGAGACAGCCAACCGCAGCCCCTTGGCTGACAGTCCGCGCGACAAGTCAAACAGCAGGGGCCCTGCAAGCCACGCCGCAAGCCAATCAGCGATCCGCGAGCCGATCGAGGCCCAAAAATTCTGGGGAGCATCTCCAAAAGAACACACGCAGCGCAGCAGTCCCCTTTTGCCCGCTAGGGGCTCTCGACAGATCTATTTAGTAGGAAAAGTCGCCCTTCTCGAAAGCTCGACTTCCTACATCAGGATCTGGATAAATCCTTTGCCTTGACCGGTACGCTACTTCGTCGATTCCGCTCAACGAGGACGACAACCACGCGGCAGCACTCTCGTTTCGCCTCGTTCCTCGCCGTCGACACTTCACCTTCAGCTTCGAACTGCGCCCTCGTGCAGTCCCAGCCAAGATCACTCTCTTGATCTCCTGGAAGTGTCAGTCTAATACTTGACTTCATTTGGAACTTCTTGGAATCCGCCGGTCGGACACGTCCATAGTTCATCGCCTCGTTTTGGCCACTGATCACAGCCTCAACTCTCGAAGACCGTGGAACGACTCTCATTTAATCTAATCCTAATCTTCAAGAGTCATTTCACTCCTTCCCCAAGCCATTGCTATTATTGTGTGACTGGACAATAACCATCACAACTATTTGCACGACATCCGATCTATTGTCGTCCCATTCCTGTTGTTGACAATACCGACCCCGGCCGCCTATATATTCTGTCAGGCTGCCGTCATCTCTGAGCTCAATCGCCATAAATCATTATGAATTTCTCGACACCTACTATGGACCAGAACAAGGCTGCGCTGGACTATTTTGTCCAGCTGCCGGTCTCCAAGGAAATGATCAGCTACCTCGCACGCAAAGCGAGTCAGGTCATCAAATGCGATGCTGCGCAACAGAGTGCATCGTCCCTCCCGTCTCCACCGGACACTCCACCGCAAGGCGTCTCAGCTGAACCGGCCTTGCCGTCTGTTGAGGCGTTCATTACATCGCTTGTGGAGCGATCTCACGTTCAGGTGCCAACGCTAATGACTTCTCTTGTTTATCTCGCAAGGCTGAAGTCCAGATTACCTGCCGTTGCTAAGGGCATGCGCTGCACCGTACACAGAATTTTTCTCGCATCTCTGATTCTTGCTGCGAAGAATCTCAACGACTCATCACCGAAGAACAAGCACTGGGCTCGTTACACCTCAGTTCGTGGTTATCCAAATTTCGGATTTTCCATCACTGAGGTGAACTTGATGGAGAAGCAGCTCCTTTTCCTTCTTGATTGGGACCTAAGGATTCGACCAGAAGATCTGTACTATCACCTTGAGCCATTCCTAGCTCCCATCCGCGAATATCAAGCCATGGAAGAACAAGCTCGCATCCAAAGGCTACGTGAGAAGGAGCTTTACTATCACCAATATCATCCGCAGTCATACTCACCATATGCAACTGAAAGCTACTCTCACGCACGCTCTTATAGTCACACTTCTTCATTGTCATCACGGGGTGCGTCGCGGACTCCGTCGCTGTCGCCGCCCAGTCGCAGTAGCACTTCGAGCTCCTCGCCTGACACCGAAAGTTTGGATGAGATCTACGAATCAAATGATGATCTGTGCATGCATGGTGTCGAGTCGCGTGATGGGAGCATGTTGGTGCACATTGAAGGTGCTGAACTGCACCCGAAGACTTCCCTATCCAGGCTGCAGAGCTACGAAGATAAGCGAGCGAAAAAAGCTAGAACCGGTGTTCCGGGCGGAAACTTCTTTTCTCGCCTTCTCAACAGTACCACAGCACGCGTAGGGTCATATTAGCTTGACGTTGGTTTTCCCTGTAGTAACGATTATGTGGAGTTCGTAAGGTCCGCATGGCTGGATTGGCTTGATAGGGTGGGCGACTCATAGACAGCAGAGCGTCACTGGCTGATTGCCTGCGATCATCAAAAGAACATTCTGCATCTGCATGGCGTTAATGTCTGATACGATACATGGGTGTGTATGGGGACGTCCATGGGTTTTACGACGGACCAAGACGGTCATGATGGGTAGAGTGCCATGGGACACATTATCTCCAGCAGAGATATCTCGACAGTACAGAGCACAATAATATCATACTTCATCTTCCCACAGCGTCATCAAGCATTCCGACTTCTATACCTTTCTGAACCTTTTTGGGTTTTTTCCTAGTGTCGTAGCAGGCATCTATGCCTGAATCTTGCCACTTGATTTATCGATAGCTCAGGGATTTAGGCTTGTCTTGGCCAGCGGCTGTGGCTTGGCCAGAGCACCCATACTTGCTTGTCCTCGAACGTTTCGAAACTGCGTCTTCGGAGAACAAGAGTCAAAAAACCAAACGAAGGACTTCCACTTCGCCACCATCAATCTGCGTGCTGGAATCTCTGTCGTTCCTCGCCGCTCACTTATCCATCGCTTCGCGCTCTTGCATGTAGCCCAGCACCCTTTTTTCCCTGGTCAGGAGTGCGTGCAGGTCGCTTTGAGCGAATCTCTTTCCCTGCACCCCTGGATGTGAACCTGCAGCTTGCAGTCTCCTGAGCGGTGCACGCATGACGCACCCGCAGTAGCGCAAACCAACGACGAAGTTTGCCGAAGAAGAGGCGGGACTGTTGCTTTCCCAGTCTTCCCTGCGAGATCGCCCTGATCAAAACTGGTAACCCGTCTTCACACTACTTCAGCGCGCGACGTCGACTTGCTGTACGAAGATGGTTTCCATCACAGTCGACAAGGCACCCCGCACTCTGCTGGTAGCCTGTTTCTTAGCATGGAAAGCACTTCTCCTGACCATCGCCATCATCAGCCCGCAACCGGGTTATGACACCTCAACTCGCCTGCTATTCAAAGGTCACGGGATCCGCAACGTTGAGGTGTCGAGTCCAGACGTCTATTCACCGCCAGGTACGCACGCACCCGCTCAGGGTTTGCCTGATTTGGTGATGAGGTTGCTGTTGGCCTTAACCCGCTGGGACACAATCTACTTTGCTTCAATTGCTGAGCGCGGCTACGTCTACGAACAAGAATGGGCATTTGGCTGGGGCTTTTTAAAGTTTCTCTCCTTTCTCGGCACAAGTACGTGAGGTCCTTATCTGTTGTGTTATGCAATTTATCTTTCCATTACCTTGGAACTTCTTTCTCCCCGGCAGAAGTTCCAACGCTTGACTGATGTGGGCGTGTATCGTAAAGTAAAGACCTTTTTTTGCTAAGCCTAAGGAGTTTGTCCTTTGAAACACTGAGAAGACTCTAAACCTGTTCTATGGAACTGCAACACACCTGTGGGAGTGAGATTCAAACTGACCTTTTCTATTAGATATACCTCTTACTACGGAGAAACTGTACAACGTGCTAATTCATGGAATCATTCTCGCGAATGTTAGCCACCTGATATCGATCATCCTGCTCTTTCAATTGGCATTGGCCTTGCAAACCAGCGCTAGTAATGGCAAGGTATATTTTGCCTTCATCTGCGCTGCCCTTCACATTTTCACTCCTGCCGGAATTTTCCTTGTCGCCCCGTGCCCAGAAGCACTATTCTCACTGTTAAGCTTTGCGGGTTACCTGTTGTATGTTTACTCTTGGATCGACACCGGTCTGCAATACCACGGCCCCATTCAGGATCTATATCTGATTCTATCTGGTTTCTGCTTTGGACTGGCTGCAACAGTGAGAGGAAATGGACTACTTAGCGGGATTATCTATTTTTACGATGCTCTAATATGGCTCATCGTTTCGGCAGAGCGCCTGGTACGCATTCGCGTCTTCAATATCAGTGCACTGCGTCCTGAACTACACGCCCAGCTAAGTTCCATTCGACAACGTCGACTTCCCGCAACTGTTACGGCTGGCATGCTTGTGGGGATTGGTTTCGCAGGCCCGCAATATATTGCCTTCCAGCAATTCTGTGGTTCCCATATCCTAGAAAAGCGCCCGTGGTGCCATGCATTTCCACCAAGCATCTACTCTTGGGTTCAAAGCCATTATTGGTAAGTCTATCAAGCACATTATATTTCTAGACACTAACACTCTTAGGAATGTTGGCTTTCTCAGGTACTGGACTTTGTCCAACCTTCCCCTATTTTTAATCGCTTTGCCGATGTTGTACATTTTGCTATATACTGGTGGACAGGTGTTACTTGGAAAGTCAAGTCTTGCAGAGTGCGTCTATGACGCACGAATTTCATCGGAAAAAGGAGCTCCTTGCTCCCTATCTGTCTATGGCGTAGACGTCTGTCTTATTCCTATAGCACTTATTCAGGTTGTTCTCGCATTTGCGGCTTTGACTTCTTTCCATGTGCAAATTATTTCCAGGTTGTCCTCTGGGTACCCTGTATGGTATCTGATTGTTGCGAGGGACATTCTAAATGGGAAGTGGACTTCTCAATTCGTTGTGAGATGGATGATTATGTATGCGCTTATCCAAGCTGTGTTGTTTGCTAGCTTCTTGCCACCAGCATAGTTTAAGGGCTTTAAGCGCATGCCTAAGGCTTTTCTTCATCCGAATCCATATCACCTGCCTCCCATATGAGCAAGACAATTGTCTACGAGTATTACACGAATTCGTTTTATCAGACTGCAAGATGAGCTGAATCATTCGGCAGGCAGCCGTTGTATAAGAACGATATTGTGTTTAGTGAGTGAAAGAAGCTGTGAACGCTAAGTGTGCTTCATGATTTCAAACACGAAGTTGACTTCGCAATAATGCTTGTGCCAAGTGACTTCTCGGTGTTAAATTGCGGTGAGTTATACGAGCGGACATGAGAGCTGTTTAGCGTATTATCAAGAGAGAGACAGACTTGGTAACCTGAACGACTGAACGCAACATGGCTCGAAGATAAAAGCATGTCTTTAGTCCGCGGTCCAGTAAAACGGATGATAGGGTTCTTAGTTTCGAATAGTTGTGAAATAACGAGCATCGGCTACTCGGCTTATTTTTACCTAGATTTATATGTTATACCCTCTGTCCTTTGACTCTATGATATGTCCCTCAATCAACTGCAAAAGGAAGAATCTGTGGGCTGATCGCTTGGATTGATCTTAGTTGTTTTCTATACCTGCCTGAACTAATTCGACTCCACCAAGAGCATTACCATGGACTAATTTGCAAGTCCTTCCTCGCCAAAAGTACCACCAGGCTAGCATGCAGAAGTATGAAAGAGCCACGGTAACAGTCAAGGCCGCATATACAATCTCGCCTGCGTGGTTTGCTTCCGCCAGCCTGAGACCCAACCCACCATTGATGAGATTGGTTATTATTAAGACTCGACCAATCCAGACATGAAGGTATCCAACTATCGTCTTCCTGCCGTTTCTGCGAAAATGCCAGTGACTGAAGGCTCCTGCCAGTGGCATGCACATGGTCAGCGTAAAGAGGGCAAGGCCAAGTCTTTGGTGAAAGTCGCTCCACTCCTGTGAAGTCATGAGTCGGAATTAATCCCTCGATATATGTGGCGCACGTATGAAAGAATAATTTAAGGATGCTTAGTTCGCGAACTGTAGCTTGCTATCCTGCCAGACTTACAATGAACATGCCTTCTTGCACCCAGAGACCAAGTCCGAAGCCCCCGATCAGGATCGTAACGCCAAAGGATTGCAGGACAATATGGACTTTGACATTAACCGGGCCTTTGAGTAGACGAAGCAAAACAGCCCCTATTGAAAAGAGAAAAACAGCAAGCGACATAAGCACGCCGTGCGCGATGCGCGCTCTGTTTAGGGTCTCAAAGTCGAACATGATTGCTGGGCTAGTCCACGCTTAGTTCTTCTCTTGGCCCAAGAAAGGAAATTTCAAAGATAATCTGGATATGTGTAGAAGACATCGACCATGCCCTCTACTCATCAATTTTTTTTTCGACTACGAGGCAAGCATATACCGCCACGTCGTCCGAAGATAAAATAGTGAGTCAATTTAGACCCAGCACCATCCCATGAGATTAGTCTGAGAACATTAAGCGAGGTCGTATTGATATAAATACTTTCATCCGGTTGTGTCCAATCAAAGATCAATTGCCTTTCCTGTCAGCTTCAAACACTGGGATTAGCTGGAGACTTAGCATTGTCCTCCGTAGAATTGTCCGTGAATGAACCGGACGTTCAAGCAACACGAAGAACAAGTATCCGAGAATAGAACAAAAACATGTTAACCGCATTCGTATCTAATTCCCTCCTTTGCTTTGCAACATTTTAAAGTTTGCCGCCAACCCGGAAAACCTTCCTTGGAGCTTCATGAATTGTAGGCAATTATCAGACCATAACTAACGAGGACGACTACTAAGAAATGGGCATGTTTTTTTTTGAATTCTTATCAAAGATTATCTTCGCCTAAGTAGACAAAGGTCGCTCCTAGCAAGAACTGGTTATTCAGCGAGATACGCCGGTATCGGAATATTCACTTTGAAAGCGAACTGAAATTGAGGTTGATTCAGATATTGTCCCCGTTAACCAACGAAACACTTATATTCGCCGATCAAGATTGTAAACCTACTATATCAGCCCCCTAATAGTAGACTTTGACAATACATGACGCGGTCGAGCGACATAAGTCGATGCAATTCGAGTTCCACCTGTTTCCTGGATCACTCGCCATCACAGAGTTGTTAAAGCTTTAGCTTCCTCAACTTTCCCCAGAGTGTTGACTTGACTCTGAACCACTCGGCCCTAGCTATTTATCACACAATGGCAACCTTCCGGATCATAAAGGTGCGAGAGCCAGAAGATCTCGACGCCATCCGATCACTCTTCAGCGCATATACAGCTTGGCTCAACATCGACTTGACATTTCAAGGCTTCGCTGATGAGCTGGCCAATTTACCTGGTAAATACAAAGAGCCAACTGGCGAAATTCTTCTTGCACGTGGAACCTGGAACAATGAACCCATGGGTTGTGTTGCTGTTCGTCCACTCCCTGTCCAGAACTCGAGTGCGTTGCCCCACAAGACATGTGAGATCAAGCGTCTATACGTCGTTCCCGATGCTAGAGGTAAGGGCGTAGGTTGGAAGCTTGTCGACGAGATCTTGAAAGTTGCCAAGGAAATCGGCTACGCCGAAGCGAAGCTCGATACTCTTCCACACATGAAGTCTGCTATAAGGACATACGAAAGATTTGGCTTTGTTGAGTGCAAAAAATACTATGACACACCACTACATGGAACGAGATTCATGCGGGCAGATCTGACATGTGTACCATAGTCAGATTGTAGGCGATTTTGCTAGCACTTGGATTTACCTGTGGATTTGGATATCATTTATAGGCAGAAAGAATCAATGGAGGGTAGAGTTTTGATGGTGACAAGGTGGTATGGGATACGAGAGAATAAGTGTTTTTCTGTGGTCGCAAAGTGTTCGCTTAAGGACTAGTTGACATCCTTGCTGCTTCTCCGTGTTTGACTTCGCATGAAACGCGTTAGTTTCAGTAAGAGATTCGACCTCACGGCAATCTTCAACACGCAAACCATCTCAGAGAGAAGACTTGATTCACGACTTTGAACATGAATTAGAGCGTGCTAAACGCCTCCGCGTGATCGATGCAGGCTTTTCTTATCCTCTCCTACGTCGTAGCAACGTTACTGAATGCAGTGCGAGCACATTGTGAGCTTCACCACGACCACAGCTGTCATTTTTCATAAAAAGCTAATAGTAATGCGATAGACGTATTTAGTAAAATCAAAGTAAATGGGATCGAAAGTGAGGAATATGAAGTGATTCGGAGGAATACAAATGGTGAAAGTCCCATAACGGGTCAGGCTCTCTCTATCAGCCGCTCGAATAGTCAGATCTGATGCATCGCAGACCTTGAAGATCCAGAACTCCGGTGCAATGTCGGCGCAAGCAATAAAGTAAATGGCACAAAGACGGTCATTGTAGAATCTGGAAGCAACATAACGTGGGTTACTGAGACTTACATCTATCATCCTGGGCCGTTGTCAGTTTTCATGACCCGAGTTGATAACGCGAGCACGGCGGACGGCAGCACAGAGTGGTTCAAAATTCTTGATATCGGGCCCAAATTTACCAAGCGCGGTGGTGATTGGAGGCATATCCAGCAATGTGAGTCCCTCCGTGCTCGCACAAACTGCTACAATGTATTGATGGAGCAATTGTGTAGCTGAGTTCAACGTCACGGTGCCACCATGTTTGGCAACAGGGCAGTACCTGATGCGCATACAGCACATTGCTATTCACGTTCCAGGAGGGGAACCGCAATTTCATGTGGCGTGTGCACAGATGATGGTTATTGGGACCGGCGTAGACATGCCTCCAAAGGCATATATGGTACGGATACCTGAGGTATTCACAAGGGACCATCCAGGATTCAATCAGAACATTTTTGTGAATTTTAAGGAATATCTGATACCTGGGGGAAATGTTTGGAAATGCTGATTCAGGACATAATGACGTTCGAAATACCAAGGCAGCAAACTTATGTCATCATCATATTCTCTTCAAATTGTTCAAGCACTTTACTGAATTTTTCGGACCCTCTGAACACAGAAATGACACAGAAGATTACAAAACGCCATGGCGCGAAAAGATATCGACGGACTTGGAGAAAGGGTGATGAGATACACATAGATCTAGCATGTCTTGACTCGCAATACGGGAAAGCAGGGAGCAGAGGCAGGGATCAAACACGTTGCTTGCAGAGGTGACTAGAAAAGGTACCGCTCGTTTGAGAAGGTTGGGTCACGAAAGGCGAGAAAGCCAACTGGGCAAACTTGTACGGCATTTCATACCAAGCGCACGCGGGCGTTGGGACGCAAATGTCCCAGAGGAGGATAAGTCGTGTGTGTGGTCGCTGTGTGTGAAGACGTCGAGGTTTTCTTTCCAGTGCAAGGGTTGAAGCCGCAAAGCACGGTTGCTGCTCACCACCACTAACACCATAGCGTCAAGTAGGTTAGGGGTGCAAGATAGCATTATTGCATGCTTGTGTACTCCTTTCCCTTCACACATCGTCCCCTCATAAACTTAGTGGTCTCCGATTTTCCAGTCGTTTGACTATAATCTTTGCTTCAGCCTGTAGCTCGGCCAAAACGGCTGCGGGCAGGGCGGCTGAGCACAGAGCCGCTGCACGATTCGCACGTCTGAGACATAACTGCTGAGAGCGCTGTCGTGTCTCGACAGTGTCCAAGATAGCGTGCGCCTGGCATTCGCTCTTGTGCAATTGCTGGCGAGGAACTCGGTCCATTTTACACGGTTACACAACCGCCCAGCCAACCTCGTCTTCCCCACAACGACTCGGCCATCACTTGAATCAGCCGGCTCGTACAGTCGATCTCGCTGCGTGTTTCCGCATAGCGCGTATCTCGTCTTTTTGCGGCCTCTGCTGGCGTCCCCTGGCTTCTATACCCCGACGACCGCAATCACTACCGCTTTATTGACGACTACGACGCCATGGACGATATCAACATGGACGCGGTTCAGTATACGGAAGATGACGGCAGTCTCCCTCCTGCGTCGGTTCCATTCACCTCCTCGCCTGCACTTCCGAAACGAAGACCACAACCGCAAAGAATACACACGCCGAGCAGTCCAATGACGGCCAGTATACCGCACAATATGCTACCGTCAGCCCCAGCATCACCCCCAACTCCAGCTCCCAGTCCCACCCCGGGACAGCGTATCCCTGACTGGAGCGCTGCTGGCGAAGATGAAGATGCGAATGTTCGTGAGATCAGATTACGGTTTGCCGGCATGAATGATGGCGAGCAGCAGAGGTTACTTGCGGAATTATTGAATCTTTGCAATAGCCAGCAGCTGGCGTTTGTACAGGAGTTTGTCAGCCCACGATTGAAAAAGGATCCTTTCACCACATTCCCTGACGAACTGTGTCTCCGGGTAAGACCGCGTCGCATCCGAAAAGTGTTTATGACCTTTGTCACGAAGTAACTGACCTGTGCTCTCTGTTAGATCCTAACTTTCATCGACGATCCTCAAACACTCGCACGATCATCTCAGGTATCCAAACGATGGCGGGAGTTAGTTAGTGACGATATGGCCTGGAAAGCGTTATGCGAGAAACACGCATACAGAAGATTGTCCGATGAGCCTCCGAAGACATCAACTCCTCTACCTAATCCCGCAGTTCAAACTCCTGGTGCCAGCCCCCATAACAACCCACTCTCTTTTCCAGGATATAGATTTAATGGTGTTTCATCCATACCAAGTGCTTCCACAAGCGCTCCGGACCTGCGATCGCAAAGTCTTGACCGTTCAAGGAATTCTCGACAATTGAGGCGAAGACCTAAGGCGATGAGCTATCGATCACATTTCAAGCAAAGATATATGGTCGAGACTGCTTGGAGACATGGTGGAAAGGTTGACTATAGGCAAATCACCCCGGACCAAGGTGTTGTCACCAGCCTGCATCTCACAGACAAGTATATCGTTGTCGCATTGGATAATGCGAAGATTCATATTTTTGATACAGAAGGCTGCCACCAGAAAACATTGACAGGACATGTAATGGGTGTCTGGGCTATGGTTCCTTGGGACGATGTGCTCGTAAGTGGCGGTTGCGATCGTGATGTTAGGGTGTGGAATATGGCGACAGGGTGAGTCTAAATTGGCATTTCATGAGTTTCAAGAAGCAAGCTAAATGCATCAGCCAACCTGTGCATACATTACGCGGTCATACTTCAACAGTTAGATGCCTAAAAATGTCGGACGCCAACACAGCAATCTCTGGATCAAGGGACACAACCCTGAGAATATGGGACATTACAAGAGGAGTCTGCAAACATGTCCTTGTGGGTCATCAGGCCAGTGTCCGGTGTTTAGATATCCATGGTGACTTGGTTGTCTCTGGTAGCTATGACACAATGGCTAGAATATGGAGTATATCCGAGGGCAAATGCCTTAGGACACTTTCTGGACATTTCAGCCAGATATATGCCGTTGCCTTTGATGGGAAGAAAATCGCTACAGGTAGCCTGGATACAAGTGTACGGATTTGGGATCCTAATGACGGGTATGTTTCATTACGATCAATAGTTTCATCGAGTTTCTAACATGACTTCCAGCCGCTGCTTAGCGGTCCTCCAAGGCCACACCTCGCTTGTAGGCCAGCTGCAAATGAGAAACGATATTCTTGTCACCGGTGGTTCAGATGGATCGGTCCGTGTTTGGTCGCTATCGGAATTCCAGGCCATTCACCGTTTGGCCGCTCACGATAACAGCGTTACTAGCTTACAGTTTGATGACACAAGAATAGTATCGGGGGGGAGTGACGGTCGGGTCAAGGTCTGGGATCTGAAGAAAGGAACGTTGGTACGGGAATTGAGCCAGCCAGCCGATGCCGTATGGAGGGTAGTTTTTGAGGAAGAGAAGGCTGTTTTACTAGCAAACCGAAACCAGAAAACTGTCATGGAGGTAAATTCTGACCTCCTTGCTTTCAGTCCGTTCTAGGCTAACAGTCGGCGTTAGGTGTGGTCCTTTGCACCTCCGGAAGACGAAGTCTTCGACGATTTTCGTTCGTCGAGTCCAATAAGTATGCCTGACCATGCGGCCGATTATCTTGGCCAAGATTCGCCGCGACACAGCAGGAGACCAGCCAGTGAAGACATTAGCATGATCGATGCATTCGCTGAAGCAAGCAACAGTAATGGAGACTTCAAGGGCAAGAGGAGGAAGTAATCGAACATGGAGATAAAAAGTCTCATCCCTGCACGATCTATAAAGGACATTTAGGGACTCACAAGGGTGGTCGTTTCGTTGCATACTGCTGTTTTTATCTACTCTCTTATGGGCATGAAAGAACCGCGTTTATGAACATATTTAATGCATTTGAGTTGAGAACGGCATTTGCAGGAGTTTCGCTGTCAGGCATATCTTGGTCTCTTGAAGGAGACTTGGTAAAAGACACGATATTATATGTCGGTACTTTGGCGCTCAAGCCTTTGATCTCGACTTCCTATTGAGATACACACAAGGAATCAAATATAGTGAAAGCTCAATTTCTCGGTCAATTATATCAAGTAACTAAAGGGGAGAGGGTGTGGGTGTAAGCATGGTACAGTTTGTCTTTGGATCCCCATCGAAATGTCCAAACAAAGCTCTGCATTCGAAGCGAGGCGCTGAAAGTCTGCAGCTACTCGTTAGGAAGAGGTTTGCAGATTGTGACGCCTCTTGGAAGTTGTTTTTTGAATCATGTTTATCAAAAATATCATCATAAATGTTGGGTGACTTGGTTTGTCCAATATTTCGTAGACCGGAGATAACGGAAAATATGAGCTGAAGAATCTATCATGGGCACCGAGAAGAAAATCTTGTATATATACCTCACGGTCTATCGAATCCTGACGCACCACTGAAGTCTACCGAGACTACTTCACCAACGTTAATTTTGGTCGTGACTCATAAATATGCTTAGCAATGCAAATGTTTCTTATTGAACCAAACTGCTGATATCTTTTGCCTCTGAACATCCCATAAAGACTGCCTTTACCATACGTCGATATGTGGAAAACAGCGTATGTGACGGACGATGCTCGTGAACTTTCATAATCACAAGTCATAATCATGACAGGCTCAACGGAAAAAAAATTAGATCTGGAGACGGTTATGTGCCCACATCTGCCTCGTCGTTATCGTCATTGCTTGAATGTTGGCGGTAAATGTCACTATCGTCGTCAAGTTTGACTGGGCAAACTCAGTACTCAAAGCAAAGTTCTAAGGACCCTCATAACTTACCTCCAGGCTTGACAAACCAGCTCACAACGAAGGCTAGGACGAACATGGCTGTTAATGTCACAAAAACAGTTTGAGGAAATGTCTTAACAGTAGCCATGTATATACCGTTGAAAACCAACGGCGCTACCACACGGGCAACAGCATGCAGCAGACCCATTGCACCGAGAAGCTGACCAATTCTATCAGGCGGGATATGTTTGGTCTGAGCCGCTTGGAGCGTTGGACTACCCATGCCACCCACGGCAGCAAGAGCTCCAGAGGCCATAAAAGTCCAACCGGCCTTTGATGAAGCGTAACCCAGAAATCCCAAAGCGTCGAACAATATAGCAACACGCAGAACTGTCAAGTCAAAAAGGTCTGTTCCGGATTGAGAGGCAGGTCGACCGCCTCTCTCACCATGTTTTCGTCTGTAGAGGAGTGTGATAGCTGGAAGTACGACGAGCAGACAAAAGACTCGTGAGGTGTTGACGATCGTCATGAACATAGACTGTTCATAGGTCTTCCATCCAAACATGTAATTCGAATAAACAATAACAATGGATAGAGCACCCATGGCGACTCCAAAGATGATTGTATCTACGGTGGCTAATAACAGCAAGTTTCGGCGAACAGCAGGTGAGGAACCTGGTCCAGTCGGATAAAGGATTTTGAGCGGTTCGAACAGGTTGTAATATCTCAATCGCTGTATCCATGAAGAGCCGGAATGTGATTCCATTTCCATCCTGTGCTTCTCTCGCGCCGTCGTTTGCCGTGCCTTAGACAGAGATTCAGGCACAAGAAGGATAAGGAAGATAAGAAAGAAGATGTGGCAGCCAAGCGCAACGTAAAACATGACAATGTTGTTGCCTGTCCATTTCACTAGGTATCCGGCGAAGAGTGGGCCAAGCGCGATTCCCGTGAAGAGGCAGCCATGGAAGTAGCCAAACACGATGTTTCGGCGTTCTGGAGGTGTACAGTCTGTGGCGTAGGAGTGGGAGAGCGACATGGAAGCGATAAAGCTTCCACAAAGCCCGTCAAAAAAGTATCCTAATAGCAGCCACTTTACAGGAAATGTTTCGGGATACTTTGCAGCGAGGATCGTCAAAACCTCCCCAAGGAGCATGCCAAGGTTCGTGATACACATGATAGGCTTTCTACCGTAGCGATCAGACAGCGCACCAAGCTTTGGAGCGATGATTGCAGCCAATATGCCAGAAATTAGACTGCCTTGAAACAAAAACAAAGAAACCCGTTGTTGCACATCCGCATTCCGGCATATATCCTCTGCATCTCCCACAGAACCATAACCGGCAATAAAATGAAAGTCCGGATGCGATGAAACGGCCTGATCAGCGAAATATTCTCGGCAGATCAAGGCGAGGATTAGGTTGGTCTTTGGGACGAGAATCCCTCCGAACGCAAGGGCGGAGAAGAGGAATGGAAAGAGAAGCCAGTAGGGCTACAGGCTGATGTTAGCAAGAATACCTTCACTTGACATTACAACAAGTCATACTGATGGCTGCCGGTACCAAGGCAGGTGGTCCCAATCTGGCCAACTTGACGATGCTGAGGCCTCGTTCATTGCAGCAGATTCATTGCGTGCGGTCGAGCGTCTAGACAGCAGCGGCGATTCCTCTGACTCTTCTGTATGTGAACTTCCATTTGCATGACTGGCTATGCCTCCTGACACAAGCATTGTATTCTCACCAATAATCGATCTCCGCGCTCTAACCTTGTGTACCGTATCAACGTTATCGTCCACGGTGAATGCGCCGTTGTGGTCCATGGTGGGCTCAAGGCTAAAAGGATCAAGGGCGACGTGCGACTGATGAGAAAAGCGGCAGGACTTCCATAGAAGAAAGCAAAGACCAAGCGATTGATAATCAGGAAGTTAAGAATATGGCAATCCCTACATGCCCATGGATACCGGGATGCTTAATGGTCAATCGCTTTGTGGTTGTTTCGTGGCGGCAAGACCATTGGCGGCTAGGAATATAGTGTGCAGATTGGCGTTGTGGAATGTCGTAAACATGATCCAGCGCTAGCAAGATCCAATACAGAATCAGGTTGTATGTAGCTGGCGTGGCCGAAGAACGTTGCTTAGCTTCGCGACACACTTAAGAGCGAGTGTTATCACGGACCAATATCGGCACAGCGTCTGTCGTGCGCTAACGAATTGGTGCGGGAAACGTATCAGGCTGGGACCGCCGCGCTTTGTCTGCCCGAGGTAAGTTAAGCCCAAGGATTGCCATTCGGGTGCGTCCATGTTGTCATCGTCGGAGCTTGAAGATGCCGACTTTCGGGGCGACATCTCTCCGTACCAAGTCAATTGCTTGTGCCGTATAATCTAGGTGGCTGCCTAGCGGTTCGGCCACGAGAGCCCACCTGTTTGGCGATTCAGCACGTCGATTTAAACTGTTTCAACTCGATGATCTGAAATGCCGTTTGACTCCTTTGGTTGGCGTGGAACTTCGGATTATCCTTCAACACGTAAATTTAGTACTGCCCTGAACAGATTCTACATTCGATTAGTTTTAGTCGTGAATCACGCTTCTCAGGCAGGACGGCTGTCCATGTCACGTGATTGAGTTGACAAACTTCGCTGAGCGCTATTTTCAATCGCTGGCATGTTTGCCCTTGTCTCGACCAGTTCCACAAACTAGATCTTCTCTGGCTGTGTTTGGTCTTTGTCCAACGCAACTATTCGTAGCGTTCTTGTAGTCAAAGACGAGATCACCAAAGCGCAATAATGGAGTATGCAATTTCATGTCTAGATTTCTCGTAAACCACCACTCCAAGGGATCAACTCGGCGGTACTGAGAGCTGCTTCGAATAGATCGCAGCGCTGGCTACGGCAATGAATCTAGCATCGTAACGATGCCTTGCATCGAAAGGAAGTCCCGAGGCGCGTTTATGAACATTCTGGCAGCGATCGGATCTTGCAATCGCACCGCCTTCGACTGGATATCTCTCAGAGAAGCCAATGGGGTGATGTCAATCAAAACACAACATCTGGCCTGTGATTCGAATACGGCTTCATTGTTTCCCAAACATGTAGCAGCTCGGAACTAAACTCTAATTGCTCCAGAGAAAAAAGCAAACACGGACCAACTAGTGGAACGATGGACGATACTCAATGCTTCGACAGGAGATTCGAAGGTAAGCATGGCGTCACCTTGAAATGTGATTCTAAGTCACTGCCACTATCACTCATCTGAACAAGTGCCCCTTTACCTTTCACTTCAATAGCCCTTCTAAGTCAGCACAGTTGATCACGGTGGCCCTTTTCTGGAGGAACTTGACCAGAAAATCATGGACCTGTGGATCAGCATCAGCACAGCCATCCTGGAGCAGAACAATCTGGTAATCCAAGTCAGCAGCTTGAACAACGCTTGCCAACACCGCACCTCCCGTTGAGATGCCGCCCACAATCAACGTGTCGATCCCCTTGTCCCTCATGATGGCATCAAAGTCCTGAGGAGCGTTGATGAAAGGTCCAATCCTTCTTTTTCGAATGACCAAATCACCCTCCTGTGGGGCAAGTGCTGAATTGAATTGAGTGGCTGGTGCATCAAGTAGAACATTCTCCGGACTGTTTTTGAGCTTCTTGAGCAAGGGATTTGTGCATGGCGAGCTCTCAAGCTCCTCCAATGTAAAACAAACTCGACAATGAACGACGGTACCTCCAACTTTGCGTATGAGTGAAGCTGCTTTCGATGCTCGAAGAAGTAGATCTTCAGTATTATCGATATGGTCAATGATACCCTGTTGAAAGTCAAGAAGAAGGAGCGCGGACTTTTGAGGATCGATCTTGACGGACATTTTTGCTTGCTCCTGCCATTTTCTTGATTCTGTTAGACAACTTATACTGTTCAGAATGCGTGCCTTCTATCGCTAACGTTGCGGTAACGGACCGATCTCGCGAATACGCCACTCACCGGAATTATCCAATCCCCGTCAGAGTAAAATAATCCTCGAACAGTTGATAATCACTAAATAATTTCTTTTCCGATATTATTCGAAGATGAATATGTAATTACATATATGCAAATGTTCGTCGTATTCGACGAACAGCACCCTTTCCATCTATAATCTTAACGGATATAGAGGGACCGAGCTAATCGTGAGGTGAAATCTCTGTAGCTATTTACTCTCAACATATCACGTCCTTGGCTCATACTCAGAAGGTTTCCAGTGTATTGTAATCCACCGCAGGGATTTGGGGCGTTTATTTCATGCATCCGAAGGGCCGGATTTTCTAATTTTCGAGCGGAGGTTGCTGCTGCGTTTCTCACAACGTTAGTGAAGAACGAATAGCTGAGCATGACGATCAACACATGATTTATTAGTATTTATGCGTTATATCTGATCTGCTAGCCTTCAACTGAGATATTCAATGCTAGCGAGATTAGCATCTTCACCACGCCTTGCCTCCCGTGATTGTCTGCGGTCAGCGACTGCGTTTACCCGTCATCCAAGTACACTTTGCTAGCCCTAATGCAAAGTAGTCTATGCAAATCTCGAATTCAGATTTACTTCTCCATGACAGCGGCAGTTATCATGCGAAGTGTCGTGCAGAATATGAGACGTTGTTATGATCTAGGTTTGCCAATGTGCCCTCAACCGTTGATGAGACGGCTACCGGCTGAAGAACTGGCAGCACATTTACAAGGTGTTCATGTTTCCAAAGCCCGCTCTGGATCATAGCAACGTTTCGTCCAATCGTTGATTCGAAAAAAGAACACCCGGCCGTTTGCAATAGATATGCTTTGTCATATGCAGATGCGCCGCTGTTCTATGCCAATGACGGAGTAGTACGTCTAGGTAAAGTTGAGTTAGAAACTAGTCTACAAGTATATATCTTCACCCGCACTAATCTCTGGTAATGGCTGACGGGCCAGCCCGCGCCGTTTTCTTGAGAAAGAGGCGCTCCCTGCACATGGTTTACAAGTCCAAGCACAATGAAGCAAATCAATGGCTGGCGCGAAGTGTTTGATTGGCGTTTGGTGCGGTTCGATGTGGCAACATGGACTCGTTTACCGTTGACGTTCACAATCGTCAGGTTGCTGCACAGCCGCTCTCGTGCGCATGAGCAGACCCTGGCTTGCTTGCTTGTGCAGTAAGAAGGGAGTCTCGTTTTCTTGGCGGCAACCTCATCACGCAGTTGCATGCTAACCGTCTCAATCGCACTCGAAGACCGTCACTTACCCCGATCGTTACTCACGCTCTTTGCTTCCATCGTCGGATCTAGTTGTGCTTTCCCCTAAGCTGCCTGTTCTTCGCACTGAGCAGTTGTGTTGGCGGATAATCTGTCCGACGTTCTGAAACCTTGCCGTCGCCCCGGCCTGCTCAGCCACCAAGATTGTACAACGCCAGCGAACACGAAGGCGGAATCGACGGACGTAGAGGGGCGCCAAATACAACAATATGGGGATGCGAGACCTCCGCTTGCAAGTACACAGATAACCGCAGCCCAAAGAGCACACCTTCACGCACATGTCGAGGCGTAACCCTCCCTTCGGGGGATCGTCTCAGACCCCCGGCCATGACAACCTTCTCCTTGATCTCGATGATTCGCAACCTTACTACTCCTCCGGCTCACGACCTACCGCAACGGATGAAGAATTGGCTCGCAGCGGGAGATATTTTATGAACGACTCGGCTACAGCGGAGCCGTTGCAATCACGTCCGTCTGTTTCCTACGATGATTTTGTCGGCAGTAGCTCGCATGAATCGCAGGCTAGACCTGGCATAGTTCCAAATATGCCATCATTTGGTGACAGCAGCAACGATCCATACGCATCGTCTGGAAGCGGCAGACAGTATTCACAGACTTCGGATTTGCATAATTGGCAGAGATATGCCGACAATGACGATTACGACGATGACCGATCAGCGGCAGGCGGAGGATACTATGCTACTGGCGGTATAGATGAACATGTTCATTCAGACTCCAAAATACGAAGTGCGCAGAGTAGAAATAGCATCCTGAGCCTGGGGGGCGGCTTGATGGGCAGAGCAAAACATATGCTGGGCATGGGTCCGGAATATTCAGAGATGGATTTGCCTTTAACAGAAGCTGGAGCTGGCGCTTCTCGTGCAGCTACTGTAGAAGAGCCTCCAAAGTCTAAAAAGGATAGACTTGGCGACTTCAGGTTTGGTTTCGGTAAAAAGGTCGATCCATCGACTCTAGGACCGCGCATTATCCACCTCAACAACCCTCCAGCGAATGCTGCGAACAAGTACGTGGATAACCATATTTCGACAACCAAGTACAACATTATCACGTTCTTGCCGAAGTTCCTTTACCAGGAGTTCTCCAAGTACGCAAACATATTCTTCCTATTCACCGCCATACTACAACAAATTCCAAACATATCGCCCACCAACCGTTTCACGACAATCATTCCTCTCGGGATCGTTTTATTGGTCTCTGCAATAAAAGAGTTAGTCGAGGATTCTCGGCGACGATCGTCCGATAGCCAACTGAACAACTCACGAGCACGGGTTCTGCGAGGCTCAACATTCCAGGAATCTTCATGGATCAGGGTAGCGGTCGGCGACATTGTGCGTGTGGAATCAGAAGAACCCATTCCAGCAGATTTGATACTCTTGGCAAGCTCCGAGCCGGAAGGTTTGTGTTATATCGAGACAGCTAATTTGGACGGCGAAACAAATCTCAAAATCAAGCAAGCCATTCCTGAGACTGCCCATCTCGTTAGTCATAGTGAGCTAAGCAGATTGGGGGGTAGAATACGTTCCGAGCAACCAAATAGCAGCCTTTACACATATGAAGGAACACTGACCATGCAAGCTGGAGGTGGCGAGAAAGAGCTTCCACTGAACCCTGACCAGCTACTTCTTCGTGGCGCTACGTTACGAAACACACCCTGGATTCACGGTGTGGTGGTGTTCACTGGTCATGAGACTAAACTTATGCGGAACGCAACTGCCACGCCCATCAAAAAGACCGCCGTTGAGCGCATGCTTAATCGTCAAATCCTTATGCTTGGTGCAATTCTCATCAGCTTGAGTATCATAAGCTCTATTGGTGATGTTGTTGTCAGAACAACCTCGTCAAAGAATCTTTGGTACTTGTATTACGGTGGCTTTAACGGAGCTCAACAGTTTTTCTCCGACCTTTTGACTTACTGGGTTCTATACTCCAACTTAGTCCCCATCTCCCTCTTCGTCACTGTAGAATTGGTCAAGTATTCCCAGGCATTCTTGATCAACAGTGACCTGGATATCTACTACGATAAAACGGATACTCCTGCCAATTGCAGGACATCATCGCTTGTAGAGGAGCTGGGTCAGGTAGAATACATATTCTCGGATAAGACTGGCACGTTGACCTGCAACATGATGGAATTCAAGCAGTGTTCCATTGCTGGTATACAGTACGCCGATGAAGTGCCGGAAGATCGACGAGCGACTTCTCAAGATGGAATGGAAATTGGTATCCACGATTTTAATCAGCTGAGAGAGAACCGTAAGACACACCGTACGCGAAACGAGATATCCGAATTCTTGACGCTTCTTGCGATCTGCCACACTGTCATTCCGGAACGTAATCCAGACAAACCCGACCTCATTAAGTATCAAGCAGCATCTCCGGACGAAGGTGCTTTGGTAGAGGGTGCAGTGATGCTAGGGTATCAATTCGTTGCCCGCAAACCGAAGCTTGTCAGCATTGAGGTCGAGGGTCGAGAGTTGAACTTTGATCTCCTGGCTGTTTGTGAGTTCAACTCGACTAGAAAGCGCATGTCTACAATCTTCCGCTGTCCCGATGGTAAGATTAGGATTTACTGCAAGGGTGCTGATACCGTCATATTGGAACGATTGCATCAGAATAATACGGCTGTTGTCGACGCGACGCTGCGCCATCTTGAAGAGTACGCTGCCGACGGACTCCGAACCCTCTGCCTCGCCTACCGTGAGATCAGTGAACAGGAGTTCCAGGAATGGTACGATGTCTTCAATACGGCCGCAACAACTGTGAGTGGTAATCGCGCGGAAGAGCTAGACAAGGCGGCAGAAATCATCGAACACGACTTCACACTGCTTGGTGCCACCGCTATTGAAGACAAGTTACAAGACGGGGTACCAGATACGATCCATACTTTGCAACAGGCAGGGATCAAGGTCTGGGTCTTGACCGGTGACCGGCAAGAGACTGCCATTAACATTGGCATGTCCTGCAAGCTCATCAGCGAAGATATGACCCTCCTTATTGTAAATGAAGAGTCCCGAGAAGCGACTCGTAATAATCTGCAGAAGAAGCTTGACGCTATAGCTGGTCAGCGTGTTGATCGTTTGGAAACGGACCAATTGGCATTGATTATCGACGGCAAGTCTCTAACATTTGCACTCGAGAAAGACATGGAGACGATGTTTCTTGACCTTGCAGTCATGTGCAAGGCCGTGATTTGCTGTCGTGTATCACCTCTACAAAAGGCGCTTGTTGTCAAGCTAGTGAAGCGACACAAAAAGGCGATCCTGCTGGCTATCGGTGATGGTGCAAACGACGTATCTATGATTCAAGCTGCTCATGTGGGAATTGGCATCTCCGGAGTTGAAGGATTGCAAGCTGCACGCTCAGCTGATGTTGCTATCGCCCAGTTCAAATATCTACGCAAACTTCTGCTTGTGCACGGATCCTGGAGCTACCAACGAATCAGCAAAGTCATCTTGTACAGCTTCTACAAGAACGTCGCCTTGTTCATGACACAGTTTTGGTACTCATTCCAGAATGAGTTTTCAGGACAAGTCATATACGAATCATGGACGCTCTCCTTTTACAACGTCCTTTTCACGGTTCTACCCCCATTTGCGATCGGCATATTTGATCAATTCGTATCTGCACGATTGCTCGACCGGTACCCGCAGTTGTATCAACTGAGCCAGAAAGGAGTATTTTTCCGTATGCATTCGTTTTGGTCATGGGTGATCAATGGCTTTTATCACTCGCTCATACTATACATTGCATCCATCTTGTTCTTCGCGTGGGATCTTCCGCAAGGCGACGGCAAAGTAGCAGGCCACTGGGTGTGGGCTGCTGCGCTGTACACGGCAGGCCTGCTCACTGTTCTAGGTAAAGCTGCCCTTTGTGTCAACATATGGACGAAGTGGACTGTGTTGGCTATTCCCGGCTCGTTCGTCATTTGGATGATCTTCATGCCTGCATACGCAGAGATCGCACCAATGTTACACTTCAGTACGGAGTGGGAGGGTGTCAATACAAGATTATGGAACAGTCCTGTATTCTGGGCGATGATTGTAATCTTGCCACCATTGTGTCTACTGAGAGACTTTGCATGGAAATAGTAAGCAAGCACTGTCTGTGGTTTGTGATTGGTTCTAATAGTTTGCAGTGCCAAACGTATGTACTACCCGCAACCGTACCACCACGTCCAAGAGATTCAAAAGTACAACATCCAAGACTACAGACCAAGGTAAGTGACTCACATGATCGCATAATTTATTCCTCAAAAACTAACTGAGCACGCAGAATGGAGCAGTTTCAAAAGGCAATTAGGAAAGTACGTCAGGTGCAGCGTATGCGCAAGCAACGTGGTTATGCGTTCTCGCAAACAGACGAGTCACAACGAAGAGTTCTGGAGGCATATGACACGACCAAGGAGCGTGGTCGTTATGGTGAATTGCGCGAAGCGAATTCGAACCAGATTGGTTCGAGATGATCTGTTTGTACTGTGTATGAAATGTTTAAGCGGGTGAAAGGACAACTTCTGGATCATCTTTAGGCGTGTAGGAATCGCTTGGGACAAAATTATGGGCGTTGAGGCACGCTTTTTACGCAGCATTTATAACCTTTTTCTGGCAATGTTCTAATATGCCTGCACAATGTGGCACATGAATTTATGCCAATGCTGGAAGTGAACGGGATCTCTGTGGACTCGTGGCATTGGCTTGCCTGCTTCCGACCGCAATCAGAAAATGGAGGGAGTCAAAGCCGATGCGGCCGAAACCTGATAATCTATACTCAGCCTGGTTTTGACGTGGTTGCTGTTGCTACTCCCATGGCAGAAAATCTCAACTGTTCCGACTCGGAATGAGGGTCCAATCCGAGAGTGAGTCTCAAGCATCATAGCAAACAGGCTTGGGCATATGAAAGATCGTGATTAGTATTCGTATATTGCGCCTGAAAATGTGGAGATTCTCGATTTCTGGTTACATGTGACCTGCCTTGCAGTCTTTCACATGCGCGTGCTCAAGCTTGTGAACGTGCGTTAATCCTCAAATGGCTAGCGGCTCTCTACATCTGGTGCCTCGGTCGGCTGTACGCTTGACCTCATGGCCACTGCTCCGTCATTTATGTTTAAACGCCAACATCCGACACAACATGTCTTTCACACACAGTTTCTTCGCACACGCCGCGTTCTCTACCCTCGAAAATCCACCCTAGATTTCACCTTTAAACTCTCATAATGGGTTAGTCTCCTTGCGTGAAGCGAATTCAACACAATCCCATTACTAACTGTTCTTCTTGGGTGTAGGCAAAGCAGACATCACAAGCAAGAATCCAGACGACGTGAGCTTCAGGCGTTTAATTGCGCTTTATGTGCATATTTCTGATTGACAAATCGCAGATTGTCGTGACATGCGCCCTACGCACCGCCATTACAAAGGGCGGCAAGGGAGGCTTTAAAGATACCGACGCCGCGGACATGCTAGTCGGAGCGTTCAAGGCTCTGATCGAACGTTCGAAGATTGACCCTTCGAAGGTTGATGACATTGCCGTCGGCTCTGTCTTGGCACCCGGAGGAGGAGCCACAGAGTTCAGAGCAGCTGCGCTTGCAGCAGGCTTTCCATCGTCCACCGCGGTCAAGAGTCTGAACCGTCAATGTTCGTCTGGTTTAATGGCATGTGTGGACATCGCGAATGCAATCAGGGCTGGCATGATTGAGGTTGGTGTGGGCGCTGGTGTTGAGAGCATGAGCAAACAGTATGGGTGAGTAAAGAAAACACTCCGCATCTTGGGCAGGACCTAACCTTTCGATTGCAGCCCTGCAGCCGTTACGGAAATGTCGGACGAGCTTTTGTCACACCAAGCGGCAGCAGAATGCCGGGTACCTATGGGTCAACTTTCGGAACAAATGGCTCAAGACAAGAAGATTTCCCGCGCATCGCAAGATGAATTCGCCGCTAGATCATATCAAAAGGCCGTCGAGGCGCAGAAGAAAGGCTTATTTGACCAGGAGATTGCTCCTTTGACAGTTAAATGGATAGACCCAAAAACAGAGGAGGAAAAGATCATCACCGTGGCTAAGGACGATGGCGTGAGAGAAAATATCACTGCTGAATCTCTTAGCAAGATCCGCCCGGCGTTCGCGAAGAATGGTTCCATCCATGCGGGCAATGCATCCCAGGTGTCTGATGGTGCTGCTGCAGTACTTCTTATGAAACGATCGACCGCGCAGAAACTAGGACAAAACATCCTCGGCAAGTTTGTTGCCTCATCCGTCGTCGGCGTTCCACCTCTCCTTATGGGCATTGGTCCGTGGAAAGCGATCCCCGTTGCGCTCCAAAAAGCTGGTATAAATAAAGAAGACGTTGACATCTGGGAGATAAATGAAGCTTTTGCATCTCAATGCCTGTGGTGCGCGAATGAGCTTGGCTTGGACATGAACAAGGTCAATCCAAAGGGTGGAGCTATCGCCTTCGGTCATCCGCTAGGGATGACTGGTGCGAGACAGATTTCGACGCTGCTATACGAATTAAAGAGAACAAACAAGAAAATTGGCGTCACAAGCATGTGTGTGGGTACCGGTAAGTTTACTAGCTACTTTTCATGTATTGCTTCATATTCGTACTAATTACATACACACAGGAATGGGCATGGCTGCTGTATGGGTGGCGGAATAATATACTTGTAAAATAACGTGTAACACTCAAAACATATGGTGGATGGTGTAGTTTGTGTATCTTATGCTATATCTAACTTGATTACATAACCCCGAATCGAGCATCACAATTCTACGGATTCTCTCGGACTTGTTCAAATCGAACAGAACATTCTGTTCAAAGTAGAAATGTCAGATCTGCAGTCGATGTCGACCTCAACATGTGAAGATTCACTGAAAGTCTACTCTAAACGGTGACTTCCTCGTGACTTGATCCATCGAAATAGAAATAAGAACCTCGAAAGCAAAGGCTTTGCGTCACGTGGTTGGCCACACATTGAGAGACTTCGCCGAAGTCAACCGTTTTTGACACGAACTTCAGCACTTTTTATCAGCTTTCCGTACAAGTTTGATTTGACGTGTCTTTGATGTGTAAATTTCTTAAAAGTGGAGAAACCTTGAAATTCTTGTTTTGATCATACAGTCCTACAGTTCATCCTTGCATCCACCAAGGACAAGATAAGCGTTTTCACATTATTTGTAAGTCGAGGTTAGATCAAAGCAGCGCCACGGAACATGGACTCCCTAATCTCTCGAACAACGTCCCTTCGATCATCTTTCCCTACAAGAACCACCCCTCTTCCTCTACGACCCATTCTACCTGTCCTGCCTAAACGGTGGATAAAGTCGATGCTTGTGTGCGGAACATCATACAAGACTACATGTCTGACAGCAGTTGTATCAATGCCTCTGGAAGCAATGTCCGTGCAGACGAGCACCTTTGTATTAGGCAATGTTCGAACCATATTTTTCCCTTTCCGTGTTTTGGCCTGTATTGGTCGAGATTCCGTGGGAGAGGCACTAGAGCAGAACTGTGCAAGCAAGTCCGTCTGCGTCCGAGTATCTAGGTCGCGATGAAGTGCAACCGCATCGATGCCCTTGCTAGCCAAATACTCTGCTAACTCGACGCTTTTCTCACGCTCGTTAACAAAGACAATTAGGCGCTTAACGGGTACCTTTTCGGCTCCATTTTCTGCAGTGTACTCGGCGGCTGACGAGCCAATTTTCCAGATTACGTCCGCGCAAGCAAGATCTTTATTGCCTTTATAAGGATCCTTTTCAACATCTACAACACCGAGCTGCACACGTCTAGGGATGGCGTGCAAATTTGGAGTGGTAAGACGTTTGAGATCTGGAAAACGCTCGCGTAGATAGTTGTCCAAGCGCCTTGGAATGGTAGCCGAGCAGAAGATAAGTTGCTGTAAGCTTGGAGATGCCTTGTCAATGATTTTACTTGTCGTCGGTAAGAATGATCGATCGAGGAGTGAGTCTGCCTCGTCAATAATAAGATGTGAGACCTTAGACAGAATCTTTGGCTCCGAATCCGAGATGGACGCAAGGAGATGTGGAGTTGAAACCAATACATCCATGTTGCAAAACATGCGGTTCTTGATCACCGTCTTGCTGTAGTTCGATGAAACGAACGAGGTACGGAATTTCACAATGTGACTTAAGGTCTTTGCCAATATGCCGACTTGTTCGACAAGCTCAGCAGTTGGCACGAGCACGACAACCCTAGGTTTTCCGATGGAGGAGTCGTCAAAATCTTCAGGCGGTGAGATTTCGAATATGCTCGTTTGTGAATCATTGTGATCTTCGGCTTGCTTGCGGACTGCTAGAGCTTCATGAAGACGCTTCTCTTCAGCCTCGGCGCGCTTCAAAGAATCGATCGATGGAAGCAGATAGGCCATGGTTTTGCCTGACCCCGTCTCGGCCGCCAGTAAAAATTGTCGCATCCCTCCTTCCTTTGCTGTCTGCCGTCTCCTCCGGCTCTCATCCACGCCAAGCAGTGCTGGAATAGCTAATCTTTGGATTGGAGTTGGTGAAATAACCTCAAGTCCTTTCAACGCATCTTTGACCACGGCTTCTTGCAGAGAAGGCAGCAAAGGGAAGTCATCAAAAGTCTCAATTTCGCTAATCTTGCTCTTTACCTGGTTCCGTGCGCTATAGCTAACGGTGGCAAGGGCCTGCTGCATCTTCAACGAGTGAAAGGTACTTGAAGGTGCCTTCTCCTTATTCTTTCCTACAGATTTGTTCGCCTTCGCTTCGTTGCTTTTTCTTGATGCCCAGGCTTGAGACCTCGCCGTCGGTAGCCTGGCCGATCGTTGATTCAAGGCCCCGAAAGGACCTGGTTTCGGTCGATCTGCTGGTGAAGTCTTCAAACCTCCATCTCCTGATTTCTTGCGTCTTCCTGCTGAAGACCACGAGGGATGGCTTGTCCCAAGATCCTGTCGCATGCCCCTAGCGGCGTTCGCCACTTGTCCAGATGCGTTCTCTCTTGCTCGAATCACTTCCTTGAAATATTGCGCTCGCCGTTGCTTTCGTGAAGTTGTTGCTTCGTCTCTAGTTGGAGTAGATGACGGATCGTTATCTCGTCGTCTTTGTGCTCGCGCAGTGCCTGATTGAGATACTCTGCTGGAGAGCACCATCCTCGAAGGTCTCCGGCGCTGAGCGTGCGCGTATGTGCGAACCTGATTCCATTGTGGACTGAAAGATGCAGAAGTCCGGCAGAAAAGGCATATAGGGGGCGAAGCTCGTAGCATCGCCTCGCTTGATATGGTTTGCGGTCTCGATGGGAATGCCTGTGAGAGCGCGCGAGAAAGGGACGGCGAAAGTTTTCTAAGATGAGTCTAGCGTGGACAAGGCTGAACTTCTGAAGCATCCCGATGCTCATCATAAGATTTTCTGGCCTGTCATCCCGGCTTAGAATGAAGTAATCATTCACAAACCGAGAAGATATATTGGCACTACGCAATACTCAGGATCTAGCAGGAGTGGGTGGATTTTCTCTTCTTCCAAGCCCCGCAAAGTCAGTCCTATCTCTCCGTATACGTTCCTCCACAATGCGAGCACTATCACCACCATAATCTATATAGTCGTTGGGCATCACCAATGCTGTCCTGAGTACCGGACTCTTTATCTTCAGCCCTTAAGTTCTAACCTGATTTGTTTTATACCCTCGCTGTCGCCATAGAACTATTTTCTGCGAGACTTCAACAAGCGCAATCAACGCTTTGGAGATTGCTCTTCCTCCACTTTTGGAGCCGGCGTCGATACACTTCCACCTATAAGATCGATCTCACTGTATAACACTGCATCTTCCTCTTCAGGTTGTTCCATTGGAACAAGCATTGTTCTCTTGCGTTCCACTACTCTTCTCCAGGGTTTGTAGACGAGGAAGCTTACAACGCCAGCCATAATGAATGTCCCACAGATGCAGCCTCCTATAATATCATAGCGATCTCCAAGCGCATTCACGCCTTTCCAAAAAGGCTTTTCTGCTTCCTCGTCGCTAATTACCGATGCTCCTAGGATCAAGAACTGCACAGTTCCAATAAATACGGCGACAACAACTGTAACACCCGTCAACGCTAACGAGTAGTAGCATATGGCGATTTGATCCCTAGCCAACGACGCACTGGAGTACAGACTCATCATCAAGGCACCGTCGGCAGTATCAATCATGCACATGCCTGCTGTGAAAAGCAATGGAAACAATAAGATCAGCCAGAGTGATGTTCCGCGTGCCGATTGAATACTCGATATACCGAGAAGCGCTATTTCAGACGATGTATCGAAGCCTAGACCAAAAAGAACGCCAAGAGGGTACATCTTCCACGGTCGATCGATGAGCCGAAACATTCGCTTAAGAACATTGAACAACGGTCCACCACCAGCCAAAATCTCAACATCTGTCAGTTCCTCGCCTGGCGGTGTACGAAGAAGTCGCTTCATACGCATGAATAATCTGTAACCAATATACAGATTCATAACGCCGAGGAGTAACAGAAATGTTGCCGAGACTGATGAGCCGATGATACCACCAACTCGAGAAAAGCTGTCGAATTCCTTGGATACAGCAGATGCCGTTGCTGCGACCACGATGGAGGTGACAATAACTATGGTGGAATGACCGAGAGAGAAGAAAGTACCTACTGTGACAGGCTTTTGGCCTGTCGCAATGAGTCTACGAGTCATCAAGTCGATAGCAGAGATATGATCGGCATCAAAAGCGTGCCTTAAGCCCAGGACCCATGACAGTAGTGCAGTTGAAATGAGTGCTCTTTACGGAACGATCAGTAAAACATTCCGATTAACTTATTTTATAGACGTTACATACGGATGATAGTGCTGTCACATGTTAGCGATGGGTTTTTTTTTCGTTTTGGATAATTGTCAGCGCACCAACACTATACCAACACCGACCCATACTGCAATGTTGACAAAAACCAGAAGCGCAATTATTGCAAATGCTGGAAAGGGCAAATTTCTCAATGCTGGGACCTTCGAATGTGTATCGGAAGCTTTTGAAGTCAGGACTTTGAACCATGATGGTGCGCGGTAGTCTGGATCAACAATAGCGTTGTCTGGGGTGGCTGCCACTTCGGCCACGTCCGAAGCCATGCTCTGGAAGTATAACCACTTTCTTTGATACGAACGCTGCGCTGTAGGAATGAGAGAAAAAAGCCTCCTGTCCCAGTGAGTTCAAAATAGTACTGGAAAGGAGATAGGACGAGCTCAAGCTCATCTTGAAGACTTGGGCGCACATAAACAATGAGCTAGCTTTAAGTCTGCAGGTATCATGCCCACTTTTGGATTCGGAATGTGATTGGTCTGAAAAGTTCATGGGTTCGATAACGACAAATTTGAACGACTAAATTTTCTTGACGCTTTTATTTTTGCTAGACACTCTGCGACGAGCAGGTTTTTTTCTTATTCTCTGTATCTGGTGAAGCAGATACTAGCGTTCGTGCCGCCAAATCCAAAACTATTGGAGAGCGCCACATTTACTTCGTGCTCTTGGGCCACGTTCGACACATAATTACAGTCAAATTCCTCGGCAGGCTCTCCTGGATGGTCCAGGTTGAGCGTGGGAGGCAGGATGTTCTGGTGAACGGCCAAGACTGTAAAAATTGACTCCACCGAGCCAGCCGCTCCGAGAAGGTGTCCGATCGCCCCCTTTGAGCTGCTGAAGTTGATATCAAAAGAATTTGTCTTTGCTCCATCGCCAAGGAGGAGCTTTTTTACCGCTCTGTTTTCAGCCGCGTCGCCAAGTACTGTGGATGTTGCGTGCGCGTTGATGTAGTCAACCATGCTTGGCGAAATGCCCGCATGTTTCAAGGCTCTTCTCATAGCCATTCTAGGACCTTCGCCATCTTCCCGTGGTGCAGTCATGTGATGGGCGTCTGACGAGAGACCGTAGCCCTTCAGTTCGGCGTAGATGCGAGCCTTTCGCGCCTTTGCGTGTTCCAATTCCTATTTTCAAGTCAGCTAAGCGTTCACCGCCAAACGTGACCGCAGATATGACCTCGAGTATAACGACGCCTGCACCCTCGCCAATGACGAAGCCTGCTCTGTCCCTATCGAAAGGTCTGGAGGCTTTGGTCGGATTGTCGTTCCACTTCGTTGCTAAACTCCTTGCTTTTGCAAATCCAGCTATGGCCAACGGATGAATGCAACTTTCAGCACCACCCGCAACCATCACGTCAGCATCGCCAAATGCTATCAACCTCGCAGCGTCGCCCAGCGCATGTGCGCCGGTAGTACACGCTGTAGTTGCTGCATGATTTGGTCCTTTCAGTCCATACCTCATCGAAATGTGACCAGCAGCAAGATTGATCAACAATCGTGGCACGAATAGCGGCGACACCTTTTTGTAGCCTCCCTTGTCGAAGTCAATGGTCGTATTTACGACGTCATCAAGACTGCCTATCCCGGAACCTATATACACCCCGGTCGACTCGAGGTCTTCATCCCGCATAGGGTGCCATTCTGCATCTTCGAGAGCTTCTTCAGTGGCTGCCATGGCGTACTGGGCGAACAGTGCCATCTTTCGTTGATCACTCGGCGAAAGCCATTCTGTGGGATCCCATCCGCCTTCAGCCTTTGAGCCTAGTGGAACAGTGCCAGCGATTTGGCTCGGCAGAGTACTGAAAATATCTCCTCTGTCACGCAATGAGCGAATGCCACAATATCCATCAATGAGGCGTTGCCATGATCGCTTCGCCCCTGCGTGCAGGTGTTAGTTGAATACTGCCAGGGCGTCGATTGAAATGTCACAAACCAAGCCCAAGAGGAGTGACAGCGCCTAAGCCGGTCACAACGACTCGTCTCATCTCATTTTTTCTGATGAAGTTAATGTGGAACGCGAGCTGGTTAGTGATCGCGAGAATTCAAGGTTGTAGAACCATGCACGGACCACTTGGACATATGACAGGCTGATATACCAATCAGACTATTCGTACTGCTTCAGCATAGTCTCGTTTGAAAGCGGCCTACAGGGAAATTGATGGAGTGATCAGAAGAGTCGACAGACATCGCTAGATGTGAAGAGATGATCAAGTCAGGAGGACGTTATGTCGAATACGACAAAATACTGTTTGAAATCATGCTCAGTGGCTGTTCATTCTTTTTCTCTACCATGCAAACATCGGACAGCCTAACGCCGTTGCCTTGCCTGATATATGCAGTTCCAACTGCAAAGAAGCGTGCAAGTATGCTACATAACAGCCGTCCATCGCAGTGAATCGTTCGACACCGGGACCTGCACCATGACCGACATGCTCGTCGTTTATTCTCCCTTCTTCTTCTTCGCTCCCTTGACCTTCGCTGTGCCGCGCAGCTCCTTCTGGCGGTTCTTTCGCTGCTTGCCTGTCGCAAAATGTTAGTTAACGGCCGTATTTGAACAAACGGATCGCCGGTAGGATACTTACGCTGCTGCCTGCTGGCCTTCTCGACCTTGGCGGCGAGGCCGTATCGAACCTGCCTGTAGTGTGGCTCAAACTTCTTCAGTGCTTCTGGTGAGTCGTAGATCTACGCGTCACCTGTCAGCCGCCCGCCCGTGGCGCATTCATTCCTGAAGCAGAGCCTACCAGAGCAAAACCTGTGGACTTTCCACCGCCATATTGTGTACGGAAGCCAAAGACAGAAACCGCATCCTTGTTGGCCTTGTAGAGGGAGGCGAGCTTATCACGGAGTTCTGAAATATGATCAGCGTCCTTTGGCCTTAAAAAGATCTTTTTCTAGACCGTCCTGACTGACCGTCCTTGCTGACATTGGGGCGCGATGGGTGAAGAACATCGCTGAGAATTCGCATTAGGATCATTCGAGGATGACGCTAAGTCGTATCACTACTCACACAACCATCTTGAGGTTGCTGTTAGTACTCGACCGTCAATGGTTGCTCAGAGTCAGAGATGCTTACCTGCTTTCGCATCAAAAGGGGGTTGCGAATGAACTTGCGCGTGCGCAAGGTGACCGGAGCGTCCGACATGATGAATGACGAGTTTCTGTTGTCGCGACAGTCGCTCGTGTGGTTGAGGTCAAATCTTCAAAAAGGCGGAGTTGAGATTTCGATTGTGCGTTGCACGTCGGGGCTTGGCATTTTTGGCTCCGATGCCGAAGTTTTGCCGCTACTCGCAACCAAGTGTCTCCCTCCGTCGACACGCACTCAGTTATGAACCCGCAGGACACAACTATTAACACAATGGCCACCGGTAAATTTCATGAAGCACTCGATCGATTCAGAAGGCAATATTTTCAATTGGTAGACACGAAGGAACTCGCTTGGCCACCGCATGATACATTGCGAGATCTCAAGTCGCAGACGTGGCTGTTCAAAAATCTGTTTGACATTGAAAACATTACCTATTTGCCTCCGGAACGCTACAGACTCCGTGTTCTCAAGCAGCTACTGCGCTCGATAGAAGATTCAATCTGCGATCCTGAAGAAGATGTAGGGTTATCTCGCAAGGCTCACGTTGCACCCGTCTACTTTTAGCATAAGATTCTGCAATTGAATTCTTGCTCTGACAGAAGTCACACCACACCTCGCAACTGTATCTTGCTATTTTCCGTAGCCAGGCCCTGACAAGCATGGTAGGAGATTTCAGATGACCTTTCGTCTGCCCTAGCTGTCCTCATGTCCCGAAAGCTGCCTACAGAGGCCACCGCTGCGCAGCAATCGGCATACGTGACATACAGTTTTCCTTCTCTCGGTGGTTTAGATCCAGCAATAACCCTGCTTGAATCGCGTTCCGTCATAGCGTCTTCGGGAACTACTGGGCGTCGTACTTGGGAAGCAGCACTACACTTGTCCAGATATCTTGTCGAAGGGAAGAAAATCGTCAAGGACAAGCACGTACTCGAGCTCGGAGCTGGGACAGGCCTTGTCTCGATTCTCTGTGCCCGGTGGCTGGGCGCGAAGCATGTTACAGCAACAGACGGTGACGACAGCGTCGTCGAAGACATGCAAAAGAACATCTTTCTCAATGGCCTCGAGGGCGACAACAGTATATACGCAAAGTCGTTAAAATGGGGTCACGTGTTCGAAGAAGATGAAGCTGGGCAATCACCATATTTCGACGTGGTCTTGGGAGCCGATATTGTATGTCGAATGAACTATGTGCTGTGGGTTCCATCGACAGCCGCAGAAGTAGCGAATCCGTTCCGGTACACATGATCGCTAACGTTATGCAACAGACATACGACGTTGCAGTGGTTCCAGCACTGGTTGCCACGTTTAGAGAGCTTCTTGTGCTCAACAGTCATGTCGACATCATAATAGCCTCTGCAATTCGTAACGCGGACACGTTCGCTGCGTTTGTGTCCGCCTGCGGTACGTCAAAGCCTGTTGTGGTGTTTAGCAGACGACCCATGGGGCTAATTACGTGGTTCGATAGAGCGGGCCCAGTTTTCAGTCGTTAATATCGATTTCCCCATCCATCCGACGAATGAAGGCGAGGGACCATTTTACGCCACGACATGTCCGATACGGATTGTGAGAATGCAGTCAAAGGACGTCATCCAAGACTAATTCGCGACATGAATGGACTCTCGAAAGCTCCGCTTAGCGAGACGATCTGTTCGATAGTGAACCAGCTTGGACTTCAAAAGGGGCTGGCCTGAGTAGCCCGGCCCACGATCGAGAGATGCATAATCGGCGCTGGGATCAGATTGGCATGTGCCAGTGGGTAAAGACTAGTATATACAAGCAGGACAGCTCTTCAGGAAAGTGCGGTGTTATCATGCATGCTGTTCGTGAAGTCCTCGAATGTTTCGGCTAGCCGCGGTTTGTAGAGGTTCTGAGCCAAAGAGGCACAAGCATGTGGTTATCAGTTCTCCCGGTCGGAAAAACGTCGCCAAAGTGTGCGCAGCAGGACCAATTGGGCAAGTGTATCGATTTCGGAGAATTTTGGGATTGACAGGGTTGACGCTCTGACTTGCTCCGGCGAGCGAGGTACGGCACATGCGTACGTCAATCGAGGCGATGCGGTGGTTCTCTGACCTGTGCTGTATCCATGCTCGAAAGCTGATGGAGCGCATCGTCTGTCCCAATCGCAACCAACATGAGCTTGTTCGATCCAGCCTCAAAGCCGACATCGGGAAGCTCGTGACGGGCGGCGATTCAGTTGCCAGGCTTATCAGTCTCAGCGCTTGCAGCTGCGCACCATTTTGGGATCAAAAATGCGAAGCGCAGGGCGGCAGGTTCGTAAGGGGCCGTCTGAAAGTAAAGGCAAAAATTTTTTTCTTTTCGAACTGTTGAAGGCCCCCCTCCCCTCGTCCTGCCAAAATTTGTGTATACTGCGATGCTACCGCACGGCTCTGCAACGTGCATTGGGATGCGATCCAGAGAAGAATGGAAGCGGACACTACTGCAGACAAGCGCCAAAGGGATAGCTCAGAACCTGGCTCGAGAGCTGAAGAGAGCCCACATTACTTAGAGCGTGCTCCAGTGTCGATCGCGTGCTCCAGCGATTCGTCAGAAGGGTCGCGGCCAAGGAGATACCTGTAGGTCGAGTTTCCGTGAATTTTTTTCCCGGTAAGCGGAGCCTCCGTTCCACTAGGGACAGGCAGATAGGGCCGGAAGCGAGAGAGAAGGCGAAGGGATCGTTCTTCGACTCTCGAACGCGATTCGTCGGCGGGCGGGGATGCAATTACGACAATAGTGTGATTCAGGAAGAACTTGCTCGAGTCTGACTACGTTTTGCACGCATGGCACCATCGAGCCCATGTCTGTCGACGGCTGTGACGCTGTTCGCGCCGCAGAGGCATGCAGCCGCGTGGGTACCTCGATGGACTGGCCGGGCTCAGATATATTTCATCGCGTCGCCAGCCATCAGCGTCACGTCTCTGCCGACCGACTTAGCACATCTTCCTCGCCCGCCAGACGATCCTCGCGGACGTGCGGAGGCAATTCGAGAACCGCTCCGCAAACGCATCCTCTCCGTGGCCTCTCTTCCCGAGCACGACGCGTCTTTCCTTGCCGCCACGAGGGGGTTGACAAGCCGGCTGCCGTGCATTTGCTTGCTCAGGATTTGACATCGCATTTGCTTTTTTTGACGCCTCTCTTTGCGTGATCCTGGACCCCACGGAGACACCAGACGCGGGGGGTTGGCTGGTTGTGCGTGCTGAGTACCTGCGCTCGGCTTTCCTGGCCCGAGTCGTTGACTTAACGTGGCCGCGCGCGGTCAGTGAGTGATCGCCGTGCCTGGCCGGCGCAGAGAGCCACGTCCCCTCCCCCACAGAGGCGGCGTCCCAACACCACCTCGCTGCAAAGATTCCCGGCCCGTGTAAGTCGACTGCATGTCTTGCTTGCTCTCTGTGCACATCCCCATCCTCCTCCTTTCCACGTGTGCTGCTCGCGCCGCTGCAATTGCTGCTCATCTGACTCTGGTTGCGGCCTGCGGATCTTGGTTCCTGAACTAATCGTTTGGCTACCGCAATTTAGTTATCGCCTCTTTGGTCCCCACAAGCACGCAAGATAAGGCCGCTCTCAAACTTTCGGCTAGACAAACGCCCAAGTCATACAAAATCAGATCCGGCGCCTGCATACCTCGGACTGAAAACGTACATGCCCTTTCACCACGCTCCCAACCGTCTTGCGCTTCGAGCAGCGATTCACCCCGTCACCGCTACTTTGCCTGGCCTGCCCCATCATTCGCTACCCGGATCAGCCCCCGACATCGTTATCGCGAGCTATTGCGCCAGGCTTGTCACCCATATCGCTTCCTAGTCACCATTCGTCGTCCTCAAAAATGGCGACCCAGCACCAAAAATTCACCCGGAAACACAATGGCAAGACCCAGAAGCCAGGCCTGCTGAAGCGCCATTCGGCGCATGCCGTGTCTAGGTCGAAGACTGTCCACATTCGAGGTGAAAGCCAGGACGTGGATGAGGATATCATGGCCGCCAGTTTTCTGCAGTATTGTGCCACTTGCGAGAAGCAAATCGTCACACCTAGCAATTCAATACTCTACTGCTCAGAGAGGTCAGTGGCTGTCCAACGCCTTCTGTGTTCCACATTTAACCCTTGATTACAGTTGCCGAAGAAAGGATCATACGCATATACCGTCATATGACACATACGCCGCTCAGTCGCCCCCTATGACTCCTCTCCAGTCTTCCTCGTCATGGGATAAGTTCCCGATGCATGACATCGTCCCTCAGCGCTCGCCGACCGTTAATCAATATGCCTTGAATCGCTACTCGTATTCGTCCTTCTCCGAGGATGAAACTTCCTTCTCTGAGGACGAGAAGCACATGGAGCCTAGACGAGAGTCGGAAGCCGAGCGCCAACTTCGTCTATTCGCAGAGCAAGCCGCCGAATCTCACTCTAGAACACCTCGGCCTCAGTACAAACGGTCTTCGACCAACTACTCCAGTATGAGTAACGCGCCTTCACTTTCTCAGTCGCCGACATCGACAACGGCGGGCATGTCGTTTCCTTATACTCCAGTCTCACGACCGCTGCCACCCCGCACCAACCCTACATACAGCACGTCGTTCAAGTTTTCAAAATCGATCGAGCTTGTCAATCCGTATCCAGCCATGACCCAGATGATGCCAACGACTGCTCCTTCCAGCCTTCATGACAGCAGAAGAGGTCTGAAGTCAGGCGCTGGCGCAGCGACGAGTCAGGGCATCGCCGAGGGCGAGGTCATATACGAGAAAAGCCCTATACCGTTGAGCACATCTGGCCCAGATCAGAGCAGCTTAAAGAAGCTATTTAGATTCAATGAGATGCAAGCCGGCCCACCACATTCCGAGCGCTACTAGTCACGATACCCATATGCATACCACTATAACCTTTCACATGGCCCGCGCCCATGATCAAACCGTTTGCACGGCATTCGACATAGACGGAACCCACAGCGACTTGCAAAAGTTTTATTTTGGCGTTTGGTTCCCACTTGTCTTTTCTTCCCACGTTTTCCTTGAATTTTTTTTTTTTTGGATTCATGTCTCAAGGATAATCCATGACTTGGGGGGGGGGGAGGGAGGGGGGGCGCGGCGCCATAGTCCTTTTTTTTCTATACGCACCTTAGAGCAACCAAGGCAGGGCCGTGGAAATACCGAGCAAGAGATACCAATAACAACAACCATGAAATTGCAGACTGCATAAGCATTTTGAAGGCGAAAGCTACGGACGATGCATTGGCGATCTGGACGTCTTGAAACATGTGCGTGCGCAACAGGCATTGTCGGCTTTCGGATAATCTTTTTGACTTGCCCATTAAATCTACCAGGGCAGCACATAAAATCCAGTAACTAGTATTCTGAATGATACCTTGATTTCGCGTTCCATCAAATTTGTTTCACGGCACTTGTTTGCCAAAGTTCAGCTCTCCTCGAAGTCCAAATATGCATGTTCGTTCTACGTGCGTGTGATTTCTTCTCATGGGTTGCCGCCCGAAAGTATGCTCACCCCTCAGTTCGCCAGTTCGCTTATTTTGGTTCTCGATTGTGAAGCTGGAAGGAAAAGTAGTCACAGTATTGAGCTTGTCATTCTCTGCTTTGTAGTTTCTAGTGATACATAGCCGAAGTGCTCTGTACTCGCCAAGGAGTGAGCGAGTCATCTCGCCCTCGAGACATGCCTGACAAAACAAAATGTTATTGTGGTATCATGAATTTGACATTTTCCTCCCGAAATGAAGCAGCTCGTGTAAAATAAGCTGAACAGGTGACATTTTCTGAAACAACGGAGTACATATGAATGTAGTGTGTTTTTGCATTTAGCCGCGACAAGACAATTCTCTCCATTAGGGAACAACAGACCAAAGAGGGGAATCAAACGCCCAAAGTCTGACGTCCTCGTGTATCGTGGGGCATCTTGACCGGAAATTGAACCCTTGATGACTTTGCGCATGTTGAATATTCATGCCTGTCTTTAGATTCATCCCATGATGCCTGGATCTCTCCACCCCCCGAGGCTGCCCCAGGCTGCCAGAACATCCTCGCTGACACTGCATCGTGCCGAGCTATGACCGAGGCTTCTGCGTTGATAAGCTGAACAGGAGTAGTGTGCGCAGGTCGAGCTGCAATCGCTCGTGTTCTTTGATACAGTTGAGGCACGCTCGACTGAACCAGATGACGAGTTGTCTTCAGACCCAACCCTGGATGCTTCTTCGTCACCAGATGTAGTAGTCGATGCTGGACTTTCAATGCTTTTCTTTGCTTTCCCCAAGTCTTTGGCGTCTGGCGAAGTGGAAGGAGCAATGGTGCCTGTCGTCTTTCTTTTTAGCTTATCCTGCAGCTTGCCATGGAGAAGTTCTTCATTGAGATGTGTTCGGTCGCCGTCTACGTAACTGGTGGTACTGTTTCTCTTGCTGCCATTCTCACGAATGAAGACGTCTGCGGTAGCCTGCCTAGTCAACGGAGTCGTTGGACTTGGCAGTGGTTCCGGGCTTGGGGTTGCTGTCCCATCTAGAGACAGGGACGGAAGGCCGGATAGGCTGACATCAAGGGATGCCAGAGAGAGATGAGGGGTAAATGCGTATTTAAGACGTGTAGGAGACTCTAAACGCGAGTCAATAGAGTAGTAAGTGTTGTCTGTAGCGGTTGTTGCGACTGATTGCCGCTTCCGACCTCTTTCAGCGTCTTTGACTATGCTGGCCTGTTCGGGAGTAGGCTGAGTCGTAGTACGCGACGCGAGAAGAGACGAACGCTGTGATCGCGAAAGTGGGAAGCTATCGAGGATCGAAGAGGTGCCGCTTAGGTTGCTTACTGGTCGGTGTGAGCGTGTCGAAGAAGACTTAATCGACGTTAAGCCGCTATCACGTTGTGCTGCTTTGTCTGCGCGTTTGCGACGCATCAATTCCAGCAATGCCTCCTCTTCCTCAGTTACAGCCATGAGCTTGCGCCCATCACTCTGAGGGGCGCTGAAACTCCGCATGCTTGCCGGAGGAGAGATTGGAGGGGCAACTTGAGATGGTATATCGTTATCTTCCGGTATAGAGCTTGGCTGTCTACTGTGCCCACGTTTTCTGCTTCTTGGGGTGCGGTTGGGCACGGAAAGATAAGACGGGCTGTTGCCTGCAGACTTGATGCTGTTTGAGTCGGCGTTCGTTGTGTTTGACGAGAGGCTAGCGATCGAAGGTCTACGCCCAGAAACCACACCTTCTGGTGTCTGCCTCATCGATTTCACGTGTAGTGCTTGGGCTCGCCCTACATGATGCACATCAATCTCCGACACAGCTATGCTGTCACGGATACCATGTGTAAGCGCAAAGTCATCGTCGTCCTCTATATCAGGCTCCGAATCTTCTTCTTCGGACGATGAAGTCGAAAGAACACTGGTCTCATGCAAATTATTTGATATCATCTTGCTGTTGGGCCTACTACTTCTCGACAGATTCCCTCGAGGGCTTTTAAGCGTAGTTGACGATCGTGCGGAAACGATATCATGAGAGGAATTCATCTTGCGAAGCGAGTAGACAGTGTTGATGCGATCACTGGAATTGTAATGCAGATCAGATCGGCATGGGCTCGGTGTGTTTCGTGCAGCCGGCGGAAACAAATGCTCAGTTGGAGTAACCAAATTAGGGTCGTGTTCACTCTCCGCGTCACTTGTATCGACTCCGACTGGGAAATTATCCCACCAGTTCTTTGGGGCATTTCTTCCCGAGATCCCACTTGGCTTTTGCTCGCTCAGTGCTGATGTATGCTGTCGCCTTGAAAAGCGCTTGATCGAGTTTGGGAAAGCGTCCACGGACAAGCGGACCTTCAAAGTTCTACCGGCAGTTCCAGCCGCTTTTCGGAGGGACCCAGTGCCATTACTTGTGTTTGGTCTAGATGAAGGTGCAGCGCCCGGGAAACGTGGAGAAGCTGTCAGAGAGTGGGTTGAGAGACGTGGATTCATGGTCCTAGTTTTCGATTGGCCCGATTGGTGAATGAAGCTTGATTTGGAATGAAGACGAGTGATGTCTGGCAAAGCTGTCGCGCGGTCCATGCTGTCTCTGTTCTCAAACGCGCTTGAGGCAGCGCTTGCTGTGCTTGGCCGTCTACGATCGTGCACAGCTGATTCAAACACGGGCGACATGTCTCGTCTCAATGCTCTGTCGCGAACGGAAGAATTCGAAGTCTGCTGCGAGATACTGGGGTGCACGTTGGCTGCGTCGTAATGGGACTTCAAAGTAGACGAAGACCATGAGCCCTTGACGCGCCGGCTGCTGGTGCTAGCCGCAGATCTCGAGTACGATGCGCTCGATGAGAGTCGCTGCGAGCCTGCTCCTGGAGAATGATTGTTGCGCAGATCGGCCAGTCTTAACGGTAACGGATCAAGGCCAAAATGATCCGGATTTGAAAAGTCGTCATAGTCGACGTCTTCTCCTAGCTCTGACAGGGACGGATTGAGACTCCTGTAGCTCGACCGTCGCGGAATGTGATCCCGTGTTGCCTCCTGAAGACCGGCAGTACCCAGGAGTCGTTCCGCCTTGCTCAATTGCGGCTGGTTTACCCTCAGATCAGTCGCGCTTGACTGCGAGGCGGTTGAAGCCTTGCGTCCAGCCAGCGGAAACAGCTTGGAAGCTCTTCCCATTGTGCCAGGCTGTCGCTCCTTGGGGGAGAGCGTTCGTGAGAGGTGCGGTCACTGAGGAGACAAATCCTGTCGGGATAAAAGAACGGACGACGGGGTGGTCCGGGTCGTGGCTGGCTATATGCGTTGCCGTTCTTTGATGCTAGCAGATGGATGCAGTCCGGTGGACCAGGGGGCGGCTCGGGCGACCAGCTCTAGCGTGCCCAAATCCAGCAGCGTCCTAGCCAGATCCGCGATGGGCAACCTTCACGATCGTGCCAGGCGCCAGGCACACAAGTGTCAACGCTGCAGGTGATAAGAGTGCATGACCCTGATCCAAGGTTCCTGTTTCCTCGCCCCGCAAGCTTTTCTGCTGCGAGCCGGATGGAGATGGTGTGCAAGGAGAATCAGCGGTTGGCGGTCCTGTGCGGCGATCTTTGGGCAAGCAAAAGACAGCGCGTCGAGGCCGTCGAAGCCGCAACGCAAGGCAGGGCGACCGGCGAAACGGACGGAGGAATAAATGCAGCAGCGCTCGAGTGGCTGCGGAGAGAAAAGTGAGACAGGAAATTTAGGATCTTGATCTCCCCAGATCGCGAAAGAAGCAATGCGTTCTTGTTTCGGCTGCAGTATAACTTAGTAGCGTGGGGTCGCTTGCTCGAGCTGGGAGTGCGCTTGTGTGGACAGCAGGCTCTTGTTCTCTCAGGGGAACGCAGCAAGATTGTCAAGGGATGATTATTGGGGATGACGGCGCAAACAAGCGCGGGCGAGCTGAATGGGACGCCACCGTGAAGATCCGGATACGTGGGTTTCTGCAGGAACACGCTTGGACGGCCCCTGCTCCGGCCTCCAGCGTCTGCAGGATCTTGCACGCTGGCGTCGATAATCGAGATGCCGGAACGATTGATCCAAACCAGGAGCAGCGAGAGAACGACAAGATGCCTTCTCCACGCCAAGCCTTACTCCTGGGCCCTCCAATGCTGGGAGGGTTTTGGTTGCCGTGCCATCTCTGGGGACCGCAAAAGGGATCAAAAAGCAATACCGGCTGGTGCCACAGCGGCTGCGAGTGGACGAGAGCGTGCGATCTTGGCATCACAGCTGCTCGCTGTTTCTCCCGTGCCGCTCGCCGTCCGGCAAGAAAAAAATAAAATAAAAAAAAAAAAAAGAAAGAAAGTCTTGCCATCCGCCTTGCTGCTGGACATACCGGCCTATAAGCGTGCCGCACTTACGCGGCCCTCAAATAGTGTTGCTTAAATTTTGCTATTCGCTAGCTTCGAGCAAAAACCGGTTCGCGGGAACCGGCCTCATCGGAAGATAACCTTTCATCACCGGACGGTTAGTGCTCGGGACGCATGAGCAGCCTCGACACTACTGCACGGAGTGACCGTGAATGCGACAGGTGTTGTGCCGGCGGACCAGTTGTACAAGAAAGGCTAGGATCTCTCGCAGCCATGGCATCACCTTCGACTGCAGATATGCTTGGGAAGTGTTCGACTCGCCTGTGCAGTCAAGCCGTCCAAGACCAGCAGCCGATCGCCCCGATTCGGCCGTGACCAACGCTTTTGTGCTGGGGGAGGATGCTCGGGTGATCGCCAGGTCTGTCTTCTGCCCTTCACGCTGGTGAATCTGGCTGCGAGTCATTGCCACAAACCCTCCCCCCAATTCCAATGCCTTGCAACTCACCCCCAATCGCTAACCAAAGGACTTCGTACAATGCTCTGGACTCGGCCTTCGTAGATTCTGGATGACGAAGTCGTTGCAAGTTCAATCTGACACGCCGACCTGCTGCCCTTGAAATTCGTAAGGCCAGAGCCCTACGGTTCATGTGTAGCTGAACGGCTTGTCCGACATAAAACCCCTCACACCAGCCGACCGTTGGATGTGCAATAGTTTTTTATTTGACAACCGTGGTCTGATGGCTACACAAAGCTTGCTCCTCACTGACATTGGTTGCGCCAAGCGAAGGTATGACGAGGAGAAGGTTTGCAATGATTCGTCTGACCGCAGCCCCACCACTATCGATTCGCGTGCCATGCGCTGATCATACGATCCGTACCCGTACCGAAATACATTCTGAAATCTCAAAGCTCAAGAGCACGCACATGTTTAGTAGTCGTCACGAAGAAGTTTGCTATGGCGGCTTTGAGCATCCAACCGAGGTCGTACGAGATGTTCGTGACGTTACCGATGTGTAGCATTTCAATAATACAAACCTGTCCGCTTTCATGCTACCCCCCGACCGTGGTGCTGACTTCACGGCGGGTCTTTGACGGCCTGTCGTTTCTCACGGAAATGTCTCCTATGTTGGCCTCCAAAATCTCCGCTTATGCTATTTTCTTGAAGCGCTGTCTACTGTGGTCCAGTGAAGATCTTGGACGTACGCGAACTCCTCCCGCAAAATCAAATTGCTGCAGAAAACTCCCAGGGTCATAAGCAACAAGAACTGCGTGGTTCCGGGCAGACCACCACCCTGCTCACTAGGCATCATATGTACGAGAGACATTGAAAGTCGATTCTAGTGTAATCTTCAAGAAGTCCAAGTCTTTTAATTACATTCTGGCCCTCATACAGAGTATTGGATTTTGCATTGTTATTTATATCCCACGGTAGCAATTGAGAACGCCACGGATCCGAGACCGGTCACACAATATGAGTACGAGTGCGAGACCGCACTTTCCCACTGTATGTCCTATTGATAACTTTGCGATCCTATGCGAGCACTTTCAAGGCAAGCGATAGCTCTCATATACAAATCGCGTCCCAATCCTGAGCACTGTCATATCCTCGCGCTTCTCAGCGGATCCCAATACCAGTCCATGTTCTCGTCCTCTTCATTTTTATGAAGCGTTAGCAAGATCATCATGCCATGCATCTTCACGCACCGTTCGCCCCGTCTCTACTTAAATTGGTCTCGGCACCGCTACTTCGTTCGTGCTTGCGATATGCAGGATGTCGATGCAGTTGGGCACCCCCGCCGTATCGAGCTTGTAAATGCTGAGCTCGCTGTTCCTTGGGCAGTTTTGCGAAGCTTGCCTCAATCACATGACCGTTCCAGGCTTGTGCAGGCACGTATGAGTTTGGATGAGCTGTGAAAGGATCTGCATACGGCCCATAAGGATACAGTGTGCCTCCAGCAGAAGTCACATGGGTTGCACTAAATGCTGTTGGGTAACTGACGGCGAAGTTATGTGCTGCAAATGTACGGTGCGGTGACGGGTTTGCAGAAGAAGGCGAGGGACTGCGGTTGTTTCTGACGGGCGGATGCGCGATATTCTTCTCCTCCTGCAAACCCTGGGTTGACAGGATATCAAGGACATCCTTCTGGTTTTTCTCCAAGTCAACAACGCGCGCAATAAGCTGAGCAACAGATTGATCCAGTAGCGTGTTGCTTTCGATCATCTTGTCCATTGAATCAAGCACTTTGTCTTGCAAAACATTGATGATGGCCATAACCTTTTCATTCATATCCGACTTGAAGGCATTGAGATTGTCATGTGTCTTCAGCAGCTGCTCGTCAAGTCCACCAATCTTTGCCAAGATATCATCAAACGAGGTCGATAGGATCTTCAGTGTCTCGTCATGCTTGGACGTCGTAACCTGAATGTTCTCGTCGACCTTGCGATCGATCAGATTATGGATCGTACTCGCAATACCGTCAACGTGGAGATGAAGCGCCAAGAATGCGTCGAGTTCATCCTTCGCCGGCAGTGGCCCCATTGACGGATTGCGAAAAACATTGAGTGGAGGTGGCATAGCGCTCGGCGGACCACCTGGGGACGGGGAATTCTCAGACCCAGTCTGCCCAGAGATGTGATGCATGGTCTGTGTGATAAGCGGCGAAAGTCCAAGCCCGTCAACGACGTCTTTGCGAGCGTGATCGGCGATATCGGATGAGCAACGCTTCCTGACAACGAACTTTCGAGGTTTTGCAGACGGTGTGGCGTCCTGGTGAGGTTTACTGGCGTCGCTGCTCTTTTGAACCAACTCAAATGATGGCTTAGGTGAAATAGGCATAGGTTTGACAGCGGTGCTATTGACGGCTGTTAGAATACTTTATTTTTGATATACATCTCAACCCATAACTTACCAATCCTGGGGAGGAGAGCTCTCTAGTTCACCAACGGAAGCTTGTGGAAGACAGTAGAGTGAGACGTCTTCCTAGACATTATTAACATCATAACCACAAATTTATGCAAGAAGATTTGTGTCATTACAATGTAAAGGCTTTTGAAATTGGAGTATTCTGATACTTAACGGTGTCGGGTAGATGCGTTGGTCTGGCGTAGAAGCTTAGATCTGACGCGGTGAGGGTGGAGAAGGGGGTTGAAAAAACCGGGTCATTACATCGAAAGTGAACAAGCAGTGACGAGGAACAAATTGCGACGTGGGCGGAGATAATTTTGATCTTATGCTAGCAACTCAAGGAGGTTAAGAACTTACGTTGGTGCTGGGACGCGCGAAGTTCGCGTAACAACCTGGTGCAATATACCCGTAGGGTGAATAGAACGCCGGAGGAAGGCACGGCACAGCTTTTTCAGACTGCGCCTTCCATGCTGCGAGGGAACCATCGCTCCACCGCCGGCTAAGCGCACGGCCGTGAGGTGTCGTCTCAGTCGTCTTAGACTCCAAAGAGACGTTGCGTGACATAGAAAGGCCAGCTGAGCGAGGAATGATGGGTGACTCAATGAAGCGTGTGATGGGAGAATCGAAGGTGCTGCCATTGGCCAATTCTGTTGCGGGGGAAACGACAAAGCCGTAGGTTGACCGAATGGATGGGGAGTCACGCAACGAGGAGAAACTGGGTTTGTTGAGCACAAGGTTGAGGTACTCCTTTCCGCAGTACCGCCCCAGGTGTTCAGGGAGCGTTGACTGTTCCTCGCGCTTAGCGTTGAACATACAGTACATGGAGCTGGGTGTGTCAGAAGGGCTGTCATTTTTCGTTTTCTTGACATCCAGGGGAGATCTTGTTATGATGGCTGGAAAAGCCGTACTTTCTTTGCTTGGTGGAGTCGGTGGAATGATGTTATTGAGGTATTGTAGGTGCTTCTCTGGGCTGCGGAGACAGAGGCCTTGTCCTGAGCCATCCAACTTGCCTTCTATCGACGGCGAAATGGTGTCCAGCGTCGCCGCGTCGTTCACGGTAGGCTGCGCTGTGCTCGCGGAAACTCGCATCGGCTGGCGACCAGTCTCTCCCACGCTCGGAATCCCACAATCTGTAGGTGTGGTAAACTCAGCTGTGGAGGGTGTGGAGGCATTGGCCGACAACGTCGTTGCCGAGCGGTTGTGGACACTGGCGCCTATGCACTTGAAATCCAGACTATCCAGAAGCCCTTCCGTGGTGCCTGATTGCTTCGTGGCGGTCTTGTATTCTTTCCTTCGTTTCAAACTCTCTTTACCCAAGATTTTCACAGCCTTTTCAGGAGTCTCCTCCCACTCCAGGGATGTTTTAGGTGGTGTCTCAGACGAAGTGTAGTGTCGGAAGAACTTCTGGAAAAGCTTCTTACCTGGGCTTTTCGGGCGAGAGGCATGCTGCTCGTCGGCCTTAGAGACGTCGGCAGCGCTAAAATCTGTGCTCAATCTAGCGTTGTCTTCACTTATGTTCCCGAGTGTGGCCATGTTCATCTGCATCTGCATTAGGGCATGCTTTTTGTTTTCGAGGTCATCGCGCTGTGTTGGGACGGCACCCATTGCATTGTCTGGGACGAGCTTCAATGGAACTTGAACTCTTCTTTTCATACTTGCTGTTGTTGCGTCCATAGCCGTTGACGACAAGTGATCAGTAGACTCGAGCGACTGGATAACACTCGTCATGGCGGTCTGTGGCGTGTTCGGCTCATTGACGCTGACCTTCAGCTTTGTATTAGCAGTAGACATTCTTATTTGGGTGAGGAAGGCGTACGGAGTTCGCGCGTGAACGGCCCATTTGCTGGGCCCACGCATTGCCATTGAGTAACTGTTGCTGCCTCTGTAACTCTTGAAACTCTTGCACGCTAGAGAAATGATGGACAGAGAACAGTGGAGCGGGAATTGAATCGGAGCTGTCGACTTTCGGAGAGCGTTTTTTGAATGGTGACTTTGAACGAAGCATTTTGAGCCAAGATGCTCACAGCCAACTCAAGACAAGTCGAGCCAACACAAGCGCAATCGAAGTACTTGTGGAAAGAGGATGACTAAGTTGTCCACGCTACAACTGCATACGAACTGTAATTCGCAGGAGTATGGAGAAGTTTAGAAGTCATTCGAGATTAACCGTTGTTGATGATTCTCAAAACTTCGGAGTGACTTGAGCAACGTTAGCGTGATATCAAACTCCATAGCAACCTGGTTGTCGCGGTGGGCAAACATCGCACGCGTGTCCGCAAAGTTTATACAATCGCGTGGCAACCAGTCACATCATCGTTGTAAGGCGGCCACACGAACCAGAACCCTTATCTTTCACGGAAGTCGCGTACTCGCTTAGTTGAGTTCACTGAGATCTATAGCTCATTCCGTTGACATCCGCATGTCGTGTAGTTCGTCCCTATCGTAAACCTACAGTACAAGCTAACAGAGCTCAGTTACATGGCAGTATCAAAATGCTTCATGGTTAGTTAATGAGAAAAGTTTGAAAAGAAAACTCAAGATTGAATTCTATCCTTATCGAAGCTAGACCAAAAAAAAGGAGAATCTGGCCTATCAAACCCTCAAAGAGCGCTCGCGTGCCTGGCAGAATATAGCAATAAGAATCGAGGTATCCCGAATGACTCGCCAAATCGCCCGAAAGACATCATCTGAAAAATGGCGCGAAACGCCGTCGGAACTCCACGCTGCAACGGGATCGATGTACCGATATGAAGCGCTGTTGTAGTTGTTTTTTAAGTGCTTGTTGGCAAATGAGAAAGATTCAAAAGAATGATACGACGGGAAACGAAGGCGAAGAAATACGAGAGTCCAATGTCAGACTTATAGGACAACACAGCCACCCTTTCGTTTCCGTTTGCCTTCCTTGGGAGGAGGTTCCAATGCAGCGACAATCGCCTGCAGAAGAGGTCAGCTCTGCATTACGTTACGGGACGGGTCTGCTGTAGTGCCCCCGCATGCTGATTGAGAGGTAAAAAGACAGCTGTTGATGACATACCTCATCGAACACATCTTTGAGCTTGTACTGCGTTAGGGCGCTGCACTCAACATATGTAACGGCCTTTAGTTCCTTGCACATCCTTTCACCCATTTCCTTTGTGACAGGCTGCATCTTTTGTTTCGCAAGCTTCTCTCTCACCGCTTCGTCATTTCTAAGATCAACTTGCGTTCCGACAATCAGGCATGGAACACCAGGACAATGGTGGTGGACTTCTGGAAACCATTTTTCCCGGACGTTTTCGAACGAGGCCGGCGACGTAACAGAAAAGCAGACGAGGAAGACGTCGGTCTGAGGATATGACAGCGGCCGCAGACGGTCATAATCTTCTTGTCCGGCGGTGTCGAAAAGACCCAGGGTGTATGGCTCGTCGCCAATCCTGCTACATTTAGCGGTGCTAAATGTTCACCTAGTAGCATCCAACTCACATTACGGTGACCGCGTAGTTGTCAAAAACTGTAGGAACGTATTCGGAGGGGAATTTGTTGGTGGTATAGCTGATAAGCAGACATGTCTTACCAACAGCACCATCACCGACGACGACGCACCTGCGAGCAGCTCAGTACGCCGCACATGTGTAAGGGGGTTCATTAGCTGCGCACTTGATTGTCGGACTCATCTTTGTGTCCTGCTACGATAATTTGAGCTTCTGCTATTCAGTCACCTGCAGAGGTGCTTATGAATTGGCTAGGATTTTTGTTTTCGTCAACGCGACTGCTGGTCGTGAAGGAGTCACCTTTGTGGAGACGGACCGTTCGCCGGTTTAGGAATATACTTTGCGACGCGTTGGAGATCCACCAGGACTCGAAGGGTGGTATTTTAGTTGTTCTAGACCTAATCGTGAGTTTGTGCGCATACATCTTTTGGTTCGCAGTGAGCGACAATGCGGATGAAGATCTTCAAAGGCGCTGCTAAACCGAATCGCTGCGTTCGTCACGTATCTGAGGAATCTATGCTAATCTCTCTAGGCTCAGCGGTTCCATGATCTAGCAGGGCCTTTGGCGACTTCTTCTTTATCCTGCTCAGACCTCAACGTGCAATTTGACGCCGGGCCGGTGCGTGATGATCGCTGTGGAACGAAGCTCGGAATCGAGCTCGGCAATCTCGAAAGAGACAATATCGTGAACAAGGGATTACAAGCACGTACTTGTGTAGTGGAAGCGCACAGTGCCTAGGCTCGCCGTATGCGCGACAGGATAAGCGAGGAAGGAGAAGAGGTGAAACGCTGTGGCGAAGGGAGGCTGTGGGTGAAGGTGAGGAGGTGGAGTGGACGGAGAGCAAGTATGGGAAGGCGAAAGAATTATCCGCAAACGAAGTTTTCAGGTCAGGCGGTCGTCCCTTGGCCGGTGGCGAGAGAAGTCGCAGGAGCCTACGACACGACGAACAATAGTCGCGTCGATGAAGCAGCACCAGCAACAGGATCAGTGGCGGAGATGGGCAGGTCGACGGAGGGGCCTTTGTAGAGGGCAGCCAGCAAAGCGGAGACGTGAGCGGGCGCAGGGGGAGGCGAGAAAAGAATAAGTTCGAGGATGGAGACCCGAGGAGTCCAGCAGCAAAAGAAAAGAAAAGAAAAGAAAGAGAGGTGGAGGCAAGGACACGATCTGATTGCTCTCGTGTTGTTCGGGGGGTTGCACGTCGACGGGAGAGGAATGCGTCCACAGGACGGGTTGGAGATAAAATAGCGGAGATTGGCGAGTTCTTTTTGTTGCGCTGTGCTGGTGTCTTTTTGGCTTTTGCAGCTTGGGCGGACAGCGCTAAGTTTTGGGGGGGGCGGAGGGGGCCCGCTGGTTCAGGATTGGCGTAGGGGCTGTTGGCGCCGGTGGGTGGGCAACACCAGCAGCGCTGGCTTGCGCGGAGCTCTCTGGATGGAACTGATGATCCCCGTGCAGGGCCGCGCCTGGACGTCGCTGCGAGCAGCCAGGACAACCAGCCGGATCGAACGTGCGAGAAGGAAAAGAAACGCGCTGGACCGTACGGCCAGAAAAGAAACGAAGTTGGCTGTGCGAGTGAGGACAGACCGGGCCAGGCGGCTGCTCACCCCGTGGGCCACGCCTGCGACCACACGCTACAGAGCTGCTGCTGCTGCTGCTGCTGCTGCTGCCGCTGCCGATGATGATGATGATGACGATGATGACGGTGATGCCGACGCCGATACCTCCACGGCCGCCGCGGCCTCCCACTGCTTCCGCTGAGCTACTACGGAGTCGGAGAACTTTGTCCTTGCCTGTGCCTCAAGCGTCCCCCGTGCGCTACTCTGTACCGCATCGATCCGATGTCCTCGCGTTTCTGATCCTCGTCAGATGCCAGCGCGATGGAATGCAGCGCCACCTTCTTTCCCGTTCTGAGGGCGCATCTTTCGAAACAGCTCGCGGTACCTCGACTATGCGTTGCAAAAGTCATGCATCGTGCCTATGCAGGAACCAGCGTTCCACCATCCCCCCGTCTACAACCCTGACCATGGCCAGAATCCAACGCAGCCAGCGACTCAGACGTTCTGCTGCCATGTCTTGGCCCAACCCGCAACCTCGCTCACTTTCACTCTCGCGCCTTCTGTCGTGTTCTTCCACGTCCGCGACATCTACCCCAACCCGGCCTTCGGTCAAGCTCCTTTTGGTTTGCAAACATGGTTCCAATCGTTCTCCATCTCGATGGCGTGTCAGACTTCGGTTTCGATACGATCCGAGCACTAGCTGGTCGCATCGAGCATATGTTTTGGCCTGAAACGCGGAGCAGCCACGAGGAAACGTGAGAACGCACATGGGGCGTCGCTATGCTAACTTCTCGCCATTGTTGCACGCAGATCACCGTGGGCTCTGCCACTTTCACATATGTAGTTGCTTCTCCACACAATTCTATCTACAGCTACAGCGCCTGATCATCCACATACAAACGTCTTCAGCTACAGCCGTTTTGTACGGCAAATAGCTAGACGTACGCTTACCCTAGCGGCCCCAAATACTTCGGCGCCTCTCGTCACCTTTCTTGGTATCACCAATGACCTTTCCTTCGACCTTCTGATCCATCTGGTCGAGCTTGTAGTTCTTCATGAGCAGACTAAGTGGAATTATAGGCGCGGCCACAATCACAGCCGCTGTGAGCAACAGCTTCATAGTTTCCTGATATGATCGGTTGATTGCTACGCGTTCTGGTGATCCGACCGGGTACAGCGTGTAGTTACCCGAGTAGTTGATGCTTCCGTAAATGAGCTCAGCACTTCCAACTGAAGCTTCTGGTAAGTATTGGCGGAGTTTTGGTAAGACGTTGCTACTCCAGATCGCGCCTGACACGGCGTTGCCTACTGCACCGCCAACCTCAAGAATGGTGAGCCAGACTGCCGTTGCCAAGGCCACTTGCTGATGAGATGCGGAGGCCTGGACGCCGAGCTGAGTTGGTACGTTGAGCATGCCGCCGCCGATTCCAATGACCAGCTGCGTGCCAATGAGAGTCCCGGTAGATGCACCTTCGTTGCGGTAGTGAAACATGATGCCCATGCCCATCAGGTATATACAAGCTCCAGCGGTAATAAAGTACTTGTAATGAGCGGTATACTTGATCATGAAAGACACCGCTATTGACGACACCGTGGACGTGAACGAAAAGACCTGTGTAATGTGTCCGGCCGCTGCAGTTGATTTGTGCTGCACTATGACAAGGTACGAGTAAAAGTATGGGAAGACTGACAAGTAGAAGGCCACTGTGGAACATCTTAGCGTACAGCTTGGGTTCGAGAATCCGGATATCTGCTTACTAAAATAGAAAAAGGCAATCAGATTGCCTGCGATGACCGTCTTGCTCTTAAATAAAGCTGGCGGGAAGAATGGTCTGGGCGTGAGCCTCTTGGAATTTTCCCAGAATGGAAACAGCAAGAGGAACACGCCGCCGATGACGAGCATTGCAATCATACTAGGCGTTTCCCATCCCCGACTTGCCCGAGGAGCAAGAGTCAATGGAAGGAGAATCAGCGAGATGGCAGTTGCGAAAAGGAGGAGGCCGAATAGGTCCATGTCGTACCAGAAGTTCTTTATTATTTCTAAGGCAGATTTTCCATGCAAGGGGCTTGGTACTGCCAGTCCTTGCCTCTTCGCCCGCCTTTGGTTTAGGAAGAGGATCACTGCAAGTGGAGTGAACACGACCGGCAGAATGATTGCCCACATCCCATAGCCCCAGCGCCAGGTGGTAGTCTCTAGAATGCGTTGAGCCGCCTCCGGGCCTGCCCACACAGTCCAGAGGAATGGAACGTCAAACAAGGTCGAGAAGAGCGCACGATTGAGCAGATCCGTTGTGTCGGCAACAAAGATTTGCTGAAGTATCTGTAGTCCTTGATTTCCGGCTGAGTAGAAGATCTGAGCTCCCGCAAAGGTTTGCACATTTTGACTGGAGGCTTGCATTATGTAGCCGATTGTGTACAGGAGAATTGATGTGCAGAACGATTCCAGACGACCAAAGACATCGGCAATTTTACCCATGGGAGGCTTGATTACGGCTTTAAAAATGATTAGCGCTTCTAAAGCTCGATTCAACCGACGAAAACGTACAGTTGACAACACTTTGAACCACGTAAATAGTCGCAATAAGAGAATGTTCGCCGAACGAACTCGTCGCGTAACTACCCATCACACTCGTAACCTGCACCTCGAGAGATGTGGCATTGGCAATCAACAGCAATCTAATCAGATCTCATCAGCCTCGCTCAGCCTTGTCGACATCGTTACTAGAAACGTCTGGTATGTTGCAATCGAAACAAAGTTTACTATCGATTCTTTACGGAAGAGATTGCTAGTATTTTTTCACACTGGCATTTCTCCTGTTTAGATGATGCGGTGAACTTACGTGACGTAGGCGATAATCAATCCTGTTGAGGTCCATGTCTTGCTGATGGCCTCCAACTTTTTCACGCCGGCTTGAGTCTCACTTACTTGACTCTCAGTATCGCAATCATCATTGATGTTTTCATGACCATGTGAAGATTTAGGTTCTTCAGCCCTTTCATGATTGACCTCGACCTTGTGGTCGTCGTTCAACTTCGACATCTTGTTCGGCGCTTGGTGTCAGCCTCTGCTCACAGCTATTGTGTCCGCAAAGGGAGAAACGACGAGCATAGAAAAATAGAACAACGCAAAGAGTTTTGGAAATGAAGTAGGACCAAAGCGAGGGTTTAAAAACACGAGAAAACGGCGGCGACCATTCTCTGCATCGTTGAACTCGAATGGATGCTCGGCAAGAGCTCCGCTGATCATGGCACAGATGGACTTCTATCAGATCAAGGGCCTCTGAAACTAAAACAAGTAGAGTAAGGCCGCTCGAGATTCCTCTCACATTTTCCACTTGGCGCCAAGGGAGACAAGCAGACTAAACATCACGCTCCGGATCACTGCTACCTCATGGCACATTCTTGGGCTGGACGCCCTGATGCGGACGCTGATGCAGCCATACACGGAGTGGCCGAAAATGCAACCCAAGATTAGATTGATCTTATCAATCTGGGCGTTCCGAGAGTGTGACCCGTCATCCAAGCACTCGGCGTTGCTAGTGTCGCGCAGGCCAAAAAGGACAAAAAAAAAAACTTTTCAGCCTTGCAACGGACAAATTACGTGAATGTAACATGGATTGTTGGCTCTTTTTGGTACTCTAGACCCCCAAGTCTCGTGGCAATAAAAGAAAAAAATCTCGTGGATCTAGTTGGCCCAAAGCTAACCTACGATGTGGAGATGAACAACTTGCCAAATACTGTCGCGTAAATTCTTGCGGAGAAATGATCCGATGCTCGAAAGAACGATTTTGATCAAACCAATATCTAGAAATGAGAGAAAGGAAAAGCAATCATGTCATTTTGTATGCTTGTTACGAAGACACAGCGTCCAATGAACCGCCATTGACCATAGTAAGAATGCTCATCACACATCATAACATATACATCCAATACTTTATTAGAATCTGTGTTCTAAATTTTGACCTCATACTGTAACTTTGCGAAGGAAGTTGACGTACGGTGCGAAAAACAATCCCGTCTTTCCGGCGTATACCCCCCATAGCCAATCGCCGTTGATGTCTTCTGCCTCTCTGATCTCCGCTCCCTTGGGAAAGCAAAGGTCCTTATCCGTCGCGTTTTCCGGGAAGTAATTCCAGCGTGCGTAGAAGACAAGACCGATTCCTCCATCGGGTGGGATGCGGACATGGCCTGCTAAACGCGTCCGGTACTCAGGATCCGCTTCTTGTTCCTGCCCGTTGTCGCCAGTCCATCGCCATTTTCGAGTCCCCACGGAGGTGGTGTTCACGGCATTGTTAGAGCCTTGAGGTTCTTCGAAGAAAGTCCACCCGCCGACCAAGTCGCGGGCCACGACGCGACGTTGGCCTCCGCCGGCATCCTGAAAGCCGATGACAACCATGCGGTGGTTCTGAGGGCATCTGCGCCAGCCTTGCGGGCCGTTGACACTGCTGATCTTTCCCGTGGCCACCAGTCCGTGATAGCAACTCATGCATATGTCGTAATCGCCCCCGTTGCACTGTGGACAATGGAAGCGTGTTACTGACGGCGGTATGGGATTTGTGCACAGATCACATAGAGTATGGAAGGTGAGTGGCTGGAATGGTATGTTTGCAACAGGTATGACAACAGGACCATCGATTATGGAGGCCGACTTTGGCGTAAGCGGCGGTGACGGGTGTTGTTCGGCGTCTGGCCGTGTCGGAGCACTTAAATGGCCATCCACTTGGCTAATACTCGTATACTCGCTCTCTCGGGCCTTCAGAGGCAGAAGTGGATGCGTGCAATGCTTTCCCTGATTCACACAGTCGTTGCAGAATCCCCATTCGCCGTCATTACAAGCATCGCACTTCCAATAACAGTTGTTGGCGAAGGCCGAGCATTGGTCGCAAAACACGCCTTTCTCTAGTCGCTTTGCTGGATCTTCGTACGTGAGCTGTCGATGAGGGCGGTCCGATGTCGGAGAAGGGACAAGTGGATGTTTTGGTCTAACGTAGCGTTGTGCCGTAAAGACGTGTGGCTTCTCTAAAGAACTTGGCGGTTGAGTTTTCGAGTGCATTCGCGACTCGTAGACGCGCATCGCGGCCGATCCAAAGCCTAACCACCCTTGGCAGTTATCCATTCCATGACGGAAGCACGATTTGCAAATATTGTAGGGCTGACTTTCCGTGGAGCATTTGGGACAATTGTAGTGGACCTCAAATTCAATATGTTCCTTTGCGCACTTGCTGCAAGAGATTGATGGCTCGGTGTGCAAGACTGGCCTACTGTGGGCAGATGTAGATGAGGATGAAGATGGTCTCCCAGCAGACGAAGGGAGATTCAATGTGCCAGATCCTGACGAGGAAATACCAAACGGATCTGTTGCTGAATGATTAAGCCCAATGGGAAGTGAAGATGTGCTGTGGTTATGGCTTGTTCGTGGAAATGTGTTAGAGCTGCCCAACCTCGGTGAATGCTGAGGATTGCTGTCGGATCTCTGACGCACATGAGTCCTAAAAGAAGCATGAGACATCTCTGCGTTTCGCGGCGTGGCTGGTGCAGAACCAGGACTTGCTTGTTGCGATACGTGACTGCCCGTAGGTGCTCTGTTCGGATCAGTCGCACTTCGTTCGTTGGACTGTCGTCGCCTGCTCTCCTCTGAAGTAGACACAACGGGTAATATAGGCGCTAGCGTAGGTGATGGCAACGACGCCACACCGCTGTCCATCCTGGCCGTCGCTCGACTATTTCCTGAGCTTCCAGACCGCCGATGACGTGCCTGTCCTTGGTTGGCCGAATCAATAAGTTGCGGATTCGATATTGGAGGTGGTCGAGCATCGCCGGTTCTTCGCCTGTCCGTTGCCCGTGTACCGTTTTCCTCAGTTCCTGGGCGGCTCGACGTTCTCGAACTGGGCGCTCGTTGAGTGTTTCGATCCTGATGCCTGCTACGGTCACGGGCGGCATCTGCCTCCCGACGACGTCGTCTCGCATCTTCCTTCCGCCTCCTGTAAGCTGCAGCGATTCTTTCACTTAGCTCCTCTTCTCTAGTCGCATCGAGATTGCTCAGATCGACGTCGTCCAACAGGCCCTCATCTGCAATCATCCTTGTGATTTCCTGCTGCATCTCTTCTGGGCTCATTTCAGAGACGCTGAGGAGCGATATCAAGCTGGACTGGTGCTCAACCTGTCTTGTACTAGTTTCTCGCTGCGTCGGTGAAGGCAGGTCGGCTTCATTCCTTTCTGCCTCCCGCGAGCGCTCTGTCGAGCGACGTCCTGGACTGCGAGACCCATTGCGACTTCTGCTTCCCCCTCCGACGTGCCCCAGCCCTGGCCTTCTGCTATCCGTGGGCTGTAAAGTGTTTGCCTGCGTTGAGCTTTCTGTGATTCCAGCCTCCCGTAAGCTCATCTGCATGACCTCTTCCATGAGCCTATTATCCTCCTCATCCGGGGGTGGATGTCGCAGCCGGAGCTTTGGCAGAACGTTGTCCCCAGGCTTGTACTTCTCTTCATGTTCGCGCTTGTCCTCTTCTGAGCGCGCCTTATCTGGGTTCTTGCTCAAGTGTTTTTCCAGCCAGTTCATTATCAACGGATAGCGCTTCGTTGTTCGCACTGAGTCGCGGCATGATGGGCAGGTATAGGGATGTATGCTGCGCGCGCTTGCAGCTTGATGAGCGAACCAGTCCTTTAGGCACGCACCGCAAAAAGTGTGCATGCAATCGAGTAGCGTCAGAGGTTGGTACAATATCTGCATACATATCTGTATATTTGTTAATTACATGTTCTGCGAGAGTAAAGATCGGGTAGGTGGGGGACTCTGGAGAGAGAATGACAATGATGCGCTGCACGACATACTGCACAGTTTAAATCCTCACCCAAATCGATGGCAGGTGAGCTTGCCGTTGCTACTGCTCCTTCAGCCATGGCAAAAGCGCTGCAGAGCAAGCTTTCAAAAAATTTGTCGGCCCGGGATCTCGTCTGGGTTCCGTCACAGGTTCAGCTGGGCTAGGCATACGCTGACCGACGTGCTGTAACTCCGCATTACCAGTTGAAAAGCTGGGGGTAAGCTGCGGCGAACAAAGATAACGAAAGGAGTTCCACAAAGTCAGATTGTACTGCTGACTGTAATGAGATTTGATATGTACGAAGAAGATTCTAGTCTACCAAGTATATCTTTTCCGTCCAGACGCCGCACACCTCATTCGAGCAAAGGTTTGGCCACTCAATATTGGCGTCGACAGGCATACGAGGCTTGCATAAGCACTTCACAAATATGCAAGGCGAGCAAGAATTCACACACACACACACACATACACCCATTGGAAAATCAAATTTTTGAAGCAACAAGAGGGAGGAAATTCGAGACTGGCGCAGACAAAATGAGCCTACAGTAAAAATGCCAATCAGAAAAGGCCCGGGTGCATTTGGCACAGAGAATGTCCGTAGGTACTATCTAATGATACACCTTGGAGATTGTTGAAGGTATCATTAGCGAAAAAGACCACGGAGGTCCTTCTTGACAACGGGGAATGGTCAGAAGTTGTAGGGAACACAAGACAGCTGACGATAAGGTTTGTTGCCGTATCAACTTGAAAGAAAAAAAAGGGAAAGAAGACGAGGAGGCAGCGCACGCGAGGGGAAATATGTACTGGACGCACGGGGATGCTTGCTTAGTCAGCAACAGCACGACAGGCGTGCGGTCGGGGAACGAATGCGCTAACCACATTGAAACATTTCTCGATTCCACTCTTTCTTTGCTCATGAGAGAAACGGTTTCCTGATCATCTCCTCCGCATGCCATGAAGGGCTCACGCCATGGTATCAAGTCCCTAATTGGTGGCAATGGTACGAGTGTGTCCAGACTCTCAATGAGATCAATTGGCTAATTCACACGTGCACACAGGGATACCACGCAACGGGCCAGTCTGCTCCTCGTGTCGCAACCATGTTCTCCAGGCCAGACGTGCATCGACAGCAGCTGCGGTAGCTCCGTCTGAGGATGCTACCACCCCAAAGGCAGCGCCGCCCAGACAATCGTACCAGATCCGCGCCGGTGTGGTGCTGTCCCGGCCGCCGCAGATCACGCGCGATCTGACCCCCTTCGAGAAGGCCTTCTTCCTGTACCAGCGACGGCTCAATGAGCGCCTCTCCCTGCCCGCAATGCAATACTTTTACTTCAGGCCCAACTCTCCCGCGATGCTGGACTTCAAGCGCAAGCGACGAGCACGCGGCGGTGTCGCCGCCAGAGACATTGGTGCGTACAATCCGTACGACAAGACGGCCGGCTGGAACGACGAGCTGCTCATGGGCGACCCAATTTGCGAGCCAGAGCATCAGGCCAAGGAGCTGATCAAAGACTCGATACCTCTGCCCAAGGACGACGAGACCGTCGATGGGGAGGCCGGCGTGTCCCAGCAGCAGGACACGGTGCTGACTCTGATGCCGCGGTGGACTGAGGCCGATGAGAAGGGTGATCAGCGAAGCCTGAACAGGCTTCTGCAGCGGACTTTGTATCTGCTTGTGCGGAACAAGCAGGGTCAGTGGACATTCCCTGAGGATGTCCTAGTTGGCAGAGAGAGCCTTGCCATGGTAAGAGAGCAACCGGTTGGCTGCGGGTTTGTCGCACCCTTACTGACTAGGTCCCCAGGCCGCGGAGCGAATCCTCACGCAGTCCGGCGGAGTCAACATGAACACCTTCATCGTGGGCAACCACCCGGTCGGCCACCGAGTCGTCGAGTACCAGGCGCTTGCGGCTGAGCCAAATCAGAAGAAGGGCGCCAAGGAAGCGCAGGAGGAGTCTGCCAAGCAGAAGAAGGAACTGCAAGAGCTTCGTGCAAAGTACAGCGCTCTTGTCGCCGCGGGAAACATGGGCGAGAAGCTCTTCTTCATGAAGGCGCGCATCATGGCCGGCCAGTTTGACCTGGCAGCAACCCAGATGGGCATCACAGACTTCAAATGGCTGTCCAAAGAAGAGGTAGAGAAACAGGTCGACAGCTCATATTGGAGCAGCATCAAGAACATGCTGCCTACCAGGTAAAAGTGGAAGGTGATTATAATGCTCCACTCAAAGCATTTTGTTTTTAGCATCGGGGTCGTGTACCAATATCGTGTGACTGTATAGGAAGTGGAAAGTTTGTATGAGGGGAATCAAGATAGAGGGAAAAAAAATCAAACAGACGTTCAAGTGTACATTGTCTTCAGCATTTTCGTCTTGACGATGTTCTGCACTTTGTGGAGAGGAAAATGGGACACTATCCAGCCTCGTTCCTGTTCATCCTCCAGCTCATATCCCTTGCACACGTCTCCTCATTCCCCACGTCACTGTACGCTCTCACGACGACGAGGGACTGGCAGCAAAGTTTTGGGTTCCGACTTTTTTTCCGCATGCATCAGGTACCTATGCCCGCCAACGCCAGCGCCAAACACTAATGGGAACGAGTCGAAGGGAGGAAGAGGAAAGGAAGCATTCATGCCGTGCAAGAACCCAAAGCACCACGTGTTGAGCGAAAATTTTTCCTCGCCTAATGCAAAATCTTTGTTCAGAACCTCGACCTCATCCTTTGCGTCCTGTACGCTGTGAAACCGACGTAGGCACCCGTGATCACGAAACCGAAGATGATGAACTTTGTGAAGAACCAACCCCACCCACCACTAGAGCTGTCCGAGGAGCTCAGCTTGTTGTTCGTGGGCTTCTTGCTGCGACCCTTTTCCGCGCCGGTGCTGGGACCAGATGAGGGCGCGTACAGATTCCTGGTCTGGACAGATATGAGGTCGTGGTTGTCGGCTAGCTCTCCCGTCTCAGCGCTGAAGCCCAGATACGCGACGCTGGGGATCTTGACGTCCGGTCCGAGTGTGAAGCAATTCTCCCACTTATCCTCGGACTTGTACTGCAAGTCTAGGCTGAGTGACTTGTCCTGGAAGTACGTGAGGCGAAGTTTAGTCGGCTGGTTGGCGTTGCGAATTCCCCGTGCCTGCGAATCGGTTGCGTTAGTGTCTTGCCACAAGCTTGTCGTTCAAAACCATCCCATCTCGTAAGAACGGGGCTTTGTTGCGTACCGAACACCCAGCCAGCTCATTGGCTTTGCCGTCATTCTCCTTGTCGTACGGAGTGTTGCCGTCCCCAAGCATGGCCATCACATAAGGGAACACTACGCCTGGCCTGTTGTTCTTGTACGTGTCGATGAAGATGCCTAGGCCCTCGAACCTATCTTGGAAGCCAAACACCCTGCCACCTTGAGCCCGCTGCTTGGTGAGCCACATGGCCATGCCGTCGCCATAGAGACTGCCAGTGCCGGTGATCTTAAATTCGACTTCAATCTAAAGCGAACAATCATGTTAACATGTTGCCGTCCCCGGTTCCCTCTGTTCCTGCGGGAGAGAAGCAGAAGAAAGAGAGTTCCGTGTGCGTGATCCATACCTCCCAATTTGTGGCTGTAAGAGGCACACGGCTGAAGATCCAGCCTGATCGCGAGCCAATGTCACCCGTGAGCCTGATATACTTGTCCGTCCGTATGACGGTATCGCCGCCGTAGTCGAACCATCTGTTCTGCATGTCCGAGTCCAAGAAAGGCTACAAAGGGTAGAATCGACAAGGTCAGCGAGCGTTCGAACAATCATGGAGCGCCCAGACGAGAACGCCGTGATAGGTAAGGTGCTTTTTAACGTACGACTTGCAGGCTGTGCGTGCGAAGCTGGACCTGACTTAGCGCTCCTATTGACAGGCTCCATCAGTTCATGCATACCGGTATGCTCTTCACATCATCCTGACCGGCGACAAGCGAGGAGCACAGCAAGGCGCAAAGCCATGCTAACCGGGCTGCTCCAGCGAACCACGTCATCATTGTTATCGTGCGTTCCCTGACTTTGGAGATGCGGTCCAGCCAGTGAAGCACGGATGCAAAGAGCGACCTGGGGAGACAAGGAGAGAGGCGAGAAGGAGGGAGGTAAAGGATATATGTATTAAGTACAAGGGAACAAAAGAAAGAGAGCCCGCAGGCAACGTGGAACTGAAAGGGAGAGCGAAAAGAAAAAAAAAAATCAACCACTGCTGCGATCCAAGGCGGAGAGGAGTCAAGCCTTTTGCGTTGTGCGACTTCTAGGAGGGAAGAAAGCTCCTGGGGAATTTCGTCGTTTGACCACCTATGCTAAGTCTGAAGCAGCGCGCCCCAAGCTAAACCTTCCACACGCGCCGCACGAACGAGTAAGACACAGGGCCCAGCGGAAGGGGCGGGGGTGCGCCGTCTTTCATGGCCCCCTCCCCTCTAAACCGTCCCCGGCGAACCTCCGTCCCAATGCGGAAGGCCCGGTACCTGTTTGATGACCCAGAAAAAATTCGTTCGCAGAGCTCAGGTTTACCCCGGCCGTGCCGCCTTTACCCAACCACCACCATCGCGAAGTCGACGTCAAGCTTATCTGCCCTTTTCGTTCTCGCCTCCTCCATCTCTGCATCTCGAAGCATCCCCGCGCGACAGTTTCGCCTACCTCCGTCCAGACAGTCGGCGGACGCGTTTCCACCTCTCAATTGCGACAAAACAATCCCTCTTCCTCACGACCACATCATCACCCGGCAGCCATGGACGCCTCAGCATCCGCCGATCCCAAGACGGCCATCATGAACGAGGTGCGCCAGCAGTCCGCCGTCATAAACGCTCGTCAGTTGATTGAGGTACCTTCGACTCTTTTCTCCAATTTGTGTTTTCTTTCTTTAATTGCCGTGTCCTGACGCCAGCTTGTTTCTCCCTAACAGAAAATCAATGAACACTGTTTTGACCGCTGCGTTCCCAAACCGGGAACGTCCTTCTCGAGCGGCGAGTCGTCGTGCATCTCGGCCTGCATGGAGAAGTACATGAACGCATGGAACGTGGTCAGCAAGACATACGTTGGCCGGTTGCAACAGGCGCAGGCCGCTGGCCCCGGTGCGCTCACCTTCTAGACAGAGCCGCTGTTCCGCATACCATCATTTTGGTTATCACACTCGCTGGAACCCTAGACAGAATGGATGGAAGGGGCGTGAAAAGCCGTGTAAGATGAGGGGATACGGTCAATGCTAGGGACTGCAAAGGATACGCCGGAGCTGACTTTCATCTCTTCACTCGGTTTTTTCTTGGGTCCAATCAGGAATAACATCTGTGTATCATATAATCCGAGGCGGTTCCAGGATGGACAGCATCATTTGGCACACTGTATAAATAGAAGGAAGAGAAATAGACGCGAAAGTTACGATTGCACGCAAACACGGCCGGCGCTTTAGCTCCTAGCGCACGCCGATAGAGAACCAGACGTACGTGTTGGTAGTTGTACTTGCTTTTGTTCATTCCTACGTACCGCTCTTCTGCGTGCGTGAGCAGACCTGTCCCTGTCTGTATACTACTGTTGGGGGGGACATTGTCCATACCCTCACGCCAACATCACGTTAGTGCTTGCGGGACTTTGTATGTCCACCTTTATTTTTCCACTTCCACAGTACACCCCAAAAAAGATCATCTTGTTTCTCCACGCTTGGCCCTCGCGGTGGACTGGATGAAGGACAAAATGCACACACCCGCATTCCCATGCAGAAAATAAACAACATACATGCAGATATCTATGTTTAAATGGTTCATTCAGTCCACCGGAAGCACGTCCATGTGTATTATGAGGTTGGTGGCGATGCAGGTGAAGCACATAGCATTCGGACCACCGAATTTGCTTCACCGACACCATGTGGAAAGGAAGCGGAGAAAGAGTCATTCGGGAGAGGATTGATAATAGACTCTAGGTGCTCAAGAATCGTCGTCGCTGTTTTTCCTTCTCTTCTTGCCTCCGCCGGTGGCACGTTTCTTCTTCGCTGGGGCAATGCTGCCACCGTCCATAGCATCGTCGCTGTCCTCGTGTTTGTCTGCAGTCTTGGACGGGGCCTCAACGACCTTGCTTACAATCTCCTGGAGGTAATCGAATTGATCGTCCTCGAGCACAGCTTGTTTGAGGTGGGTGGCAAGCACGCGTTTCGAGCCGCGGCTCCGAGCTTGGGCGGCAGCTTTGGTGACAAGCGAAATCATGAAGAGCTCGAGTGCTTTGGCTGTGAGTCATAAGAGGCAATAGATTAGCGTGATTGATTCAATACGGCAGGAAGAAGTTGAAAAGGATTTTTTTTCTATAAAACAAAATGAGGGAGAAAGATTGAGATGAGAGAAAGTCAAGGAAGGAGAGAAAAGGAAGAGTAGACGTACAGACGGCGACGGGCGTCACCTGCGCAACTTTACCAACGTCCTCGTCGGCCTGCATGATGCGTTTTATGCGAGCGACGGGGAACTTTGTGCGCACCTCGATGCCCTCCTTAACGCCGGGGGCGTTGTTCTCGTACTCAGCGCCGCCCGCGTCCTCCTCCTCCTTCTTGGCTTTCTTGCCTCCCCGCACGGCTGCTGGCATGGCGGCTCCACTGGAATCCTGATGGGCACTATGGCTTTCCTGCAGTTTGACCTCGGAAGAATGCGGATGCTGCGGAGGGTGGCCCTGGCGGTGAGGTGCGGGAATAGGAGCGCCGTACGGAGCGTGTTGTGGAGCAGTCGCGTTTGCGAAATAGGGATTGAAGGGCTGTGGTGGTGGATGGCTAGGCGACTGAGAGGTAGGAGCAAAGTGCTGATTGTAGTAGCTCAACGGCTGGGGAGACGAGTGCAAGGTATGTGCTTGCGATGCCTGCTGCGAATCCAATGGTGGATATTGCCGTGGCGATTGAGCTTGTGGTTGCGGTTGTGGTTGACCTGGTTGTGGGTAACTTCGATGGGCAGAAGGCGTTAGGAGCTGGGGTGGGAAGCCGAAGGGCGACTTCAGGTCACTGGTAGGAGTGAAAGGCGAAATGTGTGGAATAGAGCCTCTGTACTCCCTGTGCTGAGGGTGGGGCTCAAATTGGTCTGCAGCCGTGAGATCTGGGGATTGCGGCGCGTAGGTTGCGTCGTCGGTATCCGCCATGCAGGTGAGATCAAGTAGAAGCCCTTTTTATATTGAACTGGGGGGTGGGGGGAGGGGGTGGTTGTAGCGGTGGTGGTAGAGGGAGCTAAAGCTTTGCCTAGGCCGTGCGCGGTGGCACACACTAGTCCAGGCAATACTGCCTTTTTTTCTCGTTCTGGTGGGCAGACAACGAAGAATCTGGTCTTTGTTCGCGTCTGCGTGGGACCCGCGCGTGTGCTGGAAGGCGCAACGATATCAACGCTGTCTTTAGAAAAAAAAAAAAAAAAGGGAAAAAAAAATTCCGGATGCTTTTTCGTACCGCGGCCGACTAGGGTAGCTTTTATTGGTTTCTTTGCTTCGACTTTTTTTCAGACGATGATTAGGGGCCCGCTGGCAAGGCTGACACATGGGAAGCGCACACAAAAACGGGACGCAACGCGTCTACGAACAGTCGGCGCCCGCCCAGGCGAGCAAAAGTCTTCTAGCGCGGAGCGAATGACGCCTCTGGCCTCTGTTCATGTGCTTCCGACGCCGTTCCTGCGTGTGTCTGCTCGCGCGAAGGACAGCTTCTCACGATCAAACTGAACGGCGTGGCTCTGGTTTGTCCCGTTCAGCGTGGCGGCTAAGATCAACAGGGGAATGCTGCCAAGGTGCAAAGCGGCAGCGGCGTTGCAGTGTCAAGATGCGAATCGGTGTCGGCGTCCGTGTCAGCGTCAGCGTCGGAAGCGGCGTCCGCGTCAGGCGTGAGGGTTGGGTGCTGGTGGCGACCCAGGAGCACGGGCGAGGAACGCAGGAGGAGCGGCCGTGGCACAGGCAGGCGCTCGGCACCTCAAATACTCGGGCGGGCAGGCTGCTCCTGGGCCCCGAGCCCGCCCCTGTCGGACGTTAGCAAGCAGCTCAAGGCCGTGCGACATGACTGTTCGCAGTGCCACTGAGCCTGGCTTCGTCCACAGCATCCCAACCTCGTCCTGAGGCCCAGTCAAGCCACACACGCGCACACCCACAAATCCTCCTCGCATTCGTGACTTGGCGCTCTGCCCGGCTCATGCTTACTTAATGCACTTGCCAGCTTGCCCGCCCCGAACCTGGCCGCGCTAGGCTAGCCTGCAAAAGCCGGCCGCTGTGTGCGCTCTGCTTCCTGCTTTCTTCCCTTTCGTCGCCGTTATCAGCGGTACGTTGCGTGATGAAAAGAGCTTGTCCTGAGAGCAGCTGGCCTCCAGCTCAGCTTTGGTCTGACCACGCCTCTTCGCGTCGCCTCGCAGAAGGTCTGGAAACCGCCTTTCCCCTTCCGCGGAGAGGAGGCTGGGGTCCTGCCTTGGTGATACTGCGTACGCATCGAAGAGTGGCCTCTAAGACGGACAGAATACTTGATCTAATCTGATGACTCCGCTGACGGCTATCCCCCTCTGTATGTTGATCTTTCGCTGTTGACTGTGTCTTGACGTGTCCTCTCGCGTCCAGTGCGGCGAGCGAAAGGAACCTCCTTTGTACGTGCGAGGCCCGACCACACGTGCTCGACATGACTGACCTTTGTCTTTGCCTTACCTTGGGTAGTTCAAGTTCCAAGCTCTGTCCTGCTGGCACTGCGTGCCTGTCTGACCGTACGGCTAATCTTGCCCCAAAGCCAGCGCTGTCCTTCTAATATTGCCCATTTGCAAGTTTCGCCCGCAGCACCCCATTTTCCACGTTGATTTGCATCGGACACGTCGTCGATATGCGCGCGCGCTTCTTACCAATTGCAAGCGTAGGAGCTGTCCACAGTTTCCGTGACGACGCAAAAGAACCTCCAAGGCGTGTTTCCAGCCCGTCAGGACAGATTGGTCAACGAACTCTTCTAACGCGACGCGTGCTGGATTCGAACTGTGCTAGGCAGAGTCGCACATGAAACAATTGTGCTTCCATGGTTTCAAGATTCTGGTGCTAGTTTTAACGATGCGTCGCCCGTTTGTGCGCACTTGTACTGCGATCTGTGCTGATCGTATAGGGCATTTCTTAACGACCATATTGAAATCAGAGCAGCTAGTACGTGCAATTTCCAACCCACCTGATGAAGCTTGCATGCGTGTGCTCTGATGCTTGGCTGGCTCGTAGCGTCATGGCAGCTTCGGCATCATCTGTTTTCTTTGTACAGGCGAGGGAGGGGCCAATTACGAGCGGGCAGTAGCGAAAAGTTACGGTCCCATGCTAAAAATGCTTTCTTGTTGCCATTCGGAGTGCCGAAAAAAAATTGCTAGTCAATAGTACTTTGCTCTCTTAGCCCATCTTCTTCCTTCAGTCAACCGGCGATTAGAGCTTGGTTCTCCTGGAACTTATTCACTCCCTTCTTGATCTCCGCCACGATCTCCGCAGCTTCACTGGCACTGACCGCCTCGAAGTCGTACCTCTTAGACTCCCTTTCCTTGTACACGACCAGCCTGAACGTCTTAGGATGTCGCCTGCTGACTTTACAACCCACCACGCTCGAGAAATGTATCGTCGTCACCTTTCCTGTGCCCTCGAACAATTTTTGGTTGGTAGGATGGTGCTCAGATGAGGATGGCATGATGTGAATATACTCTCCGTCTAGGGCCAAAATCCGAGACGCCTCGCGCGCGAATGACATAGGTTGCTTGCGCAGAACGTTGTAACGCTTATAAGTCGCGTTTCCGGACAGTGCTGCCAGAGACTCGAAGCGTGATGCTCCAGGCAAAGTCGTTGCGGCAGCTAGTGGCCCTGCTTTTTTGCCGCCCTTCTTAGGTGTTCCGCCAGGCCCAATGAAGAGCGGTGCGTTCGGGGAGCTGCTACCTGGTGACCCAGCGAGGCCGAACACCCCGTCTCCGACGAAGCGGCGTCGCACGAGATCCAGATCGGTGCGATCGCCCAGTGCCTCGAGGGTCCGGTCCGGCGGCGCAACAACGGTACTTCCGCTTACCTTCAGCACATGCAGAGCTTTCTCGACACCAAGGCGCTTGCAGACAGCGTCGAACACTTCAGCAATGTATGTATCCGACGTAACTTCGATCTTCGTGCTACGTGTGAGGAAATTCTCGTCAGTATAGTGAATAGTGAGAGCCTTCGGCGCCCCCGATCTCATAGCCGCAGTCGATGTTGGGGCGGCAGGAGCGTCCATAGGTGGTTTAGGTGGTTCATGTCGCAAGGACGGTGCTGGTGCGAACGAAGGACCTGTGATCGGATTTCGAAACGAAACTGGGGTTGGTGTCGTAGAAAGTGCTGGCTGAGCACTAGGGGCGTTAAGACTGGCCTGCGATGCAGGTGCTAAGGACGAGGTTTCTTCAGTCATGGCCAAGGCCTCTGCAGCTTGCTTGCTGTACTCGGGCGTCTGTCTTTCGTTCTCTTGAAACTCACTCTCGCTAGCTTCTACCAGACCAAATTCATCCCACGGCTTTTCTCGAGACCGTCCTCTTGCAGGGCGGTTGTTGCTAGAGGTGAATTCGGTCATTGGCCGTGTTCTAGCTAACGCGGGGAAGTCGTAATCGACTTCGTCATCTTCTATCATGCGAAAGTTCCAACAATTTACGTTCATCTTCTTCGCGCTAATGGGGGGTTCGAGCTTCTCTTCTCCATATCTGTAAAGAGCGAAGCCAATTGCCTGAGCCACGGTTACGGGGCTGCCACCATCTCCGAAACGCTTCAAGAGAATCTCCATGGGTTTGGTGGGTTTTGATGATGAAGGGACATAAATTTTAATATACAACGGGTTTAGGTCTGCTTTGGCTGAGAGCGTGGCAAATCTGTCGAAGGGGCTCACTGGTGCTTTGTTCTTCGCTTTCAAGGCAAGTGTAAGAGCGCTGACCGGCGCTACTACACTTATCGGTCGTGGTGGTGGCAATGCTTCCATGGTAAGAGATGATTGCTGAGGGATTCTAGGTTTCCTGGGCGACGAACTCCCAGGTGTGGCAATAACAGGTATACTAGTAAGTTTCCTGGGCAAAGAGTCGAGAGCATGAGCATCAGCCAGCATCGAAGTGGAGTCAGCCGTGCCTTCAAAATCAGAATCTAATGAGCTGTCCGACTCTCCTCCTTCGTCAACACTTCCAAGCTCCTCATCATCACCTTCACGCTCGTCTTCCTGAATACGCTCGGAGACAAGCACGCTAGCTTTAGCCGTTTTCCTTGAATTGACCTGTTTCCGCTGGAAGTACGAAGCATCGAGCTCGTTCTCTGAAGAAAGTTCGCTACTAGTTGTTGTGTCCTTGCGCGGTCGCCCTCTGAAGACATCATTGGCACCCAACGAGCCTCGACGCAGCCTGCTCTCTTCCCCAGGCTTGGAAGGTGATGTTACCAGTAGCGACGGACCGTCCATGTGGTTCGCACTGCGCAAAGGCGACGATCCAGCCCTAGTTCTCACGGGCATTTTCGCGAACTTAATCTGATTGACTGGCCTATTTTCCGCCTCTTCATCGCTCTCATCGCTCAGATCACTGCTGTCATCTTCCTCCAATTGCTCCTTTCGTCGCTTCCTTCGTGTCCGCAGATCTGGTCCTACTGTTTCATTGCTCAGAGCACCACCTGTAACCATGCCCCCTTCCTCCTCATCTTCTCCGAAATCAGCGCCAGGCACTCCAGCAGTCCGCGGAGCCTGAAAGTATTCGGCAGTGATAGCGGTAGGGATAGGTGGTGAGTACGTGCGCTTTATGTCAGCAGCGTTAGGTACCCATCCTGCCGCGCGGAATGCGGCATCGTTCAGGACAGTGGTGTCGACCGAAATCAGGCGCTCGCCAACACCGTCCTTGATGTGGGAGAGGTACGCAGTTCGCAACTGGTACAGAACGAAATCTTCGTTCTGAAGGAGTGACATATCGAAATAGAATGTATTATCGCAAAAACAACCGATAACAACTCATTGCGTTCAATTCGAAAACAGACCAGCTGCCTTATGCGAGGGCGCAGGAGTACATGGTGTAGGTGACCTAAGACGCTTGCGGTTGTTCACTTGGTGCCAGAATCAGTGAGTGCATCGAGCCACGCGGCGGGGGGTCCACGACTGGTCCCACTGGAATTATACGCTAAGCCCGCCACATACTAACTTCTATCCAACCATGGGGCGGCCTCGTCATTGAGCCAGCACTTTTCGCCATCTACAATATTTCACCGAATTCTCATTCAGCACAGTCAGACGACCATGGTTCTTGTAGGGTACTCGGACTCCGAAAGCTCGGATAATGAAGCACCGCCTGCACCGCAGCCTGCAGCAAGGCCTGCAACAAAATCAACTCCGATGTTTGTGGATCCAGGCACAAAGAAGATAAAAGTCAACTTGTCCAGCCTGAGTACAGAAGCAGACAAGGATGAAGAGGCGGGAAGCGATGATAGGCCGACAAAGAGAAAACGAACAGGAGGTGGACTAAACATAAATGCTTTCCTTCCACCACCGAAACAGCCTGCGAAACCGCTTAACAATGAGAGCACGTTCGCTGCGAAAAGGGCCGCCGGGAGAGGGCTCGGTAGCGGCGTGAACTTGAAAACTGGTGCAGAGCCTGCATTCACACGAACAGAGATGTCTTCGACAAGTTTGGATTTGGATGGCGAGCCAAAGGATATCAAAGAAGTCATTGCAGAGCTTAGGAGGAGCAGACAGCCAGCAAACACATCAGAGGAAGTAGCCTCTGTAGTGGGTTTACCACAGATTGGCGAAAAGGAGGTGAAGCTTGTTGGAAATCCAATGCGTTTCAAGCCAAAGTCTGTCGCGAGAGGACCGATCAAAAAGAAAGCAGCAGTACCCAGAGCTACTACAGCAGCATCTGCCAATAGCACTACGGATCCAATTGGTACAACTTTTGCAAGTTCTTCGATTACTAATAGTACGTCACAAACCGCACCTCCAGCGAAGTCCAAAGTCTCGCTTTTCTCAATTGGGAAGGAAGAGAATGAGCCGGCAGTTTCCAACGAACCCGCATTGGAAGATGACGCGGAAGTTCCAGCAGCTCCCGAAGAGGCCTACAGCGGCGGTGAGCAGTTGTATTCTCGTCAAACTTACGATACGTCCACTGGAGCAAAGTCCGCAGCAGCAAGCGCAGTGGACGGGCTCAACCTCTCGGCCTCAGAGATGCGTCAACTATTCGGGCGCAAGGCTGGCAAGAATGGCGGCTTTCCTGATCTCTCTAGCGTCAAGGTGATCAATTATAACGCAGATGAACAGTATGCTGAGAATGAGGAGTTAAGAGCCAGGGGTGAGCTTGTACAGCACAACCCTGTGCGTGGAATTGCACCTGGAAAGCATAGCTTGAAGCAACTGGTAAACGCTGCAGCAACGCAGGCTGATGCGCTGGAAGAACATTTCGCGATGGGGAAGAGGAACCAGCGGGAAGCTGGTGCTCGGTATGGTTGGTGAGTGGCAGAACGTGATAACCGCTGAGTATCCATAGTCGATGATCTCGGCTTCCAGAAGTTCCTGCGATACTGTGCATGATCTGAAGATCCAGAAAAACGAGTATCTGGTTCCGTATAAGCCTTTATATGGGAGTGTGCCTGTGTGGTGGAGATATGTCAAGATTTCCTTACTCCAACTCTAAATCCACGACAATTCTGATCCAGAATTTGTGGTTCAGAGAGCATAAGTTTCGGTCCCTCCTCTTAGGCTCCCTCTCGTTATCTGGAGAGTGAGGCGGAGTGCTGATCACTCGATGTTAGCCATCGGAGACAAGAAGTCGAGAACACTAAGCTTGTTTGCCTGCGAGATCATCGGCATCTAATTCAACACGTTTGCCAAATGCTTGTAAATCATTAGCTTCCATGACTTTGCCCACGTGGTAAGAAATCTATGAGTAGACCATGAACAATAATGAGGCGGGAAGCAGGAGGGTCAGTAGCACATAATATCAGCGAACATAAACCAACTATATAGTGAAAGGTTCTCTTGAGCACGAAGAGTACCGAGTGAGAAAGCATAAATCGCAGCAGATATGATTTTTCTCTGTATAGATTTTCACTCTAAGTCGACTCCGCAAAGAGCTGCTTATCAAGGACTGAATGTTAAATACCATCTCATCATGCATTGTGTTATGTACGTTTGTGGACTAATAAGAAAAAGACGAGGAGATGGGTCGTAGCAGCTAGACTAATGATGTGGAGTATGGAACGCAACCTTTCCCAAAGGACTAATGGAGCCAAGCTTGTATATTGAGCCATGAAATTGATATCCTTTGTTTGAAAACCGTCTTCAGTTATCGCAGTTCTATAAGGCGTAGACTGAATGTCAACAAAGAGCTATAAATTGCCGAGAATAGTGCCGTAGCATCAACAGCTTCGGGTCTCAAGGGTACATCAGCGTCACCCGTCTGGGACAAAGTAATCTACAATCCACTTTCCTAAACAGACAGCAAGACGCTTCAGGGTGATGAATCATGTTGTCCCGTCGTGCCGAACCTTCATTCTGGACAGGGGAACTGCAACTCAAACCGTCGGTGCCGTCCACTCATGTCTCTAAAACTCTGCCACGATATCCTTTTTGAAATAGCTAGTCATCTCGATCCTCTGGACTGTGTCCGAGACCATGATATATTGAATCCTTCCGAAGCTCTGCGAGAACGACAGGAAACGATCTTGAGCCTGTGCCTCGCGTCCAGCTCCTTTTTCGACGTCTTTGGTCCTCTTCTACGACGCGTGGTCGTTGACAATGGATCTAGTATAAGGCGATCAAAACTCATCCTTCATTACCTGGAGAATCCTGGTGAAGCTGCACAAGTTCGAGGCCTCTGTGTGTGCCCATCTACACTAGTCTCGGGTAACATAGAGCCGGAGCTCTTCGCACAACCTGTCTTTGAGCAATATGTCAGCGAGCACGACCTTTCATTCCCTATTAGAGCTCTAGGTATTTTGTTGAGTCTACTACCAAACCTCGAGGCTCTTAAGCTATCTGTACAGGTTCACCTCAATGTAGACCATCAGGATCTGCTCAACTTGTTTTCAAAAGCAGTCACGAGTCGATCATTGCTCCCGAAGCTCAAATCGGTTTCCTTGTACTACGCAAACAAAAGCCAACATGGCTTTGATCCTCGTGGCATTGAGCGCATGCTCTGCTTGCCTAACATCGACGAGATCAGCGCCCGTGGGTTTTACACGGATAAAACTAATCTACTACGAGCTGGCCAGTGGGCATATCTTCCGGGCTTGCGAACTTCCAACGTCACGGTCATCCGCTTGCTCTCCTGCGACGTAGATACGGTGTTTTTGGACCGCATTGTACGGGCTGCAAAAAGCTTAAAAGAATTTACTTATCAATGGCCAAGCGAATGCTTTGCAGAAGCAACATTCAACATCCTGCAATTCGTATCTAGTCTTTCGGAACATCGCAGAACTTTGAAAAAAATTACCTTCGATGCGAGCTTAACCCGCTGTTTTGACGGTTCTGGTCAGACGATTATGCCAATCGGATCGTTTTCATCTTTCGAGAGGCTTGAGCATTTGGAAATGCCCGCCATACTCTTGACAGGCAAAAGACAGACCCTGACAGACTTCAGGTTGACGGCTGACAATCCGCGTCAAGATGAATACGGAATGCAACTGAGAGAAAGGACGACTGAGGAATTCAAAACTGCAGAAACTCGGCGACATGCTGATTCGGCGTGGCAAGAAATAGATTGGGATGCTTTAGTTGGCCTTCTACCTGATTCAACTACAACACTGGTCGTTCAATGTCCAAACCTGACAAGTGACTTGGTTGGGCCGGCTAAGTGGCTGCAACATTTCGCATTGACCAGGCTGCCTCATCTGGCTAATCTTCACAAAGTTGATCTCTCCAGCTGGAGTCCTCAGCATCTTCAGGTTTTGTTTGAAGTCTGCGGTTTCCACAACGTCCAGCATCTGTTCGCCACACACTCCTGCACGTTGAAACTACCGGATGATTACATTTTTCTGCGAGACTGAAAAACATTTCAGTGGGTGATAAGGAGGGCAAGACCAGCTCGTAGTCCCATTTAATAATGTTAAATCCACAGCGAGAAATCATGTCGGTTTTGTGTGATTGTTAAAAGCGCGTCAGCAGTAGAATGGCGGCCTGCAGTGACCGTGCGATTATCTTGGAAATCAAATATTCATCTCGTAGAAAGGATATGAAAACTTCATCCAACGTGGGGAATATCCCACTTTCGAGGCTAATCGCTCGCCTGCGATCGTTCATAAAGGCAGTATTCAAATTCCGTTTCCCCTTCTTCAATTGTGCCCTCGTCCACCTGCTCACCAATGTACGTCGTGAGCTCGCTGTTGCTCTTCCGATGCCAGCCTAGTTTTTCAGCAGCTTCGCTGTCCAGTGCCAGGGGGAAAAATGTATCGCATTCGAAATCGCTGTGGATACGGGTAAGAAGCACACGGTTCGCTATTCCACCTGGAAGCTCAAGTGCGCTCCTATACACATTTGCTCCTCCTATTACAAAGACACGCGCCACTGGTGGGAGATCTAGCATTGACTTGTTGTTCGCATCGGCCCTAAGAGTCTGTAGCAGATTCAAAACATCTTCCCAACTCTTTAGCCATAATGCACCATCGATGAATTTGTGTTCGCCTGCCACTTCAGCACGGCTTGAAAGGACGATGTTGAGGCGATCCTTCAGCGGTCGAAATTTCTTTGGTATGCTGTCCCACGTTTTACGGCCCATTACGACAGCGTTTTGCACCTTACCGGGGCCGCGCAACGTGAACTGAGGCGGCAGACGCGTGGTGACGCGTGCAAAGTACTGCATTTCTGCTCTGAGTCGCCATGGTAACGTTCCGTTTCTGCCGATGCCCAAATTCTTTGTTGCTGCCACGATGAGCGTGAGGTTGGGTGCTTTGTTCGAGGGCATTTTTGCCGCTTCAGACATATTTGGAATTGATGCTTCTCTTGTGCGCTTTCAGGTATACGACTAATCAAGCCCACCCAGCGCGATCCGACGCGGACGAAATTTCGATGTAGCGGAGCGCCGAACACGGAAAAAGCGATGACGTCGGAACTAGGGATACATCTTGCGTCGCTTCGTTCCGTTCGCTTGAGCCTCACATCGCGAGATCATTTGTATTCGACCAGGGATCATATTAGCGTCAGACGAGGAGCTTGCCGATCATATTGCGTCTGCCACCGGCAGTGCACGAACAAGTTATGCAAATCTTGATGGAACGCCTCGGCTTGTCGCTATTTTTGTCGTGCTGAAAGCTTAGACGAAGGTGGCTAGAATGTCCGTCATTACTCAGCGTTTCACAAAGCGCATTGTGGTTCATTTGGAATATTCTCCGTGCAGCAATAAGCGAGCCACGGGAGCGGTCTGCTGTTGAGCAGGATAATTGACTCGCATCGCGGGCCGGCATAGAGTGTATAAGTTGATTCGACTCGGTGATTACCAATGTGCTTACGGAGCGTATTTGTTCCATCTATGACATTTGCATAAGAAAGGGTCCAGATATCCATCGGTACTGACATCACGTCGCCCTCTCAGCTTGTATTCTCCTATAGCTTATACATATATCTTTAATATTCTGTCCCGGTCTTCTGCACAAAGTTATTATCTCACCTGCCTTGGCTAAGTCACATCTCCGCCAGCTTGTGAAAGAACGTCAAAAAGAGCACGGAGAGCATCTTGCAGTCGATTTCGAATCTTGCGACCAGTATATCCTAACATCCAAGTCTCGAAAATGACTTCTAAATTAATCCCAAAAAACCCAGAAGAGGTTATGGTGATCAGACAGGTCACCCCAGAGATAACCACGCTCTCACTGCCATTCAAGCGATATGGCCGCATAAAGATTGGTGGCAGAGGCACCCTCGTGCGCTTGCAAGATGGAAGCGTGGCCGTCTTCTCTCCGGTCGCTCTAACGCCGGCCGTCAGGGAGACGGTAGCATCAATGGGAGAGGTGAAGTATATTGCTGCACCGGATATGGAGGCGAGTAGTTGCACGTTGAGCGTGTCTCAATTTTCATGGTATAACCGCGATACTGACAACCCCGACAGCACCACATCTTCTTAGGGCCATGGCATGAGGCATATCCAAGTGCTAAAATCATAGGTCCAGACGGGCTGCGCGAGAAGCGTGAGAAACAAAACAACGAGCGCGTTCCGTTTCATACCGAGTTCAAGGCCAGCACCAAGGCGTCGGTAAAGATCGATCCTGCATTCGACGCAGAATTCGACTACGAGTTCGTCGACGGCCATACGAACAAGGAGCTAGTTTTCAATCACAGGCCCACGAAGACCCTCATCGAGGCTGATTTGCTGTTCAACATGCCAGCCATTGAGCAGTATTCCAAGTCGACGGAGAAGTACGACACCGGATTCTTCACCAAGTTTTGGACCGCTCTGAACAACACGAAGGGAGACGCTAAGTGGCAGAAGAGGGTCATCTGGTATGGCACCAGCGCTGGGAACCGGTCGAGCTTCAGTCAGAGCATGAAAAAGATCAACGGGTGGGATTTTGATCGCATAATTCCATGTCACGGAGACGTGATCGAGAACAACGGCAAGCACGTATTTCAGTCTGTCATGGAGTGGCATTTGTCGAAGGCTAAGGCACAATGAGTCCATCGTTTTGATAGCATGAGGAGTCGGAAAATGAGGGCATGTTGCGGTGGCGTTTTGGCGAGATGTAGGCAAGATACCTTGTGTAAATTTCCTTCTTGTTTTGTTGCAAAACATTCTCTGCATTCTACTGTGAATACGTTCATAACAATATCTTCATTCTGCGCGTCAGCGAAGATGTCACGTATCACCCTGCCGCCGCCTCCTTCTCTCTGTTGGCTGGTTCTGGCTGTTGGTCGATGAAATTAGGTACTCTATCCGGATCACTGGCAAGCCAAGTCGGGTTTTCTGACTCGCTGTGCATCTCCATTGCCATTTCTTCGCCCAGTGCTTCCAACTCAGCATCTAGCTCCGCCTCGTCCACCTCCTCAGGTACGTCATAACTCCTGCTGATGGCATCTTGAATCTCGTTTCCTATCTCCATCAGATCGGCCATCTCGTCCTGTAACCTCTCGATCTTGTCAATGTCCACCTTTCCATACTGCTTCTTCAGTTCCTTGGTTGTCGTCTTCATCGCGTCTACTGTCGTCATCGTGTTCTTGAGGTTGTCCTGCATCATGCCCGCCTGTTCCATGTTCCAGCTTTGCTGCTGCAACTGGTCTCGCTGAGACTCATACATCTTGCGCTGCTGCAACACCTTGAGCGCCTTCTGCTTTATCGCTGTTTTCCCTGGCCCATCGCGCATGTTCGACAGCTTGGATTGATACGCAGAAAGCTCGGCGTTGAGTTTGGCTAACTTGACATCGATGGTCTCGATGCGCGTCTCCACGTTGCTTATCGCGGACGAGAGCGTGGGCTTAGGCGCCGTATTTTTGGCGCCGAAAAGCCGGTTCATGGCAGCTTGTTGTCTGTGGTTTGGAGCTGGCTGTACGTTGTGTATGTGGGATGTCGCAGTGAAAGCGAACTCTGCGCTCCAGTGCGGACATGCAGTGAGGAAGGGCGTTACCGGAACGACGCACAACCCAGCGCTTGAGTTTGCGGAGGATCGACGGGCTCGGGTGCCTGGCGAATATGCTGGTCCCCGTTGAATGCTCTATGATATTTACAGTTGCGAGAAGGCGTCACAAATTGGTGGTTCGCGTGTGAATTAGGATAACTTAGGCAGTTCGCGATGGCTGAGGTCATATGTTCAAAGAGGCAGACAAATGCCCCATCCCGGCCACGGCTGGCCGACTCTGCCGCAGATCATAAGACCGAGCTAAAGTCCTCGCTGTTTGCTACGTGAACGTGTGCGGAAACTAAACATGAAAGATTCGGGACGACGCTTCATTGGTTCTCAGCGGTCGTCTGGATCTCGGGCGTGCGCACAGCTCGAGAGGGCGCCCGGAACGCTGGTAATTCCAGGCTGGGTTGATGGCACAGAAGGCAGAGACGTTGGCTGGCCGGCTGCCAGCCACGCTGCGTGCCCAGTGGCATCTTACCGTGGATCCCGCTGGAAGCTCGAGTTCTTTCGTCAAAGCAGATTGCCTGTGGGGGCGTTCCTCGATGCCGGCAGATCTCAGCGCACGGCAGCTGAGCAGAGGCAGAGCAACCGTGGCGGGACGCTGGGCAGGACGAGCTGGACCTGACTGACTTTATCATTCTTCTTGCTCGTGCCTGAAATGGCTGCCGCGTGGAGTTGGGCAGATCTTAGATGCCCCGGCTGTGTGCATGGTCGCTCCCTGGGCCTGGCATTGGACTCGGTAGGGAGAGCTTGGGCTTTCACGCATGGCACTTCAAACTGCTCGAGCATCCTCCTTCGTCCAAAAAAATATCCACGTACATGTGCGATTCGTTGATCTAGACCCTCGTACGCCCTCTGAGAGCACGCCCACGCCCCATACTCTGTTGCCCTCGTTTCGCTGACCGGTGGCCTTGACGCTTGCTCGCTCGTCCGGGCTCCGCTGCAGCGCGACGTGTTCAAGCCCAGCTGTGCTCCCCGTATCCAAGACCTCAAGCACACGAGCATTCATCACCGCCTTCACGCTTGCTGCTTTTGCGTCGGGCGTCCAAACTCTACTCTTCGAGGCCGCAATTGCTTCCGCATCGCACCATTCAGTCGACGCATGACAGGCCGAAGTCAACCCTCCTCTCTGTGTATTTGCCCGCACCTCGCTCACCCGCACGCCTTGTCCAAGTCGGACATCGCCTAAGTCATCATGTTCTGGCGATTTGGCGCACACACAAGCATCTCCACCATTGATTCGATTCTAGACAAGCCAGATGTCAGCCTCGAGGAGTTGCTGGATGAACAGGATCTGATACAGGAGCTCAAGCAGCAAAATTCAAAGCTGATCGAGTTTCTGCGGGACGATGCCATTCTGCAGAGGTTGCTCGACTACGTGGTGGCAGAAAAAGTAGAGGAAGAGAGGCCGGCTACTCCAGACGTGGAGGAGGACCAGAGCAGCACAAATCCCCTCAATAGTTTCTTCGGCTCTAAGAAGAATCGCAACCGCTCAAAATCTACTGGCAAGTCTGACCAAGACGAGGAGAGCAAGGAAGAGAGACAACGACTGAAGTATGCCTATATGGCTTGCGAAATCCTCTCTTCCGACGTCTGGTCGATAACGGAAGCCCTGTTGGAGAACAGAGAGGCGCTGCAAAAGTTTTGGGACTATCTCAGGCAGAAGCCACCGCTGGACCCTGTCCAAGCCGGCTATTTCAACAAGGTCAATGAATCGCTGTTTGACAAGAAGACGGAGGAGATGCTGGAAATTTTCAAGTCCAAAGAGAACGTTGTCCAGGATATGCTTCAACATGTAGACTGCCCGACCATCATGGACCTCTTGCTTAAGATCATAAGTCTGGAGAGACATGAGGGCGGGCAGGGCATTGTCGACGTGAGTAGATATGTGTTTCGCTGAAATCTTCATTACTAATTGTCCGCAGTGGCTGCAAGCACATGACCTTATCCCCTTGCTTTTGTCTAATCTTTCACCCGACCGTGAAGCAGCGACGCAGACTTCTGCAGGAGACTTTTTAAAGGCTATCATCACTATTTCCGCAAATGCAACCGCTCAGGACCAGAACGTTATTGGACCGAACGAATTGACGAGGCAATTGGTCTCTGAGCAATGCGTCTCTCAGCTCATCAGCAATATGCTTCACGGTGGGAACCCTCTCACCGTCGGCGTGGGCATAGTGATTGAAGTGATTCGGAAAAATAACTCAGACTATGACATGGACAATCAAATCGGGGAGATTCCGAAGTCTTCAGACCCCATCTATCTTGGCACCCTGCTGCGACAATTTGCACAGAATGTGACTAACTTCATGGACTTGATCAACAAGGCGAGCAAAAATAAGGAGCTCAAGGTCGCATTTGGCGAGAAGATCGAGCCACTTGGTTTCGACAGGTTTAAGACTTGTGAGCTAATGGCCGAGCTTCTTCACTGTAGCAATATGGCATTGTTGAATGAGCGAGGTAGTGAAGCGGAGGTTAAGAAACGTGATGCTGAGCGCGAACGACTCAAGGCAGAAGGTAAACTCCAGCCGGCCAAGGAGCTATCTTCGGACGGAGATGCATTTGGCACGAGTGTTGATAGCTCAGGATTTCACCACGCACGCGCGCCGTCCATGAGCAGCGACTCCCCAGAAGAAATCCGGAGACTAGAGGTCTCAAACAACGGTGAGGATGAATTTGAGAACGTGACCGCATCGGAGGCACTTGTGGACGAGATGAAAGAAGAATTGCTGGTGGAGAAGGACGCTTTTGGCGAGACACTGGAGCGATCCCCTAAGCAATCTCCCAGAATGATTCCATCGGAGAAATCGGATGATGCTGATCTTGTGGTGGCTCCCTTATCACCAAAGAAGAGCTCTACGCATACCCGAACGCGATCGACGGATGATATCAAAGCTGACGCTCAATCTAAAATCAACGCTGATTCGCCTACTTCGGCAGGTGTGACGGGGCTCTTGAGCTCTGTAGACCTCGACAAGGACACCGAGATGCAAGATTCTCCATCAAGCGCTGAGAGGGGTGGACTGTCACCGCATGCAGATGACAAACCGGCACCTTTATTTTCGGGAAAGAGGCCGGAATCGCCAAGCAAGCTGGAGGCCGGAAGTCCTCTCAAATTTGAACATGCTCCTGAATCTCCTTTCGCAGGTCCACCTCAGACTGAGGATCCCGAACAGCAGTATGCTCCATATGAAATAGACATAGACGGCTCTCCTGTAGTAGGCGATATGCTCAAGATGAAATTTGTTGAGCACCGTGTGGTCCCAACTATATTAGTAAGCTTTCAAGCATTGATTTTTCTAGACGGAAGCTAATCAGTTCCGTGTAGGACTTCTTCTTCCGATTTCCGTGGAACAATTTTCTCCACAACGTTGTCTATGATGTTGTTCAGCAAGTTTTCAACGGCCGTATGGACCGTGGCTTTAACCGTTCTCTCGCCATAGACCTGTTTGAAACAGGCCGCATCACGGAGCGAATCATAGAAGGCCAGAAGGCAAGCGACAAGGCGCAGCAGGACATGAACATGAGACTAGGATACATGGGCCACCTCACCCTTATCGCCGAGGAGGTAGTCAAGTTCACGGAGCGGCACCCACCGGAAGTACTGGGCCAAGTCGTTTACGACAAAGTCATGAGCAACGAGTGGGTGGAATATGTGGAGCAAACCTTGGCTGAGACTAGAGAACGAGACAACGCCATCTTGGGAGGCGTGCGTCCGGACCTCTCTATTCCTCCACGGCAAGCTGTACTCAACGCTGTAAATGCTGCCCAGGACTTTGGCAATGCGAGCACGGGATCATCCTCTCTTGCAGGATTATCAAATGATGGCAGCTTAGGCCTTGATTCTGCAGAACTATCCAACCAGGGTCAAGGAACAGGGGCACAGTATTTATTCAGCGGCAGCAGCCTGCTCAGCGGATTCAACCATGGCAGCAGTGACGAAGAGGACGAAGAGATGGAGGGCGCGGAGATGGGACTGGAAGGCGACGGGCCGAGCGGAAGAAAAGTGATTGATGAGGATGAGAATGTGGGTGAGCTCTCCTTTGATGACGTTGACATGGACTATCGATGATTGGTCTCCTCTTTAATGTTCGTATCTTGCTTCATGATGGCTTCCATCGTGGTCATTGTGCAAGCAAGTATGATTTTCATTTTCCCTCAACTTCACTTCTAATCATTGTATTTCTGCACACGTTTTTAAAGAGGCGTGCAGTACGTGCATACTGCTCATGTGTCGAATTGCAAGCATTTGTATTCATGGGCATGTATATGACGTGCTGAAGACGAGCCCTTTTCTCCGCACGATCTTTGTTGACGATCATGCGTGTACACCATCATCAGCATCATGACATTTATGCATCCTCTTTCATGCAATCATTTTTGTACAGTATACGAGCAAGAGACGAACAAGTATCGGTAGGGGTCATGTCAACGTCTGGTCTTATGCATGTGTGTCTGAACTACGCAGTCATCTGGGTCTTTCTGTCAGGAAGCTTCTTCGGATGCTGCAAGTTTTCCCGTGACTATTCTGCTCGTACATGATGCCTCCCGAACCCTCACTAACGAATGTGTGCCATGTAGACTGAAGTCCCATCCGGCATATCAATTCCTCCGCTCAATGTAGCGCCGTCTCGAGCACGCCGCCAATTCGCTGCTCGCTTAGCGCAGAGAAGGGCCGAAGCTGAGGCCGCACAAGCTGCTCAAGATGAAGACGAAGTGGAAGCGCCCGAGGTTCCTGAGTTACCAGAAGTGCCACCCCAGACGATGGATCCCCGATCTGACGATTCTGTTGACAATGATGATGATGTCGGCATCGTCATGCGTAAGACGGGCCGAAGAACACTGGCTGGACGACGACTATTCAGTTTTGACGAAGACGACGACGACGAAGAGAACGACTCATACATTAGAAGGGAATCGGATGTCTTTGAGCGATTGGGAATCAAAGTGAACACGCCTGAGGGCAACGAGGACAATAGCAGCGAGGAGAATGGGGATGCAACAACGAAGGGAATGGAAAAGAAGGACGATGACGAATGAACGAATAACTATACCTGTACCATAGCGCAGCTGGTGTCCAGACATGAGATGGCGTTAGAAATTTACGTGTGGGCCGTGGGCGGATTGGTGTACAGAAGCTGGATACCACGGGCTTTGCATTGCCCTTTCCGTAATTTGTGCTTGCATAAGAACAACTTAGACCAAATTGATTTCACCTCACCACCAGATCACACGGTTCAATCCCGAACAAAAGCTTCGTAAGTACGCCTGTTGTGCTCTCAGCTACTCCAAAATTAACACCTATACCTTTTTTCGTCCATGATCTTTTGGTTGAACATGGCAGAAGGCAACTGCGCAATTCTGCTAAAGAGCTTCAGAAGAGCAAAACTCCTCGAGTTTCCTATCACGTGATAATTCAAACTGTCATCTGTTCGGTACAGTATAAATTTCTTATCTATATGTCTATGCCAAAATCTGTGTGCTTTTTAGGGTAAAATAAAATCTTGCTTGAACACAAATGGGGTTACAGGGCCGTCTTCGCGGCAACTGCTCCATGATTGATTTTGCCGATATAACTAAGCAACAGCGAACGATAGCGTATAATCAAAGGCTCAAAATGCAGCACTTCTTCACTCAATACGATCTATCTTCCGCTAATACGATACCCTTTGGCCGAAATTAGTAAGATTATGCAGATAGGTTGCTTCATCGATAATTACATAGACGAGAATGTATAAGTCATAACGTTCTTCTATCGGACGAGCGAATGCCCCTAGCTTGAGAAGATTTGCAAGCCACATAGTTAACGGCGAACTTACATTATCTAATACTTTAATCATTTTTCATCTATCTGGTTCTACGAGCGCTACTTCGAGCACTTGTGTTCGACTTCATGGGATGTACGAGAAGTGCTTCTGCTGGTAGTGAAGGGTATATCATTTTCTTAGCACGACACGAAAGCATAATGGCTCTGACTGAGCCGGAAAAGTGAAGAGGATTTGATGTCCCGTGTTCCATCGCCTGGTAAGCGCTCGCGACTAAGATAGCCCCCCTAATCCGCAGCTGTCGACCGCAAGGTAGATGTCCACATAATCAATTTCAGAACGTTGATGTAAGTTATCCTCTCCTTAAAACAGGACACGGTTTGAAAAATGTGCTCTTTCACATTACCACTTCAATAACCTCTTCTGAAGAAGCCAACTTGGACTTTACGTCGGGCATCTGATGCGTGCATCGGTCATTCGTTCAAGCCGCCAACGATGCTCAATCGTTTATGAGCCCTTGCATGGTGGTATTCGCTGCAGGTCGATTGGATCTCATTTGCTTGTATGATAAGTAAGGTGGTGTATGTCACCCTCTCCAAGCTCTGTACAACATTCGTTGACCCCTGCAACACAGTGCCGGAGCCACCATTAAGATGTCTAGCTTCCTGTAGCTAGGTCTTTTAGTAAATCTTGCCTCCGTTCAACGCAAACATCAGTACACCATCTCCAGGGCCTACCTGATACACTAAGCGCCTAGGTCCTCTGGCCCTCAGGCTCGCACTCATCAACCAACCTTTGCCGTTGCCCAGAATCCTATTTTGATTCGAGGAGTCCTTTGCACCACATTTATCATTGGCCGTGGGATCTCGACATTGACGTCCTGCCATTCTTCAATCGCTCTTTCTGCCTAAATCAACTGGCCAGCCTGGTTGTATCCGTTGGATATAAATTAACAGGGGATAGTCGCTCATAATGCGGATGAAGTCATCGAGTATAGATGAAATCTAGGAAATAGCTCCCTCAAGTCCTACTTTGTTTCTAGAACCTTTCTTTTTTCAGCACTAAGCTCATCAGGATGTCCGAAGGATTTGGAGGTTTTGCAGAACTCATTAGCGAGCTCACAAACAAGAAGATGGAAACGGCTATTTTTAGCCGATTTTCATTTCTTGGTCAATTGAATTTACATCTACTGCAGTCAGAAATGGCGGAACTGGAGGCCGAAATCTTTGGTCATACTATCGGAAGCCCCCGTCCAACCGACGATCAGACTCTTCTGCATCCATTGCTCAGTACGAGAAGATGGCAAGGCATCGACCAAGCTATCGAGACCAATCCACAATGTAGACAATATCACAAGCTACGCTCACTGGTCAAAGAATATGGTGAATACCAACCTCGTAAGAAGAAAGCCACCAAACTAACTGCGCATGATAGAGGAAGCACTTCTGAGAGAAAGCCAAGTCGCGAATCTTAGTATACCGGACGAGCGTTTTGTTGAAGAATTTCTGGCCCACCTTGGCGTTATGAAGCGGTCTCTAGAAGGACCAGTTGCAACGATATATGGACGCCATCGGGAGGACCTGATTGTGCTGAAGAAACCGATTTACCAGGACGCAGTCTCAGAGTTTGTTGCCAGGAAACTTCTATGGGTGTATCATGATAAGATTGGTTACCTCTTCAAGAAATCAACGCGGCCAGACGGGTGGGATGAATACGAGATGAAAACTGTCAAAAAGGTCGGATCTATCATCGTCAGTTGCTTGAGCTCAGTCTATGCGGTGATAGTCGCATCGGTATTGCAAGCCATCGCATCCGTACGCGCTAAGATAGTAATAATTGCGGTCTTCAACGCTGGGCTTTCTTTATTCCTTGCATTCTTTGGGAACAGCTCCGTCGAGCTCGTTACATCAACATTTACGTCAGTATCTTCTTAGAGCTATTGTATCTCCTTTGCTGACCTTCTGGTAGATTTGTCGCGTTGGAATTAATTTTTCTTTCGTCCAACGCAACGTCTCACAATGGAACAGCTCCTAGGAATTAGAGGATGTCTTGTGAGAGCTACTCGTCGTTGAAGAAGCCACCATCGAGCAAGCAAAATAATGGAAGCATTAACAATGGAGTTACTTAGCTACTGGATATGCTGGGCCGTATCCTGGACTTTCAAGGACGCTGTTTTTTAAAACGATTCCGAGTATAATCGACCTGGAAGGTGGCTAGACACTTCACATCCGGCGGATGCTAGGTGTCCTTGTTATGGTGTCAGATGTGTGGCGCCACAACCCTTGTTCTTATGCAGGCTTGCTGGAAGAGCCTGATTTTCTTAAATTGTTTATTGTCGAGCACTTAGGTCTTCCCCCGTCAAAGTATTTACCTTACCTTAGCTGCTTTCTTTGTTTTCGCGAATCCATTGTCGTGTTTTACTAAGTTTCTAGGGAACTTGATTGTCTACTGGATTCGGGCGAAGAACTAAGACCCACATAAGAAATGTTGCAGCCGTATAGACCGCCTTGACCGGACACAACATTTCGATCTAACCTTTTCGAGAGGTTGTGATGAATCCAAAGGGATAAAGTTGATAATGCCTAAGGATCCAATGAAAATCGTCAACAGTCAACCAGGTGGATTTCATCGTCACTGTCAATATTTCAGCTGTTAAGAGCACGGCGAGAGTGCCAATAGACAAGACTTTTGCATAAGAACTAGTCCCCAACGGAGCTTAGGTCTAAGGTCTAAGAACGCTTCACGATGTCTTCCTTTTTTTGGGCTCAGCTCCAAAGAGTGCTTCTTACTATCGATAAACGGCACTCAACCCGCTCTTTTGTGACTGAAGCTTCGTCAATGGCGTTCAATATGCAGATGCTAAACAGAAGCGGTTGGTGGCGATCACCATGAGAAAGCCGAATCGGAACTTGCTTCTCAAGGGCGCCGACGCCATCACAATCTCAACCTTGCGAAGTGTGCATAGACACACCTCTGCCTTTGCATCAGGTTGCATGGCCATCTCGTACGAGTCACGTGGAGACGACTTACGCAGGTTGCCTCTAATATGCCGCCGGCCTTCGCGTTTTTATGCAGTTTAAAACCGCAAAGTCGTTATTGGAACGAACTTGGTTCATTCCAATGGGGTCGTATGGGACCTTTAAGGGCGACAAGAGTTATGATGGAGTGTGCTATGTATTTCCCTGGCACGTCCGCGCCCCCCCCCCTCCCCTTCCCCCCCTGACAAAGTCACAGAAGTGACCCGCTGATGAAGAGAATGTGTCCCTTAAAACGGGGCGACAGTAACTGCATCGGATCAGTCATTTTGACCTCCGCTAGCCCACTCTAGTGCTGAGTTTTAAAGTAGTTGCTGTGCACGGCGCGACATTGCCTACCAATTATGAATCATTATGCCGCTGCATATCAAGTCAGTGTGAGGCGCCGAGTCTCTTTGAATATTGAACGCCCACGGAGTAGCCCAAAGCTTCCACCGCCTTTCGCTTCCTCTCTAACATAGAAAGAGGAATTCTGTTTCCAGTGTGCGATTACATCGACTCGACACCATTTCTAGCATCTGCACTACTGTTTCTCATGCCATACATAAATCATATCCTTCTGTTTACATTTCCCTTCTCCTCAACTCACCGGAAACAGCCAGAACAAATTCTCAGCATCTTCTCGAGAGTGCCGTTCCAGCACCCCCAATCCATCCTCTTCCAGCCACAATAATTACCATCAGCGTAGCAAATATAGCGAGCAGTAGCGCTTGTTGCTACATGGCGGATCTTGTGGGTCAAATCAAACCTGTGTTATACAGCACTGACGCGAAGAGACAGATAACCTGGGTATCCGATCGCCTTCGTCAAGGAATAATGTCCGCTAAAGAATTCCCGAAGGCTAATCCTAAGCCAAAGGAACAGAGATGGAGACCTAACTCTGGGTACGAGACTCGGTTTCCTCTACCTCCTCGCTTTCCGACCGCTGGTGATTCCAATAGTGAAGTATAAGGAGGAAAGAGCATGTTCTCATTGACAGGTGCAAAATCTATTGTTGAATTGTTGCACCTTTCTATGGTCTGGATTTCTTTCCAAATCGTTGCCCATTCGTGTCGCCGGTCAGGGCCTACTGTCCTGGCATCTGAACTACGCTCTTTTGCATGAATACAATACAGTCAACATCACAATCGTAAAACTGAGAAATGAATTCGGGAATAAAAATAACTACGCAATATAGATAAAATCGATAGAGAATGTAAAGGAGGAAGCATTTAGGACAGTCTCAGCGCATACTAGACATCAACTGTCCATTGGAGCCAACATCACACCCCGTCCGCTCACTTGCTCACGTGCTCACCTTTCCGTGGCGTACACCTCCTCCTTCAACACATCGGAAAAGCAGGATGCAAGAGCAAGACATGAGTAAGTGCATAATAATATCTTGGGCTTGCATGGAATTAGAACGGATTGTCTTAGTTTCGTACACGTTTCCTTGTGAGGCTCCGATTATCTGTACTCTCTCCTTGTAGAGCAGCAGGAGAAGCATAAGAATTGTCATCAACGGCGAGATACTAAATCCCTATAGCAAGCTCATTTGGCATTGAAATGTTCAAGGGAGAAGGATGTCCGAAAATTTTTGCTTTTAAAGTGTTTCCAAGTTGAGAGTTTGCCTTAGAGCGAATAGCACGTGATCAATGGTAATTCTTCATCTCAAATTGTTCATTTTTGTGGTAATGTTCCATGGCTAATCTGGTCTAAACTTGATTTGAATGTGCTTACAATGTATACTTGAGACAATCAAAGGCGTTTCGTTTAAGTTTAATGGAGACTCTACATTGCCGTGTTGGCAGCCGAAAGCACCCTCGCTGAATACGTGCCACGATAAGAGCAGAGATAACATGACCTTAATGAAGTCAGTAGCTGTGCCACTGATGCATCGCTGGAATACCTAAACACTATAACACCGACTTCCATGCGTGTAAGTGATTCCTTGAGGTGCGGAAATGACGACAGCAGCTGGAACACCTGTGTACAAACCTTAACCATGATGTCCTATGATTTATTTGATAGATAACTACGCTCGCCATCAGCCGCCATGCAAGCAGCGGTAGTGAAGATATTCACTCATAAGGATGCAAAGCTTCTTTCCAAAAATCTCATATGAAGAAACCCACGGACAATGGTCGGGACGCAGGTAAGATGAGTCCAGCAGTCCAAATTTCATGCCCTTGAATCTAAGAACGATACAACGAATGTCCATGGATGATAGTCTTGCTGCCCTCGAACAACTTTGCCAGTATGACATTGGTAAGCGGCTACGTCTAGATACAATCAAAGTACAGACTGGTAATACCATGATAGCGCGCAAGAAAGTTTGAAGTTGTGATGATGTGTCTAACTGTGAAATCCCTGTCTAGTAAGTCCAAATCTACAGCCGAGGACTCTGAGGACGCGTCCAGGGCGACAATGAACCAGGTAGTCTACAGCCAATGCGCCAATGTTGACGCTAGATACTCCTCAGCACCAGTCCTTTATGCTCTAACCACCTTCTTTGACAACAACCACGAAGGCTGGATGTTATTCGCTCCATAGGCCGACGTGTTTAAGCTGGGGCCAACTGTAAGTCATCATATCATTAACAGCTAGACGCGCCCAGCGGGACGGCTCGATCCATACAGAATGTTCCTTACTACAACTGGACAGTCTCCTTAACTCGTGTTCTCCTTTGCGTATTTTCCCAACACACCATCAGCTAAATGACCTGCATATTTCTTTAGCGCTGGGAACCTGACCGTAAGACTTGTTGGCAATGTAGGTCAGGGGTCCAGCGCTGGATAATACCACTGCCAGGAAGATTCTTCCTGACCCCGAAATGACTGGACAACAGCCGTTGACGAGTACAGCAAGTTTTTTTTCTTGGTCTTGGCCAACTCACACGTTGTGCGCCTGCCGGGTATAGCCCTGGGTTTATCGTATATACTGAGCACATCCTTATCTGTCTAGCGCGAAGCATAGGACCTTTTAAATTCTTGCAAAACATTGATTCAAATTCCTGATTATTACGCACGGCTGATTACGGTATCGACATGTCCGCAGCTGAGTCGGGAGAGCGTAACCACACGCAGGAAGGGTACCTTAATCTTGCAACCAACCTTATGAGCAAGGTTGCAGAGGCTGCCATCTTCAGCCGGAACATGGACCTAATTGTCTTCGATTTGCTTTTGTATCAAGCCCAACTGGCTGAATTTCGTAAATCAAAGCTCGGATTGGTGGACATAGTGGGAAATCTGATGCCTGACGGAGCTCCTTTGAAGTTACTTTCGACAGCAGCCAGTTGGAACGACATTTGCCCAGAAGGTATCCAAAGCGCCGAACTGAAGTATTGGTGCGAGGAGATGCGACCCGTTTTAAAACAGTACAGTAAGCTTTTGAATGAAGACCTGTGCTTTGATTTGTTCTGACTCCACCAGCGAAATGTCTACTTCGGGCAAATCAGCTTGCGCAAATACCGCCTGCAGAGGTCCGATTTCTGAATCATATCCAGAGATATTCTGCAGGTAGACCCTCACTTTTCAAAGGTGTAGACGCAGCAATATACGAGGAGCCAGCGCGCGACATCGTTGCGTTAAAGTCAAGTAAATATCAAGATCCCTTTTCGCAGTTTTTCGCGGAAAAGCTGCTACCTCCTGTGTTTGCTCGATTACGATTAAAACCCAAAGATTCAAAGAAGGGCCCCGACGACACTTTCCTGCTGCAGTCGTCCCTTATTGAGAAGGTTTCGTCGATACTAACCATCTTCTTGGCTTCTTGGATCTTCGTTGGTGCTACTACTGGACTTTATTTCATTAGTTCAATGAAGAATCGGCTCATAGCTATAGCGGGAATCAGTATGGCTTTTGCTGCCTTTCTGTCTATCTTCAAAGCGCAACCAATTGATTCTATCACTGCAGCCGCAACGTTAGTGAATCCGCGACTTTCTGTGTTGGTATATGCTTACAGGATGAACAGATTTTCCGCTGTTGAAGTTATATTTATTAGTTCAAACCTCTCAAATCCAAACTCGACGTCGTCTTAACATCCGGATTCCTGGAAGCGATGTGGCAGGGGAGTATCTGGTCGATAGCCGTTCCGCAGCGGGATTTCTTCACTAAGTCGGATCGGATGGGAGGCCTACCCATGAACTTTATCCTAACCAAGAAACAATCTATCGCGAACTACAACTATTCCTGCGGGACTCTTGACTTATTTTGAGTCATACTGTAAGGGAAGTTCTCATGTGCTTGGGCAGATGGGAGCGTGAGCCGCTTCACGGGCGCTGTTTCTTTCCAACCATTTTTAACATGCGGCTCTGCTAACATTGGTTTCGAAACTTGCAGACTAAGTCATTCGATTTCTTGGCGTTTCAATTTTCGCTTCTTTCAAGGTGTTATTTTATTCAATTATCCAATTTTCTATCGCGGGCATGTCCATTTTAAAACAACTCCATAACATATGTCTTAAAGATAGATGCGTAACAATGAAACGGGATTCACATCAATGGAGTGACGCAAACAAGAAGACCATATAGCCGCTCATGGCACAAAAGCATATTATCATAAATCCTGGGCATCTTAGCGCACGGAAGCCTTGCATATATTTCATTTAGACCAGCGGCAAAGAGACCGGCAAGGAGCTAGCTACAAAGAGAACTGTGGAAGAAGCCACAGTCGATGGTAATTTAGCATCCGCTGACAGGCAGCGATGCACAAGCCCCATGACGGCTTCACTCAGCTTCATCGAACTCGTTTCAACGGCAACAGCTCAAATTATAGCCATCATTCTTTTCGAAGCAGTTCTAATCAGTGACCCTATAGATGGAATGTTGATCGCTTCCACCTGAACTACAGCCAAATGATGAGGCACCTTCATGCTGACCTGGCGAAGAACGATAATGCTCTTCCAACCTGGACGCACTAAACAGAGCCTTTGGATATCGCATAGGGTAAATTGGGTGCCATAGCTCTTGGTGAGGGGTAAGTCTAAAGCTGAATGCAAGGTTCTACGGATGGATGCTCTGTCAAAGACGCCTTTTGGGGCGAGATACGAGTTCGATGTAAGTTGAGTATGCTTCCCAATCTTCCTTCCTGCTGGGCGTGCCTCGACGATTCTGCCTTGCTCTCAAAATGGTGCCTTTCAAAGCAGATTGCGGGTTTCTTGTGAGGTACGTCAAAAGACTTGTTATGACATGCTGATCACGGTAAATTTTGTCATGTGTCGATTCAATGTGTTTCAAGGTGCCTCCTTTGTTATGATACTAAAGAGGTCTAAATATCCTGCCGCTCTTCAGCAAGCCGATGTGGATAGGCAGTTCGCAGGCTGGAGGCGGTCGCCTTCTCCTACTGTTCGGGTGCTACTAGCAGACGGCTTTATGAAGGCTTCGGTCCACAAATCCGAGCAGTTGTAAACCCACTATCCGTCATGGATTTGAGTGTCACGGATGCACTTTGCATATCCGACGCCTTGCTGTCGTCAGCATTCCATGGCTCTAGCAGATTCTTTGCAGGTCGAATCACCATTCTTGACCAACAGCCACACACACAAAAAACCCATCTTTGTCGACCTAGGTCAACAAACTCTCGCCTAAATTTGAAAATTTAGACAAGGCCTAAAGTCATACTTGTGACTTAAGAGTCCTTACTCGAGAAAGTGGCCACTCCCATCTCTAAACAGGCTATCGTCGCCTCCAGGGAAAGCCACTCTTTCTCCTTCATAGAAACAGACAACACTACGTCTACTTTCCACATAAGAGAGCATATAGTCACAAGAAGAGTACGTTGACCTTTTTAATTCATCCTTTGGACACGAATCTACGCTCGTTCTACACCAGTGTGTTGGATCCCGATCGATCACCTTCCCATCGTTAAACCTGAAAGACCCTACTCCATATTCTGAAGCACATATACAAGAAAGTCTGACAACATGTTTCAGGCACCATACACCATGCCTTCAAGGAACGCGTCCGGCCTCCGGCTCACCAGATCATACATCTCCATCAGCGGGAATGAGTTGTTGCGAACAAAGTCTCGGAGTGGGAAGAAAAAGAAGTCCAAGAACACGAACGGTAGCGGATCTTCACGCGATACTGGAGCCCAGAATGGCCAGCACAACTCCAGCTCCCACGAGATGGGCCAGCATAGTCAACAGGGCCACACCGGCGCTGGATCTCAGCAAGCCGGCCCACAGGGCCAGCGGGGCCAGGTCTGCACCGAGTCTCAGCAGACCGGCACTGGGGACTCACGATCGCGCTGATCTTCCATCGAGTTCGTCCCTCGCTCTTGATACCAAGTGAGTACTGCTCTGCCGGGGAAGATGATTTGTGCAAGGACGATCCCTGCGTTCCAAGAGCCTTCGAAGATGGCAAGGGAAAAAAAAAGTTTTGGGGGACGGGCTGTCATAAGAAGGCGGGCAACGTTGTCGAAGGGCAAAGAAGAAAACCAAAGGGGAAAAAATTCAAGCCGATAAAAGAACAGGACAGAAAAAAAAAGGAAGCTACAAGATTCAAGAGGGAGAAGTGTAGCGTGGACGAGGGCAGATCCGTCGAGTCCGAACTAGAGATCATGGAAGGGCAGACTCAACTCTGCATGCTGTACCTAGACGCAAACGGAACAACGAAGGACGAGCGCTTTAAAGTTACGCGCTCATGTTTGTAAATCGTTCAACACTTGGGCTAAGGAAAGGTTTTGTTGGCGAACCAAGGGAAGACAGAGATGTAACCGTCTTTCTATGATTGCTAGCTACCCAGTCGACCTTTCGTATGTGTTTTCTCTGATGCGTCTCGTCCACACACGTCGTACCACCACTGCGTTCCCTTGGGACCCATCAAACGACTCACACCCACACTCTCTCTCACACAGGCGCACATACACACAGACACACAGAGGACAAAAGCGGACGTAGATGCCGACAAAGACAAGATACAGCACAGTTTTGACAAGTGATAGATGCCTATGACCCAGCCGTTCCAAGAAAAGGAGTTCGTCATAAGATTTCCCATCCCCGCGAAAGATGAAAAGAAAAAAAAAGAATCGAGTGTACACAAGATAGATACTAAAAGACAAGATTTGCCAATTGGAGCCTCACTCCCCTAGAACCAGTAGGCCGCACGTCCAGTCCGCCCGCGTACCACACAAATTGCACACGATAAAGAGCGAGCGATTTCGTTAAAAAAAATAGCTTTTTGTACAGCGAAGTCAGCCGGGCCGATCAAAACTCCCTCGTCATAGAGAGACGAGAGGGCCAAACCTCATGGTCCTCTTCCACATCTGTCGAAAAGAAACCAGAACTTCTGCCCAAGCGTGTCGAAGAATAAAAGCGTTTGTTAGTCAGTCGCGTAGACCAGCCGAACGATGAAGCGAAAACGGGGCCGAGGATTTCTGCTCGTCTCGTCCAGCGTTGCCGAGCGACCCCCGACGTCATGTCTTGGCGTTGATTTTTGTCGGTTGCTGCGTGACGGTGTGTGGACGAACGCGCGACGCGTACAGGTTTGATTTTGATTTACGGAAAAATAACAAAGACGCAGATGGTACAGGTCATGACCATGACTACGAAAAGAACAGAGAAGAGTCCGCTGGCGGGACCGCATAGAAGATTCGTCACGATATTTGGAGAAAGACTGCAGAAGAATACAAGGTAACGAGCGTACGCCATGGCCGAGCGAATGGAGGCTGAAATGGCCGGTAGCCCTTCGCCTTTTTCAGGTCGAGGGCTGTAAGTTTTTAGCTAGGAGCTCTGACGCGGATGCCGAGAACTCTCTCATCTCTGCCAGCGGGATTAGCAACGGCATACACAACTCAATTGAATACTGTAGCTGAACGTACCCTTCCTCGTCTTCCTGCTCCGACTTGCATCTGCTGGGCTGGAACATAACCACTCATCGGATACTGATTGAACATCTGTTGGCCCATCATGGGGCTATACCCGGCCTGACCAAATCCGGCTTGTGGCATGAGCGGCGCGTTGGCAGCTAGCGGCGCGGCCGGCATATTCCTGTACGACTCCATTCCGGATAGAGCACCCGGAGTCGGCCCAGAAAACGCGCCGTTCATGGTACCCAGCTGACCATAGAAAGGCGAAGGCCGAGCGGCTGCACTCGCAAGCATCTGCTGATACTGCACTGCCTGCGGGGTTATGCCAGGCGCGAGCATACCTGGACCAGGTGGCATGAACGATTCAAAAGTCGCCGAAGAGTCTACGCTGGACGTGCGTTGCATGTTCATCTGTTCAAATGAAGGCTGCACGGCACTGTACATGTTCTGCGGCATGTGAGCTGCAGCAGCTGCAGCAGCAACCGGATTGTTGCTGTTGTTTCCATGCTTAGACGCAGGGCGATGGCCGTCGTGCTCGCGGTTGTGGTGCATGTCTCTTGGGCCACCTGTTCGCGTCGAAAGTCCGACCTCATCCATCAGTCGCTTGTAGCCTTGCTGCGGTTGGGCTTTGATCTTGCCCAGCACTTTCCGCACGTTCTGAACAACTTCGGCGCGGATGCTTTCGTCAAAGAAGGGCGTCGTGAGTACCTTGAAGATCAGCGTGGCTCCGCACGACTGATCCTTGAGGATGTCCTCGAGCACCTGGTCATTGGTGGAGAAGAACAGAGCTTTGAGAATCATATCCCGGGCCTCAGGCTCATTGCGCTGATTGATGATCTTGAGCACGGTCAGGTACGCAACCTTGTGGGTGCACAGCTGAACAAGGTGAGGCACAAGGCGAGGGGCAAGCACCGTACGTCGTCGTGGAAACGTGCATGTGTCCAGGAACCAGGTCAGCAGCAAAGCGCCGTTAGCGTTGGTGGCCAGCTGAACGCTGTGCAAGGCGATGGCAGCCGCAATCATACGTTGCTGGTCCTTCGTCGCGTGGTGGCTCTCGAGGCAGGCACGCATGGCACGAGCGCCAAACCTGCCTTGCGCGAGCTCCCACAAGCGGGAGAGCATGACCTCGAAAATGAAGTTGTTCAACGGCGAAGCATAGCGCAACGAGCCTTGGATCACGTAATTACCGAACTGGTCGAGGAAGAGCGCCATACTGAACGGCCGAAGGGCCTCTACGATCACGGACATGGTCGCCGGCGTCCGCGAGACGTCGATAATCTTCTGCGCCGCCCACGTGCCGTTCTTGTGCACACCAATCTCGGCCAGGTGAGGCGCAATCTCGGCGAGCATGGCTTCCTTGGTTGGCTCGGAGCAGTACTCGAACAGCTTCTGGACAACCGTGTTGCCGAGATAGTCGGACGACAGTTCCGCAATCTCTGGCAGCATGCCCATGGCAACGTCTTCAATCTCACCGGGAGACATCGTGTTGTTGTCGATCCTCTTGCGAATCTCCCGCAACCGCGGCGCGTCGTGGACACGATTGTGGCTTGGTTCGGGCACAGGGGGAATTTCCGTCGCGTACTGATCGTTTGCAATGGCGTGCTCGACAGCTTGAGCAATGCGAAGCTGCTCGTCGTCCGTGGCCCCAAGCTCTTTGACGATCTGTGCGATGTCCGAGCGAATTTCCGAGAGCTCAGGCGTGGAGAAGGTCACCTTGTCTGCTGTTGCAGTGCCTGACGCTCCTCCGTTTCCTGCTGCATTGGCACCCGCGGCTGCGCTCTGGGGGGAGCCCTGCGTCTGAGCTTCGGCTTGCGGATCTGGGCTCTGCGAAGGAAAGATGCCGTTGTTAGCTGGGGTGCCGGTTGCACTGGGGACCTTCGCGTAGCCGATGCGGACAGGGCCCGCGCCTGGGAAGATTTCCTTGCCGTTAAGCTGCGTGCGGGCCGTCACGGCGCTTTCAACGTTCTCAAAGTTGACGAAGCCGCAGTTCTTGTGTGTGAGCACGCGGGTGGACTCTATAGGGCCGAAGTTACCAAAGATGACGTTGAGCGAGGAGACCGTCGTCGAAGAGGGTATGTTCCCAAGCCACAGAGCTCGCGTGGGAGAGTCAACATTGTGGTCATCTGTGGACGACAGCAAACCGCCGCCCAGCTTCAGACCCTCAACCGCCTCTGCTAAGCCGTGATATTCGGACTCTTCGGGCAGGTCGGCGATGTTCATGGATTTGTTCATGCTGCTCGGTGTCGGGAGAAAGTTCCTCAGCATGTGTGTGGATGGTGTCTCTAGCACGCCTGCGGTTCGGGCTCTAGGCCTGCTGGCGCTGGCGTAATTCGCGAATGCTTGAACCTCGAGGTTGTGCTGGCGGACAGCCTCCTGAATGGCCGCGTAGGTTGCCGCGTCACCACCCGGAGTGATGGCACCGCTGTAGCCACCGTATCCAGGCTCGTCGTCCTCATCTGCATACTTCTCCTTTGCATTGACTGAGTACGAGCGGAACCTGTTAGCGCTTCTGTTGAGTGCGGCCAGCTCGGCAATTGCTGCAGGCTGTAGGCCTGGGGGTGGGTGCCCTGCGGCGAAGGTTCCGTAGTCGCCAATAAGGTTGGCGTTGGACGGTTTAGGCGTGTCCACCAAGCCCAGGTAGTCAAGCGTTTTGACATCGTTGTCTGCGATTGAGTCTCTCGAGAAGTGCGACTGGGTCGGGGACGAGGGAGCGTCACCGGAGCGGATGCTGGCAAGAGTGTTGGAGCGGTCGCGGCTGCTTGCGTAGCTTGTGGAGAAGATGGGATGTCCAAATGGAGTAGTACCCGTGATGAAGCCTGGTCGCTGGGGCATAGAACCGGCCCGCAGACGTGACAGAAGAGACGACTTGCCTAGATCGCTGCTGGAGAACCCAGGCACGCTGTTCGGTGTGGCGGAGCCAGGCTTAAATGGGCTGGTGGACGGCGTGGGTCGCGAAGTCTTCGAGACCAATAGCGACTGGGGGTTGAGGGCGCCTAGACCCGCCGCGGGCGAGAAGCGCGAAGGGAGGGTGCCTGCCCGGGTCCGGCCTCTTGCGATCGGTGCCGTTGCGGTTTTTGCGGAGTCCGGTGTCGGCTGGGTGAAGTCTGGGAAGCCCTCGGCGCCGGGGGACTCTGGGATTGTCTCCCTCAAAGGGGTGCTGTTGCCGCTCGTAGGTGGGCCCCACGCCTGAAGACCGCTTAGGCCTTCCTGAGCCTGGATCTCTCGCGCTCTTTTGGAATACAGCCTGCCGCCGTACTCGTGCGACGGAGAACTCGAGTTCAGTCTGGGGATGCCGTTTGGCAGGCCCGCAAGCGCAGAAGTGGCGCCGAGGGGGAACTTGAGGGAGCCGGAGCTTGCAGGAGGCTCAATTGGTGAGGTCGAGGCCGCGGACGAGGTGCCAGACATCGGCTGGCCACCGCCCAGCTGGGGGATTTGACTGAGATTGAGATGGGCGTCCTGTCTTTTTGACGATGCCATTATGAATTATGAAGCCCGTCACCTGTTTAGGTCGTCTCCTTTTGAGTTCGTGTCTTTCCAGCAGAATCAATCTGGACTTTGTTCTCTTATTCTCTTCTACTTGTACGGAGGCGACGAACCGCGTGTCGTGGGCGATGAGTCTACCAAGGTCCAGGGTAGATACGCGTGATAGGGAAATGGTGGAATTTCGATGGGACCGGCCAAAGGAGTGTACGGGGTGACGACAGAAGGCGCCAGCCCTGATAGTGAAATGATACGAAAAAAAAGGTGCTGCGCTGGGAGCGCTACTCTGGAGTCTGAGAGATTCTATCTGTGCAAAAGTGTTACCGGTGCCGTGGGGTGCCGACCTCGTTGCAGATGCAGCAAAAGGTTACTGCTTCTTCGTCCTTTCTTCTTCACTGCTTCTTTTTCTCCACCTGCTTCTTCTTCTTCTTCTTCTTCTTTTTTCTTCGTCGTTGTTGCCGTCTTCTTCAACGCACCGAGTATGCGGAGCTGTCACGGAGGGGAGCGGAATTCACGGAGGACATGCGCAGTCCGATCGCGGTGCTGGCAGAAATGTGAAGGAAGTGAAGGAAAATAAAATAAAAGATGTCCGTCCCCGTGGTGGGTTGCGATGGTGCAACAGTCGCAAGCCAAAGATGATTTGGTGACTGTGTGCCGAAAGGAACGGGGTGTTGGGGCCCCTGAAGCGGAATCGTGCGTGACGTCTGTCCAAGAGACACGACGCAACGTCGGTCGGAAAGGCAGGCAGCTAAAGGTTCGGAAGCACGTTGCGGAGGCGACGGCGCAGCGGCTCTCGAGAAGGCGAGATGTAATAGGCGAACAATCCGGCAAAGCGATATTCGAACGAACTGCTTCGCCTTTGGTAGTATTCGGTCAGTGGGACGACGTTGAGCTCGAGGTGCCGCTAGCGGGTTGTAGTGTTGGTAGTTGGGGGACGGGACGTATGCACGATGATTACAATAGGGATCCGCCCGGGCGTTTTCGTTATATCTCAAATAGACTGAGCGAGACTTTTTGCGCACGTCAGGAGAAGAGTAGCGGTTTGGAAAAACGATTACGATAAGCACACGATCGAAGCGTTGGCGTGCGTTCGGGTGGTCGAAAGGCTGCGATGGAGGCTCGAAGGGAGTGAGAGAACCACGCAGAGATGCAAGAAGGAGATGAAAGGGAGGGAAAGGGGAGGATGAGAAGAAGAAGGAAGGGCGGGTGATGGCAGCGGCGATGGTGATGAAGTTGATGATTATGGAAAAGCAAGAAGAATAGGCCGAGAAAATGGGAGTGAGGACGGCCTGGACTGGGGGGGGGGGGGACACGGAGGGAGGTGGGAAAGGATTATGGAGAGATGTGGTTTGAGCAGGGAGCCCGTTCGTTGGCAGCGTCGGCGTGAGACAGCCCCGGTCCAACGATCAGATTTGAGCCAGCAGAGGAAAAGGGCAAGCGAGAAAGACCAAAAAAAAGAAGCAGACAGCAAGAGGAACGGCGGGCAGGCCAATTTCGACAAAGGAAGTCCTGGTGGAAACCCAGCCAAGTTAGTGCTGCGTTCAATTTTCATCAGACACTCGGGGCTGGGATGTCGACGCAGGGCATCCAGTACTTGTATATGACCCGCATGCTAAGGCGTTGCTATTCGCGGCCATGGACCTCGTCCTCCTCATCGTCGTCATCATCATCATCATCGTCACCATCATTGCTATCGCCGGCCAGAGTCCGCCGGTTGGCCGCCGGAATGCTTCGACAGCTTGGGATGACCCGCTGCTGTTCCTTGCGAGTCGATGCCGACGCTGGCGATGATGGTGCCGATGCTGAGTGCTGAACTGATGCTGGTGCCGATGCTGGTGCTTGCGCTGCGACCACCCGTCGAAACCCTCCACTCATCCGTCGATCCATCCAAACATCCTTCGATCCATCTCATCTACAGGTCCAGCGAACATGGCAGCTTTGCCTGTGGTCAACTGGCAGTGTCCCGCATTCGGAGAATTAGAGTGCCTTTCTCACGTCGGTCTCCTATGTCCCTCTCGACCCTCTGCCCGTTCTGGTCTCCTGACTTTGTCTCGTCCCCTTAGTCCAGGGCGAACGGACAAGAGTGGGAGGCGTGAGGTGCAATCCGATTTTTCTCTTCTTCGTTTTGATCGATGCCGATGAGACTCGACCGCACAGAACACCGGCAGTGGCTGCAAAGGTCTGCAGGTGCATGCCGCAAGCTTGTCGCCGCGCTCTCCGTCGTGTGCTGCGCGCTGGCCTGTCGTGTCCTGTCCTGTACCTACGCCCAGGTGGTTGGCAGGCACCCAGCCTCTGCTCGCCGTCACTCCACGAACAGCGCAACGCTACTCGTCGTCCACCGCGTCGGGACTGGCATTGGGCGCTCGCTCAAACCGGAGGCTTTTTTCAGGGGCACGATGAAACGGCTCGTACGGGCGCTTGTGCCTGGCCAGTGAGCAGATCCCCGCCCGGCAGCGAATCCCAGGACGCGGGTCCGATGCCAGGCTGGCCCTTTGACACAGATCTCCGCACGGTCGCCGGGCTTTGGTGTTCGTGCTCCCTTATTCCATCGACAGCGCCGTCGAGTCCGCGTAAGCTGCGTGTCTACGTGCTGTGGACTGGTACCGAACCGTCGCTGTTTGACGCAGCCTTGGCTCACCGGGCCAGCCTTACTTGGCGCCCGCAGCCCGTCGACCAGCGTGCCAGCATGCACCGACGCTGGTGTGTATGGGTGCGTGCTCGATTCTTGCCGTGCCTGGCTACCAGCTGTCGTTTGCCGTCCCTTCAAGCGTCCCTGCCTCACTCTGTAATTCAGGAAAGCGGATGATTCAAATGCAATGCCTCGGATGGGTACGTGTTTCAATGCGCGAGCCAGCCAGCGTCCGGCTTGCACGCTGCACACGCCGGACAGCAAGACCATCCAGCCTGTGGGTCCGTCACCAGCTGGCAGACGCTCTCAAGTCGCTCTCAAGTCGCTCTCGAGCTGCTCTCAAGTTGCCCTTTAAGCTACTCCTAAGTTCCTCCCGAACGCGGCTCGTCACGCGTTGTCTCTCTGCGACGATGTCCGTCTTTGCGCGCTCATTCGCACACTACTCCGCGCGAAAAAATAAAGAAAAATCTTCAGCAATCATTGTCGAACAAACGCTGCGGCTGCGCTGCTTCACGTGAGCCTGCGCCTAAGTCAAGTTACGTGATTGCGTTCTCGTTCATGACAATTGGACTGTGTTCATTAAGCTTGCGGTGCACGCAAAAGTGCAGCAGCACCAGCAGCACCAGCAGCACGTCTATGCCGGACGAGCATGCAGTCATGCACGCGTGTAGGCAACGAAGGTAGGCCTGCCGGTACTCCGTCTGGACGCATGACTTTGTTCCTGAGCTGAACTCACCTTCCCCTTGACCTCTCGTCCACTTGCCCGACCGTCGTTTCTGTTTCAGTTGATGGCGTCGAAGAGTGTGGTGGCCGCCCACTGCCGGTGCGACTCGACTTGCCTCTGCCTGCCCTCGCTTCGCCCTGCATCAGCAACGCAAACACTCGTTTGTCTTTGGACTCGTCCACATGCAGGAAACGCGTGTGGAGTGTGCGGCTGGCGGTGAAATCTTGACTGCCTGATCGACAGCAGGAATCATGACCGTTTTCTGGTCGTCGTCCCTTCGCATCGTGACCGTACGTAGAAACTCAGGACGCTGGGCTACCGTTGTCATCTCCCCGATCGGGAGAATCCTCGCCACGGCGTTTTGCTTGCCTGCGATGCATTTTCCAAGTTGCCTTTCCCTTGCCTTGCTGTGCTTCTCTTTCTTTGCTGCACGTGTGCACGCTCCAACTCCGTCCACCGACCTGGTTTGACAGTCAACTACGATCCACATCGCCAAAACGCTCGACCGAGATTCGACGCGCGAAGCGAAAGCACCTTCACCCGCATAGAAAAAGAACACCCAAGAGACCGCGCACACGCGTGCAAACACCAAAAGCCGCCAGTTTCTTCGCAACCAGTCGCTCACACCTTCGCTTTTCGTCCATCGCCCTCCCTGCACCAAGTCCCCACCCTTGGCCGCACGTCTTCTGTACCAACAGCCACAGAAGCGTGCTCCGTTCAAACGCGATCCCCTCCTGCAATCACAGTCTCGTTTTGAAACTCGCCCCGATGCTGCATCTAGTGCGAGAATAGCAGACGGGCTGATCACGCCGAAGTGATGGCAGTTGACCACGCCAAAGACGAGGGCGGCTTGCACGGCGAGGCCTCGGATCCGCAGCGCAAACATCAAGACCAAGAGAAGGAGCCGTCCGACCGCCAAGACGGCAGTCGAAATCAAGATGAAGAGCAAGCGCAGGAGCATGACAATGAGAACGCCAAGGACGAGGAGGAAGACGAGGACGAGGAGAGCGATGCCTCGTCCTCCGAGTCGGAAGCTGAGCCCGTCCTGGCCGTCACACGCGAGCGGCGTGCAAATGCTGGAAACCGCATGGCCAGGCTGCTTGAACTTGCCGAGCTAGAGGATGCTGCCCAGGAGGAGGCTTATGGCGAGATCTTCACCGAGATTGCAGACGATGTCGAGTTCGAAGCCCAGGATGAGGACGAGGGTGATGTCAACATGGACAGTTCGAGCGATGACGAGGATGTCGACGCAGAGGGCGCCCACGATGATGAGGACGCGGGCGAGAAGGAACTTCGCGTCCAGGAACGCCTCTTGAACAAGAAGAAGCGCAAGCGTGAGAGTCTTCTGCAGGATGCCATGAAGCGCGCCGCTGCCCGTGTCGGTTCCAAGGCCGCTGCTGGCCCTGCTTCGCGCACCGCCACGACGACCTCCGCGTCTTCATTGTCGCCGACACCCGAGTCCACATCATCTAGGCCTCGCAAAAAGTCCGAGCGTGCTTCATGGCTCCCGGAGGTGGCCGAGGGTGCAGTACGCGCCTCCTCACGGCATCTGGCTGTACAAAACAAGACAGCCGTTCACGAGCGCCTAAAGGAGAAAGAGAAGCACCGGCTCCGAACTGTGGCCATTATGAAGGCTGCTGAGCAGCGCAAGGAGGCCTACCGGCCTAAAGCGATGACGCAGGAGGAGCGTCTGGAGGAGGCTGCCAGGGTTGAACGCATGAATAGCAAATCCCTGAACCGATGGGAAGCCGCGGAGAGGAAGAGAGTGGAAGAACAGAAGGCGAGACTTGCGGAGCTGAAGAACCATCGTCTTGAAGGGCCCATCATCTCATTCTATAGTGGCCCAGCGCTCTGGGTCAATGACAGGCTGAAGATTGTGGGGAAGGAGGCACTCGTGCAGGTTGTCAAGGACAGGTCTTCAATGGCGGATGGCCAGGAAGATGAGGATGAGGACGAGGACGACGATGCGTCTGCTCCTGCCGTCCAACCCCTCTCTGATCAAGATTTATCAAAATTGCCAGATCAACCCATAGAGCTACTCGCTGCTAAGTCCTCCATACCTCTGGCAAGTACCATAGCCCATTCGCAACCCATTTTGCGACCACCACGACCATCGCAACCATCGCAACCATCGCCGTCATCTGCACAAGCAGCAGAAACAACAACAGCAAATAAAAACGAGCCTGTCATGAATAGGTTTTCTCAAGGTGTTGAGAACAATGGTGATCGTTTTACCAATGTTCCTGCCACTACTTCTACTCAGTCGGATAAGGAATCGCCACAACCCAGGACGCCAATGTCGCGAACAGACTCGAACCCAACCTCGGTATACACGATCTCATCTCAGAACTTGCCGACCACCGTACCTTACGAAACGCCTCCGACGTATTCGGAATCGCAACCTGAAGCTTCCACTGTGTCGCAGCCGAGCGGAGAGTCCACAATAGCACAATTTCAGACAACGTTTTCTGTAGCTCCCTCACCTCACGAACAGCAGATACCTCAATCTCAAAACCAATCTCAATCTGAGGACCAAAAGCCACCAAATACGCCAGCACCATCCAAGCCTAAAGCTCCGCGTCGGCGAGAACTCGCTTCAAGAGTGCTAATCACGATGCGGAACTTCCCCGAGGAGAGCACCGGCTCCCACAAGCGCGAGCCGGACTTCCTACGACACCATTTGTTCAATTGGCCACTCACGATGGCGCAGACGAAGAAGGAGCACAAGGCGAGCGTTGCTGCGGCGTCCAAGAAGGCCCTGTGTGCAGTGACAGGCCAGCCTGCGCGATACTGCGATCCGGCAACAGGGCTGTACTATGTTGATGCAGTGGCGTTGAAAGGTATGCGGTGGGTGGTGAATTCGAAAGGCAAGTGGAATGAGTTGACGGGCACGTTTGCTCATTCGGACAAGACGCGCCCCGCGCGCGGTGTTCCGGATATGTTCCTCATGCATGGAGAGGAGCTCAAGAAGCGTAGAGAGGAGGTGATGAAGCTCAGAGAGGAGCAGGAGAGGGCCAGAGCAGAAGCGCGAGCGAAGGCCCAGGCCGAGGCACAGGCGCGTGCAGAAGCGCAGGCTAGAGCGCAGGCTCAGGGACTGCAATCGTCTGGCCCTCTCCTCCCACAAACGCACAACGGCCAGAAGCCCGTATACCAAGTGCAGAACCATCCGCCATTGCAAGTGCAGATGCACATGCCACAACCACCGCGACCCCCTACTGTAATAGGGCCGGGCTCTCAAACCATGAGACCGTCGTGAACGAAAATTCAATGGTCATCAGAAAGCAAGTTGACGTGATACCCCTTAGCTGCATGATTGCCGCGTCATCATTTATATACAATATAGAGAAAGTTATCGTGGTTCGCGCATTAGTTCCAAAATTCTCTATCACGTGCTATCACGGTTTTTCCGAAACCGGTAACTTTTTGGAGCACACGCAAAAGTATTCCGTGGTCTTGCTTCTTCTCCATCGTGCGAGACGTCGACGCTTTGAACCCCCCCGCGACGGAGCAGGTGATTCAAAAGCTGGGAACTGATCCCTGATCTTCAAAAGGCACAGCATGGAACAAGATGCTGCTGATCAGGACGCCGCCGTCGGAGCCGGTTTGGAGACGGAGCAGCGTCGCAGCATAGACGCGTTGAGAACCTGGTTCACAGCCAACGGGGGCTACCTAGATCCGCGCCTGCAGCTGATGTACTCTCCGGAGCGGGGTCAGCACGTCGTCGCATCGAGTGCGATCGCGGCGTCCGAGGACGCGCCAGCGCTCCTCTGCAAGTGTCCGCTAAGCCTATCGCTCTCGTTCCTCAACGTGGAGGCCGCACCTCCGGCGGGCGTGCGGCCCTGCGCCGCCTCCAGCGCGGTCGCGCACCTCGTCGGGCGCGTCGAGCGCGCGGCCTTGAGCTGCTTCTTGCTGTGCGAGCAGCGCCTGCTGGGGACACGCAGCTTCTGGGCCGCTTACATCGCGTGTCTGCCGCGTGAGAGCGACATGGCCACACCGTGGTGGTTTGCGGACCGGGACCTGCTCTGGCTTCTGGGCACGAACGTCCACTTGAGCGCAGAGGCTGAGAGGTCTGGCGTCGAGATGCGACGGGGCATGTGGAAAGCGCAGTGGGAGGAGGGTGTGCGGGTGCTCAAGGCCGCTGGCGTTGACGTTGAGGAATATACTTGGTGCGTGCTTTTTTGATCTTTGCATACCGTACGCTGTAGCGGGGTTTGCTATGAACCTAGACCACCGCGGCCGTTTCTCTCTGCCTGAAAATCCTTCAGAGTATGGGCTGCTACGTGCACCTGTCACCATCCACCGCATGCAAGGCTGACTTTGGCGCGCAGGGAGTTGTATCTTTGGGCGGCGACAATATTCTCAAGCCGCAGTTTCGCCTCGCGCATTTTTTCGCCTTCCGTGTCGGAACCATCGGGCCAGCAGTCCTTCCCGCTGCTCTACCCCGTCGTGGACAGCTTCAACCACAGGTTCGGCGCCAAGGTCCTTTGGAACATGGACAACGGCGACTTCCAGATGAGCGTCGCCGAGCCCGCTCAGGCCGGCGAGGAGGTCTTCAACAACTATGCTCCCAAGGGAAACGAGGAGCTCCTGACTGGATATGGGTTCTGTATTCCCAACAATCCCTGTGACGAGGTGGCCATGCGCATCGGGAGGCCGCCAGACTCCGTCCACACCCTGCTCAGAAGTCGGTATCCGGAGCGGTTCGCCTCGGCTGAATGGGCAGACACAGACGCCGTCTTCTTTCTTCGCGGCTCGGATCACTATTCAGGCGGCTACCAGCACGCAGAGCCGCTACTTCGTGGCCTTCCACCGGAGTTGATCGGCACGCTTGGCGCCATCCTCGACCACTCGTACAGGCAGCAGGGCGTCGAGCTGGAGCAGCATCATCTCGAGCCCGCAGCCGTGGACGCCATCCTCGAACGGCTGGCTGCCAAGCACCAGGGCATCCGCCAGTGGGACGACCAGCTGCCCGCTGAGCCGCAGAACGACAGGCAGCGCTTCGCCAAGATGTACAGGGACGGCCAGCTGGCCATCATGGAAGAGATCATGGCCGAACTGCAGCAGTACTTGGACCGCTTCTGACCACGCTCGCGCAGGACCGCGCGGTCGCAAAATGAACAGCGTGCAATCCTTGCCGCAAAGAGCCGCCGTCGTCCTCTGCTCGCGACCGACTGGACAGCCGCGCTGTCGTGTGACGAGGCCAAAAAAAAGCTATTCTCGTCCTGTCGCTCGCGGGAGCTCCTTAAGCTAGGTGACACCAGGACAGTTCGTTTCGATCGCTGCAGGGATGGGGACGACCATTCCGCATAAGCACGCGCTTCGGTGGCCACACACACACACACACACACACACATATATATATATATATACTTAGTCACACATACGTCGTGAACACGACGAAAATGGACATGTAGGTCGTCACTACAGTGCGGCTTTCATTTCGAATGCCAACTTGCTACCACATAGATCTTATTTTTTTTTCTTTTTTTAATAAAAAAAAAAGGTTAACAGAAGGGGCAGTTTGAAGCAATGATAATAAACGTTGATCGTCAAGTTACCCATTCTCCGATGATTGTCTCACCCAACAAAGGGGGAGCGAACTAACAATGTCCCAGCCTTCTCACGGACCATGTGATGATGCCCGGGGCGCGTACAGTTCCTACACTGGACCGGTAGCATTTCCAGCTCCCCAAACAGCCGAGAAAAAAATGCTAACAATTAGTGTCCGTGTCCAACAATGTGTCTATATAAATGCGAAATGCAGCTTTCTAATCAAACAGGTTGCAATCGCGACATCCGTTGTGTGCCCATGATCAACCAGCTCCTCGTGTATCCATCTCGTCGACTCATGCCTGTATAAAGAATAAACCAAAAAAAACCCACTCTATCGTATGTCATTCCCAAGTGCTCACTCCTTCTTCTCGTGCGTAGTCGATGGAGGTGACGAATCAACGTGTATGTCTACTGGCTCTGGGTCTTCGGCGTCTTCAAAGTGTTGAACACCTTCCATGTGCTCGCCAATAAAGTCCATCTCGGTCGATGCCATGATCGGCGAGTTGTTATGCGCCGATGTGCCGAGGTCGTCGCCAAAGTCTTCAATAAGCTTCATACGCTCTTCATCACCATCGCCCATAGGGACGTTGCTGTCGATGTCTGCCTCGGCGAGATCGCTCTCACAGCCAGCTTGGTTCGTCTCTGAGAGGTTAGGAAAGCTCCATGGCTGGTAGGCTGAAAAGGGCGAAGCCTCTTGATAACTCGGTGGTCGCTGAGGCCCGATGAAGGCACCAGCGGCTGGCAAAGCATCGTCTGGATCTTCATCCATGCCACCACCGTAACCTTCGTCATCGTCGCCCTCATATCCGTCAAGTCCCGCTAGGGCCCCGCTCTTCACTAGCGCCCCTTGACCCGCTGCCGAACCATCCCCGCCTCGACGGTGCAGGTGACCCGCTCCTTGACCGGCTGAGGCGATCGACGAACCATTGTGGAACGATATTTCCCCGCCGAGGCGGTGGCCTTTTCCCTGGCCCGAGGGTGATGCAGCGCGTGATTGTGAGTCGCCGTCCTCGGCAGCAGAGTCAGTTGCACCCTCTTCTTCTGGATTGCGGAATGAAGAGACAAGCTGGCGGAGTCCCGGAGGTCCGAGATATTTGTTGGGGCCACTGGTGCGGCGGCGGTAGAACAGCAAGTACGCTGCCGAAGTAACAACCGAGCTCGCCGGACGCTTTGAGACGGACGAGTCTGTACATACGATTTAGCACAGGGAACATTCACAAAGGTAGAAAGAGCAAAGCTTACCGTTGTATTCGTACCACTGCTCATCCACGAAGTTCTTCGCGTAAGCAGTGTAGTGTCCGCCACCCAAGCCTCCATAGTGGTTATCCACTGCGAAGAGGTCGTACGTCAGATCAAGGCCTTCCTGCAGTCCAACCTTGTCATTAAGATTCAAGCCCTCTGTTGGGAAGTCTACAAGTATGTCTATCTTGTCGCGGAACTGCCTCGCGGCGCTGAAGCGTTTCAGGTGGATGACGAGGATATCGGGTGCTGTCCAGATCTCGAGCGTCTTCTCGGCCTGCCGCAGTTCCTTGCACCGATTGCAGTACCACGCATTGTCTTCCGTCAAAATCTCGCCACGCGACGTAACCTGGAAGCACTCGTCAAGCGAGATGCCGTGCTTCTTTCGTTCGGTTCTTCGTCTGCGCTTGTCGCTCAGTTCCTTGTCCTCAAGGACTCGGGTGTGCTTGCCAATCGTCTCCCGACCACGCATGTCATCCTCGTCTCTACCCTGGAAAAGAGCATCAAAATTCTCGAGACTCCAGTCCACAATTAAGCATTCGCCAAGATGTAGTATCGGTTCCTCAGGCGTTACCTCAAAATCGACGGACGATTCCTCATCTGTAGAAGCTGCAGACGGCTGATTTGTCCGGTTCTTCTTGCCGTACATCTTGAGCTTCTTTGGCTTTTGGCCTATCGACCCATCGTCTTCGCTAGCGCTGCAATCCGCCATGCTAGCCTGCACGCTGGTTAGAGCTTCATCGGCGTCAGACGACTCTGACGACGTAGGCGTCTCCGCCTGAACTGAAGGTCGTCTTGATGCCTTTGGAAGGCGGGACAACAAGGTTTTGAATTTGCGATTGTCTTGAACAGCGTGAAATCCAGTGGGTACCATTTCGGTTTGTTTCTCCATGATCTTGAGACTAAACAAGTTGAGAAGAGCGTCTGGAATTGGCACACCAGGCTCTAGCACAGCCCTGGCTGATGTCGGGGAGACTGCCGCTTTCTTATCGCCGTTCGACTGCGATTTGCTCACTGAAACTTCGACAGTACCATCTTCGCTCTCAACGGAGCGTGCCTGGACATCGGGCTCGGCGTCCTCTTCGCTGATGCGTTCCTGCTCCTCATCCTCCGGCGAAGAAGCGGACTCAGTCGCATACTCGTGTAGGAAATCACGCGTCGTCAGTGAGGCTATCCGAGCAAGTACTTTGCGGTAGATCTCGACATAGTTCTTAGCCTCATCTCTGTTTACAGTGATGAAGAAAGGCGTGTTTGCAAGGTTCATAGTTGAGCTATACGAGGATGCTGGCGACCGCTGGAAGACAGGAACCATCATGACGTCTGCAAGTGGTGAATCATCCCCCGGAATTTCAGCCTCTTCGTCGGTGTCATGGCCGAACGACAGCATGGTCTTGTATTTTTTCTTCTTCGGCGGCGGAAAGTTTGTGGGTACTTCGTCAAGTTCGTAGAGAATCATCTCGTCGCGTGGCTGAATGTTAGCTTCGGCGATGGTCTGCTTATCCTCTACCGTTCTATAGAACTTCTTGCTAAACACTTCTGCCATCATCAAGCGCTTCGCATCGAGACCTGGTACTTTAGCGGCTACGTATTGCTTAAGCTGACCGATTGTGCTGTGTTTGTCCATATCTATTTCTACCTTGACCGGATCGCCGCGCAGTGGAAGAAGGTAGACTGTGTGCTGCCAGCTGTGCTCGAGAGGAAGCTGCAGGGTGAGAAGCAGATATGGATCGAACGTCACGCTGACTTTGTCGCAGACTGGACACACCATGGTATTCTTGTAAAAGCCGTTAAACAGGTCGTGGATGACGGAATCGTTTCGCTTTCTGTAGTTTTCTCGGAAGATGTTGCCTAATTCCTTGATGTACTCCTCGTCATGAACCCTGCTGTCATCCGAGTCTGGATTTTCGATGTAAGGTTTTTTAACGATCCGATTCATATCTTCATGTAGCGCGTCCACCAGAAAGCTCATGAATTCTTGGGAATCTTGCTGGCCATAGCCGGAAAATTGTGGTCCACATTTGCTCAGCATCCGTTTGAAGTCGCTTGGTGTGAACGAACTTGAAGTCGTCTCGTAAATGGAATCCAGTAATGCAGCGTATGTCATTGCCATTTTGCCTTCGTGACCGAGCGGATTGCTCTTGTTAAGCTCCTTTTTCCAGGCTTTGGACAGGAAGAAGCATGTCAATTCTTCAGTTGCCCGAATGCACTGGAGAGCCGAGTTCATGTAGCACGTGTTGCCAAGATTGGTCAGACCAACGCTGCCTTGTGTCCGACCAGATGCTCGGTTTCTGCCCCGCGTGATGGGGCCAAGAGATGGACTGCTCCGACCACTGCTGGGATTGGAGAGGAGACCTCCCTTCTTTGCAGCCTTGGTCGCCTTCTTTGCGGTGTCCGACAGGAACGAGCCGCTTGTGCTTTGTTCTTCGAGAATGAGTATCTGATCCGCAGCAAGACCTAAGGTGCCAAGCTGAGCGCGACCGTTGTACTTCTCATTGTTTGTCTCGTCCTTCATGTCAATCATCTCTCGCTCCACAGCTTCTGGCATGGCCTTAAAAACATCGCTCTTAATCAGCAGTGGAACTGAAGTACTGGACTGCCCGCTAGGTGACGCCTCTCGGGACTCTGGCGGACTCAACAATGTGTTACCGTTTGTGGTCTTGGCATCTGAAGCAACCGTCTCTGGGCTCAAAACACGCCACACCTTGACCTTGGTTTCCATCGGTATGCCCGTAGATTCCTTTGCACGTCGGAGGAATTTTTGAAACTGACAACTCCTGCTTGCCACGATCCGCGGCGCCTTATGTTTGCTGTCCTCGGCTATGTGCTTGTCGAAGGACGAGCGCTCCGCATGAAGCTTTCGAAGCGTAAAGATGGGTGGATATAGCTCGTACTGCACGTTCTTGTCTAGCGCGTCAGGATCGGTGTTGGTTGCGTGTGCATAGCGTTTGATGGGCACTTGCCCCGGCGCAAGTCCGTACCACTTCAGAGCAAGCTTGAATGCCTTCTCCGTGAAGATTTCCAACTCGGTGTTAACGGACAGACCACGCTTTATTTGAATGTACTTTTCGCCCCGATCGTCCACCAAGTCTTCGGGAAGATCTGTTTGTCTGTGTCAGTTCGAAGCTACAATGCGGTGCAATAACAGAAACAACGTACGTGATGGAAGTATAGATGAATTGTCTATTGGCCCAACATCTCCCTCCAAGGTTTCCTTGTCGTAGGGACCGTGATCGTCCTTTTGTGACGAGCGGGCTAGAACACGATTTATCCAGGCAACGGCCACCAGGTAGCCAACGTCGCCATCTTCAGGCTGCCCTGCCATCTCTTGCATGATGGTCATGACTTGATCGTCTATAGAGGGCACTTCTGCCGCATCCCCCATTTCTTGGTCACCAGGCGTTTCCGATATCGACGAAGGATCGGTAGATGTGGCAGCGCTGTTGCCATTCGTAGTGGCTAGCATATCCACGGAAGCCTCCCGGGTGTGCTGCTTGCTGCTACCTTTGCTGGAAGACGGGGTGGGCGGACGATTGGATGAGTCGTCGCTGGAGTTGACATCGCGAGGCTGCATGGACGCCGGCTGCTCCATATCCATGGTGTGGTCGTCGTCCATGGCGCTGGCGCGTCGCTTGGCCGGTGAAGTCGATCGTATCTCACGCTCCGTGTCTGAGGGTGAGGCTGCGGTATCTGCTCGGTTTAATTGTTCGTCATCGCTGTTCGCAAGAGCAAGAGGATCTTCCTGACCTTGGTTCATGCCCGTGGTGTCCAGCGGGGTCTCAGCACTGTCCAGTGTCAAACCGGCATAGGCCTCGCTCGGCGAATCGACCGAGGTCGTGGCTGCGGAGGAGATCAGGCCGGACGAGCGTGAGAGCTGCGCGGTGGGAGCAGCTCTGCCTGGAGACGCTGCAGTCTCGGCAAAAGGCTGGTCCAAAGGTAGGCGCGAGGCGTCCGATGCCACAGCGACGGGGCTTTGGGGAGCACGCGGCGAGGAGAGGCGGTGCGGAGGCGGTGGCAGTTGAGGCTGCCGAGTTTGCGGCCGCTCGTTGGCGAGGCGTTGGCGTGAGGGCGTGTCTGGGGCGTTGTAGGCCGTGTCTGGGGCGTTGTATGCCGTGGGAACGGTGTCGAGACGCGCGGTAGGAGTGAGTTTCCTCTTTTTGGACGCCGTCTTGAGGACGGAGCCGAACCAGAGGGTTCCGCTCGGGCGTTGGTATGGCAGGCGACGGTGAGGAACGAGGGCTTGGTTAGGGAGGGAAAACGCGGTGAACAGGCCTGATAGCAGGCAGGTGCAGAATTGCAGTGCCGGAACGCGGAGCACTAACGGCAGAAGTGGCGAAGACAAGTCATTGATCGTAATAACGGTGCATCCGAAAAACTCTGGAGTAGCCAGGCTTGCACCCGTGTTGGTACCTTAGTTATTAGTACCTGGTACGCCTGCCTTGTGCTGCCTGAGGCCGCAAATAAACCTCTTTGTGCGCTGTGCTCGTCGTCCCGCAGCCAGCTGGAGCGGCGATGGCGCAAAGCGGAACTGTGCCTGCGTCCCAGCTGTCTGCAACCGGAAGCGCCGTGGCGACAAGCAACAACGAGCAGCGCCAGCCTGGGAGGCCACAGCAATGTCTCCTGATGTTTCTTTCTCCCCGTCCGGCTGCCAAACAACAGTCAATGGACAAGTACATCACTGGGCAAGCAAGACGCACAATCAGTCCAAACCGAGCGTGCACATGATCTGATTGTCTTTTCTATGCGACTGTAGAGCCGCCTTTTCATACTAATGACGGATACGCATGGCCCTTTGCACACGGCTGCTCAAGCTGTTCTGCCATTTCAACTCGACAAGCCCGGCCCGACTCTGTTCCAGACAAGACGCGGCCGTGTTTGAGGGCCGCCGAAAGCAGCGCCAAACCCCGCTCTCGCTTTTCCAACTCTTCAGAAGTCGGCGAGTTCTTTGACCCTCGCCTTGTGTGATTCATGCCGTGTCATGCGTGAGCACCGTTTCGCCCGTCTGGTCGTGTGAATGTATTCCCGTGGCGGGACTGTGACCAGTGCAGCGAAGGGCTGGTGGTGTCGTGCTGGCTGCCTGATGGGTATCCAGCACCGCGGGAGGGGGGGGGGCCTCCCGAGCAGGGCGGGGAGGGAGCCTGGGGCTTTTGCCTGCACCAGTATATATCCTGCAGACATTGCAGTTATTTGCAGGCTCTGGCTGTGCGTCATCGTCATCGGGTACTGCTCCGTCTTCATTTTTCTTTTCCTTTTCCCTGCTATCTATCGTGGACGTGGTGGGTCTAGTGTCTCAAGAAAGGATGCAAGTACGCCATCCGGCCATGACTGGCCGTGCACTTCGATCAGTTCAGCGGGAGGTGGAGGAGCCCAGGTGTCGAATAATGTCCTGCCCTTGACATTCCGTACGTAGCGGCCGTACCAGAACGGTTGCTGCCAGGTTCGATGTCCGAAATAGACGGTTTGCCATACTTAGGGATTGGAGAAGACGCGGCCGATCCGAGCAGCTGATCGTTAAGCACAGCAAGCTCCCCTTCGCTTTTGCATAGCAAAGCATCGGAGATCGGCCGGCCTTTGGTCATCATAATCTGGCAAATGCAGCATCGGGACGGGTGCAGGCTCTGGATCTGGGGTTGGGACTGGAGTTTGGGACGCTGATGACTCCTGACGAGTGATGCTCTGGCGTAGCGGTTCCCCGCCATCGTCGCTCTGTTTAGAAGGCTGCAATCGCTTGTGCAGCAGTGGCAGCAGGTGAAGCTCCATCACCATCAGCAGTGCCGCAGCAGACACAAGGCCGGCCTGTCTGCGAACCAGTCGACTCGGCGCCCAATGTTGCCGCTCAGATTCGACGGTCCAGCTTAGCTACAGGCAGGCCGGAAGGGAGGTGTCAATGGCCTGAGCTTCTTTGCACCGGCCGCGCCTTGGGCCCCTCTGGTTGGGGAACTCTGCTGGAGCTGGCGCGGTGCTGCTCCTGCTCCTGCTCCTGCTGCTGTTGTTTGTTGCTGATGCTGATGCGGATGCTAATGCCAATCTCATGGTGATGGTGGTGCTGACGCTGGTTCTGCCGCGCCTGTGAGCTTGCCTTCAAACTCACGCTCTTCTTCCCACCCCGCTTCGCCCGTCAACCAAACAGTGGGCAGCTGCTCTACACGCACACGCACGCACGCACTCACACTACCACTCTTCCGCACGTCGTTTCTCTCGCTCTGCTCTTCCACCATTCGCCCCCCCACCATCACCAATACCCACTCCCACCCTCCTCCCCCTCTCCACCAAGTCTGCCCTCTCCATTCCATAGTTCGACTCTGCATCTTCGTCCTCACGTCAATTGATCGATCTGCATACGTTTTTGCTGCCCTTCATTCTTACCTGTGGTCGCAGCCTATTCTCAAAATAGCATAGCGGCCACAACTGCCTGGTCTCGCATCGTCATCGGCTCCCAGACAATCGCAACGGTAGCTCACAGGTGATCCACGAGTCAAATCCTGCCTCGTCCTCCCTCTTCGTCGACTCCAATTGCCTCCAATCCCCTGGCTGTCTGCATACCACACGGGGAAGGCGTTCGCTTGCCAGCAGTCCACTCTTCCGGCTGCAGCCCAACGCAGACGCATAACGCAGCAACTGGTCGTCGCAAAGCGCGGGGATCAGACGGGATCCAGATCTGCTAGGGCAGCACACCTCACACAGCGCATCACGCCGCACCTGTCAGTCGCCGTGTGCTCCCCCTTTCGTCTATCTTACCTAACATTCCCTGACCTTGGCCACAGCAAAGCCGTCGGCTCCGCACCCAGCAAGGCGGGAACCTTGGTAGCAGTCCGTCCACAACGCTTCTATGCCTACCCTGGGTTTTCTGAAGAAAAAACGGACGAAGGACTCGTCTGGATCGAAAGACCTGGACTCTCCGATCTCTCCGGTCAAAGAGAACCATCCGCAGCCCGCTGCTGTTTCAAGTCCGACGGCGGCGACAGCAGTCGGCAGCTCCGCGCCCTCCTCAGCCGCTGAAAAACCTGCGCAGCAGCACGACTCTGCGACAGACTCGGTCGCTTCGACAAAGCCGGAATCCACAAAGGACGTCGACATGGCGTCGGCTCAGACCCAGCCCTCGCCCTCCCCCGCGGTACAGACGAACAATGCGCCCAGCATACAGAGCATGCTCAACAGCAGCTCGCAAGCCAACGGCGGCACCATCCCAGGGATCCTGCCCACCCAGCAGCCCTCGACAACCATTCGCGAGACCAAGGGCAAGTACGCTCTCTCCGACTTCAATATCCAGCGTACCCTGGGCACCGGCAGCTTCGGGCGTGTGCATCTCGTGCAGTCCAAACACAACCAGAGATATTACGCGATCAAGGTGCTGAAGAAGGCGCAGGTTGTCAAGATGAAACAGGTTGAGCATACAAACGACGAGCGCAGAATGCTGCAAAAGGTCAAGCACCCGTTCCTGATCACTCTGTGGGGGACGTTCCAGGATGCCAAGAACCTGTACATGGTCATGGACTTCATTGAGGGCGGAGAGCTGTTCAGCTTGTTGCGAAAGTCTCAGGTAAGGCGGTCACGCACCCGGTCATCCTCCTAGCAACCCACAGCCCTTTCCAGCCCTGCCACCACTAGTCATGCTGCAAGAGGGAGCGCAGGCGCTGACCCCAACAACAGCGCTTTCCGAACCCGGTCGCAAAGTTCTACGCGGCTGAGGTGACGCTTGCCTTGGACTATTTGCACTCGATGAACATCATCTATCGTGACCTGAAGCCTGAAAATCTGCTCCTGGACAGGCACGGTCACCTCAAGATCACCGACTTTGGCTTTGCGAAGGAAGTGCCTGACATTACTTGGACTCTTTGCGGCACGCCGGACTACCTCGCTCCCGAAGTTGTGGCTTCAAAGGGCTACAACAAATCAGTGGATTGGTGAGCCGCGGTTTTTCTTCTCTGTTTTGCTCAAGGCAGCGCTGATCTAGTTTCCAGGTGGTCGTTAGGCATCTTGATCTTCGAAATGCTGTGCGGCTTCACGCCGTTTTGGGATAGCGGATCACCACTGAAGATCTACGAGAACATCCTAAAGGGACGTGTAAAGTACCCGCCTTACATACACCCTGATGCGCAGGATCTCCTCTCCAAGTTGATCACATCGGACCTGTCAAAGCGACTGGGCAACTTGCACGGCGGCTCCAAGGACGTCATGATGCATCCTTGGTTCGCCGAAGTGACATGGGACAGACTAGCCAAGAAGGATATTGACGCCCCGTACATTCCCCCAGTGCGTGCTGGCGTTGGCGACGCATCTCAATTCGACAAGTACCCTGAAGAGACCGAGGCGTACGGCGCAACGGGAGATGATCCGTACGTATTTTGATGAAATCATTTTGGTTGAGGTTCAGGCTAACGCTAACGTCGGCTCTAGACATGCTAAATTGTTCACAGAGTTCTAGCGATGGAGAGGATCAGGATCAACTCCCCTTTCAGAAACGCGCTCGCCACTTGTCGCGTGTGCGATCGCAGATTATCCCGAGGCCGCCTCATGAAGCAACGAAAGCGGTCGGAGCAAGCTGTAGAGGTGTTTGGCTACTTTTCTTTGTAAAAGCAGGCTGTTCCTTCACAAACTTGGCTTGCTCAGATCATGGTCTTACAATATGCGATATGTAGCCGAGGATTCTCTAACACACCACGCCGTGCTTCGCTTACGCATGACCCTTGCCCTCGTATGAAACTTCCCTATTTGTCCTATTGCGAAGACGATGTACGCTAGGATTATTGAGTTTTTAAAAAGAGAAAACTCCACGTCAAGGAACGACGAAGCTGTTGAATATCGATTCAAGAAGGCCAAATAGCAAAAGCCGATGGTGATTCATTTTCCTACGTATGGTTCATCTTTTGATATCTACTCGGTACAGTGGGTGTATTTTACAGTAAGGCTTGCTGGCCAGCAAAGAATTCTTTACTGGCTGCGCAACGCTCGCTCGTGCACGCAGGACACCGTAGCATCATCTGTGGGCTGCATGCGATGTTCTTTTGAAGGTGTTCCTTTGCTAGATCGGCCAACGCCCGAATGAAGACGGGGCTTCCATTTAAGCTCTCCACTCTCTTTATGCTGTCCAACCCTGTCTCACCGATGATCTCGTGATCCAGCTCGTACAGCGTCTCGATGTGGTCGCTTGTGAATGCGATGGGGATCAGGACTAGGTCCGTCAGGCCCTTCTTGACGTATTCCGAAACCGTGTCGGACGTCTGCGCACCCAGCCATGCGGAGGGGCCGACCTGGGATTGCCACACCAGACGGTACGGGTTCTTCATGCCCAGACGCTGCATCACGGCGTACACCGTGGCGGCCACCTCGGCAGGGTACGGGTCGCCTCTGTTAACAACGCTCATGGGCAGCGAGTGTGCCGAGAAGAGTAGCACGGCCGAGTCCCTTCTCTCCGGAGGGTACGTTGCCAGCGTAGCCTCGATGTTTTGTGCGAACGCCTCGATCAGGCCCGGGTGGACCGGCCACCGGTCGATGACGCTCCACGCGATGCTCCCCTTCGGATCAGCCTCGCCTGTCGCCCGCTTGCCCTCAAGTCGCTGCCGCCACTTCCACAGCTCGTTCAGCGAGCTTCCCGTTGTGCTGCACGAATACTGCGGGTACTGGGTGAAGGCCACGGCTCTGCCGCCCTTGCCGCCTCCGAAGCCGTCGGCCAGCAGTTGCTGGTACATGTGCTCGGTCAGCGGATTTGCATATCGGAACGCGACGTAGGGCAAGTGCGGCGCCGTCTCGAGTGAGATCTTGTCCAGGATCTTGCACATCTCCGCCGCCTGATACTCGCTCCACTTGCGGATGGGCGAGCCACCGCCGATGGCTGCGTATTGCTGCTGGATCTTCGGTGTGCGCCGGCGCGATATAAGGGGCCCGAGGTAGGACTGGAGACGGCCCAGAGGGATGAGGTCGCCGTCGGCCTGAGCCACAAATTGTTAGAACCAGAGTAACGGGGCGAAGCCGGGATGGACTCAGGTCATTTGAGCGACAACCGAGCTTGAAAAGGGCGACGTACGAATAGCCTCGACAGGAAATCGTACACTTCATCTGTTGTAGAAGGACCTCCCATATTCATGAAGACCATAGCCGTGGGGCCCTTCTTGCCCGTTGAGTCCTGCGTCACAGGCGGCGCTTGTTCGGTGGCGAGATGTCTCTGCTGCCATAATGCGCCCGAGACGTGTTGCGGCTGCACGCCCAGCGCCCGCGACGCTCGCCTTGTCAATTGCGCAACAGGGCGCCTCAACGATGACATTCCGAGAGGTGCGTAAGGTATGCTGGAATTGGCAAGTCTGAGAGAGGAAGGGAAGAGAAATGGTCGGGCCGGTGCTCTGAGCCAGCTCGACGTCGAAAAACATCCCGAGCTTCGGCTTCCGCATGTGGTAAGTTTTGGGGCCCAGACTCTGGCGCACAGGTAAGCGGCGATGGCGATTGGAGACTCCAACGGTGTGACGATCGCCAAGCCCTGTGGGGTTTTGGTGCTGACTCCTGGCTCTTCATGGCACGTGCCAGCGCGTCCAGGCTTCCACACTCTGTCTTCTTGGCCTCCCGCGACGCGCCATGAGCAGACGGGTGCAGCATTCGCGAGGCTGAATGGTGGCATACAGATGTGATGCACGCTGCTGCAATTGCTGCTTCCCCGCCCTGTACCCAATGAAATCTGATTCATATCCGTTGGCTTGAGATCGACTCTCTCTCTCCGTTTAACGCTTGGTCTGAGTCTTTGCAGCCTGAAGAAAGACGTCACGATCTTCTTGCTTTCGAGCCCTGGACGACATCCAGCGGGCTTGACTGACTAACGGACGATATGGCCGATGAGGCAGATTCGAAAGATCCAGCTCGCGGAGATGGTGAAGAGGAAGAGCAGGAGGAAGATGTAGATGACACTGTGCGTTAAAGACTCTTCTATTGTGTGCCACGGTTTCTGATTCAACGCAGGGATACAAGATGGCTAAAGACGCCGTGCTTTTCTGTATCGACATCAGTGAATCCATGATGGAGGCGCCAGAGCCTTCGCCGACCGACAAAAAGGCCGACAGAGACTCGCCCGCGCTTGCGGCGTTAAAGTGCGCCTATCAGTTGATGCAGCAACGCATCATTTCGCATCCGAGCGACATGATGGGCGTCTTGCTGTTTGGCACCGAGCAGTCGCGTTTCATAGGGGACGACGAGGCCGAGAGAGGGAAGTTCACCTACCCGCACTGCTATTTGCTCACAGATTTGGACGTGCCTGCAGCGGCCGATGTCAAAAGTCTGAAGGCTTTGATCGAAGACGAACAAGAAGCTGCAAACCTGCTTGTCCCGTCAAAGGAACCGGTGGCCATGTCCAACATGCTTTTTTGCGCAAACCAAATCTTTACCACCCGAGCTGCCAACTTCTCGTCCAGGCGACTGTTTTTGGTGACTGACAATGACAACCCGCATCCAAACGATAAGGCCCTAAGATCGGCAGCCGCAGTCAGGGCGAAAGACTTGTACGACCTTGGCGTCGTGATCGAACTTTTTCCTATCGCGAAACCGGGCCACGGATTCGACCGCACGATCTTCTACGACGACATTGTTTACAGGTCGATGCCAGAGGACGAGAATGCACCCGCACCCCTCACCACCGCAGCCAAGACGTCCGAATCCAGCGGCGGAATCTCTCTACTGCAGTCACTGATTTCGAATGTCAACTCAAAGGCTGCGCCGCGACGGGCCTTGTTCACACTTCCACTCGAGATCGGCGCTGGTCTTAAGATAGGCGTCAAGGGCTATGCGACAATAAAGCGCCAGGAGCCAAAGCGGAGCTGCTACATCTGGCTTGGAGGAGAAAAGCCGCAAATCGCCGTCGGTAACACGACCAAGATTGCAGAAGACACAGCTCGCACCGTCGAACATGTAGAGATTAGAAAAGCGTTCAAGTTCGGCGGAGAGACCGTAAGTTTCACCGACGACGAGCTCAAGAAAATCAAGACATTTGGCGAACCTGGCATACGCATCATTGGCTTCAAAGACCTATCTCTCCTTCCCGTCTGGGCGAACACGAAACCCGCCACGTTCCTTTATCCTTCGGACGTGGACTACATTGGCTCAACACGTGTCTTCTCCGCACTTTATCAAAAGCTTCTCAAGAGCAAGAAGTTTGCGCTGGTGTGGTTTATTGCGCGTCGAAATGCGGAACCTAGACTCGCAGCGGCAGTGCCGTCTGAGGAAAGATACAACGAGGGAGAACAAATCACTCCACAGGGACTATGGCTTGTGCATCTGCCTTTTGCAGACGACATTCGCAAGACACCAGAGACTCAGCTTGTTGGGGCACCAGACTCGCTCATTGATTTGATGCGAAAGGTCATACAGCAGCTTCAGTTGCCGAAGGGCAAGTACGATCCCAAGAGATATCCGAATCCATGTAAGTATATTTATTCATCCAATCAGCGATCGCTAATGCATGTTCAGCACTTCAATGGTTCTATCGCATCCTCCAGGCCATTGCTCTTGAGGAAGAAATTCCCGAGACCCCTGAAGACAAAACCGTGCCTAGGTATCGGCAAATCGACAAGCGCGCAGGTCCGTACGTACTCGACTGGGGTGAGGAACTCGAGAAGCAGTACGCTGCATGGCAGAGAAAACATGGCGGGCACACGTCCCTCGCCACCGTAGGCAGCAAACGCACTGCAGATGGCAGCGTTGGCGGTCCAGCAAAGAAACCAAAGAGTTCCTCAAGCGTGGACCTTCCGACCGAAGAAGATATGCGCATCATGTGGGAGAAAGGCACGCTCGACAAGCTGACCATCCCAGTGCTAAAGGAATTTTGCCACGCGAAGCGTCTCCTCACAAGCGGGAAAAAGGCTGATCTCGTGGACAGGATTAACGACCATTTTGAATCCAAATGAAGCGATCGGTAATGCATGATTTACAGAAGGCGCTTTGCCAATCCCGCGGCTGCTGCCAATCCCTTGTAATGTTCTGTTGGACTGTAGAAACACGTGATCCATATTAACTGCAGAACATCGTGGCCGAAACAGCGCGCAAAAGAGTTTGCGCGCATTCTCACGACATGATGCTATGCATACGTTGAAGATAGACACGGGATATTCAGAGTACATGGCTTCTGGGAACGATTGCTTCAATTGGCGAAGCAGGTGTTGTGAGCAGAACGCAGGACAGACCTTCCAGATGTTGACTAGCGCTGCTTGATAAGGTGACACAATACCTTGCCTCTATCAGGTTTGGCTTGCGGCATCCCCACAATTTGGCAACTATCCAGTCGTAAGGGTACTCGATGTACATGGCTGTGGTTCAATGATGGCTCGGAGAGTGGACGTGTATGATCGAATGGCTGGGCTCTTTTAACCTTAAGCGTGTTCTTGCGCGATCCCGTACGTCGAGAATTACTCGATAATATTTCAACATGCGATTTGCACCCAGGCCTGACTAGTTGGAGCAGATAAGCGCCGTATCTCCGCTCTTGACTTGACCTGCTTAAAGCTCGCCACTTCCTATCTGCTGAAGCTACAACTGTTCCGGGCTCGTTGGGTTGAGCAACTTATCCCGTCCTATCGCTACGCGGCCAATTGCTTTTACTTCTCCTACTTCGCAGCTGTGCTTCGTAGTGGAACCCTTTCGACACTCTGTGTAACAAGTCTTCTGATATCTCGTGCAACGAATCCTTCGAACTGCAGTTACCCAGCATTCAGACTGCAATGATCCCGTGACAACAGCATCAAGCATAGACATAATTCGGCTTCCAAGTTGTCTTGAAAATAACGCATTCACGACTCGGCATAATTCTCAATCATGGAACGAAGTCATTTGATTCTTCTCGGCTCTGCATTTGCCGTCAGCTCCGCCTTGATCTTACTGCTATCTAAGAAGCGAAGAGAGATCGTTTTCCGACGGCTACCCATACGACGGAGAGTCTCATCCAGCGCAGCAACACCACCTCGCTCACTCTCGCCCGAGAAGAAGCCAGTGACTGAATCTGATTACAGTGATGTTTATCCGCCATCGAGACGATTTACCCTCCGCACCGTAGCCCCGCACATAGCTGAAAAGTCACCTAAGCCAGATGGTGGCATTTTCTCAGGCACAGACGAGAAAAAGCCACTGCAAGCACCGCTTGATGTTCCCTTTGCCGACTGGGATCCAAAGACCTACACTCCGACGGAGTTCTCAAAGGAGGAGATTGAGGCTCTTGGGGACTTTCCGGACTATGCTACCTTAAGTGGTGTGCCGTTACCCGAACCGTACAAAGAATTCGTGATTGAGAAATCTCAGCCGAGACCGTACCGTCCGTTCAGATGGGCATATCACCAGACAATGTGTGCGTACAAATCTCTGATCTGCGTGTACTTCCAAAACTCCTGCTGACCTATTTGTTCCTTAGCATTGACCAAGATGGAACCAGACTGGTGGCTTGAACTTGAGTCAACGTATGTTGAGCGCATCAAGCAACGCCAGGAACTCTTCAGGAAGCACGGAAAGTCCGTGCTTGATTCGCTTCCAGGTTCCGAACATGCATGCAAAGAGCTGATGGAGATGTGCATTCAATTTTTATGTGCGCGATATCCTCAATATTTCTCCTTTGATAAGGAGTCAATGGTGCTCGACAATAAGATTCTGGGAACGAAGACTAACGTCAAATCTATGCCCCCTCTGGAGGTTCTTCTCAACAACGTTCCGGAGGACTTTGCCATCATGCTGCGGGATCCCAAAACGGGGTTTTATAGCTTCCGCGCTGGCATGATCTGCAGCTCGCTGGGCTGGAATCTGGGCACTAAGATGGGCATGCGGTTGCACGAAATCCATGAGCCTATTCCGGACTACAAAGAGAAGATGCAATTCTCGATGGACAGGTGCGAAACTATCGGCTGTGCTTCAGTAAATCGTCGGGGAGCTAACCGTTACCAGGTATTTCACAAAGAAGCCAACGGATAAGTCCATTCAGCGTGGATCCTGGGGCCTTGAAGTCGACCAGCCATTATACATGCCACCCGGTGACCCGCATGAGCTGCACCGTGACTCGCAAAACCCGAACCTGAAATTGGAGCAGTGCCACCTCCGCGTCGATTGGCAAACACTGCGACGCCTGCCTCTCTCCGCCGGCGTGGTGTTCAATTTCAAAGCTCTTTTCACACCTGTCACCGAATTTAGGGACGAACCTTACATTCCCGCGCTTGTCCTCAAGGTGCTTAATGAAGGCAAGGAGAACTTGATGAAGTACAAGAACACATGGCACGTGGAGCACGTGGTTAAGCCGGCGCTTGCGCAGTGGGCTAAGGAGCAAGAGGAAAAAGGCGTCGTGCAGAAGGACTGGAAGGTGCAGACGCTAGATGAGAGCCCTTTCTTCCCAGGTTGGGAAGAGAAGTGGCGGAGGCAGCAAGGGTTCTGAGCTCGACGAGATCCTTCAATGCATGAAGAACACAAATACACGTGTTCAATCTGCTTTTATGCTTCGCTCGATACCACATTGGTCATGGGTTCTATAAGTTATATGTAAAATTGCGGTTCAAACAATGTTTCTCATGTCTGTGGTTCAGAATGAAGACTTCGGCTGCGAAGAGATTAAGTGAGCTACCAAGCTTTACACCACAAACGAGACTTATGAAGTTTCGCAAGTCCATTGTATGAGGCAAGATGTTTTGATGAGCTTGATTCCGAATACATATAATGCTTATTCATAAGTCATTGACTCATCTATCATGATTGTTTTTCGATGGGCATTTCTCCATAATAACCAATATATATTTAATGGTCCACGTATATCCATTGTTCTTTCAAAAAAACATAGTGTCCTGTGCTATCATCTTCTGCCTGGCCGCTTTGGCTTTGCAAATTGAGTCTTCTGCTCCTGCTTGACCACGAACTCGTCGTCGATCGATTGAGCAGTAATGTCATTTGGGTCTGAAGCTTCGATCTGCGAACGGGTAAAGTTAGCACGCCGAACACATGAACCTTGGGGTAGACAGCGCTGGATACCTTCTTGTCAAGCTTCAAGCCGGCTTCTTGTTCCGCTAGTACTTCGGCGCTTCTTCTTGAGCTAGCGTACAACATGCGCTGCTTGACTTTCGTCGCCGTCGGGCACGTGTAGATAAATATCGCCGCGGTCTCTTGACCGGAGGCGCCGCTATACGAGTGCTTGTATATGGAATACCTGGGCTCAGTCGCCGAGATGTGGGATGCCAGGTCCGACGTGCTGACTCCACTAGATGGCGGCTCCGCAAGCACGATTGACTCGTTATCATCAATCTTGAGCATAACCAGGCCGCGCTCCTGCAGAGTGCTGATTGCTGCCACCACGCCCTCACCCGCCTGCATTTTGAGGCCACTGCTGCCATACCCCGCTCCCCGTCGCGACGTGCCACCGACCTCAGTCGCTTCCGCATTCTTGATCTCCACCAAGTTCTGCTCCTCCTCCGTGAGCGGATTCTCCAGCGCTACATGGCTCTCGTGCTTCTTCCAGCCCTCCGCCGTCAGTTCATCCGCACTCTCCACGAAGATCTGCTCGCTGAAATTCTCCAGTCCGAGCTCGCGCGCGAGGGTCAAACGCGTCGAGGCGAAAAGCATCTTCTGTCGCACGTGGGCCGTATTCGGAACGTATGTGATCGCGACGAACGTCTTGTCCTTGGGCGCATCCTGCCGTAGGAGAATGTACAGCGGCTGAACGGGCGTGAGGTGCGACGCGAGGTTTGAGAGGTCGTCGCTGAAGCTGGATGACGTGCTGGGGATGGTCTCGGACGGCACCAGAACCTCGTTCTTTATGGTCACGAGCAAACCTCGCGAAGAGGGCTCTGTTTGGAGAGACTTGAACGCCTCAATGAGCTCCTGGGAGGCTAGTCAAGCAGATTAGCACTTGAGCAGAAACAAGCACAACTGTGGCTGTCGTGGCCGAATGAAGTACCTGATATTCCGGACTGCATGGCCACGAGCGTAAAAGGGGAAAAAGAAAGCGAGATTCAGAAAAAACTATTCAAGACAGGTGTGGGTGATACTGTATCAAGCGTTATTGTTTCTGCTAGCCAGATTAGTTGGTTGCACAGCCTTGCGATGTCGCAAATGACGACGTTCGAGACTTGTGTGCATCCTGAAACCTAACCGCACACATCTGACGCTCGCATGTACAGTAACATGGATTTATGGGCATTTTTTTTTTTAAAAAAAAAAAGTCTCGTACCCGTCAATCATTGCGACCTTAAAACAAAATAGGATCCATCTCCGTCCTTAATTCGTTCACAGCCGTTGCCGATTCGTTAATTATGCCTATTGTACATCTTGAAGCCTCTTTCTCATTTCCAAGCGCCATGCTGAATACATACTTGTTGCTTTACCCAAAACCCTGTAATCATTTTCCTCGTCCACTAAATAATTGCATGATGTAGACAAAATGAGTTCCAGCTCCCAGCGGATACATATGCTAGATTTTTGCCATCGATCTCCTCTTGTTAGCCTGCGCAAGACAAAGGATAACTTCTCTCTTCATCGTCACTCTAGGTACCTCTTCATGGTGTCAACTGCGGCGACTCCCTTACCTGTCAGCATTAAACCTTGTCTTGTTTTCTTCTATGACGCTTTGGAAGTCAGCTCCACCTGACAGAAAGGCATGCCTGGATCGACAACCTCCACGAAGCGTTGTCCAGGGCCATATCCCAGCGACTCCCATGGTGGGCCTCTGTTAAGGATCACTTGACCGATGGGCACGTTGCTCCACAAAATGCATGGAATGCCGGCAGACATGAGGCTGGGATACCACCAGTTCGCCCGCCTGGCCCTCAACAGCCTCTGCTTGGCGGACTCTGGGCTGTACTCTGTCACCCGGTCGAAAAAGAGAATCTTATCCGCCGCCAAGTTTAGGTACCCGTCCTCAACTTCGTACTCTAGTTCGAAATTCTGGATGGAAGACACTACCTCGGAGACGATCGTACAAATACCAGAGTCTGGAATTTTGACAGAGGCGAATTGGCGTCTGGTCGATAACAAAGACCTTGACAACCATGTCCTCTCGAATCGGATCACCCCACCGTCCTCTCTCGACTGCTGGTTTTTGAGCGATTCGCAAATACGGAAGCATTGCTTCTGATACACTGCTTTGGGCACGGTCGTAACCTCTGGCGTATCTTCTACAATGAACTCCTTGTTGTGCAGCGAATCCTTCCTCCAATGACTGAAGCGATACTGTTCGATGTCTTCGAGCCAGGCACAGATGCGTACAAGATTCCTTCGAGCGCCAACCTTTCTGATGCAAGCGTGGCAAGTCCCTTTGATACCGTCGGAAACACATGAGTCCAACTCATACCCGAATTCTGGGCCGTCGTCATCCTCAGGGAATGTGACATTATTGGGATTCTTGAAGAGTATCCCGTATCTTGCTACGCGCTCACAGATACGCTGACTTACCCTAGCGACTTGTTGGCCAAGTTGTAAGGTACCTGCAAAACTGTTACCCGAAGATGCAACTTCAGGCCGTTGGCCGTCATCCTCTCTTGAGGGGAGGTCTCCATCAGGATCAGAAATTGCTTCTGGTCTGTCTTCAGATATGTCAGAGTAGGAAGAAAACTGTATTGTACTGGTCCCGTTAAATATCTCGTCAGCATCTGCGTCGTAATGTTCACTACTCCTGGCGTTGCTCTCTAAGACACAATGTGGCAACACGTATGGGTCATCCCGAGCCCGCAACCACGTGCTCTCCGGTATACCCTTAAGATCGCAAAAGAGGTGAGCCATGTCGAGAATTTGCGGCTTTTTCATCGTGCGAGCATATACCTTGAGCTCCTCCCATATTCCCTGCAATTCGTATGTGCGACTGTTCTGAAAGCCAGCATTTACATCCCAGTTTGTATCGATAGGCCAACCGAGCATCATCGCATGGCTCCAAGGCTGGACCTCGACCATGTTCTTAAGAACAACTCTATACATCTCCGTGGTCCGACTACCGATGCGTTGCATACTCCACTCACCTGGCTCAAGGCTAGATTGAGCGTAGAGGCCATAAGTGTCACCAGCAACATGATTTGTGATCTGAATACGGATTACTTGACCAAGCAAGCCCTGGCTACGGAAATCTCTGGTTGCAGGAGCCCGATAAAAGGCATCGCCTCTATTCCTTCGGCCTTTATTGTCAATATAGTTAAGCGCCATAAGTGCATTGACATTGTTCAGATCCGGGCATATAAAGTCTTGAATGCGGTAATCGATCAGCACGTTGACTACAGGCCTGTTGAAATGCATCACAACGTGGTAGCTTGGAAAAAATCGATTGAGATTGATCGAGAATGGAAAGAACCTCTTTTCAAGAGCCGTGGGACCTTTTTTATGCTCCTTTACATTAAGGTCGCCGATGTACTTGCCGTGAATTTCGAGCTCGCTGTATGGAGGGTAGCAGATCAGACCCGATGAGCCGTGAACGACGACAAGAGCGTGGATGACATTCTTGGGGCTGATCTTGGTACTAGGTATATTTATAGCGACATCAGGGTTGTGCATACTCTTGTTATGGCTACCCGTCACGGTTCTTACCAGGCTCTGGCTGACCAGCGACTCAAGCTTGATGACTTTGAGTGCAGGGTAGCATGGCTCTTGAACGTGTGTGCACGCACCGATCTCACATCCGCCATTTGGTCGCTCAGAAAAGACCTCAGCGTTCTGGCCAACCATGCCCTTGAGGTAGGTTGGTGGAAACTCACCCTCCTTGTCTGTCTTACGAGCGTCTCCTTCGCTCAAGATCTCGTCCAGAAGAAGGGATTCCGTTTCGTATTCGGAATAACGTGCCGGAGGAACAAGGTATCCATTGGGCGGATAGCTGCGACAGATGACCTCGTCTGGAGCGCCGTTGAATATTGGGAGCGTCTTTAAGACGTCGAGATCGGCAGGCACATGTTCTTTTGGTGAAGATATGTCTGAATTTGTCGCCTGAATGGATTTATCGCCAGCATGTGTGATTAGATGCTCGTCTGTCGAAGGCGAAGCGCCACTTGAGTCGCAACCAGACGTGGAAACTGGGCTAGACTTGATGTCCTCACTATACTCAGTAATGCAGCGTTTTATTCCTTTCGATCTTTTCTTTGCTCTTAGATCAGGAGGTATGGTCAAGTCATAAAAGGGAAGACGTATTTCTAGCGTTCTCACCAAGGCCGAACTTAATACCAAGGTTCGAAGAGTCTTAATTATGTTGTCAACAGCGGGGTGAATTGTCCACGATTGAAATTTCCCGAAAACTCCTGGAGCTGGGACCGAATTTGGAGGCAATAACTCGACTGAATCGCGACTGCGTTGGTTTAGCATGTCCCGGTGTGCTATGACCATCAACTCGCGGAGAGTATACAGTCGAGTATGCGCGACTGTGGTCACGGTCAGCGCAGATGAGTTGTTCTTCTGGGCATTACTTGTTCCGGGAAGAATAGCTTGCGAGCCATTGATGCTGAGAGTACCATACAGCAGAGAAGTGGTAGCCGTTGAGATGTTCGAATCGTGCCGGCCACACGCAACGAGCCTGTTTGCGCTCGGTGGTTGAAGGGGAGGTATTACATCAGGTCCATTCAAGTTTGGTGAGGATTCACTTTGACTTAATCTTGGCTCTCTGCCAATACCGGTGGTTTCAAGACCCTTCAGGTGTTCTGGCTCGGCGTGTGTGGGAACGATGTTACCCGGCTTGAAATATTTCGTCACATACTTTGGTAACCTTGATGTTCTCTTTCGATCTCGATTTCGAAAGTCATCAAAGTGTTTCAGTCGATGCGTTCGACCGCTGTCGCTATCATGAATTCGTTCTTCTGGAGTTCTACACTTCTTAAGGCAAGGTTTACCAAGTGATCGGGAGATCTTGCAGCCAACTAATTGAGATTAGAACATATCTTGCTGAGCGGATCTTGTTTCTGCATACAAGTTCGAACTGAAAAAGGAGGGTCATTCTCGCTGTCTTCTCTAGTTCTTGTGCGACACCTGTGGATACTAAGGCAGGCCATACCGATCCGGCTGATGATTCAAAAATTATATATCGCAGTATGAGAGCGATAATGGGCAGTTATGTAGGGGTAAATATTAGAAGCAAGAGAATCTGAATGAGTGGCTGTTATGCTTTAGGACCAAGACAAACAATAGCGCACAGTAATGAGCAAAGCACATCTATCAAGGACACGAATCAAGATATAAAGACACCATGGTTAGTCCAGTCACTAAGTTCTGGTTACAGACGTAGCATGACTAACTCTGAAAGATTTACAATGCCGGCTAAGCAAGGACAGAAACAAAGACTGGGAAAGTGTCGCCTACAAACGGTAACAACACAGCGATGAGAAGCGAGTCAAAGCATTTGTTTCGCTATTCACACCAACTGCTCGATGGAAGCATTGATCGACTTTCTCGATTCAACTCGTCGGCAAGACACTGGCATTCTACTGTTCGAGAAGCACTGACAAGACTTTTTCTCTCGCGGACAAAGGACAGTCATTTTTGCACTACCAAACAGTTCATCGTATAAAACTAGTATGTATTTGAATGGTAGATGGAGAACAAAAGGGAAAGAAGAAAAAAGACCCGTCGCAGGATAAACCCATACTGATTGTTTTGCTCACAGTATCTAAATCAAGTTTGCCGCTTTTACCCCATCCTCTCTGTCCTTTAGAAACTCTTGGCCTAAAGTTCTCGTACATGGTAAATGCGGCTTTGTTCAGTTCACCCTCGTGACCTTTCCATGACCGAAGCCCTTCATCGAACGCTCTCCTCACATCTTCGTAGCCATCACCAAATTTGATCTTCAACGCGCCTTCACTATCACTTTGCGGCTTGCCACCGAAGTACACTTTGCCGTCTTTGTGCTTTAGCTTGAACTGCATAATCTCTAGCACGTCAAGCTCCGCTTCTTTTTTCTTCTGCTCGTCCTTTCTCCGTTTGCGCTCTGCGGTGTCCTCAGGCTCATCAATCGCGCCTATTGATCGGCCTTTGGCAACAGCACAAATCGTGCTGATTGCCTTGCCGGCGCTGAGACAAGTCGACCAATCCAATTCCGGGTGCAGGAAATGCGTCACAGAGGCGGCCCATAAATGTAAGACCGGAGCACGGTTAATGATGATGGCCTTCTGTGGGTGTTGCCCTGCCTCCTCGCTCTCCGCCTCCCGCTTTGCGACCTTTTTCGTCTTATTCTGGACTTCTATGGGAGGGAGCTTTCGTTTTCGAGTTGGCGACGGTGGAGGGCTTAACATGCCACCGTCACCTGACGTGCCAAGTGTTCTTTTACGTTTTGATTTGTCCCCTTCATGTTTTTGCTTGGATTGAGATCTCGTCTTGGACTTCTGTTCTGGGACGCCTCCGAGATGAGTTTGCTTGTTGGCACTACGTGTGACAGCCATTTGGCCACGCGTTTTGAGTTAAACTGATCGATGGAGGACCCTGCTGATTTTTGTAATCAGGCATTACATCATAAGTTCAAGTCCAACTTAGTGCCTGAACCACGCGCTGAATACTTGATAACTACCTCGCGTTCTATTGCACGGAAGATCTCAAGAATCACACACGTGTCGCACAGTCTCTGCATGGGATGAAATATTCGTGCTGATTAATTCCGCGCCAAATTCTCCGCGGGAACTGCTAATGCGACTATGCCCCTGAAGGGCTCGCTGGACAAGTCTGAGCTGGTAGAACAAGTCGAGCCGCGCTGTATTCCTGAACGGACGATGCGCGTTGCATTTCAAGAAACGAACGTGGTTGGTGATAGCTGGCACGTACGGCATTTTGCGTTGGGCATGTCTATCACGTTATGTACAGCGTTGGAAGCGGCCGATACGTTCTTTTCTACACCTCCTTCGCCTGTGCTGAATTCTCTGCCGAAAGAACAAAAAAAAAGTGATCAATATGCAGCTGGCGCAGCGGGGATACACTTCGGTCTGGTCCAGAATGGACACGAGACAGACGCCTAGCACACGTTGCTAGTTACGCTTACTACACAGGCACATTCTATTTTTATGACGCGGATGCGTTCTGGTATTTTTGCTGGCAACCCAAAATTTCCACAAGTCGAGTAGTGGCATGATACCTGTACTGTGGAGCGAAGCCAGACTGTCGGAGGTTCAAAGCGCATGAAGCCACGGACGGAAAAACTGCGAGCGGAGAAAGGACAGTCTGAGCAGGCGCGGCCGACATCTGCCAATGACGCACACGCTGACTGCGCCTTCCCCCTACGTTAACTTGGACAATCACGGGCGAGGTGACGCCACCCGCCAATCGCTCACGGGATGCGGAGAAGCGTGTCACCCCAGACTGTGCGAATCGCCCTGCTCGCGTGAGCTCGCTCGTTTGGCCATTTAAACACTGCCCCTCTGGACTTCCTCGTGCATGTACATTTCCAACGCTTCAGCGCACAAACAGGCCTCCAACTGCCATCAAAACCCCCTGGAAGAGCGTGCCGTGAAGTTACGCCGGCTAACTGTTCCCATCGACCCACCACGTTAGCCTCGGAGAGTCGCATTCCGCTACGCTTGAGAGCCTTACGACAGAACGGAGTCGTTCAACGGCAAATCTTGGATCCCGTGCATAGAAGGACGACCTTCCTCGTATCTGGCGACTCGCGATTTTGTACCTCGCTGGCCACTCTCTTGTCCTTTTGCTCACGGCAAGCGATTCGAGAATTGCCTCATTTTACCCCCAGCCTGCCGAACGGTTCAGCCGGGATATATCGCGTTTCGGATATACCCTTGCGTGCGCTTTCACTGCTGTGAGATTCAATTTTTCTTTTGACATTAGACAGTCCTCTTTGATTGAAACATGCCCTCACCATCGATTTCCCTTCAGCAACGGGCAAGGCTGTCGACTAGTGCTGCCATTGCTCCATCTCCATCCTTACAGGCATCCGCAGCAGCAGCCGCGGCTTCAGCACCCCGAACCATGTCTCGATTTGGCGCCGCGTCCAAATTGTACGTTATGTGGCTTTTCCTCCCCCCCCCCCCCCCCTCTTTCGTTCCCTCGTCTAAATTAGACCTTGGCTTTCTAATCGCTGCGTCACAGAGCTCTGCTAGGAACAGCGACAATTGCTTTGGGTGCCGCTGCAGCGTCACAGCTGAAGCCGGACGACTCTGCCAGAGCCGCACAGGCCAAAGCCAAAGCCGAGACCGATAAGCGATATCAGGAACTTCTGAACGCTTATGGCAGCGGAGAGTCATTGGACGATCTGCAAAACGCCGTGGCAAATTATGGAGGCTCGCAAACGCGAGGATAGGCTGAAACAACTACCCAACGACATGGAATTGCCCGTCAAGGCCGTTGTTTCTTGCAACCTTACGTCCTGAAGGATTGCTATTAGGCTGCTGCAGAACACCGTTTGACGGAGAAACGACCTTTTAAAGTGTGTGCGACCGAAAATCGAGACGGAGTGGGACGTCGTTCTCATCCTGATCTCGTGTGAACAGCCTCAGGGGCAGGAGGGAGCACAAGCTGCATGATGTCACAGGAGTACAGAGACGCGAAAACGTACGAAAGGACGAGACGACAAGGCCAAATTGGTCATCAGTCAGGAGTCATGTCTGTGTTTATGTACACAATGAGACGAATGCCTATCCCATGCTCTGGAGCAGGTCGAAGTGGGAAGGACAGGATAGTCACAACTCATGTCATCAATGTTCAGAGTTCATAAGGTTACATACAAGGGAATAGACCCCATCTCATACCGTCGTCACAGCATCCGCTCCCTAGACGCGAAGATAATTTCCATACCTGCCGCTCAAATAGTCACCACCGTAGCCTTTCTGACCAGACTTGCTAGTTGTGGCCTTTCCAGAATTGCTGGAAGCGGCAGCAGCACTGGCCGAAGTCACCGACGCGGAGCACGCCCGACTGGAACTGGGAAATCCAGGTAGACCCAGCTCGGGCGTCGTCGTGTTGGCCGACAATGTGGGACCTGTTACCGTGACGTTCGATGCTGCGCTTGTCGTGGTATTGGCTACCATGCCCAGCACATTACCCTGACCGCATGCACCCGGGACACCCGGAATGTTGCCATCGCCAATGCCGGGTGGTGTGCCCGCTGGTGTTCCCTAAAAACTCTCATCAGCTTGATTCAAAAGTCAGACGCGTGCAAATACTGACCGGCAGCGCGGCGAAAGCACTAGGACTCGCTCCCGCCAAAATCTGTGCACAAGCATTTGGCCTGACAGCCCGACGTTGCTGAGCATTGTTGCCTATATATTCTGCAGCAACGATCATGTATGTATCAATGCTGGGAAGGATCTGCGTGCAGCGCACATTGTTGATCACGCTAATCAGATTCATTCTAGATCGGCCTTGGATACTCATAATCTGCAAGTTATCGACAACAGATTGGAAAACGCCATTCGTCAACGTCAAGTTGGCAAGAGACACTCGCGGGTCGTTTCCAATGACCTGGTCAAGGACAGCCTTCTGCGTAAGCTCATCCACCTCGGCCTTGAAAGCACCGTCAGCGATACCCTTGAATTGAGCTTCATCCATAGTGGTCGGTCCATTGTTAAGGAAAAGAGAAACGATGCCAGTGTCTGTCTGCCAGTTGCTGATAGCCAGTTGCATCGCCTGGATGACACGGGCATCAATAGATCCTATGGCGGGTCCACCAGTGGCGTTCGCAGCAGGTTTTTGAGGTATAACAAAAGGACCAAATGTGCCATTGCTAGTCGATGGATTGAAGTTGGGGTTTGGATTTGGGTTGATACCCGGACCAGCAGCGACAAGCGCCGGAAGCAAACACAGTAAGGCTTGTTTGTACATCTTTCGAAGATCTCGGTGAATTTTTGATGAAATGAAGAATGAAGGGACTCGGCCAGCAAGTGAGAGAATGAAAACTCAAAGCTATCAAAGCGAGTGAAAAGAAACGAAGGAAAGAAAAGAGCGTACGCCGTTACTGGCCGTCAAGTGAGCGAGACGAGTATCAAGACATTCATCTCGTCACCATTCTCTTGACGGAATATATACTAAACGACGAAACGGCTCGTCTATCGTGAGTCGGTATGACCTTTCACTTGGCAGGAGTGACATTTTACTTGCTGAAACAGTTGCGAGCTTGATGGCTGTCTACTATATCGAGAAAGGTGCACGACGTAGGAAACAAACGGAACGGCGAGGTTGCAATCATTTGAAGGGAAACAATAAACATCGATTAGGCGTCATAACAGGTCGCGACAAGGAGCGAATGTCGGGTCGCCTGTTACACATTACGGTACTTGGCAACTTTTTGATCAGATAATTTGACCCCAGCACGACCTTGCTTCGATGCCTTGTGAGGTTCTCTCGGAACTGTGGAAGCTTTTGGGCCGTCCTAGACTCGTTATGCATTCCCTATACGGTAAGATCAGGAGATTCGAAATCTTGAAGGCTCGCGGCTGGGATGTTCGCAGGTCGTTGACGAAAGTCTCGTGGAAAGACGAAGTAATCCTCCTGGTGCGACGCGAGATTTTCGAAGGGGCCGACAGTTTGCGGTGGGCGGGGCGGTTCCTGCCTCGCGACGGTTGCCCGCAGCTTCCCCATCGAGCTGTTCACTTATTTGCACTCCCGATCGATCCAAGGCTCAAACACCCTTTGTTCCAGCCTCCACACAACCATCAACTGATTTGTGGGATCTGCCAAACAAAGATGCAAACAGGCCCGAAAACAAGAATAGATCCAGAACTTTTGTTTGAACATGCCGACAGACGACACCGTCGTTGCCGCCCTTCATCAAGCGAGGCATTTTGTTGTTTTGAAAGCTTGCGTGAAACCACTATGAACACTTCGTCCTTGTTTTGTGCTTGTTCAGCAATCACACGTGCAGTTTGCGACCTAATTGCAAGCATCTTTAATTCAAGACGATGTACTTGACCAGCAAAGGAACAGCGGGCCAGCTTGTAGACTTATCCTTTGGACGATTTCGCAGCGAGACCCAGTAGTAGTGGTACTCATGATGCTCGTCTTGAATCAATGCGGCCTGGGCATTCTCATCGGCTATAATGAACAACACAAATGAATCCATTGTGCGAGAACTGCAAAACAAGAGCTCTTGAATGATATTCTTCCAAACGACTTGCACGAATCCATTTTAACGGACTCAATACTGAAGTGAATCTATCGTACGGGATTTCTCGAACGTGATTTGTGTTTATGACTTCTTGTATTATGATATCAGCATTTAATATGCTCTTTTTCTTAGTGGATGCACGCAAATCAACGATCATGACGGTTTCACTCTAAGTGCCCGTCTCATGCCGATGGTAACCAGCCGAAATCTATATGCTCAACCTCGAGTGACACAGGAGTCATTCATTTCCGCTCCCGGTCCATTCTGGATGACCAAGTCTAGCCTGTCTTGATTTATGTTCTAGTTGTTTTTCTATATGTCCAGTATTGTCCCGTATTGCTCTTCTGCACCATGGTTGCGTACGCTAAGGGCCAGCCGAACATGACAACCAGTGCAGGAACATACCTTTTTTTACCGTTTTAGTTATTGCCAGAGGTAAAACCGAGCTAGGGACAGCTCAAACATACCATGACATTGTTCTGCCCACTCTTCTTACGAGTCTCATGTAGTCCGCCGAATGCATCGTCGTTGTAACAGGGTATCTCCCATGCGAGTGTGATTCACCAAGAAGGCTCTTCAGCCCAGATTTGATAGTCGAGGACATTCTGGTTCGTGTAATTGAATTTTTTTTCTTGTTTTCCTTCCCTTTCTCGAATGATATGAAGATTTTATGTTGAACTTCTAAAGAAGGCGAAAAATGCCCACCTGTCTGGATAGAGAGCTACAGGATCAAAAGGTAAGGCGAGGGAGATGCTGCACAGAAGGATGATATACCACTGCAAGGGCAGATACCACAAAAGCCGCTCATTGAGCTTTCCAAAGCCCTTGGGATCATGCTGCTGCGCCATAATCACGCCAGTGTCATCATGGGCACACAAAGCTGCTCCGGAAAGCGATCCAGGGGTACGGCTAGCCGTGTCGGTCATTTTGGCATGATTTTATTGAAAGGTGCATGATTTGCTACGCACTTGTGGCATGATCGTAAGGCTATCCCACCCATTATAATGCCGGTATGCTGACATGTGGTGTGATGATGGTATTACCGATCAAAAAGTGGTGGGGAAATGATGTCGGCGCTGGATTGGTGAGCACCGACCCTAACGACCAAACTATTGGGTCGGCCGGTAGAGCCAATGCCAAACGTCAAGATAGATACTGTAGTAAAACAATAAAATTTATATTATAATGTCATAGAGGAAGCAGCTTCCTTCAAGTTATGCAGCGATGGTCTAGCGGTATGACGTCTGCTTCACATTGAAAACCTGTAAAGCGCTGAAGGTCCCGGGTTCGATCCCCGGTCGCTGTATTTCTTTTGTCGCTCTGACGCGGTCATCAAAGCTTTAAGCCAGCGCGTTATGTTTTTTTTTGCCGGAATCTCGGCCATATTGTTATCCTTACATTTTAGATGGCATACATGCGGTGTATCATTTTCTAGAGCTCGAGTTGAATTGCTTTACCTCTCGTATGATAATATCCGTGAAAATCCTATCGATGAACCTTCGTAGGAAACATTTATAATCTCTAAGTACCCTTTTGGTTGACAAGAGTCGTTAAACCCTCGGCACCTGTGATCTATATCGTCTTCTTCCAGAGGAGGCTGCAATGGTGTGGCTTGAGGAAGTCGGCAGCACAGAGTGTCTTGTTTTGAGCAACTAAATCTCTGTAAAATCCAGTGAATTCATCATATTATACAGCAGTGAAAAGTCCTTCGTAATCGTTATATTTATGATAATCTTACTATATTTCAGTCTTGAATATTCTTCCTAAAGATCTGCTCGGTCTTCTTCAGTAGCAACGTTTTCCTGCCGCTGCTGAGAAGCTTCTATCTTAGAGACAGGTGGCCACGATTCCAAGTCCAATCCACACACGCCATATCTTCGATCTTTATACGTGGAGTACATCTTTTCCCAGAGAAAACTTTGGTCATCCCCTGACGGTCTCATCTTAACTATACTCGAGTAAGGGATATCATATTCGGGCCCGGGAAGATCCGGATCGGAAAAGTGCATATACGCAGTTGAGGCGAGGAAATCCGTTGCATTGAAGGTTGTGGCATCTGCAACGCGCAAAGCGTGCGAAGTGCTGAAGAGGCTCTGATCTTGAATGTCTGGTACGAGAGAATCCGATGTGATGTCTTGTGACGTTGCTCTATTGAGAAGTTCTTGTGCCTTTTTTGATGGAGTTACTAGAATTGTGGATGCCACTGATGTATTCAACGGTGGATACGCTGCAATGGCCTCCGTTTCTGTAAATGCCAAAATGGAGTCTAAAGCCCCTGTGTCAAGCACCAGGCCTGGTGTGGGAAATGTCATGACTTTTCGGTATTGGTCGAGCGCTGCCAGGGTCGCACTCGAATACGCTCCTGGGTCGTCCTCTCCTTTCCCCTCGACATCTGGCTTGATTGGTACCAAGGTAACACGGTATCTTCTTGACGCCTTCTTCAGCAGCCGCCGACTCGTCTCCAAGTATGGATCCGCAACTTGACCGTCTTTTTCTTGAACCCAGTGCTGAGGAAACAGGAGCAGTCGAGGTGCAGAACTCTTCAGCCTGTGTAACTCGCTGAAAACGATAACAGCATTACATGTTTCCGAATGGTCCCGCACAAGTTGCGCGTAAGCAAGTCTACTCCAATCAAATGGAAAATCAGCTGCCACTAGCTGTGTTTGCCATTTCAGTCTATCCCTGAGCCGTCCCAGCGGTCGATTGAGCCTGTTTGTTGGATCTAGAGGCTGAAAGGCATGACCGTGGTCGGGAGTTTTGTGTCGTGGTACTGGTGCTCGCGGTCTTAATGCGGCATGAAGGCCCTCTACGGATCGTTGCTGTGATAGGTATCCGGCTAGGAACAATAGAAATGTGAAGCTAAAGACTTCAAACATGTTAGTCTTGTTGTTCGCGGAGTGCTTCTAGCCGGTACCTACTAATGGCAGATGATAATGCTACTTGGACTTGACTACTTGTCAAGAGCACCATATCTGCGACGTTGTAAGTTTGTGCTGTGCGATGATATTCTCACTTCTAGCAGCTTATATTATGGTCGGTCAATGTCGCGTACCAGTGATGAAATAGTATGCGCTAGTAAACAACAATCGACAGGGCAACCGGATATAGCATGCGCCACAGTTATTAACGCCGTGTGGCGCAACATGAAAAGCTATCGAGAAAGAGCAACGCACAAGACTTTTGTAGTAACAGAAGAATCTGATTCACGAAATATTATCTAGCGAACGAAAACTAAAGCCTTTCATTTCATCTTCATCTATTGAATCTTTGCTATCATTATCCCTGGCTATGGCTTCTCACAGAGCAGACGCCAGTGCTTTGCTTGATGAGAGAGGCTATAGCGGCCCAACAATTCGCGGTCAGAACCCAGCGCTGCTGTTCGAGAAAGGTGTCCGTGAACGAATCACGGAATCATATTACTGGAAAGAACAATGTTTTGGCTTGAATGCTGCAACTTTATGTGATCGCGCAGCTGAGTTAACCTTCGTTGGTGGCACTTATGGTGCCGTGGGTCGTCCGACACCATTTCTCTGTCTGGCGTTCAAATTGCTGCAGCTCGTTCCGGAGAAAGAGATCATTCTTGAATATCTCAATTTCCACGATGAGGGTGAGACCATGGGGGATCTCAATGGAGAAAATGCAAACGATCAAGGTGCAGAAATTGATCAGAGGAGAAGGGGAGATTTCAAGTACTTGCGCGCTCTTGCAGCTTTCTACATTCGGCTTGCCTGGGAACCCGTTGAAATCTATCAAACCTTAGAGCCGCTATTACTCGACTATCGGAAGCTCAAAAGAAGAACCAGAGACGGATTCACTTTAACATACATGGACCAGTTTATCGATGATTTACTGACCAAAGATCGTGTTTGTGCAACTTCTTTATGGAAGCTGCCTCACAGGGCGATTCTAGAGGATTTGGACATGTTAGAGCCTAGAACTAGTCCAATACAGGCTGAACTGGACGAAATGGATGAAGATGCTGCAGAAAATGATGAGCAAGATGCAGAGGATGAGGCTGGTGGGAACGAAGATTCAGGTCCCAATGGACACGCCCAAGATTCGCCTTCTGGTCTATCTGAGAACGAAGGTTGAGCTAGTTGACAAAAGCGACCGAAACCATGTCTAAATCCGAGATAAGCAAAATATGCTTAAAACCATTAGTCCTAAACTGCCGCTCGTGGATCTCCACTAAGTGTGGAGAGAGAGACGACTATCTTATAGTACAGAAGCGTCTGTACCTGTTCAACGCTGGGAAGCATGAATGACCGGCTTGCGAGGCTGCGGCAATAAGTCAGGAATTGTGACAAGTCATCCACGCAAAAAGTGTGGGTTTCTTTGATCGAAGCACCAGGAGCTCGATAGAGGATATTGCACATCATTGTCCTTCAAGCGTCGGGTCATACAGAAATCACAGGAAGGCTTAGCCAGAAGCAGCTTACTACGTCAAGAGTGGTTTAAAAACTCCTTGGCCCCCGGTTTTGTCTGACTAAATCATTTTAGATCTAGCTGACGAATGAATTGGATATAAAAAACAAGAGATCCAGCCAATCACTCGAGTCTGCTTGTAGCCTGCTTAATACTGTTGCCCTTTTTAGGCAATTCTTGGCATTCCCCTCCTCGCTTACGTCGATTACTCACCAACTGCTGCTGCAGGTTCGCCGAAGAACCCAGTCTTTGGCTAGACATTGGTGCTGGAACCTATCTGACGGATTTCGACTGATAAAAGTATGTTTCGCGCTTTTCATCAAAAACCCTTTTCGGTGGGAATGAACATGGACAAAGACACACGAGTGTTTTCCGGAGAATTGAAGCTAGCTCCCAAGAGAGGTAGGAGCTCGAAGAAAAAAGACGGCTTCGATATTGAGGGCAAGGAATATATACTGCCAATAAGAGGAGATATACCAAGCAGCATTGTCACCTCGGCGCCAACACTGGAGTACAGGTTCCTGCAGCTCACAGATGGAGACTTCAAGCCCATGGACTCCGCTTCGAGGAAGCTAATTAGAAGTCATGTGATGAGAAATCATTTCCAGGAGATGAAAGTTCAGTTGGGGGATCTTTCTCATGCAAATTCAACTTCCACTGTTAGTTCGAAGGACCGACTGAAAGGCCGTTGGAGGTTGGCGAAGCAGCCTTCAGTCCGCGGTACGAAGCAGGTGAACTCCAACGACGACAAATCAAAGGAAACATCGGGACTTTCTGCTTCACTCTCCCTTTCTGAGATCGTGGACTGGCCTGCTCCCGTGAAATATACAGGCTCACATACGCAAGTGAAAACTTTTCACGGCGATGGCTTGGCACATAACGTTCCTCGTTTGGAGGCGTTTCAAGCTAATGTTCGAGACCCATTCGATTCGATGCCTGTGGCAACGAGCAACCCTCGTACAAACCGTTTAATGCATTTCTGTAGGTTGTCTCCTTCAAGCACTTGTTGTTTCCAAGAACGAGCTCTTGTTGCACTGTTTTCTTCTTCCTAGGTCTTTCTCTGTAGCTGATCGCGGCGTAGATCAAACTGAATTCAACATCAATCGAATAGCACAAAATCCTACGAATTCATTTTACGGTTACGTTGTTGAAAATGAAGGGTTATTGCACGGTATGCTGTCTATTGTAGCACTTTACATGCATGGTCACCATGGCTTGCCTGTCAAACAAGATATTTTGTATCATCGTGGCCAGGCGATGCAGATAATTAATCGGGACCTTTCTGATCCTACAAAGATGAATATGTCTTCTCTCATGAGTAGTATGACATCAGTAGCCGTTTTTGAGGTACAGAGATTGAAAGTAAACAATATTTACCTCCACTGAAAGTTACACAGAATTTATGCGGGAATTATTTCAATGCCAAGGCTCATCTAGTAGCCATGAGATCACTCATCAAAGCCGCTGGTGACGTCAAGAGCTTGGCAACGAACGATTCTATTCTGAGAGCTGTTGCATGGTAAGATGTTTATGCATTTGCTAATTTCTTACTAACTTGTATTTTGCAGGGCCGAGTATCATTATGCAGCAGCAACTCGTAACCTGCCTGGTTACAAATACTCTGCGATCGAGTGTGGACATCCAAATCCTCTTTTACCAGAGAAACTCCTGTCAACAGCGGCAAAGCATTATCCTTATACCCTTGAACTTATCAATGTGTACGGCCATACGCTATTTAGCATATTTCGCCGTCTACGGACAATTTCAATTGCCACAACATCGCAGTGGACGACCACCCGCGAGAACGATCTCGAGTTTCGTTACGCACTCAGTAATGTCATGCTCGACACTGAGTATGATATGATTGCATTAGCTTATGACCTGAGGCTCCAAATCGCGACAATGGCGGCCCCTTCGTTAGATTTGGTTGTGGTGTGTGATTCTATATGTGTGGTGGGGCAAATATTCTTTTACGCAGGATTGAGGATCATGCCATTGGGTACTAGAACTGTTGACTTGTATCTATCCCGTCTTAGACCAGTCCTATATTCCAGATCTATCGAAAGCTGGAAGGCTCAGGCACCGATGGAGTTGTTGCTCTGGACTCTCGTGATTGCAGCGACTGCCTCGAATGGACGGGCCGAATATCTTCCTGCAATGAACAAACTCAGAGAGCTTTGTTTGAAGATGAAGATCGTGGACGAGAAGCAGTTACTCACCTCTTTGATTACCTTTCCATGGAATGAGGCATTTCATGAGTTGGCTAAGAGTGTGCTTAGGGATGTCTTTCGCGGAGCATCGTACTTGTTAGTTTCTGACGACGTAAGCAACACGCTTACAGAAACTCCCTTGGACCAATTTAACATGTTCCAAGAATAAATGTGGGACATTCAACATATTGCAGGCGTGTTTTAGAACCACCAATGTTATCAAGACACAAGCTGAAAAAAGCACTGTATTTCGTGCAGCACGTTTAGTTAACCCGTGCACCGCTCCCAAGGCTCTCTGTATTCAAGTCCGAAGCCCTCAAAAACGCGTTTCTCTGCATCAACCATGCTGCCACTTACGCCGTCTGGGCCTTCAAGCTCCACCACTTCGCCTGTGGTTCTGTCCCTTATTCCGGACGAGTCAAATTTCCAACCTTTCACGATTCGAGCGTACCGACGAAGGTCTCGCTGGAATGTGGTTCCGCTAGTCCATCCCAACACTGCGCATCCAACCGTTCGCCATGGTGAAACGATTATATCAACTCGACGGTGGACGTTCGGATTTTTCATGTTTGGATTCTGCCGCAAGTCCGCTTCCATGTTCGGCCACACTGGATCTTGCCACACGACAAGGGCCTTGTCTAGAGTGTCAAAGCCGACGCCGTGAGCCGGCTTAGACGTTTTGAAAGGCAGTGTAGATTGATTTCGATGCGTGTTCGTAAGACTCAGCGTCAAAGTATGCGTGATCCAACCCTCTTGCTCAAGAGATTCAACAATGTCTTGCACCAGCCCAGCTGTCTTGTCCAGGTGCCTGTGCGAAACGATAATATCCACGTCTCCACTTTCCTTCTTGCCTCGACGGTAGCCACCCACAACCATGAGTTCTATGCCTTCATCGCGTACCTTCACTGCGTGCTCGCGCACCTTGCTCGCAATAAATTCGACCTCTGATCGTGGAATCTTTTTCTGGAACTCATCGTAGTATTTTACCCCTATCTGCTGAACGCGAGTCAACGTGTCCCATCCGTACTCAACAATGTCATCCAGGTCCGTCCAGCCCTTTTCGTAATAGAATTCGCGGGCGGTTGTGGCTCCTACACCCCAAATCTCATAGAACAGGTTCAAAATCTTAAGAGTCGGGTCATTTTGAGCTTCTTCGGCGGCTTTAATTTTGCCGTTGCTGTTCTTCCACTCGATCCACAGGTTTGCTATTTTGATGTCGCAGCCAGGCAGCCTAAGAATTTCTTTCGGATTGATGATTTTGTAGGGGTACGACGCTAGCGAAGCTATTGATGTGCTGTATGCTCTCACGCCGATTTCATCATTCGTTAGTATTCTGGCGAGTCGGATTTTTTTTAACTCCTCAATGAAATCGCCATTCGGTGGATTGATCAGCGCGACGCGCTGACACGCGTAAAGCTGATGATGCTTGACCCAATCCGGCGCTGGCGGCATCTCCTGATCGCCTGCGCTTTCGTATTCTTCGGTTGTTAGCTCCATCAACTTGGCGGGTTTCCTGAATACTTCATTCTGCTTCCCGCCGGATCGACTGCTCTGGTTCCTGAACCTGCGCTCTCCATGTGGTGCTGCGCCATAGAGAGCATCCTGATGAGTTGCTTGATTATAATTCACGTCTGATCGGGCGCGTTCGAGTATTTCTGAGCCAGTCGGTCGCTCAGCAAGAATGTGTTGTGACTTCGGTGCGTCTCTCTGGTAAACTCGAACGATACCCGCGGATTGTTGCTGCGAATTTATTGGATCCGGTGGTCTCATCTTTATTTTTCCTTCGTAGACAAGGTATGGACTGATGTCTAAGACTTCGTTCCTTGTTCTACAGTCATTGAGCCATTGCAATTTGACAACCTTGATCAGATTGCAGGTATCTGCGTCCGAAGGGGTGTCTGTTGGGGTCGGCTCATCTTGTGTCAGATCAATAATCTCATATCTGTTAATTGGAGATGCATGCTGCCCGTTTCCCAAATCTGAGATGTTCTTTGACAACGACCTTGAAGACGGCGATAGATGTGTTTCCACGGCTCGTTTCTCACCCTGCACCTTCCAATTTGCAACATTATCATCATCATCAATCTCTGAAATCTTCACTCTTTTCCTAGGCGTATGAGGACCTTCAGCTCCATGCTTCTTCGTGCTTGTTCCTGTTCCACTGGGAGCCGTAACTTCCTGGGTGCTGAGTTTGCGGATTCGAAGCTCAAGTTCGGCCCTTTTTTTTGTGGAAATTTTGCCTAAGATAATCTTCGCTTCTTTAATGTCATACGTCAAGTCTCCATTAAGATCTTGTATTTGATCCTCTATTTCGTGAAGCTCGTCGTCATCTAGATGCGTTGGCAGTACATAAATCGGGGATAATGGACTGAAGTCAAGAAAATTCGCTGGCAAGGACGAGGGGTGTCCCTCGTACGGAACTGGGCTGGATGACATTGGATACGTCTGAAACAAGTCAGAAATGTAGCTACGACACGCTGAGACTTTCAAAAAAATGCGAAATGAGGCGTGAGCAAGGACATCCGTGCCGCCGACGCATAATCGGTTAGTCGGTCCTGATCAGTACTATACACACCTTTATGACCCATTAAAGAGATATACATGCGTGTTAAACGCATTATATGGCATATTCAATCCAGGAAGAGAGTAAACGATCAGCACGAAAGTGTGTGGGGGTGCTTCGAGAATTATGAGGCTACGATTCGGAAACGTCATTCTTGGTGGTTCTCTCTCTCGGGTTCCCGAGATGCAGCGCAATAGACCATGCGAGACAGCACACAGAATAGAGAAACGGGCAATTTTCCAATCTGCGCAACTTGCTAGTCACCACCGAAGGTAGAGAGCGAGATCATGGTGAGATGGTGGTCCTCGGCATCTCGCGATGTTATCTGACCTGGGAAGAAGAAGATGCAAGCTAGGAAGGCAAGTCTGGACAAGGAACACAGGAAATGAAGACAACTGCCTACCATAACTCGTGTACGATTCGTTTCTGCTGCTGAAATGCCATTTCAACCTTCAGATCAATTTCTACGACCACAATAGCGATGCTGCTCATTTCTCGAGGTGTACATGTCCACCGCGCCGAGCTCGGAGGTGAGGCCGCACGTTCGCACGCACGCACGGGCATGCAGCTGGCGGCTTCAGGAACATTCTGCGAAGTGCTTAGAGCAGCCTTGTTAAAGATCCAACTATTAACCTAGTTCCTCGCACATCACTTTCTCTCACATCAACACAGTTCGAGCCAGTCACGCGCAATCTGCATTCTTGCCAGGAACCTCGAACCTATCATCATCATCGACCCGAGGTAAGCAATTGCTTCCGTCGATTTCCTTCAACTTTGCATACAATGATGAGATTCAAGCTGGCACCAGTCCTAGAAAGACTTGTACTCTTTTTGATGCGGATCAGCTTTTGCATATTAAATGTTCTTCTGAGTGCAATGTTCAACACGCCTTTGCTTCTTGCGCTATTCATTTCGAACACGAGTGTTAACTTGAACCAGAAAATCTCTTCACTTGTGTGTCTGAGCCTGACTTTCGTCCACTTCCCTGCCTCGATAAACTAGTGAAGGCGTCTATCTGGTTGCGCCATGGTTCTGCACAATCCGAACAATTGGCACTGGGTGAATAAGGATGTTTCGGGGTGGGCAAAAGACTTCCTCGCGGAGTCGATGGTGGGCGTCTCGGCAGAGGAAGGTGATGTATCGGCAAAGATTGACGGCATAATGAGCATGGATGGCGACGTCGACGTGAGCCAGCGGAAAGGCAAAGTCATTACGCTCTTCGACATCAGGTTGCAGCTCGAGTGGTCGGGTGCGTGCAATATCAAGATCTACGATTTCTGACCAATGACTGACACCACGACAGGCAAAGCCGGCGAAGAGACCACGGCTAGTGGCACAATCACAATTCCTGAAGTTGCACACGATACAGAAGCAGACGAGTATGTTGTATGTTCCCTTTTCACCAATGATTTCTTTACTCTGTGGACAGTCGGACCAACTCATATCACTTAGTTTGACATAAGCTTGTACTCCGAGTCTTCTGAGAAAGAACCGATCAAGAATCTCGTGCGATCGAAGATCGTTCCGCAGTTGCGAACAAAGCTTCAGAAGCTTGCCCCAGCTTTGATTGCAGAGCATGGCAAGGACATTCAGCACGCACCTGGCTCTAACCCATCTAGCGGCTTCTCGACTCCCAAATATATATCCAGTAGTCACATCAGTAAGGATTCGTCCAAGCCTAGCACAACCACAACCACCACATCTTCAGGAGGTAAAGGCCCGTCGGTCAACGTGACTACTGTCAACGATGAAGCGGAATTCAGGACGACCGCGGAACAGTTGTACAAAACATTTACAGACCCGGATCGCATAGCCGCATTCACACGTAGCAAGCCGAACCTGTTTGAAGGCGCCAAGAAGGGTGGCAAGTTCGAGCTTTTTGGTGGCAATATTACAGGTGAATACGTAGAGCTAGAGGAGCCGACGAAGGTCGTGCAAAAATGGCGACTGGCTCAATGGCCGCAGGGCCATTATGCAACCCTTAAAATCCGCTTTGAGCAAAACGATGTAGATGCCGTGACTACGATGCGTGTGGACATCGAGGGCGTGCCTGTGGGTCAAGAAGAGGTTACGAAGCGGAATTGGGGCGAGTACTACGTTAGGTCTATTAAGACCACATTTGGTTTCGGCACCGTACTATGAGACCGAAATAATTACAGTAGTAGCACTTTAAGAAATGAATCCAAAGAGACGATCAGCGATAATTTCTGATGTGGACTTTACCCCAGATCTCAGTGACCATTCGATAACATCAGGCAGCCAGGTCAGCAGTCTGTCTGATTCATGTATCTGATAATCGAACGTTGAACTACACCCAAGGTCCAAAGTTTCGCGCCCACAAGGTTCCGCGTGACCTTCCTCTCAAAGACACGCAAGATCTTGGTTCGCGACTTGGTACAAGATGAACTTCATGGTCCGTTTCTGCTACGGGCAGCTTTGGGCCTTCAAGATGCAGATCAGGATTGGTGCAGGTCTAGCAGGTAGTCACACAAGGAACACACATGTTCCCTCCACCCTGCAAAGTGTCATCGCAATCGTGGCTCTGTGAGGATGGATGATTGATACGTCCAGGACCCTTGCCCACCAATCTGGCTCATCTCGACTTCGCGTTCAATCCACGTTGCCTGTCTAACATGCTGCTCCTGTAACGTGAATCGCCACCCACGTTTAAACTGTCTCAGCTCTTCCAGGAGCGTAGCATCGGGCTAGCAGAAGAAAGAGCAGCTCGTTTTCCCGCCCATGTCGAAGGCAGCACAAACCCTGCCCCGGTTCTGTCTGGGTTCCCTAGCAGTGTTTTACCAGATCCAAACTCTACTGGTCTTCTCCAAATCGGCAGCAGATCACATTTTTCTTGTCCAGAAACACGACAGAAAGGATCATATCCCGGCCGTTCATGCCCAGTCTCGTTCGCGCAGCACGTGTAGAAGCTGCGTTTGGCTTGCGCTGCTGTCATTCTGCTTGCTGACCAGGAGCAAGCAGTAGTGACAGCGTCATCCGTGCAGACCTGTCTCTACTGCTATCAAGGCTGAACAAAATTGTTTTTCTTAGTGAATGTTAAGCATGGTTTGCTACGAGTCGCACTGTGCGTTTACTTCTGTTCTTCAGATGGGTCAATGGGGTTTGCCCTGTGAGGATCGTCGGCACACTCCCTTCGTTTCAACGTCAACCACGTCTTGGCTTATTGCGGCTCATTTTGGGACGAAAGACATGCCCCATTCAAAAATCCGTATATTTTTCTGTCAGGAGCTAGGAACTTGCCCTCTGGAAGATGAACATGACCGATGAGAGTACTACCGTTTCTCTTCGAAGAACACTCTATGGATTGCGCGCCAAACAGTTTGAGAGTGTCACCCGCGCGACAGAATCTCCTTTGGTACGCATGCTAGCACGACTGACCCGTACCATGTGTCTTCTTGCACTGAAGATCCCAGGGATGAAAGTTAAGATGTCAACGGACTAATCCATGTGCTAATCTGATCTGTTGCTCGGGACAAACCTACCGTTCACTGGCCTCGTTACATGCGTTTTGTCGATCTCATCCATCTCGTCCACATCATCATTCGTTTCTTCTCTTAATCTTAGACAACGTAACATCGGCAGCATATAATACGCCAGGCTATGCGCCCTTGAACTTCCTGTGTCATTGAAATCTTGATCCTAGCTCTAAAGATTTTGCTCTAGCAATTCACGAGTAACTTTGTGCTCTCTCCGCTACATGTATTATTGACACCTTAGATGCCGAGTATTATTTTGGCTTCACTTTTATGCGTCGCTTCCCCACATTGCGTTTAATAAAGATGAGGAATCCAACAGCTTACGCCTTATGTTTAGTCTTGCTCATATCGTTCACGTCGGCCGTCTCGACATTCCAGCCAGCTAGACCACCAGCCATACCACTAGCCGTGAAGTCACCTTATCTTAGCACATGGCTGAACGCAGGGAGCAGCTATGGCAACGGTGGCTATCTAGCCGGCGAATGGCCAGTACACTGGGCGTATGTTCGAAGATATTGTTCGTATATTGTATTGTTCTAATGGTGATCTAGACAAAAGATCACAGGCTGGTCAGGATTTATTCGAGTCGATGGTCAAGTCTATCAGTGGCTGGGAAATGCTGCTCGTGCTTTTGGCAATGAATCTACGGTTCCAAATGTGGACCAGAAGTCATTCGAATACACGTCAACGCAGAGTAGCTTCATCATGGACATCGAGGGCAAGGTTCAAATGACCGTCAACTTTCTCTCACCAATTACACCAGACGATTTCAAACGACAGTCTCTTCCAATGTCGTACATGGAAGTGTCTGTCGTATCGACGGATGGCGCTCAGCACAGCATTCAGCTGTACGCAGATATTTCAGCCGGTATGTATAGTCTTTACCGTATAAGAATTTCGAATTGCTTAAATTCGTAATAGAATGGGCATCTGGAACACCCGATGCGACCGCCCAGTGGGAGACAGGCGAGATAAACAACATTGTTTATCACAAAATTTGGCGACAAACGCAAATTGAGTTCGATGAGAGCGACAAGCCAAGTGGCAACGGTATGGCTGAGTGGGGAAATGTGTACTGGGCAACAGATAGCAGCAATTCTTTGACTATTCAAACTGGATCTGACACTAATGTCCGTTCCACATTCATAAAAATGGGAAAGCTGGACGGATCTCAAGACTCTAATTTTCGCGCCATTAATAACAACTGGCCAGTCTTCGGGTTTGCGCGAGACTTTGGGAATGTCGGCATGAGCGTTCAAAGTCAACTTTTCACCATTGGATTGCTCCAACAGAACGCTGTGCAGTTTCTCGGAGCCAACGGTCTGGTTAAGCTTCCATCATTGTGGGTGGACTACTTTCAAGGAAACGAGCTTGATGCGGTACGTTTTAAAATTATGGCCAACGGATGAACTAATTTCAAGTTAGTTATCTTTTTTCCATCTCGACTATGTGAATCAGCAAGAGAAATCCTCTAGTCTTGATGCAAGTGTGAAGCAAGCGTCCACAAGTGTCGCCGGAGACGACTATAACACGATAACATCATTGTCTGTCCGTCAAGCATTTGGCGCACTTGAGCTTGTTGGCACACAAAGCAAGATGTACTTGTTCATGAAGGAAATATCATCGAACGGAAATACTCAGACAGTTGACGTAGTTTTTCCGTTGCACCCGATCATCACATTCTTAAACCCGCAACTAATGAAGTTATTGCTTGATCCGTTGTACGAGAATCAAGAGTCTGGACACTATCCCAACAAGTGGTCAATTCATGATCTTGGCACGCATTTTCCTAATGCAACAGGTCACCCGGATGGGCTGGACGAGAGTATGCCCGTTGAAGAATGTGGGAACATGCTTATCATGACGCTAGCATATGCCCAAAAAACGGGAGACTATGCTTATCTATCTCAGCATTATCCGATCTTGACCCAATGGACGGAGTTCTTAATCGAGGATTCGCTAATCCCCGCTACGCAGCTGTCAACAGATGACTTTGCAGGGAGTCTTCAGAATCAAACAAATTTGGCTCTCAAAGGCATTATTGGGATTCGCGCAATGGGCGAAATCGCAAAGCTTGCCGGGAATGCGGACGATGAGAAGAAGTACAACGACATAGCGACAAGCTACATCACCCAGTGGCAATCACTCGGGATTTCGTACGATACCCAACTCCCTCACACAACTCTCAATTACGGAAACAATCAAACTCACGGACTTCTTTACAATCTATGGTGTGATCTTGAGCTTGGCCTCAACCTCGTGCCGCAATCCGTCTACGAAATGCAAAGTAAATTTTACCCTTCCGTAAAGGAGCAATACGGTGTGCCACTCGACACGAGGCACTCATACACGAAGGGTAAGACATCTCCAGGCGTGTCGAAGAGAATTTTGCTAATCCATTCACTTGGTTCTCTCATATAGTTGATTGGGAGATGTTCACAGCTGCATGCTGTTCACAGGATACCAGGGATATGTTCATCAAGGATCTGTCGAACTGGATCGGTGCGACGGATACTGGCAGACCATTCACAGATCTATATGACACTTTGACCGGAAGGTATGTGCAACATTCCGAAATGGGACATCATGAGTCTCCGTTAATCACGTTGTGCAGCTACCCTGATATCATGTTTGTCGCACGGCCAACTGTGGGCGGTACTTTTGCACTTTTGATAGCAAATGCCCTCAATAATTCTCCAAAGCTCGACTCCAGTGGCGCCGTCATGAGACAGCGAGAGTTTCGGGCTTAACACTCTGGCGTCCTCGAGGGATGGCGGCATAGAACGGTCTAACATTTCAGAGCCGCTTTAATCACTATGCGAAGATGCATTTCCGATAAGCGTGAGGCTAAGATCGGGTATTCGAATTAACTGGTAGTTGGATAGAAGTCCACATAACGCATAGAGTATTCATAATGTTGCTAATGTTCTGGAGACGATAATTTGAAGAGACCTTGTCATAGCTTTGCCAGACAACACCATGGAAAGATCCATATCTGTAGGACATTGTCCATCGCAAGACGCAGTGTATGAATGGTTTCAAAAGAGACAATTCGTAACAGAATCACGTCAATCCATCCTCAAAGGAAGAGCACAGAACGCCATCCCTCCAGACTGCCTGCACTGGCAAGCAGAGCTCTTTCTCATTCGCAAGTAGTTCTCTGACATCACCCTCCAGCAACACCAAGTCAGCCTTAAGCCCTTCTTTCACACGGCCTCGATCGCTGAAACCAAACCGGTCTGCAATCAACGAAGTTGCTCCTTTCAGAACATCGATGGGCTTCATTCCCACCACTATCGTCATCAAGTACATTTCCTCATGCACTCCTAGACCATACGGATTGCCTAGCCGTTTTCCGGCGCAGTCGGAGCCGACGATGAGGGGCACTCCCGCTGCGTACATGTCCTTCACATTCTGCACTCCGTTGGCGAAGCTGGCTTTCTCGTTGTTCTTCGCAAAGTTAGTGCACTCTCTCGGTCTCTTGTCAAAGAGCATCCGCTGAGCGAAGGGGTGAGATGTAAAGGGCACTTGTATCTCGTCTCCGTTCCCGCAGTGCGTCGCGAGACAGTCGAGGGTTGGGTTGCAATGCACGTTGTTCTTCTTCATTAGCTTAAGCCAGTCGTCTGATTCTGGTCTGTCTAGAAAGGAGTGTGTCAGGCCATCTACGCCTGCTTCGAGCAACTCCATCACTCCGGAATAGCTGAAAGCGTGACCGACGGCAATTACACCTCGCTTGTGTGCGGCCTCCACTATAGCTTGCTGCAATTCTAGAGGAGGCCGAGGAAGACTCATGTCTATCGTATCTCCCATTTCGTTCATCAATTTAATATACGACGCCCCAAAGTGGTCGATCTGAGCATTGACATGTTCCTGCGCTTGGCCTACCGTGTCGATATGTGGTAACTTGTCAACGATTTTTCGAAGCTCGAATGGCGTGAGTGACTCAAGTTTACTGGGTAATTTTGCATATACGTACAAGCTCAGCATCGTCTTTGTACTCTAATTCAAGGATTGGAACAGGCCACTGTCCTGTGACGGAAGCTGCCATTCCTGCACATTTGAAGTCTGAATACAAGTGCCGCATGTTGCGATCGTGTGCAAGCTAACCATCGTCAACGCTGCCTTTCCGAGAGCAACTGGAAGCCACTCACGGATTTGAGCTTTGCCAACGATACCGGGTCATTGTGCATGTCGCAAACTGTGGTGACGCCGAACCTTAAAGATTGCTCGAGGCATTCAATGTTTGCCTCCAGGCCATGAATGTGGGAATCGATCAAACCAGGAATAAGAGTGTAGCCCGGCTTTGCGATTATCGACAAGCTGGCGAATTTTCCCTCAATGTTTCCATGCGGCACGACCTGTGATATTAGACCATCCTCAACTACCACCATAGCATTCTCCGTGAAGATATCCCCGTCGAAAAGGAGCACATCTTTAATTATGAAGCTTGAAGATTGCATGATCTAATGCGTCCACATGAGAAGTACAGCCTGGCCGTCTTTCTCTTGAGCCATTTTAATGCTCATCGTCAATTAAGAAATTGAAGACACCGGATCCTTTCCGGTTACGATCCGGATTTGTGGATGAGACCTTCGTGTCAAATGATCAGAACGTCATTGGTGAGGGACAGAACTCTGCGAAGGATCAAGTGGAGGCAAATACAGGAAAATGATCTGCGTTTGCCCCAACCGTTCGGGCTCGCGAAGTCCTGCAGAACGCGCGGAGAAGAAGTCCATCGGCGCCGAAATCATGTCTAGAAATCGCAGATTGATAATCTTATCAAATGTATCCGTGGACAACTATTGGCTGTTGAGAGACCTCGAAGAATGAGGCACACTAGATTTTCAGACGTGTTAGCAGGATGTCGATTTTTCGCTCTTTATTGAATTCACAAAATATGCAAAACATACTTGCATGCATAAAGGATCAATCACGGGATCCACGAAACGTCTACCGTGCAGTTGTTTGGGAGGCGCGCGGCCTTGCACGAGACATGAAACAGTTTGATCATCGAAGCAGCCATGGTGCGGTTATTGTGCGCACATGCAAGATAGACGTACCCCTCCTCAACCTCCATCGGGACGCAGCCACATGCGCCAGCACGAGATCGATGTCTCAATGTGACCTGTACGTGTCGGCCTCCGCTTCCGCAACATCGCACCAATCCCACGCAATTCAATTCGTGGCACAGCTTGCATAGAGAAAGGATGACCTTGCGTTCGGCGTGGTTGCCACTGTCATAGCGTTACAAGGCGGCTTCTTCAGCCGCCTAGACCCGCTATCTTCATCACGGCTCCTCTTCAATCTTCCTCTTCGCCCTCGCCTAGCTCGTCCACTGCGATAGCTATGGAGCGAATACGAAATTTAACTGGACGTAAGCAGAGCTACGAGAGGCTACGTGAAGATGCCGACAGAGAGTTCTGCGCTTCGGAAACGCAACCCCTCACTCTTCCTAACGACGATGACGAAGAAGCAGAATATGAGGACCAAGATGCCCGGGTCATGGAGAGGCGTTTATCGGAAGCGCCGTTTCAATGGTTCGTTTACGGTGTGTTCTTCTTGTTAGGTGTTGCTATGCTGTGGGCTTGGTATGTGGCATGAAACTATTTTCAGTCGTTGAAGTAACGGAGATCTGACTTCGAGCAGGAACATGTTCTTAGCAGCCGGACCATATTTCCAGAAGCGCTTTAAGTCTGACGAATGGCTGCTTCGCAATTTTCAGTCCGCAGAGCTCACAGTGTCCACCATCGCAAACTTGGGTACAGTCTTGCTTCTCACAAACTTGCAAAAGGGAGCCTCCTATCCGAAACGAATTATCTATGCCCTAATCATCAACATTGGTGCTTTCACCTTGCTGGCAATGTCTACACGTATCTTTACAAGCGTCTTTCCGTCGGTTTATTTTGGCTTCCTGATAATCCTGGTCTTCGCCGCATCAGTAGCCACGGGCCAGATGCAGAATGGAATATACGCATATGTTGCAGGCTTTGGCAAAGAGGAGTATACCCAAGGCATCATGACTGGACAAGCAGTGGCTGGTGTCGCTCCTCCGCTTGTGCAAATCGTATCTGTCTTATCTGCTCAACCAGCACGGGCCGACGAAGGTGTTCCGGAAGAGTCGTCCACATCGGCCATGGCTTATTTTCTCACGGCAACGGCTATCTCTTCCATCACACTGCTGGCCTTCCTCTATCTCTACAGTTCTCATCAAAAACGATTCGGTTCGAAAGCGCTTCTAGAGCAAACCGATCTACATGACGGTGATACCGTGGATGCTATGCCCAAGCGCAGGGTGCCACTCACGGTTCTCTTCCGCAAGACTTTTTGGCTGGCTACAGCCGTATTTTTCACTTTCGGAATAACGATGGTTTATCCAGTGTTTACGCAAAAGATCGATTCGGTTCATCTCCCCTCTGCGGGTAAAATTTTCGAACCCGCCTCATTTATCCCTCTTGCATTCTTTTTCTGGAACGCCGGTGACCTTGCAGGCCGTCTACTCACAGCCATCCCCATGATTCGTATAACGCATCGCGCGCGCCTTGTGTTCATTCTGTCCATTTGCAGAGTGGCTTTCATACCCATGTACCTTCTTTGCAATATTCGTGGAAAGGGCGCCGCCGTGAACAGCGATCTATTCTACCTAGGCGTTGTTCAGTTGCTTTTCGGGATGAGCAATGGTTACATTGGTAGTTTGTGCATGATGGGTGCAGTGGAGTACGTCGAGGATGACGAAAGAGAGGCCACTGGAGGGTTCATGGGACTTATGCTCGTTGCTGGCCTTACTGTTGGAAGTCTTCTAAGCTTTACCGTGGCTGGATAAGTGACTTGTAAGCTTAATTTATAGACACTTGGTTAGACATTATGTACATGAAGCTTGAACGAATCCATTGCATTCTACAGCTTTCTTGATCTCCCAAAATCCGTGCATGTGGGGCAGTCAAAGCGGCCCCTGCGACTCAGTCGTGCGCTCTCAAACTACCCCAGCTACGTCACGGTGTAAACAGTTGCTCTGTCAAATTCATCATCGGCATGAGTTAGTGCTTAGCTATATCCTGTTTCTGGATACTTTTTTCTAGAACAGCACATACTTCACCGCATTCTCAGTAGGGTTCTTCGTGTCGCGTTGCACAAGCAAGAAAAATGGCAGGCATTTCGCAACCCTCCGCACCTTCGGTCATCCGCATCAAGCGCAAACGCGACGACACTGTACCGGATACTTTGTACGTGGAACGAAGCAAGAGGATTGCTACAGATCAGACGTATATTTTTAAGCGCATTGAGCAAGAGCGTGTGGCGTCTACGCCGGTGCTGAAGCAGGAGTATGGGGATGATGGTATTCCAAAGATTAGAACCACACCGAAAGGAGAAGAGAAAAGGGACCCGTATGCTACTGGAAGGACTGGGGATCAATCACCGTTACGCAGCAAACAAAATATCTCCCAGACAAATCCAGCAGAGCCACGAAGGTTCCATCTCAGTAGCATCAGTGCTGCAGAGAAAGGGAAAAGTGAAGTTGCCACATTCGTGGAAAGACGCGGAGGAGCGAACGCAAAATCGATCACACCTGCGAACACAGGATCGAATGAGCAGCAACAGCAGCAGGAAGAAAGGAAGCTCAAGCGGCCAACTGCACGGACGAGAAAACATCCAGCTGCGGCACCAACAGTAACACCAGCATCGCCTAGCCATGTTGAAGCTTCTATGGCACAAGAGTTGGAACAATGGGCAGAAGAGACATCGCTGAAGGAGTCTCAACAGAATGCAGCCTCTGCATCTCAGCCTGAAACTGATGTCATGGAGGTGGACAATGAAGCCGACTATGTCTACGATACGTACTACAGGCATCAAGTCTCAAAGGACGATATGCCGGATAAAAGCGTCTCATTCGGTCACCTAGTCATCGAAGAGGACCAAGAGGATCTATGGGAAACGTACATCGACGGTCAGGAATCTGAGGATGAGAAATTCGATACCGACGACGAAGACTCCAACGGTGAGCCTCCCTGACCCTGCATCCTTACAAGCAAACACTGACATTGTGCCCAGCTGAGGACTACTACGGTGCAGACTATCCCGAAGACGAAGTTGCGAGCGACGATGAGTACGATCGCGACGCTTACCAATATCGCAAGAATGCGGACGACCTGGAGGAATTCGACGTGCACGAGAATTACAACTCCGAGTACGAGGAAGATGCACTTGTGCGCAGCGACGATGAGGGAGACTTTGAGAGCAAACTTTCCGATGCGAGGGCATGGAGGAGAGAATTTGGTCGCGATGTCAAGAAATACGACATGATGCACAATTAAGCGCGGCTTCGGAGATTATAGTAGAACTTTGCTACATCACTCGGCGCGCAGATCGGCTCCACGAAGACTTCTTCTTTGCACTCTGATGAGAAGTCCGGAGAAGCCAAACGGATGCTGGCTTCAGCCGTCGGAGGGCGGGGAGTCCGTGAAGTTCACAGTTCGATCCTGGGTAGCCAAGGTCTTGGACGTGTCCTCATAGAGCACTGTCGACCTTGGCCATAAGCGGATTAACCTGTCACAAAACACCAGTCTATCGAAACCCAGCATGAAAAAGAATATGGCTACTAATTAAAATTTCCATTCGGCAAAACAAGTCGATAGTTGGCCTTTCCCTGCTACATTCGGAATGCTACCCCGCGGCTATACGATGATTGACTTTGTTGATGAACACAAACTCTTGAGCGCCACTAGAGCTGTATCAAAACAGAATACAAAAAACACAATAATCAAAGTGTTCTTCGTGTGCTCATCCATTATGAAGCAGAGTCTGTCTCGAATCACAAGCTTAGCGACCTTCTCGAAGGATCTAGATACGCACAAATGCCTCCTGTAAAATGTAGCAACCGCAGCTTTGGTGCATGGTGCCCAAGAACGTCAGGACCTGTTGCGCTCCTTCATCTTTGTGAATCCATCCACATTTGGACCACAGCCACCATGATCAGCGATGAAAAATACAGCGGATATGCTCGATATCTCCAGGCGGCTTCACCGCAGTCCCTGGTTGGGGCGACAAGGCCATGGCTCTCGGCAACGGCCGAAGGGGTTCTGGCCGCGCGATGAAAATAGTGAACCCAAGCGGCCGAACGCTGTGTAAGTTCTGCGCCTCGTGTTGATGGGCATGCTTACGCTGAGAAAATCCAAATGTGACAAGTCGATCTGCTAACTGCGGGTGTTCACGTGTCTGTGCTTTTGGCGTCTTGATAAAAGCTCGGCGGCCGCCGTCATGTAGTTGCTCTCGTAGTTGCGAAACCATTTTGATACAGCCACTACGCCTTGCCCGTCCAAGAGTCTGCCCTGGCATTGTTGCAAACACGTAGTAGAATCTGTTGAGACCCCATCAATTGCAAATGTCTTCCTTGGGCAGTCTCTGGTGGATCACTCCGCTGCAATGCTTGACCACAATCAGCGCAGCCGTTAACTTCGGTATGAGAGATAATGTTCCTCCGCAAGTTTCGACCCACCTTTGGTGCTTACAGAGAATAGGCGCTTCCGGGTTCCAAACACCCATCACCATGCCGGTACTCCGCAATGAAGATGTGCCCGCACACCACGCCTCAAAACTCGTCGTCCATCTTCTCCACATATCCGAAATTATTTTTCCCAAGCTCAACGCCATCGGCACGTTTGGAAATCTCGTCATGACCGCCGCAATTCTTCGCCAGGGTTCTTCAGCCTCGCCGGAGCTTTCACGAAAGCTACCCTTTGTTGCCTCTTCCCTGGCGCTGTCCATCGGTGTCACTATCTATGCCTTGACCGTCATGGTTCCTGTCAACTCGACCATGAAGGAGATGGCCAGCCGGATGAAGAGAGACGAGAGCGACAAAGAAGCGGCTCGCGTGTTCCGCGAATGTCAGGCACGGTGGCAGCGTAACAACATGGGTATGTGCATAATCTAATCGACAAAGTCTCCCGCAAGTGCTTGTATGAGGAGTGCTGACGCATGACTTTGTAGGACGGGCATTGCTAATGATTGCCGGTGCAGTTGTTAGTATCATTGGCCTCATTGCTTGAACAGCACATTTCAAAAATGCGCAAAGGGATTGACAGCTTGATGGCGATGCGATCGATCACTTTCCCGCTTGCACTTGGCGTACGTCAAGTCCGACTAATCAATGGTGTCGAGACTCCGCACGAGAGTGACTTTTTACGGAGATGCAAAGAAGCATGTGCTAGCGGCTAGATGTAGTTCTTTTTATAAGCGACTTGTATGAGCTGATTGCGGGCATCAACTTCAAGTTGGTTGCGCGGATGAGTTGGCTGAAACTTTGAAATCGAGGTTCAAAGACCGTTATGGAAGCCTCGCCTCTCCTCTTGTGCAGACATCGTGTGATGGTGAAGAGATGAAAGAGCACAAACTGTGCTCGTGTGATCGGCCGGACAAAGGAGGACGTGTTTTACTGTGTGTGATGGTGCTTGAACCAAAACCCGGATAGTTACTCGATCGGGGAATACAAGAGGGGACTGAGTGGGGCCTTTAACGGACCCAGGCCGGTTTGGTGGTCGTGTCGTGGGAGCTCAATCGAATTTGCCCGCTACTTGACTGACAACGCCCACTCGTCTTTCGACATCCCACGACTTGTTCTTTTCCTAGGACGAAGCTGTCCTGGGTCACCCCGATTGCGGCCATGTCCGACCCTTTTGCTATCCGCATGAACTTCAAGCGCTCGTACCTTGAAAAGCTGACGTCAAACCCCGCGTCCCAAATGCGTGCCGCTGCGTATGCGGTCAAGTATCGCGAGCAGGATGAGGATTTGCACAGTTGCATACTGGAGCAGCTGGACGCTGTACGTGCAGTTGTATCACGGCTGTCAAATCGTCCGATCTGACGGATGAAGTAGTCAAACATCAATCTCCGCGCAAACATAATGTACTTCCTCGAATACCTGTGCGAGCTCTCAAAGCACGAAGGCTGTACCCAGTACATCGCGAGCATAACGCGCGACCTGCCCACGATCGTCGACCTCGTAGCTCCAGGCACGAAAGCCGGCGCTATGAACATAAAAGTAGTGCTCAAAGTGCTGCATTCGCTGGTTCAGAAATCCATCCTCCCGGAAGATCTTGTTGCAAATCTGTCCTCACAGCTAGAAGCTCGATCCAAAGAGGCCGAAGCTAGCATCTCAAACCCAGGCACGGCCGGACTGGTGGAGAGAAACGACGGTATCAACGAGTTGGACCATGAAGCTATAGAGCAGCGCATGGAGGAGGATCGCGAAAGACATAAGCGTTTGAGGGAGGATGCTTGGGCTGTTGACTTTGATAAAGAGGCTGATGCTTTGATGGATGCCGCGAGGAGGGCAGGAGGACTGACGGAAAAGCTGATGCAAGAGTGTAGGGACGATGCACGGGAGAGAACAGTGGCCGTTGAGCTGGACAAGAAGAAGTGGGAGGAAATAATGGCCAGAGGCACCCATCCGTCCAGCGCAAGACAACAAGACGTGGAGATGACTTGATTCGCAGTTCCCCTTTCTGTCGTTCTGGCACATGGCGACCTACTATGCCAGACTCGCCTTTGAAATTGTCAAGCGATCCTGCCTATCCCTTCTTCTCATCGATTGGAAAGGGAAGCTGATCCTTCTCCAGTTGGAACGCAAGTCCATCCGCTACGTTCGATGGCACGATGTGGTATCAGACACCAGAAGAATGGACCTTCTGCGAGAGAATGGGATGAAGGTCCCACGAGTTCGTTGAACTCCTCCATACGATCAATAACAGAAAGACAGGACCCGCTAGCATTAGCTAGCATCATTCAATTATCCAGCCAAATAACAAACTTGGGTTTGAACCTCTTGAAAGAGAAAAAAAAAAGGAAAGGAAAAAGACGTTGTGAATGGCAATCCTAAGCAAGGTCCCCCGAACTGAAGCTTTTCCCCTCACAGCATGTGACTGAAGCACCTAGGCTACGGGTTTCAAATTCAAACGCAAATCTATAACATAGCGGCTTCTGCAGTGGGCTACCCAGGACCTTGTTAGGCAATTATGTTTGCGATGGGGGTTTCTCCAGACAGGTCTTTTTCCCAGCACGCTAAACTGGATGCAAAGAATACCACTTTTGCGAGTGAAACGATGTATAAATTATTTTGCACGAGACCTGTTCAAAAGTAGACATTCCATTATTTTGGGAGACGCTTACGGAAGGGACAAAATCAAATGCCCTAATTGTTTGCGCACCTTTTGGTTTTCGCGCTGTTTCTCTCAAACCGTGGGTCATGCCAGGCAAAGGTCAAGATGAATCATTTCTACAGTCATATCTTCATTCCTCCATACGCATCAATCAGGCCTTGCATAGCCGGCTGCTGCTGAGGTGCTGGAGCCGTGCCTGGCGCATAAGGCGGTGGTGAAACAATGGACGAATGTCTAGCGGTCTGCGGCCACGCCTGATGCATCTTCTCATACTCTGGCGCAAGAGCTGGCATTGAGCCGTGTCTCTGCGCAGCATAATGGTTCTGCGGGTGATACGAAGGGAGGACTCCATAGTTCTGTTCTGGCGGTGGGCTTGTGGTAGATGACTGCTGCGGAGGTTGGGTGCTCGAGATGGAGTCACGATGCGGCGGGTAGGGTTGCGGTGTCGACACTGGTGCGTACTGAGGTGCTGGGGTGTACGGTGGTGCAGATTGAGCTCCTGGAGGTGGTGTGAAGTACTGCGTGTTTGGCATCGGTTGGCTCACTCCCGGGGTTTGAGATGGGGTTGGGTATCCATATGTTATTTGAGTGGGTGCTTGATTGAACTCTTGCATTGACAAGGAATTCTGAGCAGCCTGAGGTGGTGCATAGATCGCAGGCTTCTGAGGCCCTGAAGTTGTGTAATACTGCTGGGGCGCCGGTGACGCTGGCACCGAAGTAGCTTGTGATTGCGGAGCCGAAGCATATTGCTGCGGAGCTGGAGTCTCAGGTACCTGCGCTGGTGTCTGTGCTGATGACATTTGAGGCAGATTCTGATTTTGACATTGCTGTACTTCAGATGTGGGCGTTTGCACATACACCGATGAGCGTCTGTCCACGGGCTGCTGGGGAAAGGGATAGCCGTACTCCTGAGTAACCGGTAGGTGCTGTTGGATTGGTGCTATGGTTGGATGCGAACTTGAAGGTGTGGTGTTCTCCCGAGCAATCCACTGACCATGCTCCTGAGACCAAACGAGAGTTGGTGCAGGTGCCTGGAATCCAGGTGCAGCAACGTGAGATTGAAAAGGTGGCAGGTTCTGTACAGTGACGTGAGGCTCGTGGCTTTCAACAGGAGGGGGTGGAACATATGCCGGAACTTGAGGCATTTGTGTCTGGGAGGTAGCCGACACTGGCGTGTATGACTGTCCCGGCTGGCTGGAGTACGAGGAAATGGATGACACCGTTGGAACAGGCGAGAGTGGCCCTGAGGCCTGAGACGGTGGTGGAGCGTAGTGCTGCGGGTTATACTGTGGCATTGGGCTTGCAACCGCGGATGGAGGTCCGGGATAAGCTGGAGGCGCCGGCGTATACTGGGGTGTTGGTGGAACGGGATATTTGATATCCGATGTTGGAGATGGTGTGTATTTGATGTCTGCCTGCTGTGGAGGAGCTCCTTGTAGACTAGTAGTCGTGAATGCTCCAGGAATCGGCACTGCGGCATAAACAGGCTCGCCAGTGTACATTGGATTTTGATACGTCGCTTTCTCTCCTTGGGCTTGGGCTTGGACTTGGGCTTGTGCTTGGGCATTTCCTGAGGCAATTTGCTTCTCGGCCTTCGCGATCATCTTGTTCGCATCTTTCTCTTTCAGATGAGCATGATGAGCTTCCTCAGCTGCCATAGCCGCGCCATCAAGAGCTGCGTGAATACCAACTTTGATAGCCGTTTCGTTGTTCACGATAGCGCTGATGCCGTGTTCAGCGCCGGCAGATGCTACGTGCTCGGCTCCCATCGAGCCGACACCAAGAGTCAACACGCCCACGGTGCCACTGAACGCCATTGAGCCCATGACATCTCGTTTGCGCGTATTGTGTGTCGTGCCGAGTCTTTGCAAATGCTTCTCAATGATCTCCCGCTTCTTGCGAGCATTGCTTCAAGGCCTTGTCAGCGCCCGACTCTATCGATTCAGTAAATTGAGAATGTCTACTGACTGGATAGTAGGGGCTCCCAGGCCGACTCCGATAGCGCTCACACCTGCGGTGAAAGGCATGGCCAATCCCGATACTGTAGTTGATGTTGCGGCGCCAGAGATTTGTCGCGTGTAATGCTGCCATTCGAGCTGAAGCTGCTCAGCGTTCATCTCGGCGCATTTCGCATCGTACTTCTTGAAGTCGAAAGGCATCTTTGCCGTGCAGAAATCGTCAAGATCTGCAAGTGCCTCTGCAAATTCACAGCAGACGAAGAGAGAGACGATTGATTGAGAGAAAGGCAAAGATTCTCTCCATACGGCGATAGCAATCTCTTGACCGGTCGAAACACGAACTTAAATGACAGCGAATGCATGATGGAGTCGCTTGCTTTGACTGCATACGGATGCGGCTTGCATCGAGGTCCATTTCAAACTGCGGCTTAGTTGCGCCCCCAACCGTGCCGCCTTTGTCTGCCACACGACTAAAATCTTGCGCTAGAAAAGCGTCGCGACATGCTGTTTTCCGAGTCATTCTTGCCCTCTCCAGTGGCTTAGAGAGACGGCTCAGTCGAGGAGATCCGTGTCAGATCTAGCGACACGGACTACATCAAGTGGCCTTGTGCTTGATCTGCAGAACGGATCATGTCTTTCGTGGTGGCCTCCCAGGCCGTTAATGGGGAAGAGGAGGAGATAAGCCAGCATCAGATATAAATAGTGTTCACCAAGGAGAAGAGAGTTAGCTTCCACCTTGGCAGAGGCATTGATTGGTTTGAAACTCTGCACGTTTCTTTTTACTTTCTCGGTGGTGAGAGCCTTGGCGAGAGGCGGCCACAATTTGACTGAGCTCCGCCTCAAGCGACAACACGTGTGTCCATTTCTGAAAAAAACGATGTGTCTCTTTCCAGTAGTCTGATATGTACGTTATTCAGCCGCAAAAGAAAAGAACAGGAACGGATCAAGTTCTGACGTTAAAGTATATCCATGGTAGCTCCTCTAGAATCCGTTGTTAGTTAGCACGTTAATAGAACTGTTACAACAGATACAGGATGAGTCAAATATTTTGCTTCATTGATGGATCAATACTCTTTACTCCGATGATTGCAAGCAGGAACATCATTTTGATTCGACTTTTTGAAGATGACACTGTGACCAGGTTGTTGCACTTCATCCTTCACAGATGCACAGCCTTCGACATGTGCTTAGAGGAATTTCCATCATTGCGACAGGAAGTTCTGCCGAAAGGAATTGAATTTGGCTGTTTAATTATTAAATAGTTTGTGCAGTGCTTCATCTTAAAAATAACCTGCGTGCTGTGTCTTTCCTGTGACAGAGCAACTACTGGGTCTTTGCTCAAGGCAGGGGCTGTGCTCTATGTTTGATGGCTAGATATTACATTGAAAGTAAGGGCAGAATAATTTGCCTCGACGAATTTCACTCTGTGGCCTCACTTAAGTTTTCAGAGTATGCAAAATCCTTAAAAAGATCGATCAACTGTAGATTTTTTTTTCCCTAAAAAAACATCGGATAAGAACCATTCTTTCTCTTTTTCGACTTAGCTCGTCAAGCGGCCATTGGCAATGCGTTTTGAACCGTTCAAAATCTAGCACCTTATCAAGCAGTGTTGCAGCGTCTAGAAATAAAATATTACTCCGTTCCCGTCTCCCTCGTTCTTCCTTAAGGAAATTCAGACTAGGATGACCACTCTTGAAGTCTGAAATATCAAAGATTACAAAGTTTCCATTGGCATGCTGAACACAAGTACTGAACGGCTTTCGGGGATGATCGAATGCTCCGAACCCGATGCGTACCCAGGAGTGTCAACTCATTAATATTCACCTCCGACTGGAGCCTAATTCGTCTTATGCACAAAAGTGAGCTCTCAAATTCAATGTTGATATTTTAGACGTCTACTTCGTTCTGATTAGCTCGTGCACCGTGTCGTGTAGGTATCGCATCTCTTAAATTGACTTGGCAGAAGAAACTGTGATGGTAGATCCATTCAGCGGCCATATTTGGCCCATGCTGCCTTCTCTACTAACGTTGGGCATGATATTGGTCGGTGTCGCTTAATTTATACACGAAAAATTCCTAACATCTCTGCAGATAGTCCTAACTCTACTGTTCAATACGGTTTACAATGTCTACTTTCACCCTCTTCATGGCTTTCCAGGCCCCAGAATTGCTGCCGCGACCTCTTTGTACTACATTTACTGGAACGCGAGAGGCGAAAGGCACAAGATAGACTTGTACCTTCACATGAAATATGGTGAAGTCGTACGTGTGAAACCTAATCAATTGTCCTTTGTGGGCGATGACGCCTGGAAAGACATATTTATGCACAGACAGGGCCATCCACAGATGGCCAAGTATGGAAGGGGAAACTCGAACACACGGGGAGCGCACAGTCTCGTCAGCGCTCCGGATGACATTCATGCAAGGCAAAGAAAATGCCTCAGCCATGCGTTTTCAGAAAAGGCAGTACGTACACCATGTCCTAGCATACCCAACGTCCCTCCGTTCTAAGTTCAGAAAGTTGAGAGAACAAGAGCCGTTGATCAAGTCGTACATTGATATACTCATCTCAAGCATGCGCGAGGATGCCCTTAATGGGCGGCCTTCCGATATGGTCAAGTATTTCAACTGGATATCGTTCGATGTTGTTGGAGATCTCGCTTTCGCTCAATCATTTGATGCCCTCAGAACACGCAGCACACATCCATGGATCAAGGCCTTCTTCGCTGGGCTGAAGTTACGTGTTATCCTTGGCGAGATTATCAATTTTCCTATACTTAGACCCATGATCTTTCTAGCCATGCGTATCCGAGCCCTGAAAGGTCGGAAATCGAGCAACTTTTGCCGCGCAGCTGTAAAGAGGCGTTATGAACTTGGTGATCTGAACCGTCCGGACTTTCTGGGCAAAGTTATGCAAAAGAACGCCGAGAAAGACCGGAGTGCACACATGTCGGAAGATGAGATTAACATGAATTTTACCGTCATCATGGTTGCAGGCAGTGAAACGACGGCGACTCTACTATCAGGCTGCACGTTTTTATTGCACAAGAATCCGGAGGTGTTGAAAAAACTCAAGGCTGAGGTGCGGAGTTCTTTTAAAAGCGAAGATGAAATCAACATGATTACGGTAAGGAGTCGAAATAGGAGCCTGTGTGTGCTGCTGCCGGCTTCATGATGAACTAATCGTAGCAGGTAAACAAGCTTCCATACCTGTTGGCTGTTATTGAAGAAGCTCTACGATACTACCCTCCGATTGCAATTGCATTGCCCAGGAAAAGTCCACCACATGGGACGACAATTTGTGGACACCACGTGCCAGGCAATGTATGTCCCGGAGTGATATCTCAATTTCTGCTCTCGTGCTCGCATCGTGCCTTGCTGATAATTCTGAAGGTCGTCGTTGGAATTCCTCCATGGGCAGCGAACCACTCTCCGAACCACTTCGTGCATCCAGATGAATTCATACCGGAGAGATTTCTTCCAAACAAAGAGGAGAGGTTCAGCCAAGACCGGACTGCAATTCATCAACCCTTCTCCGCTGGCCCGCGGAACTGCTTAGGCCGAAAGTGAGTACCATTCAAATTACTGCGCACATGAACAAAGGCAACTAACAAATACGCAACCAGTCTTGCAAATGCTGAGATCAGACTCATTCTTGCCCGGATCATATACAATTTCGACATGGAACTTGTCGATCAGAAGTCCGAGTGGATGACGAACCAGAAGTCTTATATCATATGGAGCAGACCAAAACTCATGGTTCTCTCAAAGGCGACGACGTAGAGCGTTGGATGAGCTCAGTTGGAGCCCAGCAGAGAAAAGCCTTTTGCTTGAATTCAGAACCAGAAATACGGAAATTCCTCGTTACCACGACGGGTACTGCTTTCTGATGTATTTTGGTCGTTCAATTTTTGTTGGTTAAATTAGTTCCACTTCAGGGTCTATGTTGATTCTGCGATTCGCATTTATCCAATGATTTAAAAATTGCGGTTCACTTTAATTACAGACTTTCAGCAAGTCCTACATCCCCGTCTCAGCATTCAAACATTATCTTCTTGCACTATGTACAGTTCCTACGAAGTATGTCCGGTCGATGCCAGTTCGTTCGCTGCGTTCTGCAACAAGTTGATAGTGTTGAGCGAGTCTTGCGTGAATCTCGCGTTGTATTTGGTCACCTTCTTCACAGCCTTCCATGTTGAAATAGCAACATAGAATGGAGACTGGCTGATGATCCAGTCGACGTTTTCAGTGCAAGGGGGAGTTGTGAGCGATCCCGAGTACCTAGGAACCATGTAAGCATTGAGAATGAATTTAGTAATGGAATTGTTCCGTCTCGACTCACTTCCAAACCTTCTGCGCTGTAAATTTCCCAATAAATTGAGAAAATGAGAGTGGGCCTGTCAAGGTTGCATTTCCAGGCTGTGAGATAGCAGACACTGATGAAAAAACCGACTCGAGAAGGGGTTCGCCACAACCTTCACCAGTACAGATGTCAATCACTGCTGCAAGGACTGCATACTGCTTGTCTGTCAACATGGTCAGCAGTTGTATCTTGTTAGCTAGCAGCTGCTCTCCATTGCTCACCTGAAGCCTGGAATACAAAATGCACTTCCATAGGGTAAAACTCGTCATCGATACGGTGCTCGCTCGGTGTGTGGAAGTGGAATTGTGCCAATTTGTACGTTTTTCCGCCATCAGTCAACGAACCATTAACGACAACTTCTACGTTGGTACCAAGATTCTCAAATTCGGCTCCTGAGGGATAGTCCGGAATCGACAGGGAGATAGAAGACCCCACGGAGGTCTCTATGCTAGAGTCGAGAACGATTGGCGATTGGGTCTTGCCTATGTCGCACAGCAAATTCGCAGTCTCGTTCAGTCCGTACCAATTCAAAGGGCCTTTGAGATAGTCATAGCCAAAAGTCGACACAGGAACTTGTGGCTCGCGCGGAAAGTCCTCGGTACCATAGGCACAGTGGGCAGACACACTTGTAATTAACGTGTTAGAGGCCAAGCTGGCCACGAAGACTCGTGAAAACATGGAAAATCTTTAATAAGAATGATGATACTTCGCTCTTAGGGCATAGTGTACAAGAGGATGTGGATTGAGACAGAGCCTCAAGGGCTATGGAAGGTATAAGTACTACACGCGCAAGAGGACCGAAACCGACATTGGCGTTCCGCTTGATGTCATGGCAGGCGGTGGTAACCGTGTTGCCTCTTGCTGATGGCGCATCCGTGGGAAGAGTCGATGGTCATTTCTAAGACTGTAGACGCACGAAGGAATGTTCATCTATGGAGCATAAGGCGCGGTACCCAGGCCTGGTCTAGGGAAGATCAACAAATGTACAGATGTGGTTGAAGAGCTGACCAAGCGTGACATTCGGCGTATGACAGTGTGGCTGGCTGAATCAATCATTTTTCAAAGAATTTCTTTTCAAAAGCCGCAGATCTTGAAGCGGGACGGACAATACGAGATCCAGCGTTCCCTTCATGCTGCGGACATATCTCCGCCCGATCCATTCTTTGCAAAACACAGCGCCCAATTGGTTGGTCCGATAAGGATGATCAAGCATGATCCGAACTCGTCTTAGCCCTAGTTAAGCATGCTTGGTCATAAAGCCAAGGCAGAACTTACCGAGACCAGGCGAAGATCTATTCCCAATTGTGCGTTTCCGAAGGCCCAAAGATCTAAGGGTTCATCGTCAAAAAGCCCACTTTCTTTGCATCTCTGCTGCAGACAACGTAGATCCTCGAGATTTGCCGTGAATCGCCTGGCCTTTCTGGTTTAGTTCGATCGGTCGTCGTCAAGTCTGCTGACAAGGCTAGTGAATTTGCTCCTAAAGTAACATTGGCATATGACGTAGCGATTAGATTGTCCTCTGCACTGTCATGCGTCCGTTCTCTGCGCTTTGCTGACAATCCTGCATTCTTGGTTCTTGCGCATGTCTTTCCATATTTTACGAAGAAATGGCGGCAGCAGCAATGCCAAATCATCTATTAAACCACTTATGCTACTCTTCTTGTGTCTTGTGAACAATTGCCTGTCACGAAACGATTGCGGTCTAAGAAGAATTTGGTTGTAGTGATAGCATGGAGGGAGGACCGTGCTGCATTCGTTGCAATACGAGGACGTTTCCACCTTGCCAAACTCAAGATGCTCGCTCAAGGCCGGCCAGTTCACACTGAAAACTCAATCTAGGATTAGTTAGTAGCATAAACTAGGACACAAGGAGCCATACGATGATTTTGAACAAATTTCAGGAAAGTTGCAGTATTGTAACTTGACTCTCACCATGTCCTTGCTGTCAATGCTGCAGTCGCCGAGGGAGGGCACATGCAAGCAATAATCAAGGAGCTTGAAAGAGAATCCACAGAGAAAAAAGGAGGTAGGGGCGGAAGGAACGGGAGCTGTGCTGTAGAAATTTAGTACTCTCATAAGTATTGGAAAGCTTCAGAGCAAAAATGAAGTAGTTCTTTGCTTGGAATACCATCATTGTTAATGAATAGCTTCGGAATAAAGGTTGTAACGTAGGTCTGATTCCGTGGAATGAACACATGCCCTGGCCTTGCCCTTTACGTTGTTCTCCAAAGCAACAAGACTCTACTTTCTCATCTCGTGAGTAACGCGAAATGGATGAGGGGTCTCTTTGCACTGGGCAAAAATTAAGACCTCCGGCACATTCAAAGGTCCAAATTTTGGGAAACCGAAGTACTCGGAGAAACCCTGTAGGAAGTGGTATTGTTTGTGGTAGATGCACTTAGGGAAGGGAGGGGGAAGCCAGAGACAATATACTTACTAGATTAACTATGGCGCCCGAAGGCGACAGAGGATATGCTGGAGCGCTAATATATCTGTTTTGGATTAGCATAGTAAGGAGAGAAGTACCGTGCCCAAGTGAAAAATGTTGATACGCAATCGAGCAACGTAAGCAAAGTGACATGCAAGAGAACAGCCGAGAACCATTGCTCTCCTATCTTAGACAGCTATTTGGTGTTTTGAAGCTTGATTTCAGGCTGCTGTTATTTTCTTCGTTCATGCGACCTTTGGATGCTCTCTGGACTAAGGTATTGGTGTAAGAGAAAATGGCTTTAACATGCTCCCAAAGGCACTATGCTTAACATTCATTGCCTCTCATCATTTTCGAGCTGTAACCTGGACAGAAGAAAAGCTTTCCGACAAAGAAGAGTTATTCTCGCTATCCAATATGGCTGCTTGCACTCATTCTGTGCATTCAAGCACAGCTGAAGTCCTTCTACACACCCGGAAATCTTGACGACGCATAGCGCATAGTTGCTCTGTTCATGACGATATGCACTGCCGTTATACGCATGTGGAGCATCATTCATTTGAAGCTGCTCTGTTGAACCTGGACACCCTAATGCGAGAAGTGTGCGTTGCATTGACTGCAGTCACTCAAGTGGCACTATTACCCTCAGGCGAAGAGTTGACACTTTCTCTTCGGCAAATAGCTCGAGGTTGAGCGAGAGTGCCACCATCCAAACGGTAAGACACTTTGCCTCATAGCGGAGGTGCCTTACGCAGTATCCGAAGAGCAACAGCATAACCACCATGTGTACTCTTCCTCAACCCAAGTATGCAGCATCACGAACTTCCATCGATGGCTATTGTGAAGCCAATGGTGCAAGACTCCTAAGCTAGCACAAGTCATCGGTAACAGCCAGAACCCTCCAGAAAGAATTCAGACGCCGACGATTACATCGACGACGATTACCGCCATTTGTCACCAATAATCCATCGATGGTTACGTACAGTGTTCTTCTAGTCAGATTGCGTCGCCTGTACTGAAATCTCGGCCATAATCACCCGAAGAATGCAGCTATGGCAGCTGGATTATGAGACCCTAGAATATATAGCGACATGTAGGGTTTAAAGAGATCAGTTGCCCAAGTGGTGCGTCCATCAACAGCAGGCCTTAACACGGCTGATAAATCCTCAGTTGGTCGTAATGCAACACGGTTTGTGAAATGCATTTGCATGGCAGTATTTTGATGAGTTTGTAAAGTCCCTATTGGCTTCGATATTGACAGCTTGGCCTTCCTAGGTGACAATTTAATGCCTCGATGATGGCTGAGCACCAGACGTCTTCGCAAAAACCCGTCTAAGAGCCATAGGACCGAGAAGAAACCATTCATAAAAACCAATTATTCGGGAACATGACTCTCTGTTTTCCCAAGGGTTTTTACCTTCCTACATCGACAATTAGGATTGAACTCTGTCTGGCGGATGTTAAAGCACCATGGGAGTTTTGATCAAAATTTAGCCGACCTGTTGCATCGACCAGGCATATTGCCAAAGGAAGAGGAGGTAGTACGATATAACTTCAGAGTTTGGGAGAATTGGCCGGACACTCGGTCCAGCTTTCAGCTTTTGAAATGTTTCCGACAGCTGAAGAGCAAGGGAAGCGTCGATATGCTAGTCTTTTGAGGGATTGTGGCACTAGAACTAAGCCGGTGGGCAGTGTTACTGCATCTTCTGCAAGAAACCAGGAAAGAGTACACTCGAGAGATGTGATCGATGTGGGGATCCGGCGAACGAACGCAAATGTAAGCCGCCACGGTCAAGCACATGAACATCTCAGGACTTGTCTCCGGCCTTTTCAGTCCAATTTAGCCGATAAAATCCAGTTGAAGGCCTCTAAATGAGAAAGAGCTGCGATTATTGAAGGAAATAGACAAGAACTGCGAGTACGATGAATGCTTGACAACAAGTTTGGAACGAATGCCCTACCGACTGGAGAGAGAATGTCATACTGGATGCTTCAGCCTGAAGCTATTCCCCATGATTGTTCTGATGGAACCAGGCACCCAATGAACGATGGTAATAGACGAATCGTAAACTGCCATCCCGTGGCCTGGTCGATTTCTTGTGCGAGTCAGAATTTACTGAGCAGATCAGCTTGTCAGTTGAGGAGCCATATGTTCCATGTATCCTTCGGGACAACCTCATCAGTCTTTACGCTTTGGTCCCTGGATGTCTTTCCGCTTCAAGAGAGCTGTTCAAGAGATCGGTGGTCCGGCTAAGACATTGAGCGCGACTTTGGAGAAGGCTCCGTCCCATGAAAGCTTTGTTTTCAGCGGTGGAGATCCACGTTCCCAGTCACGTTCAGTATCGTCCTTTATATGGACATGAGCTATTTTGAATTTCGCTCCCATGGTACAAGGAGAGCTGCGCTTTACAGGCAGGATGACAGCCCCAATCCTTCACAACATTCCCTTCAGATCAATTAACTTTTATTGGAATTTTCAAGGCACTTTTCAGCTCTTTCTGGATCAAGGAGTTAATTTTATACATGGCAGTTCTGAGATCGCCATTGCTACATGATTGTCTCGGCCGATTGCTCGCCGATATTTACCTCTGTCCAAGCTCTTCTCGTTCTGTAAGCTTGCTTTTACAATACGGAGTGTAGCCGGACCCACTCTGAAATTGTCCTTATACGATTGGCCATAGTCTTATGCAATCCTGTGTAGGAGTTTGACCGCTTAGCGTGGTTCATCCAAGTACACGGTAAAGCTGAAAGTGCTGCACTGTAACACAGAACGCGTGTTCGTTTCAATGCTTATCAGAAACTCGATGACGATGAATAGAATGGCTGAGATCAATGCCGCCAATGCTTATGATTTGAGCTTGTCGAAACAAGCAGTCAAATTCGTGAACATCTGAGTCTATGCAAACTGGGTGCAGTAATGAAATCCTTGGAGGTATAACTCAAGAAGTTTAGACAGCCGTCGGAATTTCAAGGCGGAGGAGGATCGGAAACAACCTCGGAAGTCTCTGCTGCACTAGTTGAGGTCCTCAAGACACACGGTTCTGTGTCACCGGAGCCAAAGACAAACACACTTGATGCGGTGGTCTTTGTGTCAGCGCCGAAAACCGCACATGATTCTATAAGTACTTACGCGCTTGCTTGTTGTCACCAGGACGTGGATGAGGGCATCCGATTCTGTCTAAGTGGTCGGCACCAGATCAGCGAGGCCAGAAACGAATACTTGATAACGTAGTCGCCAGTGTTTCCTACGTGAAGCGAAGGCAGATATCGCACGGCGAGTAGCTGAAGAATCAAAGAAGTCAAGCCCGCTCCCTTCTCGCCGCTTCGCCAGTGTGCATAAAGGATCAGATTTCCCCGCTAGATTTGCTGGGACCCGAGAAGCATAATAGATTTTTATGGAGTACAGTTTCAAAACTACAGCTGCAAACTGGTCATGCAAACGCATTGCCAACGAGAGCCACCCTATGTCTGCACTCACCTGTAAAGATCAAGCTCTGGCCAAGATGACTTGCTGTGGTCGCCAAAGTGCACCGGTAAAATTTGACACCTCACTATGGAGACATCTTTTTTATATAAACCACAAAGAGATGCCAGGAACAACACTCTACATTGCTAATGTACTGTAACATTGGGCCATTTAAAACATTGGATTTTGCACAGTTGCAGAACGTGGGTTGGTACAGGGTCCACATGTCGCTAATGAATAATCTGGTGGACATGCATCTTCGTCTCCTTGGATGATCTCACCCGAAACTTAATCTAAGAGACTAACGAGGAGGAAATGAGCACATATATACTCAATCACTCCTGGATATGCCGCCGTTACGTCCAACGGCCGCAGAGATCGTGCGCGGCGAGCCTCATGTAATACTACCATCCCATCATACCAGCATCACAACTTCGGGTAGTTCGCGAATGGGCAGATGGAGGTCCGACAGCTGCTCTGGCAATGTCGGCATGCCCACCTGACGTGCGTGCCTTGCCTACAATGCGGGCTTTAAGTACAATCTTCATAACGTGTACATTGGGGACTTTGCTCGAGAACCATTGTGAGTCGCCAGTATCAGTTCTTGGGCAAGCGAAGACTCGAGACCTCCTCAAGCTATCCGGTGCCCCGGGTTTGCATAGAATACCCCACGGAGCTGGCCAAAGTATGGAAGACGAGCTGGATAGGCGTATGTTGAGTTGCGGCTCATCCACTATCTCGGAACAACGGACGAGAAGGCCTTCACACAACGCGTTGCACAAGGTGAGATCTTGCGAACTTGAAGCAGCGAGACTCGAAGTTGTTGGGGCTTGTCTGCCGCTGCATAGAACATGTTTTTGGCCCATAAGACGTACCACTGACGGCGACCCATTCTTTGACAGTCGAGAGCCACGAGCTGCGACCGGTAATTGAGGCATTGCGTCACGAGTCATCGCACGGCAAGCCCATAATATATGACACGGTATCAGAAAATACGACCGACAATGCCCTGTAGCCTACCCCCAGATCCCACTAGTCTCCAAATCATGTGATAGAGCTCGATATCGAAGTACGTTTCGCCCTGATATCACCGTGAACCTAGGCATTGTGTTGCTTCAATGGGAAGACATCACACGAAATCGAGCTAAGGCCGCCCAAATCAGGAGAGAATCACCTCGAGCCAAGGTCCAGGCTTCTGACCAATTCTTGTTCCGGTGACTTGGTACGAAGCCATTCACAGTTCCTTTTTATTCTTTTTACCCTCTGCTCTTTTATGGTTTGCCGTCGCAAGATAACATTCTCACCGAGAAAAAGGACATCGCTCAAACGAGAGAAACAAGACCGAGCAAGGCAAGACGCGACCGCGGTCATCGCGTCACATATCTAAAACACGTGCACAAAGGCGTCGTCGCCAAAGAAAAAATTGAAGGAAAAAAAAATCGAAGACGAAAAGGGAGAAGAAAAGATCAATGGCTTCTACTGAACATAGCAGGTACGCCACCAAAACGATCCGCGTCCGCCACGGAAGTCGCTGACAGATTGCTGAGTTACAGGAACGCCTCCACCACGGCAGCGGTGGCCGCCGCCGCCGACGCCGAGAGGTACTTCTTCCCGCTGAAGAACGACGTGCTCGAACGCAAGTGGATGTGCGAGATCAAGCCCAAGGTCGAGGCGTGCCTGCGCAACGAGGGCATCTGGCCGTGCATTCGAACCGTCCACCTGTGCCGGCTGGGCCGCTCGGCGACCGACAGCAAGGTGGTTGCGCGCATCTCGCACTTCAGGGCGCTGCCGGCCCGCTGGCAGAACCCGGCCCTGGATGTCGCGCGCGCGACGTACGAGGACGTGCTGGGCGACGTGTTCGCGGCGTACGGGCTCGAGTGGGAGCTGGTCAGGGTCAAAGAGGCTGCCGCCGACACGTGGGCCGCGTCGACGGCGGGTGGGTGGCGCGACTTTACCGATCCAAACGATCCTTTGGCTCCAAGATGAGATTGCTCTGTTGGGCGCTGTGACTAGGAGGGAGGGACGGACGGATAGAAGCAAAGAATGGTAAAGAAGGCGTGTCTTTGACAAGCGGTCAGCACGAGAGTTTGCAGCACGCGAGTGCACGCCGAGTGCAGGGATTATACTCCTTCAATGCGGCTCTCTTAAAACTCATTTAAAAGAAAAAAAAAATAACTGCATAGAAAACAAGTAGAGGAAGGCACGGAAATGAAAGTTTGGAACCCTGATGCAACGGGGAAGCTTAGCGGAAAGTTTTGCACATGGCAAGCGTGCGCTGTGCAGTGAGAGCCTCAAATTTCTTTTTTATTTTCCACCATCTCTCACCCAGTCATGGATGCATGATGCGTCTATTCGGAGAAGTACACGACCATGTAGCCGACCCAGCTGGCAAAGACGCCCAACGCCGAGTAAGATGAAATGAACATAAGAGGCAAGAACTCGTACCTGTGCCTGAACAGCAGGCCATGGACGAGGGAGCAGTACACGATGAGGGGGATGGCGACGGCGATGTACAGCAAGCTGAAGCGGTCGAGGAGGAAGAACCTGCGGTGGGAGGCGGCGGGGGCCAGTCTGTCGAAGGCGGTGAGGAACACGACGAGCCAGAGGATGGTGTAGACCGTCTTCACCGGGAACTCCTGGGTAGTGAAGAGTAGAGGAAAGAGAGAGACATGGCCTGCGACGGCGAGGGGTCGAAAGGCGCCGAGGTGGCGTCTGTCGTTCAGGCAATGGAGAAGGAAGGGGATGATGATCAGCAGGATAGCTTTCTCGTGGACGTGCCAGCCGAACAGGAAGGAGGCGTACGCGGTCAGGGTGAGGGCGCCGAGGAAGGTATGGTAGGTGGGTGAGAAGAAGAGCTTGGCCAGGGCGGGCAGCTGCGCGGCGATGGTGAGCAAGAAGGTCTGTCGCGGCGTGATCTCGGGCAGGACAGCAAAGGCCGTGTCGCCGATGAGACCACGGGTGCCACTGGTCAGCGCCTCGCGACTGATGGGAAGCTTAAGGTAGGGAGCGAGGTAGATGAGCACGCGGTCGGCGAAGGAATACATGGCCCAGATGTTTGGCGCCCAGTACGCGTGGCATAGGCCGCGGGAGAATGGGAACAGTCTGGAGAGTAGCTGAGGGATCTGGCCCCACACCGCAAAGGGGCCGAAGGCGAGGGCGAAGATGCCGACGATGCCGACGCCGAGCCTGACGCAGTTGAGGAACTGGATGCGGAGGAGGGAGCGAGGAGCCAGACAGTACGCCCGCAGAAGGAACACAAAGTAGGCGGGCGCCAGGTACAAATAGATGTGCTTCATGCACAAGAGGGCGGCGAACAGCAGCCCGCTTGATAACAGCTTTCTCTCGCGGGCGAGTACGATGGACAGGATGAGGACGCCGTACATGGAGCCGTTGTACTGGAAGTGGATATGGTCGATGATCAGCAGGCCGGGTGACAGGAAGATGGCCAGAGCGGCGGCGTTAGCCGCCTTCTTCGCGCCGGAGGAGCGCACGTAGCGGTGCAGGGCATACAGCAGGACTAGCTCACTGACGATGACCGTGGCTCGCTGGAAGTAGACTGTCTGCCAGCTGTCGTAGCCCAGGTTTTGCACGCTGAGCATGAGCGGGTCAGCGAATTGGGCCACTTGGGACAGGAGCCACTCGAAGTAGGCGAAGAATGGAGGGTAGTCGAGCGTCCATTCCGATGTTTTCTGCAGACGATCAATCAGCATCGGGGAGACATTATCATCAACATCATTATTATCATATCACGTGAGCTTATGCGACTATGTGTCTGAGTCGCAGCGACTCAGTGGCGAGCTAAGTGCTACATCGCAAGTCCGAGAGCCGAAACTAACAGACGTTGAGGTTTCCGGTGTGCTTCCGTGACCTGCGAGCTGGTGATAGGTCTGACACCACAAGGGAGATTTACGCCGATCAGGCCGAACTCAGCTGGCGGAAAGCGACAAAGAACCTTAAAGGATCGAGAGGCCAGAGACAGGGAGGGCGTTTGCACAAGGGGTGGGGGAACTTCGTACCTCGTAGTACCACTGTTTGACGGGCAGCGAATATGTTAGAGCCAGCCAGTTGCGGTGGACTTCGAAATCGGTGGACTTGCTGTTGGGTTCGAGAAAAAAAGGCAATTAGCTAGGGCGCCACATAAAACAAATCATGGCCTATCCGAGACGGGTGTGGGAAGGGAAGGGGGATGGAAAAGTGACTTGGGCAGTCATACTAAGCCGGGAAGAGGAGAACCTTGAACGCGGTTGCGACGATGGCGCACTGGCCCAGCGACGGATAGAAGGCATCAGTCGACATGATGTGGTTGCTGGTGGCGGACGGAGACGGCCATTCAAGCTACAACAAGCATTGGACTGAAGCGTCCAGACAGGAACTGTCTTGGGCGGGAAGATGGCGGCGGAGAGGGTTGTGGCGAAGGGGGTGGAGGGGGAAGGGAGAACGAGATGAGATGAGGAAATGAGTGAGGAGCAGGAGGAAAAGGAAGAGGAGAATCGCAGCAGCAGCGCCGCAGGAGCGGGAAGAAGAACAACGACGACGACGACAACAAGAACAGCACCAACAACAACGAGAGCAACGACGAGGACGAGAAACAAGTACCACAGTAATAATTTTAGTTTTGAAACGTTTCGAACTTGTCGATGCAAAGTGGATCTGTCGGTTGCACACCCACCCACACACACATATACTTGTATATACATCATGCACACACAAACGCACACACGCACACACACACAAACGTACGCGCACCTACGACGCAGGCACCGCGCGTAAGCGCCGGGAGCTAGAACAGTCAGACCCAGACCTGGCGCCGTTCACTCCCCACTCTGGCCCCGTTCCCATGTTCCACCTTGTGTGGCACACAACGGGCACGAGTAGTAGCACACGGCCCCGTCGTCGGTCGTCTGCTTGCGATCACGATTGCTGTCGTCCGTGATTCTTCCACATCGCAGACCGTCCGCCCGCCCGCTCGTGCCATTGCGTCGCCGCTGTGCGCACTTTCTTGGCTGCCACCGCAGACACGTTTGCGGGAGCGGGAGAAGAAAGCCCGGGAAACGATGGGCACGGGGACTACTGTCGGAACCCAACAATTCACGAAGGGACCTCGGACGGCCAACGTGCTGGGCCGCCTGTGTGTCGGTCCGATTTGTCCATTTGATGTAGGAGTGCTGCTGGTGTCTGTTGGTGATATGCCAACACGAGGGCCCCTCAATGGTCGTAGATGAAGCTGACCATCTCTTTGCCCTTTTTTGACGGGGCCTATAGTCAAGCCAGGTCGGGCTTCGACCATCCGCGCCGCGTCGATTGGCTGGGCCCACTTTACGGGGCGGGAGTCAAGCAGGCTCGCGGGAGAGATAAGATGGATAAGGAGAGTGACAGCGCGAGGTAAGGCAAGGCAAGATCTAGCACGGCACGGCGTGGCATGGCATGGCAATGGCATGCCATGGCGAGGCAAGACAAGGCAAGGCGGGACAAGGCCGGACAGCAAAAGGCCAAAAACAAGGGGCAGAGGTACCAGCTGCGCTACCAGTTCGTGGCCTGTAGGACAATGGTAGAAGAATCGTAGACGAGCAAACCGCCGACAAGGCAACGATCGGTGCGTCCAAGGAGCCCAGATGGGGGGGCATCAGCGACACGACACGTAAACGAGCAGCGAGAGTGATGGTGAAGTCTGCCCGTCCATCGCCCCTGAGGCTTCGCAAGTACGGTCACCACCGCCATCGTCACGGCAGACGGGCTAAGCATGTCGTTTGGGCGCTGGTTGTCGTGCCCCGTGGACAAGACTGTGGTGTGCACTCACTCCACCATAATCCACAGATGTGCTCCGTCGGCCATGGACCATGGCACTGCCGTTGCTGCGGACGACGACGACGATGATGGTGACGCGCGATGGTGAGAGGTGCTACCGCCGGGTTGGCTCCTCCTGCTCCCCCTTCCCCACCGTCGTCCTCATCCACATCGTCGTCATCCCCATCGTCCCCATCCTCATCACCGTCACCCCAATCACCGGCATCCTGCTCTCCTGGACCAGCCACTGCCGCCATCCACTTCCGACAAGAAGGACTTGTGGCCACCTCCCCCAATCGCCGCCTCTCCTCCCGCGCGCACCGGCGTTTCCATCCCATACGGCAGCACGGCCGATCCAGACGTCGAACGGCCTTGCCGCCGTTCTCTGCAGCAACACCACGCAGTGCACTCAGCCCAGGAGCTCTGGGAAAGGGAGAGGAAACGAAGGGACGAGCAAGCGGCGCGGTGCTTTCTGGCCTAGTGCTACGCCCACGCTCCCCAAAGCACAGACCGTGCAATTTACCACATTGGGCCGGCCTCCTGGATGCGTTCGAAATGATGCCAATCAATCCATTGCCCTTTTCATCTCGTTTCCTGTCCCTCTGGGTTTTCCGTCTTCGTCACCCTCTTTGTCGCTCTCCCTCTTGTCTTTCTTCCTCTCTTGTTCTGTGCACACCTTGCGGTTCTTCTCTCCCTGTCCCTCTCTCTTCCTCTCCCTCTCTTCTTCCTCTTCTTCTTCTGCCCTTCCTCCTCGGCCTAATTCATTCTTTTTCGCTTCTTGCTTCGTTCGAAATCAATCCACACGCTCTTTTCCGGCCGCCGCTCTGCGTTGCACGCTCGTTTGCTCGAGTCTGCCGCTCTCGATCGACCCCGTGCCTTTATGATTCTCCCTTGAGAGAGCGTCTTTGTAACATCCCTCCACGCCCGCCCTGTACTTTTCTGGCGAGGGTCTCTTCCGTGGCTCCCTTTCGTTCGCTACATCGGCCAACCTGCTCCCGAAGAACCATCTTCGACACTTGGGAACGTCAGAAAACTAGTCCATTCATTACTTACTCGTCCCTTCATTTCAACCTGCTCGCGCCGCTTGCTCCCAAGCCAGCTTCTTCATCGACCGCACGGCTTCTAATCACGCCTCTCCCTTTGCCCGACTTTCGCACGCCACCCTCGCTCGAACAGTGGTCAGCCCGTGATTGGATCTTGTCCAACTTCGCTTTGATTCGTTTCATTCCCGCCCTCTTGCTGTCGAGCCTCCGCCTTTGCGGGCCTGCTATAACTCTACCGGCGTCTGTCAAGCAAACTGTGCGCACAACCCTTTTGTCCGTGTTCGTTGAACGGATTCCATGCTGACGCTGATGCAACAGTTTGCCGTAATCTCGTCCGCTAGGATAGCGCTCTCTTTCCATTGAGCCTTCCTGTATCTTAAACTTGTATTAGTTAACCGCCAGTTCTACCCGTTCTCGACACTAGCTCGTCCGGTGACGTTACAACCGGGCGGCATCCATTCGTCACGACGGCTGTTCTATCGAGCTCTCTTCGGGACACGGCTGTCCCGCCGCACCTGCTCGGTATGCAGCATCAGGAAACCGGCTCGAATGCTGCGCATAGGCCAGGTCAGATGCCATCATTCTCAAAGGGCTCCATCAACGGTGACCACGCCGGCTTCTCGCAAGCCGGCTTTCACGCCAGTCGACCCTCGCTCAGTGGATACGCCGAGACGCATCCCAACAGGAACAGCATCGCCAACATCAACACATCGCGAATGTCGACCGGCCAGGCCGCTGACATGCAGACACCCGGCACCGCCTTCGACATGAACTTCACCCCGCTTCTGCCTTCGCAATTGCTTCTGGGAAGCCCTTTCCAGCCAGGTTCGCCCAACGCATTCGCTTCGCCCCAGTTCCAAAGCTTCGCCAACTTCGCCAGCGCAAACGGTACACAGCATGGCCACGCAAACCAGATGGGCAGCCCCGTTGCTGCCCAAGCGTCCATGTCTCCCACCCTTTACCAGAACATCATGTCGCCGACCATAGGTGCCGGCTCCTTCATTTCGCCGCAGTCGCCCACCGCGGGCTACACCACTCAGATGGGCTTTGGCAGCCAGCTAGGCGTCACCCCGGGTCTGCTGTCAGGGACGAGCAGGACCGTATACCTGGGCAACATCCCCTCTGACACTACGGCCGAGGAGATCCTGAATCATGTCCGCAGCGGACAGGTCGAGTCTGTGCGACTGCTTCTGGACAAGAACTGCGCTTTCATCTCCTTCCTCGACAGCAGCTCGGCTACACACTTCCACTCGGACGCTATCCTAAAGAAGCTCTCCATCAAGGGACAGGACATCAAGATCGGCTGGGGTAAGCCCTCTCACGTGCCCACGTCCGTTTCACTGGCTGTGCAGCAGTCCGGCGCCTCGAGGAACGTGTACCTGGGCAACCTGCCGGAGGATATCACGGAAGAAGAGATTCGGGAAGACCTGGGCAAGTACGGCGCCATTGACACCGTCAAGATGGTTAGGGAGAAGAACATTGCCTTCGTCCACTTCCTTTCGATTGGCAACGCGGTAAAAGCGGTTGCCCAGCTCCCCCAGGAGCCGAAGTGGCAGGCTCCACGCCGTGTTTACTACGGCAAGGACCGATGTGCGTATGTCTCCAAAACCCAGCAGCAAAACGCGGCCCAGTACTTGGGCATCGCTCCTGGCTACGCCCACGTGCTCAACGGCGCCGATCGTGACCTGATCTCGAGCGCGCTCGCTCAGCAATCGGTCGCCGCTGCCGCCGTCGCCACTTCGGCGGGCGGTGTCAACAACCTCGGAAACCGAACCGTGTACCTGGGCAACATCCACCCCGAAACCACGATCGAGGAGATCTGCAATGTCGTGCGCGGCGGTCTACTCCATCACATCCGCTACATTCCAGACAAGCACATCTGCTTCGTGACATTCATCGACCCCACATCCGCTGCCTCCTTCTACGCTCTGAGCAACCTGCAGGGCCTCATGATCCACAACAGGAGGCTCAAGATCGGTTGGGGTAAGCATTCTGGTGCACTTCCACCGGCGATTGCCCTGGCGGTCAGTGGCGGTGCCTCCAGAAACGTGTACATTGGCAACCTCGACGAATCGTGGACCGAAGATCGCCTTCGCCAGGACTTCTCCGAGTACGGCGAGATTGAATTGGTCAACACGCTGAGGGAGAAGAGCTGTGCGTTTGTCAACTTCACCAACATCGCGAACGCGATCAAGGCAATTGAAGCGGTGCGTGGCAAGGAGGAGTACAAGAGATTCAAGGTCAACTTCGGCAAGGACCGCTGTGGCAACCCTCCTCGTCAGATCAACACCCAACATGGGAACCAGCAAAACAATGAGGGTGGCTCCTCGTCATCTCCGGTCAACGGCATGCAGGGTCCCAACCGGCAGACGTCGCCTTCGAATGTTACAACCGGCATTCTTAACTCAGGCGGCCCAAACGCGCTGCTGATGTACCTCCAGCAAGCGCAGGCTAACCAGGTACCGACACATACATCGACACCTGACATACCGTCGATCAACAATCTGCCTCAGCAATCTGCCTTCACGTCAGCACAGACACAGGCGGCCTTCTACAGCGCTGACACGTCGCCCCAGCCAACGCCGAGTCTGCACCCAAACGGTCCGTCCCATAGTTCGAGCGCCAGCTTTAGCCTTGCAAACGGAAGCTCCAGCGGCATCAACGGAATCAACGGCACCAACACCATCGGCGGTCTTCTTGCCCCGTCAAATATGGCTGGTCGCGGCTCGCAGCACTCGCGCGCCGTGAGTCTGCCCGTATTCACACAGGCGCAGAACATGCCCAGCCCGCTGGCACAGCAATCGCAGCACCAAAGCAATGGCTACAGCGGAATGAGCTCGGGTCTCGGTGGCTACAGCGTGGGCAACTCGGGTTACGGCCTTGCCATCAACGACGGCGGCCACAACGGTCTTCCTGGCTGGGTTGAGGAGGAAATTGGCGCGCAGTAATTTGCCTCGGGAACGATCAAAGACTCTAGCAAGCAGCCTTTTGTTTCCTCCCCTTTTTCCGGCTCTGCCCGCCTCTGCGCGTTTCACGACTTCTCTGTGTTTTTTTTTCGTCCCTGTAATCCTTTGGCGAACCTTATACCAAATTGTAGTTCCACGACCCAACTCTTGTGTTGTATGTGATCGATTTACCCTGCCGTTTTGTATTGTTCGCCTGGTTTGTTCTGTAAGGGAGTATTTATGGGATGCAAACGCGCGCATGCAATGGGATCTGATTCATTCATTCTTTTTGTTCGGTTTCGAGTCACCATCCATTCTTTGTTCATTTTCTATTGCTACAACAATCGGGCTGGTCAAACTTATCATTAATAACTCCTTTCCCCTCTTCCACCACAGTGCTTTCCCATAGCTTTTTCTCGTTATATTCTTCGTTTTCTTCTTTTTGTTCTCGACTATTGTTAATATGCTGTGGTGGAACGGAGTAACTGCCGTTCGTCCTTTTCACCTGCATTCCGTTTTTTTGGCTTACACATCGGATCGCTGTTGCAACATACAAATGCGGTCTGGATGGGAAAGAGTGAGAGAAAGAGAGATACCACAGGAAACAGCCAAAAGGCCTATTGAAGGTATGGGAAGCTTGAGAGGACGAGATGTTTGGGAGAAGTACGGCTGGTCTATTCGTGGCCAGGTGAGGAGGCACAGGAATGGGTTTATGTAGCAAGTACGGGTAGGAGCATAGTCAATCTCGCCAGACGAATAAGAGACCCGTTCCTCCACCACTCAAAGGCAAAGGCAATCTAATGTAGTCAGATTAGAAAGAGCTTCCCGCTCAAAAGCTGCCTTGGTTTCCCTCCGGCTTCGTCCCGTCTCACGAATGACATCTTTCATCCTGGATTTCACGTTGTTTTCCTCACATGGCCGGGCAGCTCGCAGTGCGTCTCGATGGCCATGAGCTGCTACAGCGCAGTACCAGCAGCCTTGTCTCGCCATAGGCGAAGTTGCTTGTTGACGCAGCACTCTTTTTAATCCCTCCCTCATTCTCGTTTCTTACTTTTTTATTCTATTTTATTTTATTTTTATTTATATTTTCGAACTTTTTTTGTGTGTGGCAAAAGCACAGCCCAAGACGGGGAAGCCCACGACAAGCAGGGCAGGCCTGGCCTCACTTTCCTTTCCATCTATCCCGCAGTTGATCGCGCCAGCAGGTCAGCGTTTCTGAAAAAAAAAAAAAAAAAAAAAAAAAAAAAAAAAAAAAAAGGCCTTGGATGAAG